ACAAGATAATTTAATATTTATTCTATTATCTTTATCATCCCACCCACACCTTTCCATCTCCTCAACCTAACACTTTCGCCTTTTAAGTCGAATTCACTCTACTTTTCTCCTAGTCCATTTTATAAAATGGCAAAGCTATAAAAAGAATAAACATGTATATGTACGTATGTATATATTTATACGCATCACAATCAAACGCTGTCTATTGTTATAATAAAATATGAATAATGGCGAAGAGAATTTTTTTCCCAGTCTAATAGTTGCCAATTATCTGTAGGTATTCCACTAGCTGCAAAAAACAATTACGTTTATTCACGTTGATTTAGATCGATAACTGTTTCCAATTGAAATAATAGACAAAAGAAAATGTAACATTATGATTAGAATGGCTACTTTGATAAAGACGCCTGTATACATGTATACAGGTAAAAGTATAATAAATAGTACAATATTATATGTAATATTTGCAAAAATATGCATATTATTTCCATTTATAACACTAATAAATACTGTGTTATTATTTCTATCTTTGTTTTTAAACATTTCCTTCACGTATTCTTATTAAACTGTTATTTTTATTATTATCATTTATTTAGGCTTTACACTAGTTGTAATTAAAAAAACAATAGCTAATTCAATAATTTAAAGCATATAGAAAGTTATATTCAACGTTTTAACACGTTTCTAAAGACGAAAACCAATGAATATATAATTATTTTAATAATAATCCATTATTTGTTTGTGTATTTTCTAATAGAAATAGTGTCATTGTCTTTCTATCATAAACTAAACTAGAAAAAGGATAAAATATAATAGTTCTTGATATTGCTTTACTTCATGAAGAAAAATTAACTGTATTGTATATCACGTGACATTGTACAGTGTTCTGTTAAAAGAAGAGAAAGAAACTATTTAAACAATATTATGAAATATTTACGACGAATAGATTATCTTGTGTAAATCTATAAACATCAGTTGAGAAATCTCTCTCTCTCTCTCTCCCATATACAGTATATGTATGTACAAAAAAGGTTTGCGGGTTGGCGTTAAATTGCAGATTTTCTGTCTGTTTATCTATTCTTTTTCCTCTTCTTCCACGGTAGAAAAATAGGAAAATTAAACGATTTTCTCCTAAAAACCACCTAGTTTGAACAGCTGCTAGTAAAATATATAAAAGAACACATAATGTATAAAGTAAAGATAAAGGATAATCCGGAAGCATATGCAATAATCGATATTAACACTGATGTTAATAATTTTAATTAGTTATTACATTCTTTTTGTGTAGAATTCACTATTAAAAAGACTAATCAACGAAGCAAGATAGAAACCAGAATGCAACCTAAATAAATGAACACTTAAAAAATAGTATATGCTTTTGCCTTTACTTTTTTGAAAGGTTTTCTTTTCATTTAATCCGTTTTGTTCTATTTACTTATTAATTAATTATTTATTAATAAAGCACTTTATGCTGGTTATGACCATATTAGGTATATATACTATATACTGTATATACAATTAAATAATATTAGAAATATATTAAACACTCAAACATACAACTAAATAAAATATTTAAACTATGAACAGCAAATTGTATACTGTACATGTTGTTTACAAGTAGTCATAATGATATTAATAAGTTCTATTGAGTAAGTTTATGGTAAATATTAAAGTGTTTTTTGGATCAATTGCCTCATTAGGAAAAGGAGAGAGAGTGAGAGTGAGAGCGAGAGAGGGAGGGAGCGAGAGCGAAAAAAGAATAAAATCATTAGATTAATTAATTAATATTATGCGTCAGAAAAGTAAAAAGAGACATTAGTCAGCTAATTTCTCATTACTTTTCCCATTTTATAAGTTTCTAGTATCCATTTCGTTATTAATAATTCGGAAACGAAAACGGGTTTGTATGGATATTTTACGGTATATTGATTATATTTGATAATCAGTAATTTTCCTTTCTTTTTCCACAGTCGTAAGTGTCGAAACTTTGATAAATTTTAAACTTTAATTGACTAGTTTTTTTTGTTTAACATGTAAGTTTAAATTAGAGATAATCCACAAAAATTACCTATAAAAAGCATACAAAATACATAATTCTATTATTAGAATCTCTTTTTCTATTTATTCTATAAATTAGCGATCTGTAAATGGCAATTACGCATTTAAAAGCCACCAGAGTGAAGTAAAAACTTTTGTTCTCTCTCAAAGTCTTTAAAGTATAAATACAGAACAAATTAAACCACGTAATAAAAAGGTGATTCTAGACAAATCTATATAATTTCATGAAGTATAAATAATCAAACATGTTTATATAAAAATATAGTCAAGGTAAAAAATAATTTAAAAATATCATTCAAGGAAACAATCTTCAAACAGCCAGTGCCAAGGCAATTACTCATTATCCATCTCTTCGCTCTTACGTAATATTATGATTAATCTTTTCTTAGTACTTGTCTGAAATATGTTTACACATAAAAAAAAACAAGAGAAAAGAAATACAATAATAAATATTTATAATTAATCGATATGTTAATGAGGTTACATTAATTATTCAAAAGAAGCATTTAAATATTTGATTTCTTACGCAGTAAGCTTGACCTTATTCTACAAAATGATCCTTCTTCTCTATCTATTCTACCTGTTCATGTTTGAAACAGCTCCGAGCTGTCTGTTTATCATATTAATAAAAAGACTAGATATATTATATACTGTATATACAGTATGTAATATACAGTATATGCAACTACTATATATTAGGATGATGGCGTATTTAATGAAATTTTTATGCTAATATTGTATACAGGAATATAAATTAAACCAAGCTGAAATAATCAAATCGATTCCTCTTTTACATAGATTCAAGTATAAATAGCATTAAAAACATATTGCAGTATCAAGCTAATTAAACTGATACTCTGCCTCCTTGCGTTCTTCCTTTTCGTTTCTATGTAAAATATGATTATGAATAACGATTAGTTGTTAGAATTGAGAAAACATCATATGCGTATTAATGGTATATTAAATAGAAAATAGAAAAAACTTACCAGTAGATGTCATCATCTATACGTTAAATTGCATTTAATTATTGCTGAACGTATAATAAGAGTTATGAAATTAAGGAGGTTATAGGATAAGAAATTATACTTTAATAATAGTAACGTTTAAACTCTTAATCCTTATCTTTATTCATGTTTTGTATACAGAAAAAATGTACTGTGACTACACGAGCCAAACATATATCGTTTATAAAAATGAAGTATTAGTAATTTGTTTTTTTTTAAAAAAACAAAAGAACTAAATATACCCACACTTTGTAAATTAAGAATATTGTTAAAACGTTTATATTTCCTAAAGGTTAGCTTTTTAATTGAAATCTTTATGATGATAAAAGTTGTCATGATAGTTTTTTTTTCTTTCCGTTTTTTTTAACAGTGACTCTTTAGTTTGCTCAAGTTATTTATCTAAGCCGATTAGCTCATAACGCCTGTTCAATATGAAGGATTAAGAGTCCGTATTGAATAGTACAAATTACAAAATGCCTAGTGCTTCTAATATAAGTATATGCACTTTTTATTCATTTAATAAATATTGAAAAAAAAAATAACAATTATCTTTTCCATAGAAAAACAAAGAAAAGAGTTGTTTTGCTTCGCTAAGCGCATGTTAATTTATGCTACAACTCTTAGAAACTTCTTTTTCTTATTCTTCTTCTTCTTTTGTCTTTATAAAATGCATTTAGATGGAAAGAGGGCGTAGATTAATAACTTTTTTATAATTTAGAAAGTAACAAAACCAATAACGGATGGAGAAAATGTGGATAAGAAAATTTCCTCTGTCGAAATGGAAGTTGATTAAAGAATAGAAATAAAAGAGTAAGAAAGAACTCTTATACGTATAAATTACAATTACAATGACGTGAAATACCTTTCTTTGTTCGTAGAAATGATCAATAAAATCAACAAAGCAAGCTAACCGTTTATTGCCGCAGTAGTGGAGTAAACTTAACAACAACACCAATTGGATATTTCTCAACATATATCTTTCTCAAATGAATTAACCATTCTGAAAATAAGTTTTAATTAATGTTTTATAAATTATGGTGCACTTGAAGATAATTTTGGTTCTCTTTATTAATTTAAATCAACTTTACTTGATAAATTCCCAGTGGTCAGGATCAAACTATTGGAATAGTAGATATTCAGAAGACGGTTTAACAGCCTACGATGGAAGTTAGATTTTTATTTATTACTATTACCCTTCTTTTAAACCGTTTTCAAATTTCCTATCATTCATCCACCTTTTAGACGACGATGATAATCATGGTCTTTGGTCGGATAATTCCAATAAATATAATAATTATGGATTAACTTCGACAACTTATAATGCGTATAGTTGCGGAGGTTGCGTATGCGATCCACCTGAAGCAAAAATCACTTGTTCAGGTCCAACTGTGTGAGTATTCGTGTTCAAGATTTTTAAAGAGTAAACCTAGAATACGATGAGTTAAGATGACATAAATTCAATCTTAAAGATTTAAACGAAAAACTCCATCTAATACACCTTTTTTCGTTGGTTAATCAAAAATTATAAGGATATTTATTAAGTTATTCAGATGATTGAACACTTTCTTCTTTCTCTCTCTTCGTTCTATAATCCTTTACAAATATTTTTCTCTCAACGACTAAGAAATATTATCATAGGATTTACAAACCCTCCTAGTTTCTATTCAATTATTTTGATATATAACATATATATTTATATAAATACAGTGTGTATATATAAATATTAAAGTATTTCTGTTTAAACATTGAAATTGCCTAATCTAATTAAAAAATGTCATATTTACTACTTTCTTCTCAATTTTCATCTACATATTGTCAGCTCCCTGGTTCAAGTAACTACTTTGCTGAATATTACTGAAGAAACATTCCCGAATCCATCAAATATACGCACAATACGAATATTAAATTGCAATAATTTTGACACTATTGGCAATGCTACTTTTTGGAGGCTTACTAACTTGGAAACACTGTTAGTTTTATTCATTTTATATATATAATATATATATATTACTCTATATCCTTATATCATTCCAAAGCATTATTCAAAGAACAAAACTTGCAAGAATTCCAGATTTACAGTATAGTACTAGCCTTAAAATAGTGTAAGCATTTTCTACAATTAAGAATAATTGTAGTAACTCTTTTTAAGATATTTCTCTACAATTCTATTCATTTGATATCCCCTTTTAAGAAATTTAGCATTTAATGAATTATCAATGGATACTGGTAACGCAATTTCTTTTGATTGGCCATCATCCGTTACTCATGTGTAAGAAATTAAAATTTCTATTATAAATTACTTTAATGTCGTTATTTCTAAAGTAAATATAAATACATCTTTCATTAATATAGAGCTTTAATGAAAAATAAGTTACATTGGTTGCCGCCAAACTTCTTTAACACACCTGCAAACAACATACGAATTGTGTAATTATTTAAATATCAAAACAATAAACTAAACTCTGTTTTTTATTTATCTTTCTTGCATAAATTATATAGAGCTTTGGGCGATAATGAATTCTTACAATTTCCTAAAGTATTTGGATCAAATATGAAACAATTATTATACGCGTAAATTATCCATTAACCAGTAGCTATTGTTATTATTCTCACCTATTCTGTCTCTATAGGGGTGTCAACGGAAATAAAATAAGATCTATATCTAAAGACAACCTTGCTACTTTAAAGGATATTCCAACATTTCAACATCTGTAAGGAACTCTTATAAGATATATGAGATTTTAATTAAAATCTATTACATCGACTTTCTTCGATAGGAATATAAGCAATAATGAATTGGAATTTATTGAACAAGGAGCCGTAGCTCAGTTGAAAACTTTGAAAATACTGTAATATTCCTAATACGTTCTACTATCTAATTTATAATATATTCATGCTATTTTAATTCAACTACTACTACTACTACTACTACTCCTTTACCTTTTCTCCCCTCTCCTCTTCCTCCTCTATAAAAGGGAACTACATCAAAACAAATTTGTAAACTTTCTCGAAGATATGATTTCGGATTTGCCAGAACTTTTACATTTGTTAGTTTTGATCTATTGAATCAATTGATTCTAATTCAACTACTTACTATAACAATATTATTTTTCTCCAATTTAGAGATTTTAATAATAATTTAATAGTTGAATTAACTTCGAAAGCCCTACAAAATCTACCAAAATTGATTACTCTTAGAGCTCATTCTCAGCAAGGTGTTGAAAATGGAATTACTGGATTACAAAGAATTTTTTATGACTCTTGGGTAAATATTGGAGCATCGATGAGAAATTTGTTAGTCTTTTACCTTACATTCTAAAAACGCAAAGAGAAAATGAATATGTTCTTTTTGTTTATTAGGTGGATTAGTGATAATGCTTTGGAGACTTTTCCTCATCAAGTTCTAGGGGAAGGCAGCTATCCTGTAATGAATATGATGTGAGACACAATCTCTTCTTACCTTTAAAATACTATCCTTATGATTCTATAGTTACTTATTTATTCTATAGACGTGCAGATACGAATAGGATTACATCGGTTACCGCATTTGGCAACGAAGCATTTCCATTAAATGTACGACCCTATTATAATCTAAGACTGTTATCTCATAAGCCATTCAACACAGTTTCAACGACAAGAGTTCTGTAAGGATTTCACATATCATTTTCAATTAATTTCTTATTTTTATGTATAAAAATCAAAAACAAAGATATTTAAGCAACAACTTAATTCCAAGTTTTGACGAAGAAACATTTTGCAATATGCCAAATTTAAGAGAATTATACCTTAACAATAATCAATTGAGAGAAACTACAATACCAGAAACTTTGTGGTCTTGCAATGGAGATCTGGAAACATTGTTAGTGAGGCTTGTTTTTTATTCATCAACTCATTTAATTATTATTTTTTTTACGAATTATTATAGAGAAATGAATAATAATTTAATTGAATTAGTTCCGGTAGCTGTTCAAAACGCAACCAATTTGCCGTCTATTAACACTTTGAGAATGGCAAGCAATTACTTAAGATTCTTGAGGAAAGACGCTTTTGCACTATTACCAACTTTAAGAACTCTGTTAGTTTCTTTATATAAAAAAGAGTAATTGATTTGTAAAATTCTCTCTTTATCTTTTCCTTTAAAAAGAGATTTAGAATCGAATCTTATTTTAACGATTGAAAATGATACTTTTCCATCTGGATTGACAAGCTTGTAAGCTATTTTTTCTTGATTTTTATTGGTATACTATGTATTATATAGTGAAAATTCCTACTTTCTTACAGAGGATTATCTAATAATCGATTCCGATTTCAACACAAGTACCCCTTTACAAATTTGAGAGACTTACAAGCGTTAGATTTGAGTTCAAATCAAATTACAGTAATACCTGATGAAGCTTTTCATAATATGACTAGCTTAGTCACGCTGTAAGTAATAGAAATTAAAAGATGAATATATGCAGTATATATAAATATATATATATATATATATAAACTTGAATAATTTATTTAGGTCATTAGACTCAAATAAAATTGCACGTCTTTTAAAAGTTCATATAAAAGATTTACCTCTTACCGATTCACTTCTTCTACAAAACAACGATTTGGCCTATATTGAAAATGATACTCTATCACATCTTACAACAATGGGAGGTTTATTGTAAGTTACCTATTGTATATTTCAAAAAATTGATAATTATTATTTATTAATTATTTTGTTTAATTAAAGATCATTTGCCAACAATAAACTTACGCAAATACCAATTCCTGACTTTCATGATTTATCTATCGGCGATAGTCTTCAGCTTCAAAATAATAGATTAACCAAGATACCAACTGATGCATTTAAATCTCTAACTACTGGTAGAAAGTTAGTATATTTTAATTAATAATAGATTATGTATTTATATACTGTTTTTCTTTTTATATCAACACAGCATCGATCTGAGCAGTAATAGAATATCTCGAATAGAAACGAATGCATTTCAAACAGTTACAGCTCAAACTTTAACAATAACCAATAATCCATTGAGATATTTGGAAATTTCTTCATTCAACGGATTAACAATAGGGTAAAATAGATTTGAACAAATAGGCTATTTGTTTATTATTAATTTATTATTTCTCTTAATAGAAACTTAAACCTAAATTCTATGTTGATTGAGAAAATTATTAATCATACATTTATCGATGTTAGAGCAACCAACACATTTGATTTAAGTGCAAATAAGATAAATGAAGTTGAAAGTAACGCATTCGTTAATTTCGTTTCTGATACTAATTTGTAAGTTTTGTTTATTTCATTGAATTGTTCATTCATTATTATTTATTCATATATTCCATTTAATTTTCTAGTGATATGAGCTCTAATTTACTTAAAACTCTACCGCAATACATGTTTACTGGAACGTCTTCGGCAAGAGGAATCTTTAATTTAGAAAATCAAATATTAGACGTTTTACAACCAACGACATTCGATGGTATCGATTTAAGAGCTGAACTGAACTTGAATTCAAATAAATTCCTTATCTTTCCTCAACCGGCTTTGAAGAATGAACGTCTTAGTGGATTGTGAGTACATCATTCACATAGCCATTAATAAAGTAATTTAACAAATCATTCTCAAATCAAAAATTAAGACTTATCGAGAATAATCTAATGACTGAACTTCCGGTTGGATCGTTCTCCGCCAACCATAATGGAATTCAAACTTTATCCTTATCCAATAACAAAATATCTGTCCTAGCCGACGGGGCTTTAGACGCTCTTACAGGACTACAAACTTTGTAAGTAGGACAAAGTGTTAAAACTAATAATAGACTATACTTTTTTCTTATGTTTATCTTCAATAGTTCAATGGCAAATAACGGTTTGCTCCGGGTTGGAAAGTCAGCATTCGACAGTCTTTCAAATTTACAGACAATTAACCTACAAACGAATAAATTAGAAACATGGCATAAATTTAAACAAATGAACAATCTGGCTAATATTGACTTGTCTGCAAATAAAATAAAGTCTATTGCTGCCTTGGCGTTTCATGACTTACCTAATTTGAATTCATTGTAAGCATTTTTTTATAGCCATTCATTTAATTGATATTGAATGACAATAACTATTTACAATTACTTACCGAACAATTCAGGATAATTATAATTTTTAATAAATGTTTTAGAAAATTAACTGGAAATCCTTTAGGGTGTGATTGTGCTCTATATCATTCTTTGCACAACGTATCATCAACAATAGTTGGTGGATTATGTGCAGAAAATGCTTACGCTGCGGGTGCTGTATTTTCCAACGATCCTACTGATACAAATCACTATACATTATTCAATCCAGAAGTATTTCAATGCTGTAAGTTATTAATAGTATTATAATGTTTTGTTTAATCCTATTCGTATCCTAGCCGTTTATGGAATCAGTACTTCGGAACCTCAAACTGGTCATCTTAGGGTTTGGTGGTTGCCACCACCAAATATAACATTACCGACCACCGACAATTATACCTATATAATTACTTGTATTGATCAAGATGCTACAGTAACATTAACCCAATCTGTTGACCTACCTCCTGAGAACACAACTGGAGAATTCACATTTACTTCTGGCGTTGTCAGAGCCAAAACCTATGGATGTTCAATTAAATTGGATAAATCAGGAAACATAAGCGCTTCCAGTGAAATTGATTATATAACAATATCTGCTGACCTAAGTAAAATGTTTAATATAATTTTAATTCAAGTAATTATTTTCAAGTGATTACATTCTTCTCTCTTCTTATCATATAGGTGGCGTTACCGGTGCAGGACCTGACGATTATATTGTACCCATCAGTTACTATGATTTTTCTTTGGCTCATCCGGATTTTGCGGGAACAAGTCCTAAAGAGTTTAGTAAACCAACTCTGGTTCCCAGCCCATATGGAGCATGGCCTAGAATAAGCGATACTCCCACAGCCGATATATTCTCCATCTATTTTAGGGAAACCTCCGATGATACAAATCGTAAACTTAATGGAAATCTTACATTAAAATATCAGAATACAACTGGAAAACATTTATTCTCAACCGATCTCTACTTTCCAGTTGACGCAACTGGATTTGATAATCAAGGACAGGTCGACTGTGCTGGAGCATCCCATAATTTTGGTTTTACATCAGCCATTAGATCAGGCTTTACTTTCTTGGGAAATGGTACCTTAACTTTTGGAGGTGGAGATGAACTATGGGTGTATATAAATAATGTAAGAGTATTAGAAGTAATTACTGATTCACTTGGAGCAGATATTCCCTGTAAATTCATCGATATAACAGCCGCGGCTGGAAATGGTAAAATTATACCGCAGACTGGAAAAATTTCAGGATCTGAATGCCAAAGCTTAACACCGACCCCATCGGAAGAATTTCAATTAAAGCTTGAGATTGGTGAAACTTATCATATCGACATATTTCACATAGAAAGGAGGCCGTGTAAATCTCATTTATTAATAGAAACTGAAAGTATTCGTTGGGCAGTTAGACCAGGAGACCCATTACCAGTTGACTACATAGTTGAAATAAGTGAAGATTCGCATGTTGGTGCTATTGGCTTCGATTTTTCCCTAATTGATCCATTTTCAATTGGTCCTACTTACACGCTTGTTTTAACAAATGGAAACGAAGCTAGACACTTTTCATTTCAATCCGATACCCCTGCAGCTCGAACTGCTGGTATACCTCCTCCTCCAAGTGCCTACTCGTATACAAATCTACCTGGTTTGGGTATACCTTTTATTGAATGCCCAGTTGGGCCAACAACTATAGCAGATCCTAATGTAGCTGGAACACAAACTTTTGTGATACTAACAAACAACTGTTTGTTAACTGTCGCTACAGCATTAGATTACGAAGTTTCTACCGGATATAGATTAATTACAACTGTTTCCGATCCTGGCCAACCAAATTTTCCAGGATTACTGGTTTTCACAATCAAGATAGTGGATGTTAATGACAACTGTCCAGTTCTTGAAGACGATACATTTTCATTTGAACCTAGGCCAAGCTTGAGTCCGAATCCACTTCTAAGGCTTAATGCTACTGATAGGGACAATTCGAATAATAGCTTAATCACATACCTAACTTCATATCCAACTTTAAGCCCACCCCTCTCAAGATATAATGATTCCCTCGATCTTTATAAATTTGTGTTTCCTGAAAAGACAACTGTAATGGTTTCTATAGCAGCATTGGACAATGGAAATCCAAGGAGAGGAGCCATCGCTACGGTTAACGTAACAGTTGTTAATAAGTGTTTGATTAGTATCCTCCGAAGGAATTTAGAATACAAATTCGTTGTGAATGCAACTAGCGGAGAAGTTTACTTTAGAATACCGAAATATTACATAAGAGACTTTTGTAAGAATATACACATTAATCTTAATAATCGTCTCATTCCTTATATTTAAATTTATATTATCTATAATTATCTCTAGCATGCAATAAAGTTGCTGGTATGGAAACCGGTTACGTTCTAGAAGAACAAATTTCAGCATCAAGCCACGATCCATTAGGATATCCAGGAAGAGGGAGAATCAATACGACATACGGTATAGTATATTATTGACGAAAAGAATACTATTATCAACAATATTATAATACGAATAATAGATGCAACTGGCTTCTTATACGGAGGTTGGGTTCCTCTTGTTTCCGATCTTAATCAATGGTTTCAAATCGATATGAAACAGAGATACGTATTTAATAAACTACTTTTTCAAGTAACTACTACATTTGTTTAAAACTTACATACATAATATATACTTTATATTTTAAAGGGTCAGCAAGATGATGATGCTTGGGTTCAAACCTACGAAATCTCTTACAGAGATAGCAGTACTGCATTCCAAACGTATTTTGACAAGGCTTCTACCAGCGTCTTTACAGCCAACACAGATAGAAATAGCATAGTTGAACATACATTAAATCCAAGATTTACGGCCCAATTTATTAGAATTATACCAAAAACTTGGACTAAGCACATCGCCCTTCGAATGGAAATAATTGGATGTCTAGAATCAGATCAAGAACAATACGATCTTTGGTGTGATAGATGCGACGCTGGCTATTATTGTCTTGGCGACGGGAACAAAATACTCTGCGGTCAAGGAGGAAGACCTCTTGCTGAACATTCTTTCGGAGGATCTGATCAGTGTTCTGACTGTCCGAAAGGATGGGTAAGAAACAATACAATTAGTACAAATTTATTCTATAAAATGCATAATCTGTTTCCTGATTAGATATGCAAAGAAGGTCTAGCAAAGCCTTGTCCAAAATATCATTTCATAAATTGCACTGGTTCAACTTGGTGCCCAGATAGTTGTGCTAAGTGTCCTTCCGGTTATGCTTGTAGGGGTGGTGTTAAATATCCGTGCAACGTTGGAACGATATCTGATGGAACCCTTGGTAATATATTTCTATTAGTAGGGTAGTTGTTTTTAAAAATATTTCTACTCTAAACAGAGTATTGCGACATGTGCAAACCGGGAACATTTCAAAATGAAACTCTACAAACTACTTGTATAGATTGCCCAATAGGTTACACTTCGTCAAAACAAAAGGATAGATGTAGCCCTTGCCCACTATCGACATACTCTGTTAAAGGTGAAATATGTAAATCTTGCCCACCTGGCGATTGTAAATGTGATGAATCTATAAAGCCTTGCGCAGAAGGAGTTACCTGTATTAACCTTGAGGTTTAATAGATTGTTTAGATAGCGAAATTACTATTAAAGAATACTATTTTATTATATTCCAGTTGATTAGTTCTGGAATAACTCCAAATTTTAGATGTTTGGAATGTCCTAAAGGGTACACTGGAGATGGCGTAACTTGTACAGATATCGACGAGGTAATTAATAATTCTTATTTATAATTAATTAGTTCTATAGTTTGTCTTATTTTTCAAATTTAAGTGTACTCTTTATAAACCTTGCTTTAATGAGACATGCATCAATACTATTCCTGGTTATCAATGTAAAAATTGCCCTTGGGGATACTCGGGTAGTTTTGAAGATAGTCACGCTCAAGCCTTCAAGCATAGAGTCTACGAATCATGTAATACAAAGTTCGCAGATATCCAACAACAACAATGCGGCGATGTAAATGAATGTTTAACAAACAACGGTGGATGTGATCCAAATGCAAAGTGTATTAATACAATAGGAAGTTTCGAATGTGGATTTTGTAATCCTGGCTTCCTTGGACACGGGAAATACGGATGCTATTCAGACGACTATTGCGGAAGTGGAAAAAACGATTGTGACGTAAACGCTATCTGTATTTACACTGGTCCAGCCCAGTATCGATGCGAGGTAATAATCGATCTATACAATATCTTTTAGGATTGAGTATTCTATTAGTAACGTACAAGAAAAATCATTATTTTCTTATTTCCAAGTGCAAGGATGGATATGCTGGAACTGGACAGATGTGCGCTGTTGATACTGATTTAGACGGTAGACCAAATAAAAGATTACCTTGCGATTTCGATTTCTGTTTTTATGTAAGTAAAATACTATTCTGTTAAATGTTGTTTACCTTTAATATCTCTACTTTTTGCAGGATAATTGCCCGACTATTCCAAATAGTGGACAAGAGGATGCAGGTTACTATAACTTCCCATACTTTTCCTTTTTTTGCATCACTAACAAAGAAGGTATTTAAATTTAATAATAGATGGGGACTTTATTGGAAATTTTTGCGATTACGATGATGATAATGACGTCACTCCGGATGAAACTGATAATTGCCAATTTAAAGTTAACTTTGATAAAGCTGACAGTGATGGTGATGGTGTTGGTGATGCTTGCGATAATTGTCCAAATGATGCTAATCCCGATCAATTAGATTCAGATTCCGATGGTATTGGTGATGCCTGTGATACTGATGACGATAACGATGGAGTTCTCGACGGTGCTGACAATTGCGCTACAGTCGCAAATCCTGGCCAAGAGAACGCAGATGGAGATAATTTTGGCGACGCTTGCGATAATTGCGTAAACGTTGCAAATAATAATCAGGCCGACAGCGATCAAAATGGTTATGGTGACGCGTGTGACACTATCGGAAGTCCCAACCAAGATCCGGATGGTGATGGAGTTCTAATAGGTGATAATTGTGGGGAAATACCAAATCCCAGCCAATCAGACATAGATAACGACGGTCTAGGGGATGTTTGTGATAGTGATGTGGACGGAGATGGTTTATCAAACGAAATTGATAATTGTCCATTTGTTAGTAATGCTGATCAATCAGATATAAATGGAAACACTATCGGAGATGCTTGCGAAACAGATACTGATGGAGACGGTATAGCAGATAACAAAGATTTATGTCCCGAAAATCCTAAAATTAATGTTCTTAGCATGCAAACCTATACCAGTGTTAATTTAGATCCAACAATTACTGACACTCCCGTTTGGAAATTGACCCATTCAGGAAGAGAAATAAGGCAAACAGCAACCAGCACAGCTCCATTTATGCTAGTTGGATCCCAGAAATACTACGATGTTGTTTATTCGGGTACCTTTTTCTCTCGAGATCAGGATTCAATAGGGTATATGGCGGCGGTGTTTGGATGGCAAAGTAATAGAAAATTCTATGCATTACTTTGGCTAAGAGACCACAAAAATTATGGAGGAACAGCCTACCAAGGTGGTTTAAGAGGTATTCAAGTAAAGAAAATAGACTCTTCCACGGGTCCAGGAACAGTACTTGGTAATGCAATTTGGCATAGCGCAGACACCGCAAACGAAGCAACATTACTATGGCACGATCCGAAAATGATTGGGTGGGAACCGTTCAAGTCGTATAGATTTTACATAACTCACAGACCGTCTGTCGGTACAATAGCAGTAAAAGCATATAATAGCGAAGGAACAGAGATAGTTAACTCTGGCGAATTATTCGATACCCAATATCAAGGTGGAAGATTAGGAGTTATATTATTCGATCAAAAGTCAGCGATCATATCTAATTTGAACACGAAATGCCTAGACAGATCGAATAAGGCAATGAAATTTGACGGAGTTGACGACTACATAATCCTAGAAAACGTTTACGAATTCGATATTGAGTTGAGTTTTACATTCGAAGTCTGGATAAAACCATCAGGCGTATCGGGCAATCAACCAATATTAAGCTCAAGAGACGAGATGCTACTATTACAATTGAGTGACGATAAACTAAACATTACTTTTGGATCGTATAACGCACTTGGTAGCACATCATTGACAGCTAATGTTTGGAATCATATTGTTTTACGATACGATGGTCAAAGTAAGTAAAAATTAATAGAGATTATCAATGAATAAACAAAAGCTTTTTACAGATCATGTTTTGGCAATGTATCTCAATGGAATAGCCGGCGGTACTGAAGCTGAAATTACCGATTTAAAACCATTGAGCTGGGTAATTATTATCCTATATTTAGTATTGAAAAAACATGCTAATTTTCTTATTATAATCATAATGGTAAAGTGATAAATATAACACAATCGTTTTTTCAATAGGTTTACAGTAATTCTTCTGACCTTTTTATTGCAACCGACTTTGAAAATCAATATGCTGGTTTAATGGATCTAATTCGATTCTATAGCATTTTTGTACCAGATACAGAAATTGATGATCACTTACAGTTGGTCAAACCAGTTTTACAATTACATAAACAATATTTACAAGTTAATATTGACTTTGACGATGATTCTACGGGTATTGTTAAAAGTATTGGAGTAAAAAACAACCAATTCGTAACCAATGGAGATCCAAAATACGTTCTGGTTAGTGTTATAATTAGTGTTATACATTATACACTTTATAATTTTCAATATAACTCTTTCTACAGAGCCAAAGTGGAAATGCAAAATTCGTTTTAACTTATCCGAATAATAAACGTTAATCCGTTGTTGTAAACAAGGAAAAGAAGTTAACACAATACAGAGTCTTCCAAAATAATTTATACAGTATTTTTTCTTCCTCTTCTTCTCCTTTTTCCTCTTCTTCTTCTTCTTTTCTTGAGATATATTACGAATAAAGAGGGAAAACTCTCTATATATATTATATTATATCTTGCGTTGTATAAACATAATTTCAATAAACTGATAACAACAAAACATGTTTAAAGTTTTATTACTCTCTTCAAATTGAACCAAGAGTAAATATACTATATATATGCTATAGTATCATAAAAGATGAAAATTATTGATAGAAGTAACGCTCAATTGATCAATATTTCATTTAAAAATGAGGTTACGACATCAGAAACCAAACTATAGTTAATTAGGGTACATATTTAATTTTAATCACGTTCTTTTGCTTCTTTAGATTACTTTTCTATCAGAAAAGAAGAGAAATCTAAGAATATTAGTTTCTGTTCAATTTCTATTTTTCTTTTCTCCCCTAATGAAAAGAAATTATTATTCGTCATTTTCTCTTTTATTTCTCAAACAATGGCTTTTTATATTGATTATTCAAAATAAAGTTTACCAATGACAAGCCCTTTCTTATTCCTTCTTTCTGTATGTCTGTCTGTCCTCTCTCTCTCTCTGTCTTTAATTGTTCTTTTTACTGACACTTATAAAGTTACAATAATAAAAACTAGGCCAAAATTTGAAGTTTTTATTTACTTAAAGATAAATTAAAATAAATGATTTTTGCAAATATAAAGACAAGTGAAAGCATTTATTGTTATATTTATAGTAAAATATAAAAACAACATCTTATACGATAGAGTATACACCGTATAAATGGTTTATAATAGATTTAGAACAATACATATATATATACTGTATAAATTGTAAAGGTTTCATTATAGTTTTTATTTGAGACTGAAAAAACATCCCATCAACTAAAATGAAGCAGGAAGGAGAGATAAAGGCTAAATACCAACTTATTGATGAATGTATACAATATATATTGTCCACTTATTTCTATGTGTATCTTGTAATTATAATATGTAATGAATTCGACATCAGAATCGTAAGATACAATTTACAATTCGTCTTTTGAATTACTTTCACTTGAAATTACTACTAAATCACAAACATTCAAAACAACATCATTTATTCTTTAATTCATTGAAATAAATAACTTAGATTTCATCTTAATTTTTGTGGTAGAAACTATAAATATTTCTTCTCTTCTTCTTCTTCTGCTCATTGATTGATTATCATTCCTAAAATAATGATACTTACTCCAAAGAGTATCGAATTTATTCTTGGATATGATGCACTACCTATAAAAAATTATTAAACAAATAGGTAGAGATTGATGGTTATTGATTAAGTATCGAGAACTTACTTGGTTGGCATTTTTGTTGAGTCTCTCCCGGACAAGTTACGCACACGAGACCACTTGAACAATACTTACCATTGCTATTGTTATTTTCGGTGCATGAGTTACCTTTCTCTAGTCCAACTTTAGCTGGATAAATAGATAAGATATTTAGACTATCAACGTATAACTACTAATTGAATCAATTAACGTTATTTACCATCTTTATGTAAGCATACAGTTCTAGTTTCTCCGAAACTTTGAACAGATTTCCAAACATAATTTGTTGCACATTCGCATTTGCTCTTTATGCATGACAAGTTAGATTCATTACTACAATCGCCACTCGAAGAACAACTTTCTCCTTTGGATTTTGCTTAAAAAAGGATATTTGATCATAAGTATTTGTATAATCTACATTTTCGGAAAGTATATTTAACGTACCAAGAGGAATGCATTCCTCTTTCGGATAACTACTCGAAGTTTTCATTCCAGCGGGACAAGTACACTTTGAACTAGAGCAAATTGAATTACCCACACAATGAAGATTTGGCGTGCAACTTTCTCCTATCAGTTTATAACTGTCAGGAAAACATCTCTTTTTTGAAGGTGATAGTTTATGGCCACTTTTACATTTACATTTTCCAGATGAACATTCCGAACCTATTGTGGAACAGATATCATTCGAAGAGCAACTTTCATCTATTTTCCTCTCTGTTAAGAATAGCAGTTTTCATTAAAAGTGATAAATTATGAAGCAATTTTCAAAAACAATTAAGCATTACCCCTTTTACATGATGAACTTGTTTTGCTGTATCCTGATTTACAAGTACAGAACCCTTTAGAGCATGAGCTAGAAACTTTTCTGCACTGCTCCCCTGATGAGCAGTCTCCATCACCTCCACAACTTGTTAAAGAAAGTACCGTACCAAATGCAAAATATACGAAAAGGAAAACTATAAAGGTTCTCATCTTGTCAGCTCTTGGAGACAAACTGCAAACTGCTAATTTAAAATTTTGTTTGGTCGGTTGCTTAGAGCGTGATGTCAATAAACGATTATTCCTAGCAAAGAGAACATTTATAACAATCTAGAGAATACATCGATTAACCATATTATGTCGCTCATTTGAATATTCAGTTGTAGGTACAAGAATTGCATATATGCATAGTCGATATTATAGAGGATGGGGAAATTTTTTCCAGACTGACGATATTCGATTTTGTTGCCTAACAATTTAATAGGGTGTTAAACTATTATGAAATAAAATTCGACCTATTTTCCATTGTTTTATAAAGAATAAAATCTGAGAATAAAAACAATAAAGCCTATTATTCATCTATTAGCGACAATATCAAAAGTAATAAATTAGTTAATTAGGTCTTGCTATAGAAATCCCGTTCTTTCCTGGTATAATATTGTAAAATAGATACTCTGTACAATGTCTATTAAATATCTTTATAGCTGTGATTTATTTGTTAGGTAAAAGGGTAACAGAATGGAATATTGAGAAAAGAGATGATTAAGTAACTATGTACTTAGTGCAGCAAGGTATAATGATTTGGAAAAGACGATCAATTCAAGTTTACCTAATAAAAGGGCTGAAATAATTCTTATCAATGGTGTTGAAATCTTTTAATCATTGTTTTTTTTTTAAAAAAAACAAAAGTCTTTTTAGTGTATTTTTCATTTTTGTATTGATTTTCAAAATACACAAAATAACAATTAGAAAAAAGAGAGCTTTCTTTCAATATTCTTATTCATACAGTATATACTGTATTTGTTAGAGATGCCAAGTGGGAGAGTATAAATCATTTAATAGCGTCTTGCTCCTGCTCCTCCATATCTTCCTGAGTTATATCTGTCTTGATGTCTATTTCTATCATTATACCTTCCCTGATCTCTTCTAGCAGAATTATTGAAATAATAACCCTGTGTTTCTCCAGCATATTTAACAGATTTCTTTAATAAAGAGAAAACGGTGTCCTTAGACGGTGGTTTCATGTTTAATACATTGAACCAATCACCGTAGTTTTTTATTTCTTCTAGACCTTTGAATCTTGCTTTAATTTCCTTCATCATGCTTTCAGAAGGAAATCCATTGTTTTCGTCATATCTTTGTATAACATTATTTATTGGCATGTTGCCTGGCATTGCAACATCCAAGAAAATTACTTGAAATGCAATCAACTTTTGGCTAACCTGGGTAGCTTGGAAAGTGGTAGATAATCTGTAATCTCGATCAACAGAAGGGTCACCTAATTTAGAATGATCTTTTAAGTACCACATTACATTTCTCTTCCAGCATTCCTCAATTACATGAGTGTTTACATTTCCCCACCTATACTTTTCACTTCCAGCCAACATTATCAACCATTCGCCAATATTTGGACACATACTCTTATGTCTATGATCAGGTTTTCCAATAAAATTTTCAATTCTTTGCTCCATCATGGGTCGAAGCTTTGGATAGGTGTCGCAAGCCCATAATAGTAATCTATGCAGAGCAAAGTAGCCGTTCAAATGGTGTTCACTAGCGACTTTTGACTTTGAGAATTGAACAACAGTTGAATTCATAAGATTCGATAGGAGCTTTATAATAGCTTTGTGTATGTCATCTTCCATTTGCAGCTTAGTTGATAAAGCTTTAACTGTTTTTTCAAAGGTTGGCTTTAAATTCTGTCCATGTATTGGATTTATAAACAGTGGGAGAAAGTACTGTAATTTTTCCTTCATCATGGATGTAACCGAGCCAGTATCTTTCAGCATCGAATAATATGAATCGGCTAACAAGTATTCGCATGGAGATGTCAGTTGAATATTACGATTTTGTCCTTCTATAATTATGCCATAACCAAACAATTCGCTCTCATTCCTAGGTCTTTCTTTCGGGTTCAATTTGATCTTTGATATATAATCGACAACCACGGTTCTCGAAGCTGAAGCTGACTTACTCGAGGCTTCTTCTGGTAGAGGGGGAAATGGTTTTGCGTAGCTGTGCCCACAATCAGAACATTTAAAACCCTTTGTCAAGCGAACATTTGCATTTGAGGAACCATCTCGTTCATTATCAATTATAAAAGCCAATAAATTTAGTAAAACAGTTTGAACAGTATAACTGGGTGACCATCCAACTGACTTTTCATCGGCCCATTCTGTGTGGATATATTCGAAATCGGAAAAGATCGACAAACAAACCTTAGTGCCTTTCTTTCCCTGACTGGCAGCACCACCAGTGAATTGATAGCCCATAGGCATAAATTCAGCTGAAGGTGATTTGAATGGATAGCATTCAGGAAAGTAGAGTATTATATGATAAACGTCTCCATTGTGTACAAAATTACAATGCCATTCAAGGAAATTTTCATCTAGTGGTTCAGCAGAGATGTTTGAAATAGGATTCTCTCTCAACTCTTCCAAATCCTTCATAAGACGTTTAATAACTCTTTTTTGTCCAATTGATGACATGATTTCAAAGTAATTTTAACGATTCCAAACAATTTAAATCTTAAAATTCAAACCGTACTGAATTTCTCGACTGAAACCGTCTGGTATGAAGATCTATGTCCCTCTTTTTTCACTTTTATACTATTATAATTTTATATTGCGAAATATATAAAAGAATAGCTTCGTTTAAAAGAAAGTCTTTTCTATGAATGTTTTGCTAATAACCATTTCCTATTAGCGATCCTAGTGAGAATTTCAGTATTACTAATAAAATTTTATAGAGAATCTTCTACAATGTCTATACAGAATATAGATGTCATTAGTAGTTACACACCTTTATTAGCACTAATACGATACTCTTTGAGTTGCACCAGATTACGAAAGTTTTCGAAATTGTTATTGAATAATACATCGATTAACCGAGATACCAAGAAAACAAAACCAATGAACACATAGCAACGTTTAAGTAACGAAAATAGAAAATGTACGAATTTGACAATGAAAAGCCTCCTCTTAAGTACATGCATAACAAATAGTGCAGCATACTTCTCCTTTTCGAATGTTAACTATGCCTCCTTCCTTTAGATGATGTAATTTCAATTATCTTACAAATTTTCTGCAACCTGGACATTTTTTCTTTGATTTTCTATTATAAAGAAATTGCATAAGAAAAAGGAAAGGGAACTATTTGATCTTAAAGAACGGGGGAAGAGAAAGAGAGAAGGGCGTACTTTAATTGAATTTTGTAGCATTTCGAACAGAATGTATGTCGGCATGGATTTAAAATTTCGTATGAAAATACTTTACTAAAACAACCAACGCATTGTTGAGTAAAACTTCTTGATGATTTGATTACAACAGTATCTTCAGCCTAATTGTCTTTTGTTTAATTATTCTTTATTATAAATTATACACTTACCTTATATTCCCATTTTTGTAGGCCTAGACTAATTTCGAAATATTGCAAAATAACAGATAAAACTTCCATTTTCTCATGACTAATTATTACTTGTCCAATACGTCTTTTACCATTTGCATCAGCGAGTAATTTAAATAAGCAAAAGTAGAGTAGAGAACAATGTATAATATTTCCGAAGCACCCATTATAAGTTTAGAAATAATTAATGAATAAATTATGCAAATATATGTATATATTAATATTTCTTACTATTTCCAATAGGAGTAAGTGTAATAGTTGAAAATGAACAAGAGATTTTTTCCAAATATTCCCCTATAATAGTGATGAAATAATCTAATAATTTAGGCGAACATCCAGAAACTGTCTTCATTCCAAAAATAATAAAGAGATTCTTATATTGCAAAGGAGAGTTGCTTTTAAGAGGACACCAAAGTCCGCCCATTTGATCCAAAATTATATTATTCTTTATTTCGTCGAAAACACTGATATTTACACTTTTCTCTAATAACTCCATTATAATTGGACACTCGTGAGGTTCAATGTCATCCCAAGAAAAGATAAGAACATCCGATTCGCTTTTTAGTATCGATTTCCATCCAACAGTCAATAAACAATTAAGGAAATTATAATTAAACTCTTTTCTTAACAGAATAGAATGTCTATAGTTTTTATCAAAGGAATAATAAAAGTTTGCTAAATTATCATGTTCTTGGTATAAATGAATTTGACTAATTGGAATTATTTCTTTCCTTATCTCTAAAGCTTCGGCTAACATCCACAATTTCTTTACCTTCTCTAAGTCAGTATCCACTAAATGAATGCAATTTAAAGTAGAAGGAACACTGGAATGGTATTGACTTAGTCCTAATCCTTTCAATATAGCGTAGAGAAGCTCTTGAAAGGATTTCTCACTGGAAAAGGCTGAAAATAAATCCGAAACTATAGCAAAGGATTATCAATTGTTCAAGTTATGATTAAATTATGCAATTATAATTTAAGATGAAAATATGGCAGACGAAGCCTGAACTTACTTGTTCCACCCAAAATGGGAAGTACTAAGGATTCAGAATTCGTTTCTATCGTCTTATTGATCGTATTGTTAACGCATAAGGTAACGTCGTTTGGATTTGATGGTAGGCACGTAATAATTAGAGTTTTCCACTTGAAATTTGAATGATGTCTCAATCTTTCATAATATGCTCTTCCATTTGTGATATTTCTCAAAGTCATTCCTTTAACTAGACGCTTCTTTGATACTCGTACACTGTTAATAACGTCATTCGCCACACCATTGTCCATATTATATTTAGCATCTACAGAAAAGGCGACGGCATCAGAGGACACTTTACAAATATTTGTACGATAGATAAATATCTTTCTTCCATTCGATAGTTTTATTGCTAAGCACTTTTCCGAAGGATCTGATAATTCTAATTGTCGAATTCTATACTGATTTCTTTGTTGGATAAAATTTGTCCATAAATCGTTGCTCGTTATCTCCGTTAATAATTGATTATTAGAAGATTGAGTAGAGTTTTCGTTACTTGATTGTTGTAAATCCGTTAAACATCTATTGGTAATATTATGAATTAATCCATTTGAAGATGAATCAATTAAAGTATAGAAATCATTTAATTCAATTGTTATGAGTTTTTTTGCCAAGAAGAATTTTTCGCTATTATTTCCATGAATTTTTAATGAATTTTCACTTTTAATCCATGTATAATTTATATTTGTCCTATTTCGAACCGATTCCATAAATGAATTTATGGTAGAGCTAGTCTCGAATAGTTCATAAGTATTATTTAGGAATTTGTATTCCCATTTATTCTTGTAATCAGTCATTGATGAATTTTCCTTCAGTTAATTAAAAATAAAACCAATTACACAGTATAAAATAATTTACTGTCTATTGAATTAAGACTATTTATAGTTATACACTGCATTTATATACATGTATATATAAACAGTATATATCTGCTTCTATCTTTATCTTTATCACTCTATCTGTCTCTCTTCTTCCTTTCTGTATCTATGACTATATACCACAATTAATGCTGCTTCTTATCCGTTGATTTTGCTGCAATTCATAGACTTTTTATACACAACATATATATATACATATATATATATATACAATGTATATATATTAATATAGAACCTGAAAAGATATACATATGTATTCGCCTTAATATTTTACTTCTCCATAGAGAAATAGTCGTAAAGCGTCAACAATTGACACTTTCCAGATACCATCTAATAAAGTACGAAGGTTATAAGGAATATAAGAACCTATGTAAAACAAACTACATTTACTCCACCTAGCGGTATAGCAAAATTGTCAAAGAATATGCAATGGCATCCATAAACTTGGGGCATCAAAAAGACACGGCAACTGGTGTTATTTTTCTTTTATACACCCTTAAGTAATATTGCAAAATTTCAAAGTTATCTAAGAAGAAGAAGAAGAAGAAACGGAAGAGAAGGATAAGATAATTTACGAATAATTTTAAGAAATGTGAAAATAGTATTAGAGTAAAGAAGCAATATTAAGATAGATAGTGGGGAGGAGAGAGTGAGCGCGACTAATAAGGATATATTTTCTAAATAAAGTATATAGACAATGTTTCAAACTGTGTGATACATTGTTAAACTAAAGCAATGATAATAACAACTAATTAAATAATCTTATTTGCAAATGAAAATATTAATCCTCAATTTCTAATTAATTAATTAATTAACTTTTTAAGCTATATATTCAATTATATATGGAATATTATCAGTATTTCGAGTTAAAACTATACTTAAAATTAGAGATATTAGCAAGCGTCTATAAATAGAGTACAGTACTAAACAACTAAACTATAATTCAATAAACTTTATATATCGTATAACAATAAACAATACCAATTATAAATAAAAACAAATTCATATTTACATTTAGAACAAATACAATCACGTGACAAGGAAGCTTTCTATTTTATAATATACAATATTATCGGTATTATAAATAATAGAACTTAGTTCGTTAGAAAAGAAACGATGATCAGATTATTAATTAATTAATTAATTCTAACAATTACTAATATCTATTAATTACAAATTGATAATTTAAACTGAAAGACGTACGAATGGGGAGATGATATATACGTACAAGTATTTAGTTGATAAGAGATGCGAATATTTTCAATACGATTATTGTCATATTTAAAAGGGGAAGAGCAGCTATATCTGTATTATGTATTTAAAACAAAAATAGTAATTCAATACGTTAATAAGTTTTCCTTTTTTTATGAAATTTCTTATCCTCTCTTCCAAAGAAGGTTCCAAAGTTCATCTCTTTTTGTTAAAATACAAAAGTTTCTCTTCAACTTATGCGTAGTTTAATCGTTTTATTAATAGAATATTGTCATTTTGTCAAGAGAAAACAACCAGTTTAACAAGAAAATAGTAAAAATGGACGATAAAGAAAATAAACTAAGTATTCGTATCAATTCATCAACTTTTTACGGTTATTTTAAGAATAGACTATCTGTAAATATTCGTAAAATATGCGATAAACATTGCGTTGGTCTACGTTGGATATTTGATTCGAACTTATTAGAAATATATGGAAAAAAGGATAATATTGATAAAGTAGAGCAGATGATTCTTGATGAATTAAAAAATCATGCTTGCATTGAATTGAAATTATCGTCGAATATAAAATTACCAAAGTTTGATCATTTAGCATTAACGCCTATAGTTACGGATGATTTCTATAATCGAAATACTATGTATATTGGCCCTAAGGATAATCTTATCCAATTAGCGGACGATCTCTGGTCTAAATCCTACTTGGACAATTTCACTTTGATTACGTTCAATAATACAGATTTTAGAAATCTGGATGACGACAATGACTATTTAAAGCTATTGAATGATCAAGATGATGTATTTGGAGAATATGAAAGTGAAAATAGTTTCTTTGAATATTTAACTGAAAGTGAAAAAAACGAGATTTCCGAACAGAAGAAAGAAGAGGAGAAAATGAAATCTCTTTTACAAAAATCAAACGAAAATCATTCAAGGAAGACAAGCCTTCAAGATGACGTTCATAACGATGAATCTTTTTATTATAAATCGAAATTTAAAAGAAATTTTATTGGTAAAAAGATTAATGATTATTATTTTTTTATATAAAGAACTATTAATTCTTTTTCTTTAGTGGCAGCTTGTTGCTTTGATATAAAATATTCAAAGTCCGATGCTATAGCTATGTCAGTCTTATTAGGAAATAATAATCAATTTAAATACGGAGCACAGAAATCAGTATGGGATTGTCTAGACGAAGAAGACAGAAAGAAAATTGATAATACAATAACCAAGTGTAATTTTAAACATGGACAAATTCTTTATCAGAATCTTCTTAAATCAAAATGGAAAGCTATAATTTTAGTATTACTTTCGCCCAATAGTGTTGATGACTTGTATACTCAATTAAGAAAATCGACAATGAATCTATTAAAGGCCGCCGATGAATCTGGTAATAAAAATCTTGCAATGACAATTATAGGAAATTCATTAAGTATTATTAATTAACTTGTATGGATTATACTAAGTAATCTTGGTGCATATTCTTTCCAGATAAACAACGGATTAGTTTCTTAGAGAGAGTTCAAATTGTTCTAAACACTATTAAAAGTTTAAACTTTAAAAATTTAATATTTATTAAACTAATTACGAATGATAAGCGTAAAATGAAAATTTTAAAGGAATGCTTAAACGAATACTTTGAAAAATCATCCCAAGCTCAATTATTAAACTGTTCATCTAAGAAAAAGAAGAGTTTCTTTCCAACAAAAAAATTAAGTACAAAAAGTTATTCGAGTCCTTCAACACCAAGTTACGAAAGCGTTAAAAGTTCTTTTAACAATATAAATATTCATAAGAGATTTCTATTCCCATTTACATTCTTAAAGGAAAACGAGAACACTTATTTCTACTATAGCATAATTAATAATCAAATAATTAAATTTCATTCAAAGTTAATATTTATCTTTATTAAAGAGTTCTTTGTAAAGTTGGATTTAAATCAAGAAGATTTAAAGATTATCTTATCAATTAATAATAAAGAAAATAAAATTAATATTAATACTGATAACGATAGTATTGCTAACATAAAATATCAATTAGATAAATATTTAGAAAATATTATAATAAGGAAGATACATATTAAGGAAAACGAACAAGAGAGTATTAAATTATTAATAGATAAGGAAATTAAGTTAAACAGTAATCAAAGATTATATTACGAGTTGAATAACAATGACCTTTCGCTCATTGGAAATGAATATTTTATATCTAAATTTATCAATAGGCATTTAAACTTGTGGAAGAAGTTTAATATTTTCGGTAAGTAGATGAATATGTATACAAAATCTAATTTATATTCTTTCTCTCTCGCTCTCTCTCTCTCCTCATTCATTAGTAAAAGCTACAAGTGAAGATATAACTAAAGTTACAGCAGATACAATTATCGTTCCAATAAGTGTAAAACTAAGTGGACAAGTCTTCAAAGCAATCCTCAATCATCTTCAAAAAGATGATAAGAGAAATTTTCTTCAATTTCTTGACCACTTAACTTTGAAAGCCGGAGATGTCTATTATTTTGAATTGAAATATTCCAAATGGAAGAGTATTGGCGTTATAATTATTTCTCCAGAAAATTTCTATTCTTATATAAAACTGTCCGTAGTCAATCTATTGTATAAGATTGATGAATTCATGAATGCTTCTGCTATTATGCCTGTTGTTGGCGGTTCAATAAGTTAATTTTCATTTCCTTCAATGAAAGTTATTAATTATTAATTTTTACTTTTTTCTTTTACCTTTCATTTGACATTTAGACGTCAACGGAATTGATTTCGATAAAACTTTAATGGAAATTGCTCATGCTGTAAAACAAGTTCAAGTTGAATATTTAATTCATTTGCACATTGTTGCTTTAAAGAAGAAGACTGTTGAAAAAATTTACAAACTTCTCTACGAAGATAAACAAGAGACATTTTAAATGATATTTCATATTCATATCGTTCAACATTAATACTAGATGTCGTTGTTATACATACGTTACCACCAATGTTCAAGTAATTCTAATGAATAATATAATAAATGGAGAACTTTGCACATTTTTCAGCTACAGAGTCATACTAGGAGTTTCATGAAATGAAAGCGATATAAATAATATATAAATATTTGTATTGTGTCTTTAATGATAGAAAATGTTATAGACTTTTCAATTCTATGTATACTTATCATAAAATTATTTTATAGTTCATAGACTACACACGAAATGTACTTTGTTACATCCGCTTATATTATTTTCTGTTTTTATGTTTCAAGCAGATAAACAATAATTACAATAAAGTTTATACTGTATATAAATCCTACAAAATTTCTCTCTCTCTCTCTCTCTCTAACTGCTATAAAATAAGAATAACAATACAATTAGAATGTAGTATTATTATTATTTTTTTAATAAAAAAAGAGGAAAGATCGATATTTAAATAAATTTTAAAAAAATCTATTAAAAAAATTCTCCCTTTTCTTTAATAAATCAATTTTTATTTCACTGTCTGTTTTATATGTTCAAAAGCTTACAAATTAGTCTATATACTAGTTTAAATAGAAATATACATATATATATATATACAAGTATATATAATCTACTAAATATATCTAATTTGTATTTTAATTAGCGAACAGCTTTCATTAACTTATAGGCAATATATCCAGTAATACAGTATATATTAATATTGAGTATGGCATCATACTTTATCTTTACCATTAAACAACGAAATTTTATAAAACTATACTTCTCGATACGATATATAAACAGAATTATTGATAGCAATGTAAACAAATGAATGAATGAATAAATAAATTAAAGGGATAGAGGAGGAAAATAAAAAAAAAACAAATCTTTCTATAGCATACTCTTTAATTCTGCCCCATCCTCATTTTCTTGTTCGTCATCTGTTGTCCAATTTTGTAGCCTCCCACTACCAAATATAATAAAAAATACTGAACCGAATACGAGTACTCCCGATGATATAAAAAGTACTACCATCCACTGATCTTTCCTTTGCTATTAAATTACAAGGAAATAAATCAAACTAATTTTCCTTTTTGTACTGGTTTGACTTACATTCTTTGTCAAATAGCCGACCAATGGAGGAGCAACAAAACCTGCTACTGAACCAAGCATATTTGATATACCAAAAAGCGTTCCAGCGTACTTTGGGGCAATATCTATATGGTTAACGAGGAAACCGGAATATTGGGACCCACTTAAGGTTACACCAAGGGTTAGTAGGCCTATTGTAATTGGGTAAGCTCTACAATCCGTGAATGCTAGACCAACTAAGCAAGCAGAGGCTCCAATGCCACCTACAGAAATAGATTCTTAACAGAGTACTTGAATCTTTCCTTGTTTAATTTATTATGAGTAAAACAATTTATTATAACGTACCGATAGCAGTCATAAGTTTTCTCGTTTTTGTGATTGATAAATAATGAGAAGAGATAAGCTTATCGGCAATAAGGGGAGATATGCTCATATTCGCCCACAAGCCTATCCAGGGAAGAGCTGAGAAGTAGCCGTTCTAAAAATCAAAATTTTGAGACGAGGAAACATATTTATAAAACGTAAAAATAGTATAAATAATTAACAAGCTAAATCCTTACAGATTGTATATCGAAATGAAGAACTTCGTAAATAAAAGTAGGTGTATTTGTCAGAAATATATACAATCCCCAGTCTGAAGTTACATTGGCTATTAAAATTGCCCAAACAGGCGGAGATTTTATAAACTTTACCCAAGGAATTTCCGTCTAAAAGAATATAAATATAAATTTATATATATATACCATATATATTCAGCACAATACAAGTTCAGTGCATGCTACAATGTATGTACATATTGTTACATAATATAATAGACTTTTATACATACATTTTTAGGATTCTTTAACAATTGCCCTTGTAAACTATTAATAATATATAGTTTTTCTTTTTCATTTATCATGCTATGACTTGAGGGATTATCACTGACAAATATGAGCCAAAACACGAGCCAAAAGGCTGTCGATAATCCTTGATTGAAAAGAGGATTAAGAGCCATTTCGAAAGAGAATTATGAGAATTAAATTGCAAATAAATTACCTGTAATGTAAAAAATTGACGGCCAACCCCCTGCAAAGCCGAATTCACAAAGAGCACCCGAAAGAGGCATTCCAGCAACACTTCCCATCATTGCTCCTGCAATTTTACATTAGGAAACTCTTTATATTTCATATATGAGCATGTTTACGTATGTATATTATTAAAGAATTCCTTTTTAGAAAAACATTACTGTTCTACCTGCGTACGATAATGACACCAATTTAGATCTTTCTAAAGGTGGTGCCCATTGACTCCAAATGGAATGTAAAATTGGGAATGCTGCACCCTGGTCAAGTTTAAAATATCACAAGCTTTACGAAGAAACAATTAGTTTTAAAAAGAAAACACCTACCGACCCTAAACCAACCAAAACTCTTAAAAATAAGAGAATTCCCAATCCCATTTTTGCTCCGGAAGGTGTTAAAAGTGTTGCTGCTGTCGAGATTGCTGTAAATATTCCAAAAATCTTTTTTCCTCCAAATCTTTCAGCCAAAATTCCTCCAGGGATTTGACTTATCAAATATCCGTAAAAGAATGCTCCCAGAATATGACCTTGTTGTACCTTATCGTATTCTAATTTACCATCTTCCATAATATACTCTGTTCTGTTAATAGATTTTATACAATTCGGGTCTACCGTTCTATTATCGAATTGCAGGCTGTTTGAGGAGGCAACGGCCGTATGATTGATCATACAAACTATTGCAACACTCATTCCAACTCTCTGTAAATAGATGTTAAGAAGTCCAAAAAACATAATAACTGCTAAGAACATTCGACAGGAGAATAGCAGAGGTTGTCTTTTACCAGCTGCAATTTTCTTTGAGTAAGCTATAAATGGCGATTTCGAAAAAAAAAATTCCATGCCAGGCACATCCATATCTGTTTTTAGATTGTTTTATAGTCTAAAATAAAAACAATAGGAATTTATCTCTATCTCTGGTTCACTCTCCCTTTGCTTCTTTTTTTTCTCTATCTACATCACAAAGCGACAAATTACAATATGCTTGTAACGTGTAACGAACCGCGCGAGTCTATATGTAGATACTTATAATGCACTAAATGACAAGTCACACCATTGTCTTGAAAAATCAATATTCTAGGGTTTGTTAAATGGGCTAGAAAAAAGGGGAAAGATATACTTCAAACTTTAAAAAAAAGAAACAAATAAAACAAGATTATTATTTTTTTGTTGATGGAAAATCTCTCCCCTCTCCCATCTCTCTCTTTTCGCCTGCCTATGTTTGTTCCCCAGTCAATTTTTATAACAATTCGTAGAAAGAAAAATGTATTCAACTGCCTGGGTAAGCTGTAAGCTCATGTATTTGTGAAATAGCTTGCAAAAATCAGCAAAAAATTAATTACATTTGTCGGGAAATCATAATTGCGTCCTTGTATTATGTCTGTAGAAAAATACTAAAGAATGGAAGGGATCTCTTCTTCGTCTTAGTTGTGAGTACGAGTACTGACTAACTATTCTATTTAAAGGTAAAGGAACAATTTCTGTCTTTGAAGAAGCTAAATGCCATATTCTAATAATCACCAAATCTGAACCATGTATTAATCGTCTGTGCTCTAATTAGTTAGGCTTAAATATTTCAATCATTTATTAAGCTCCTAACTTTTGTTTTTTGCTTATTGAAGTTTTTCCATATACCACTCAAAAAAACCAATCTCTTTTAGAAACTCTTTTAAGAGGTTTTCTTCTGACTCCGTCATAGGAGCTACTGGCAACCTTGGCTGACCGACAGCTAAGCCTAAGCATCTTAATATAGCTTTCGAACCACCGGGAACAGTTAGCTCCATTTGCCTCCTTACTGTCATTAAATCTAATGCCCTCTTTTGGCATGCTCTTGCTCGACCTACATCACCCTTATCAAACGCCTCCTTTGTATTACTTAGAACGTGACCTAGGAAACTATCACAGATGGTAGTTTTGCACCCAAGTACTAAACCCTCGAGGAAAAGCTGAATAGGAACAAAGTTAATCGTCTAAATATAAAAGTGGTTCAAAAGGGAAAAACTTACGTCATTAGTGCCCATCATCATTATCATATCTGGATGATCAGTTAGTACTCTGTGGATGCTATCTAGTTGGGGAGAAGTGTGCTTAAGTCCTTTTAAAGTTGGAATTTGCGATTTAGCCTTTTTAAAGAATTCCGTTACTGAAACTGAAATTACCTAAAGATTTTTAATTCACTGTATATAACATAATTATGTTAATTTACGGTTAATTCCTGTCAAGAAATTGATATCATATAGGAAAAACGCCGTATTAGGAGCGGCTGAAGCGACTTTAGCTATATAGTTAACGTAATCTTCCATCCTCAAAGGGATCAAATAACTAGGAGCTACACAAGCGATTCCATCCGCTCCAATAGATTCAGCGTGCTTCGCCTAAGGATATTTATATAAATTCATGCATAAAATCTATTTGAACTGTATATCTAGTATAAAAGTATTTTTAGAAAATGGTAATAATATCCTATACCAATTGCATCGATTCCATATAATTACCAGTTCCAACGTGAACAATAATTTTCTCGAATCTAATTTTAATAAAAATAAAAAATCAATAACTAATACATTTTTTAAAAATGAAAGCAAGAGACTGCTAGTTTCTTTCTTTCTCTATTTGCCCTTATAGAGATTTATTATTATAAACAATAAATTACCTAGACTTTCCAACTTCCATCCACTTCTCGGCTACACTCTTTCTTTCATCAACAGTCATTGATAAAGCTTCTCCGGTTGTTCCATTAACTAATAAAAGCCAGAGAAGAAAAGAAATTATAGTTATACAATTTATTTCTAATGATAAAAGAAAAGTTATTTTACCAAATAGATTCTTTATACCATGATCTTTTATTTGTCCGGCATAAGAGTCGAACAAATCAAAATTAACATTTCTGTATTATTACAAATGAATATTAAAAACTTAATACAATACGAGTATTCTTATTCTTTTTACCCATTTTCGTTAAATGGCGTAACCGGTGCAGTAACAAGACCATTAATCGTCCAGGACGCAATATTCTATTGTTGGAAAGGAATAAAATTTATAATCAATCCTATATAGATATACTGTATATGCTATACACGTATAGCAAATATACAGTATTATAGGTACAAGTATTTCCCTTCCCTCAAAATCTATTTTATTAATCTTTCTAATATTTTGTATTAGTTATACAATTAAGGAGCCTCTCCATTCCAGCCTACGCAGAGAGAGTTAGCTATTTTCAACTGTCTTCATTATAGACCAAAAACACCTACCACCTTTAATTTTTTTCCCTTCTGTATATATATTATGAATTAATATAAAAATAGTAAAATATAAGATAAATAACCAAATTATTTATTGACAAGAATCAATTTTTTTTATATTACTTTTGTGATAAAATACATTTACCTAAAAAAAAGAGAATGAATGGTTTCCAGTTGTTATAATAGTATTAATTATTAATAAATTAGTTTTAACATGTTAAAACTATAAATAGTAGAATATATAAATTCATTAGAAATATTATTGTTTATTATTATTAAAGAAACCAAATGAGATAGAGAGAGAAGGAAAAGTTACAATTGAAATATATTAATGAAAGTGGGCGTATATGTTGATGGTATAAAGACTATTACAGGGAAAGTAATTTGTAAATAGTGTATATATAAATAAAAAGAGTACAAATACAACAAAAAAACTAAATTAAATCTTTAGATTAGATTAATCTACTTATAAAAAGTTGCAATCTTCTTCTATTTTTGTTTTTTCCTCTACTCTATTGGACATTTAGCATTAATTTTTGCTGCTAGTATTATTTTATTATACATTAACTATAGACTTTTATCGCTGTTAGGCTTTTTTTATTATTATCTATTTGGAATATGATAGGAAAACAAAAGAATTCTTTAAAAATTAACCAATTCAAGCTGGGTTTTCTTGTAAACTGTATGTTAAATTTAATGATGAAATTAATATTCAATTTTCATTCATAATTTATAATGCAAATAGTTTACATCATCTAAATTTTTTAACATATTTGCTAAAACTTACCGGACTAGTCATCTTCGTTCTTTGGTCATATGATTGTCACGTGACCATTAAAAGATTTCAATAATATTATTTACCGGTTTATAGAGGATATATTCTGTTAAATAAAATATTACTAATAAAACCAACATTATATGTGCACGTTTTAGTAATTTCGAAAAGTTGAATAATAATGAAATGATTAAATAGCAGAATAGACTGGTTCGCCCGCCATATTGAGGAGCATCTTTTCATTCGAAATTTTGCAATGCTGCTGTCATTTTCCAGATTTTCGATATTTCTATAAATTGTTCCGGAATGTTTAAGAACGCTTTTAATAAGAAAAAAAATTATCAGGACATCAACCATTCTTGTGTTGTACGATTTTTGGACGATTCTGAACCGTTGGAGGTTTTTTACCAGGTAAACATTAACCAATTGGGTATTTTTACAATTTTTAATTCTATTGATTTTCCAAACTGTCATAATAGTTAAGCTTAATAAAATTATTTAGTTAACTTTTGTTAATAATAAACTTTAAAGAAAATTTTTATAGGAATTTTATAAAAGAATTTAAAAGGGGAAAAACTTTGACCACCTCCAATAAGATTTGTATATAGTAGATTTGAAATGATAATATTTAGTGATGATAAGATTTATCATTATTTTTTCTTTTATACAAAAGCTTTTAGTCGTATTGGACGTGAAAGATAAATATACAACCAATTGTCATTCATTAATCATTATTAGATTAAAATTAAAGGTAAAACTTTCACGACACACTAACGTTCCATTTTCCCTCTCATTTATGATTAATAGCAAAAGTATGTTTCTAAGTAGGAAGAGGATCTTTTTCTTATGCGGAAGCAACAATTGTATATTCAATTGAGCCTACTTCGCAAGAAATATCAGTAAATAACGGAATGTTTTTTTGTTTAATGAAAGATATATATAGCTATTAGTAAGTAGGCTAGATTTGGAATTCTTACCTGACTCTATTCGAAATCGACTGGTATATTTTAATAGAAAATCTATCTAAATACTAGTCCAATATTGATATGTTTAGACCGCTATTCTTTAACTTGATCAGACAATTTGCATCGTATTTCAATTAGTAAGAAGGTTTAAGTAAAGGGAGAAGGAGAATAAAATATAAATATTATAAAAGTTTATCTATCTATCTTGCTTCTGCATGACAAACTTTTACATTTCTTTCGTTGTTTATAGTGTCAATGTTTTCTCCCTTAACAAATAGATTTATTAACAAAATTAGGTATGAAACATGTGCATAAAATTTATACATGTCAAGGTTTACTTATCTCTAAATCATAGATATATTTTTTTTAATATAAATGCTTTAAAATCTAATTTTTATATTAATTGGAATGCTTTTTAGTATTGCGGCTATTAGTTTTCATTCTATACTGTAAATAAATATTCAAAACGTTGTATAAAATTTTCTTTCCTACACTGTATATTTGTATTTCTCTCCATCTCTCTCTCTCTTTTTTTTTATCTATCTGTCTCTTTCACTCTCTCTCTCTCCCTCTCTCTCCCTCTCTCTCTCTCATTCTCTGTCAACTTATGCATTAGTATAAAAAAAATACTTATTAATGTTGAGGGTCACGTCAAATCTTATTAAAATTAATTAATTATTACTCATGATAAGGTTGTTAACCATATGTATGTTGCTATAATCGTATCAAGGCATCCATTTGAAAATTAATATTAAAAAAAAAAAGAAAAAAAATTTTCTAGTCTAACACCTGTTACAGCCACGTTTGCATCAAACAGGCCTGGTGATAAACTCATAAATTTCAATACGTAAATGAACAAAATATATAATTTTAATTAATCTCTTTTATTCAAAAAGTATTACGTAGGCGTAACCTTTTCACTATTTGCATGGTCTTATCATAGAATAAATTAAAAGAGTGCATTTTATCAGCGCCAGTAAATATTGTAAGAATATATTGTAAAATGCTAGAAAAAAAGATAGTAAAAGAGAGAAAGCGATAGCTAGATTTTTATTTTTCACTTTGCTCTTATCTTAGTCCTATAATAAATATAATTAATAGTATTATTCACCGATACCTAATTAAATAAAAAAACGAAGGATCTCGTACTAAATCCTTTAATAGACCATTTGAAATTTAATTATCGTCTTTTCATGGACGAAATTACTCATAATTCGTATCATTAAAGGTACGTTTTTATTATATTCTCTACCCTTTTTAGATAGAATCAGTATAAGGTTAACTTTTTATCATTTTATGTGAACGTAAAAACTAGAAAAAGTTTACAAAAGCCTTTAAGAAAGGAAATTTTTTACGAGTATATACACAGTATATATATCTATATATCTTTGTACGTTGAAACATTCAAGGCATGTGTCATTATTTGTAAAATTTAATCTGAAATAAAAACATTTCCAAGAAAATTAATTGAAGCTTAATGTAAATATAATATTAATTCTTGCATCTTTTTTCTTAACATAGAGGGACACGAAGGGCCAATGGCTTTTAGAGCACGTTTGCAATGAATTAAATTTAGTTGAAAAAGCCTACTTTGGTTTGAGATATGTGGACAACAACAAGCAGCGGGTAATTAAATTACTTTAATATTTTCTATAGAAATAAAATCTAAATATCGTTTTTCTTTACATTTTTTTTACCATTTTCCACAGCACTGGCTAGACCCGTTAAAACCAGTATATAGACAATTAAAAAGTATGTAACGAACTACAGAGTTTATACATTATATACAATCAATAGAATTCGACTTTTTTTTTTAATTCATTTCCATTTCCAGATGTTACTCCCCAAGTGCTCTGCTTTAGGGTAAAATTTTACCCGGCCGAACCTTTAAAATTGAAGGAAGAAATTACAAGGTACTACTTGTATTTTTTTTCTCTTTCCTTAATTAAACTATATTCTAAACGCCTCTTCATGACACATCCACCCCTTTACCTTCTATTCCACTCCTACCTCGATTTTTCCAGCACAAATAAATAAATTCGCTTTCTCATCCTATCTGATTCTTTTAAGTCGAAGTTGTATGTAATCGTAGCAACAGTTTCACAGAGCATATACTCATTTAATAAGCCTTTGAAGTAATCTCAAACCTCCTTAACGTATAAGCTATTGTATTGTTATACCTGTGCGGTATATTCGATAAGAAGTGCTTAGACCACTTCATAGACTAACAAAAGTCCCTAAGAGTCAACGTTTTAAATTTCAGTACCACTTACCATTTTTTTTAAAGTAATATCAAGAAAATTATTTTGATACTTGAATTTCACGACCTAGAATTTTATCTGGCAGAAATTCTTTCTCTTTTCCTATTTCCTTACAATGCTACTTCGCACATTGTATTACCTCTTTTTTTTTTTACTCTCTCCAGATATTATCTTTTCCTGCAATTAAGACGTGACTTGCATCATGGACGTCTGCTGTGTTCCTCTCAGGATGCTAATTTACTCGCAGCTTATATCGTTCAATGTATGAGTACTAATAGAATTTTCTTCAACTGAATAATTGCCTATTCTATGTAATTTTACAGCTGAATTGGGTGACTACGAACCGCAAGATCATCCACCTGGATATGTCAGCCAATTAAAAATGTTGCCTAAACAAAATGAACAACAAGAAGAAAGAATAGCTGAACTACATAAAACTTTAGCGTAAATAATTATTTTAAAAATATTTTCGTTCTCCCCACGGGTTACTGTTTGCATTATCCAGAGGGCAAGTGCCATCTGTAGCGGAAGATAATTTCCTTCAAAAAGCGTCCACATTAGATACTTATGGAATAGATCCTCATCCAGTAAAGGTAGGTTACAGCTATTTTGATCTTTTTATTTATATTCTATCTCTCACGGTCAAAAACTAGTTAAGAAAATTTTTGTTAAATTTACATTTATTTTAATGTGGCAGAGAGAATTATACGGGAGTAGGAATTGTTCTTGGCAACTACAAATTTCAGTAACAGGTCATTAGTTAATCAAAATGAAAAAGAGAAAAAAAAGAGATTACTCATTGAATTTTGTTTTCTTTTTTTCTTCTTTTTGGTTTTAAACCCTTCCAAAAATGACAGTACAATAATACAAATAATAGCCAAGTTCGTTATCTATTTGTAATATATGTATTCAACATTATTATTCTTATTATTTGTATTTATATAGATTGTGTTTTCTTTTATTAAAAGAAAAATTTTCCCTATTAAACAAAAATTAGTTTTTATTAGAAGAAAATAATATGCATAATCACACTGGTTTGAGCAATACTAGAGTTTTTATCTAAATCTACGCGTTTTCTTACAAAACTAAAGAGAGGAAGACAATAGAAAAAAAACTAGAAAGAATAGCAGTAAATCAATGAAAGAAAATTTCCTTTAGAATCTTTGACACTAAAAGATTACGGATGAAGTAGAAAGGTTGAGGGAAGGGGCGTAAATAAAAAGAGAAGAAACAGTATAAGAAAAAGAGAAAATAGTTTTTTATGTTTGTTTGTTATCTCTTTCTACTTTGTTTTTTCTTTCATCCTTTTTTAAAAAGAATTTACAATTTTTTGAATTATTGATGAAGTTTTTTTATCTTCTTCCTCCTCGTAATAAAATTTCAGTCGGTATCCGATTGTATTATATCCTTCACTCGCGCTGATAGCAATTCGACTAGTTTTCGGGTAAGATGTTGTCGTTGAATATCAAAAGAAAACAAAAAGTGAAATTCCCTTTCTTTTGTCAATTGCTTTTGTTGAAACCCCAAGTTTTTTTTTTAATTACTTGTTTTTTAATTTGTTTAGTTATTCAGTAGAGGAAACACTGGATAAGTGAATTTCTACTGACAATTTGTGCACTAGACAATGTATTGTTTTCAATGCGTTAAATATCCTGAAGAAATCTTAAGAATTCACAATTAAAAACTAATTGTTTACCAATTTTATGTTGTTGATGTAAATTTTTTAACAGCCCAGAGACCAAATTGACATTCCCGAAGTCTATAGCCCTGATTTAAACACTAGTGATAGTTTTGAGGCAAGTTATCGCCAAAAAAAAACGACAAACAGGAGAATATTCTCAATATTCTTGCAAAAAGTCATTGATTTCTTGCTGTGTGCTTTCTATCAATTTTTATCAATATAACAGCCAGCTCTCCTATTCTGTTTTTTGATTAACAATATTTTGTAGATTTATAGCTAATTAATAATTTTTCTTTATTTGTTTTTGTCTAATTCCAAATCACCAAAATAACAAAACACTAATTTTATGTCTAAACAACCTGGAATATTTTTAATTTATTCTAATCCAAAACAGGATCAAAAAGGAACTCAAATGTATATTGGAGTTACTCACCGTGGTATAATTACATTCCAAGGAAATAAAAGAATTCATCTATTTAAATGGTTTGTTTATATATTTTTTATAGATATTTACAAATTATTCTATGATATATTTAGGCAGCAGATAACGAAAGTTGTATTTGAAGGCCGAATGTTTATCATACATATCGCAGTTTCAGAGGTAAATATATTAACGATTTAAGAGAATATAAATCTAATCAATAAAAAAATTAGGGTGATGAATTTACGAGGGATTTCAAAAGAGTGAGTAAAAAAAAGACAATTTACCAAAAATTCAAACAAACCAAAGCAAAACAAATTACTAAAATTGATATATATGTATATATAAAAAAAAAGCAATCAAAAGATTATAATTGTTTCTCCTTAAGGGTTGGGAATGTTTTTTTTTATTTATTTAATTTATTCATATCTCTTTCAATCTTCTTTCTGTTTCTTCTTCGTCTTCATTCTTTCATTATTCACTTTAAATGTAAAAGTTTCATAAATTCTATCCGTTTTTCTTTTTCAATGTAAAAACTTGCACAGTATACATTATCTTTTACGTGGATGGTTTCTTTATATGATATACTGCATATATAAATATATCGGAATGTTTTTATTTATTATTGTATACTTTCATATCTTTAATTAAATGTAAACTATTTACTCCATAATTTCAATTAGAAAAAACAAGCTTGCGGATTCAAATGTCCTACATTAGCCGCCTGCAAACACCTATGGAAATGCGCAATGGAGCAAAAATATTTCTTTACGTTAGTTCTATGCCTTTTTACTATAAAATTTAAATTTATACTTTTGACTTGACTTAATTTCTATATTTAACTTTAATTTTAGGTTAATTTCCTCTACGGAAGCTCCTAAAGTTATTTCGAGTGGCGGCTTCTTCAGTCGAGGCTCCAAGTTTCGATATAGGTATTAATTAGTTTAATTAAGCGGAATCTTTGCAAATAAATGGAAAACTAATGCATTATTTATTTTCTTCTTCGTCTTCTTAATTTGTTGTTGTTTATTAATGAATATTTAACATCTATATGTATATTTACAAATACAGCGGTCGTTGTCAGAAAGAAGTTTTCGAAGATAGTGAAAAAATTAATCGCGAACCTCCAGAATTTGAAAGGTGAGACAATTTATTTGTTTTCCTCTTTATTATATTTTCCATTTTCTTTAGATCAAGCTCCAATCCTCAATTCGTTAGGAGCATAAACCATCAAAGATCTTCTACTATGCCGGCCCGCCTTAATGAGAGTAAGTCTTTCTAGATTAAATACAATTATTACTATTGGCACTTTTTGCACTTTCTTTGCATGCTAATTGTATGCGCATGTGCGTTGTTTCGTACAGGTTTTGGTGGCGTCACAAACGACCAAATTAAAGGTAAGAGTCACGTATTGTTTGTATACGTTATAAAAAAAAACAAAAAAAATCGTCGTGAAAATGGAAAAAAGAGAAAAAAAATCAACTTTTTTTTCATTAATGGAGCCTGAGTTAGGTGAATTTTATATTGGCAAAAAAATCACAAAATATACTAAAACTTTCTCCAACAAAGATAAATAAAGATAATAAAAACAAATAATCGAACGTAGTTCTTTAAATAAGATATAAAAAGAAATTTGAATATTCAGGCTCTGCTAACAATTTTTCCTAGTATTAGTTTGTTACAAAGAAGAAGAAAAACATATATATTCTTATCTTTGTACAGAATGTATTTCTTTATTATTATTATTATTTCTCGAACAATAAAACATCATCCCCATATGGAAAAAGTATAGGATATTGCCAATGAACTCAAGCATTTTCCATTGTTTCAACAATATCCTTAATTTTTATTTTTATTTTCCACATAAAGTGTTTCTTTTTTTTTGTTTTTTTTTTACTTAATGTCCATATTTTTGCACTTTTCTATATTAATATAGAAAGCTTATTATTCATATTATCTAGAAGTAATGCTTGTCTTTGATACTTTTTACTTGTTTGTTTCTATTTGTTATTGTTATTTTTTTTTGCTAGAACGATAATATTTTAACTTTTTATATAACAAAATAACTTTTGCATGACCAGTTTCGATGCCGACTTCTGAAAGTATCCAAGGTAAGCCGAATGATCGGCCATTTTCTTCCGCGTTTTGCGTGTTTTCCCTATTTTTCTTATCCTCTTGCGCCAAAAAACTTTTAAACAGCTTTGGACACACAAGTCAAAACCTTCTTCCAAAGAAATGACATCCAATATCAGGAAAAATCAACACCTGTTGAGCTTGTTCAAGCAGAAATTGTTGATAATGATGAGGAACCAGTTGAGGAAGAAGAAATTTTAGATATCGCTGAATCAACAACTCAGACCGATAAATTTCTTTTCGAAACACCGAAAATAGTCATAGAAGATGAGAAAGGTCTGTTGGGGAGAGGTTGACCAAACAAAATAATAAACAAAGCAATCGCAAATATCCACCAAAACATTTTCCATAACTATGAAAAGGCTTCGAAGCTCAACAAAATTTTTTTCCCATTTGCATGCTTAGGCTAGAGATTTTCGTTATTTTAAAACGAGTTTAACGTCAATTATCAAATATTTTTTAACAAATTTTTATGATTAAATCACCCTCTTTTTTTTATGCAAAGATTTCTATCATTACAATAACTTTATATTTATGAGAGAATGCTACTTATTGTATAATTATATCATTGTAATTTTTTTCATTAACCAGTCAATCTGTTAATTAATTAGTTAATTATGTAATTAATTAACTGAATATAAAAACAAGATGAGTTAATTTTTGATTTTTGACGTAAACTATAATCATTTCAACATCTTGCACGTTTCTTTACCATTTATTTTTACACATATCTCTTCGCTTAATGATCATTTATCACTTATATGCTTGGAACCAATGGTGAAATTTCTATTTTGTCTTTTTCAGTTGTATACGAAAGACCGGACGTTACAATGAATACTTTTTCGGATTCTGGTAGCGAAGACAACATAGTTCATAGTACGGCAAATGATGAACTAGCCCACGGATCACCTGTTCGAGTTGCTGTTGACGAAAAAGAAATTGAACGAGAAATGGAATTAGCAAAAATGTCCTCAGAAGCTCCTGAAGTTGAAGAGGAAGAATTCGAAAAGTTTGAAGAAGAATCACCGCAAGTCGAGATTGTTGGAGAATTCAAAGCAGAAGACTATTCAAAGAGTGGTAATTCCATTACACCTCAGCCACCTGTTACGACTGAAAGGAAAACGAGTCTGGCAAAGACATGCTGTTTGGCAAGTGCTATGGCATTTGTAACAGCAATTATAATTGTTCTCATTTTGATTTTCATGGTTCTCGAACCGGGTGTACCCGATTGGCCCGGTATTAAGCAGGTTCGAACTTGGCCGGAAGTAAAGAAATTTCAGTCAAGCAGCTACGAGCCTGTTCGATTGCAAGTAGTCGAAGCTGTAGAAAGTCTTATGCATAAGCTCAGAAAGTCCTAAATGTTCAAATATAGGCTTATTTAAAAACATGCAAAAAAGAAACATAAAGGCATCATTCCATGGGCTCTTTTTAGTCATATTTTTCAATTTCACTTTTGATGCTTTTAAAAAAGGAAACCCCCCCTTAAGTGCCTCCTCCTCTTTTACTTATCAGCATTATACTCTTGGCTGGTCCTAATTTGGTTATCGTGTGTAGTTATGTTTAGTTTTCTTTATAATTTTTACTTTAAATATTCTTTTAAATTTCTTTATATATATATAAATTTATATATATATATATATATATATATATATTAGGTGTTGGTGCTATTTGTGTATGATTACGCTATTTACCTCGCCTCGCTATGCGATTTGGACAAAATTTTTCAGAACATAAACACTATTAAATTCTTGCACAAAATCCAGTTATTTAATACTGATATTGCTTCTTTTGCATGGCTACTCATACTTAAGATTTCTGCAAGCGGTTTGTATTTCCCAATAGACTGCTTTCGTTTTCTTAGGTTGATGAAAGAATATGGTTTTGCATCATTTTAGCAAAGAATTTAAAAGAGCTCTTAATTAGAGAAAAAGAAAATTTTCACACGGTATTTCGAGGTTCTTTCGAAAAGAGGAAAAAAATTTATTTCGTATAACGAGGAGAGGGCGAGTAGGGAGGGAATGTTTTTTTTTTCAATTCGTTTTTATTGTGAATTTGATTATTTATAATCTATGAAAAAAAATCAGTCTTTCGAATTTTTCCAGATAAAATATCTAATATCACCTTTTACATAACATATATTTTTATCTTGATTTCAATTTCTTGTTTTCGTTTTTTTCCTTTTTTTGCATTTAAAAAAAAGGAAAGGAAACAAAAAAAATGTTCTCTTTTATCTTTTTCAAATTATATTTTTAGGGAAAGAGATCCAGAGAAATAGAGGGAGAAGGCCAATATAGAATTATAAAAAAAAGAGAATGGAATTATCTTCTATTCCTTCTCTAACTTTTATTCCCATATCACTCTCCCAAGCTATCTATCTATCCATCTCTCTCTCTCACATACACACACACTGTCTATCTCTCTCCAGAGAGAGAAATATATATTTATATAATTTTTAATATTTTGATCTTTGATTCTTTGGTAAAAGAAAAAATAATTGATTATGTTCGTCAATGTCTCCTTATTTTTTCTAGTTACTCCTAGTCCAAAAGTTTTAATAAATTACATGTTTGTTTGTTTCCTACACTATTCTTTGTATAGGTGATTGGTATTTAAAAAAATATGAAAAAAAAACAACAACAACAAACAAAATTACTAAACGCAGATTAAATGTTTTTCAAGTCTAATAAAATTTCTATAAATAACATTATAAAAACTTATATTTTATGATAAATCTATACAAATGTTTATAAATCCGTATGTAATACAGAAAATACCTGTATTCTAAAGCTATTCCTTTAATAATTGATAATTCAAGTTTACATTAAAGCGAGAAAACTATATACAGATTACAATATTATTAACTTAATTAGCAGACGAAATAAATATATATTCCGAGAAGAAATAATAGAAAGGAAAGAAACGTATAACATATACTTAAATATAAATACAAAATACAATATATAAATTTGTTTAGACATTTGTTAGACGTGGTCCTCTAATTGTTTTTTAACCTTCTCCAATAAAAGTCGATTCAACTTATTCTCTTTCATATGAACTATGACAAATGATATAATTCCTAAAATGGCAATTGATCCATCAAATAGCCAAAAATGCTTTTCTTCTTCGCTTGGAAGCTTTGGGCAGCTAGAATGTAGATTTAAAGACAGTTTAGAATTTTCATTATGCCATCATGTTGAATTTTTGTTTGTTTTTTCCGTACTTATTATCGTTTTAAATTAATAACAAACCTTAGTCTAATTTGCCTAGTTTGCTTTGTTGCATTCATTGTACATGTTATTTCTTCAAAGTAACCAGTTTTCCCGCATTCTTTTAATGCTTTCTGTAATATGTAATAGCAATTAGACTTGAAAATGAGTCAAACAGTTGACATTAATTAAACGACAATACCTTGTCAAAATTTGAACACTTTTTACACTTTGCAACGACCGTCTTACTCTCGCCATCTTTGCAAACTGTTTCTACACTTTGTTGCTTTAACATAGTCCTATTTTTTGCTTGAGATGAAAGCTCGTTTTCTATGACTAATACTATGATGGATAATCTGTAAGCAAACACATTATGACTAATCGCGCAGGTAATTTTTCTAACGGGCATAGAGAAATTTTGCTTTAGAAAGTATATAAATAGAGTAAGTATTATTTAAGGTGGAAAATTTTAAATTATAATGCTTTGATGTTAGAAACAATTTAGGACAAAGCTTAAGAAAAGAACGATAAATGATAATCAATGATTAATAATAAACTCACACTATGAGTACACATATGGCTATGGCCATTCGTTTCTTTGTGCAAAATTCTATCATATTTATTGAATTTACATTAACGTCATCGTACGAAGAGAGAGAAAAAAAATATATCTTGTTTAGCCAACTTGCCACCGGAAGTTTAAAACAAAGCCCATTTTCTAAGAAAAATAAAAAATTTTAAAATTTATCTTAATTATTAGAAATATACTAATTCTGTATCTGTAAACATTTTTAAGAAATATAAAAAAATACGAACATAACGGCGGAAAGTCTGAAACGCATGCGCAGTCAGCCAGTCATTATCAAAGAAGAAATTTCTGGTGAAGATTATGAACATTTTTACGTTCAGGAAGGCTTAGTGGAACATTTATGACCGTAAAATGAGGCAATGGCGTGTCTAGAAAAGTTGAAGAACGACATAAGGCGGTTAGAATGCGCATTCCCGGCAGATCATGCCAGGTTCCGCGTAGTGTCAGCTTCCGTTGATGAACTTTCTTGCTGTTTAATCGGCAAAAATGACACCATTTATATTATAAATGGAAATATTCCAGTAAGAAAATATTTTTTCTTTATTGCTTCTTTAACAGAATTTATTTAACCTGCTTCAATATATTTTTCATCTATGAATAATATATTGTCTACAGCTGTTAGGCATCTCACCTTTTGACCCCATTACCTTCTAATTATTTATTTATTTTTTTAATTTTTTTACTAATCTGTGGAGACTTGTAATTTTTCAAAGTTATACAAGACAGTTATTAACTTTAAATCAAAACTAACGGCTAGAAAACGAAATAAGGAAACACGGAGGAAATTGTAAAGAATTTCAAAAGTTACCCTTCTTTCCCGCTTCTTCTTGACAGTAAAAATCGAAATATCGCATTTCTTAACAATTCAAATGGATATTTTACAAGATTTATACTCCTAATTCGTTTATTTTCGAGCCAAAATGAGATAGATTAATTATAAACGTCTAACTACTAGTTGAAGATGCCTAATCATAAGAAAACCGCAATAAGTTGATAAATTTTTCTATTTTAACGGTTTTATCAATACTAATTGTATTAAATTAACAAAAGAATTAAATACATTTTAATCTTTTCTATTTGCAGGAAGATTATCCTAATTCACCGCCCGTCTGGTATGTCGATACAGAAGATAGCAGTATTGCTGCTGCTATTAAAGAAATAATGTCAATGGGGGATTCCAAATATTTTCCAGTACGTGTCAAGTTTATTTACAATATATTTTTATCATTCTTATGGAACATTTTTTTTATCTTATTTACAGCTTCTGCATCAAATTGAATTAATTTTGAAAAAGCTGTGCCACGTACTCAATGTACCTGTTCCTAGGGAGTTGCAAATGGTGGCATCAAACCATATTAAAGAGGTATGACAAGTTTCCAGATATGTTTTTTTTAAGTACTTGATTAAAGTTACCAAGTTTGAAAAGTACAAATAAATAACTGTACAAAACTCTCTAGTTTAATAATCTTAAGAGATTTATCAGCGAACTCGTATCTTTTGTTGTGAACTTGAATTGATTATACATTAAATAACCTCACTCTTCTATAGAAATGTCTCGTTGAGTATATATATAATACTTGTCATTAGGCTGTTTGTTGAAAGAAATATACGACATTTTAATTGTGTCGTAAAATTCATTAATTATTAGCATTTAGGCTCTTTTAAATGACATAGCAGTATTTTTGAAGAACATTACTCTAATTTAGCAACAATTCACGTTGCTAATAATCATTATATTCTTTTGATGACCGTTATTAAGAATATATAACACATTCAAACAGCCTGAAAGCTCAGATTCTGAAATGGAAGTAGATGATGATTATTACGATATGGAGGAGGATATTTCGTAAGTGTTCCTTGTATATCTATGACATTTTAGTAATGGTTTTTTTTTTCATGTATTTTGCTTGTAGTGAAGGAAAGAGTAAACAGGAATTTGACGGTATATCCGCTAGAAATCTCGCAACGTTAGAAAAATTAAAACATAATCAACGACAAGATTACTTAAAAGTATACTATTTTATAAAACATTTTTCCATAAAGTCCGTATTGAAACTATTAATTACGATCAGGGTTCCGTATCCGGTTCTGTGCAATCTACTGATAGGCTAATGAAAGAACTGCGGGAGATATATAAATCTGAAAGTTATAAAAAGAGTAAGTACATTCGTTTTTTAGACGTTTCTTAAATTTTCTGTCAGGCGAAACACCAAAGCGAATAGTAGTAGTACAATTTAACATTTGCATATATTTTCATCCTACTAAGTAACTTAATTTGGTTGGATAAAAATGACTTTAAAAAGATATGCATAAAAATAAAATAAAAGAATTTTTTTTGCGGGGGATGCACACTTAAAGATTAGTTAATTCTCTTGGTGAAATTCTACAAAATGTAATTATATTTGTTTATCACTGTACAGGCATATATGCCGTTGAACTCTTGAACGACAGTTTATACGAGTGGCACGTCAAATTATATAAGTAAGTTAAAATCTTTTTCTAATAGTTTCCTTTTAAAACCCCGGAAGAAATGCATGTACTTTTTTTTTTAATTTTTAAACGTATCCTTATCTCTTCTATAGAGTCGATCCAGATTCGGCACTTTATGGAGACCTTTCCGCCTTCAAGGAAAAAGAGGGCAAAGACCATATTCTCTTGTCTTTTACTTTTAAAGATACATTTCCTTTCGATCCACCTTTTGTTCGAGTCATAGCCCCCATTATTAATGGAGGATATGTATTAGGGGGTGGTGCAATATGTATGGAATTGCTAACAAAACAAGGTTGGAGTTCAGCATATAGTATGGAAAGTGTAATCATGCAAATAGCCGCCACATTGGTCAAAGGAAAAGCAAGAATCCAGTTTGGAGCTTCGAAAAGTCAATATAGTTTGGCCAGGGCGCAACAGAGCTTTAAAAGTTTGGTACAAATTCACGAAAAGAATGGTATGAAGAATAGCTATAGCATTATATTTTATTTTCTAATGGAGGTATAATTGTTTATTTTCTTGTTTTAGGTTGGTTTACCCCCCCAAAAGAAGACGGTTAACCAATGCATTTTTTAGCAAATTTGAAACTCAACTGCTAAAACTCTAAAATTCTACTAAAAAATACTGATGCATGTATATGTTTTTGTATAGTACGTACTTATCCTTCGACATGTGGTACGGTGGACCGATTCAAAATGGATAAACTGTTAAATTTCGTCAGTTATTCAGCCATCTTACTGCTCATTTTTTATGTCGTAAATGAAAAAAAAAAATACATGTTGGCCTTTTATATTTCCTAAAATCCATACATATATAAGCGGTACCTTATTTACATTTTCTCATATACTGTATATATATATATATATATATATATATATTTAAACTTGAAACAAAGCATTCAACGACGATGATGATGATATTTATGTAAAATAGGATATTTTATTATATATGTATGATTAAAAGTATTCAAGAGAAAAAACCCTTTTTAAGTATATATAAATATTTATATATACATTGTATATCAACAAATGTACAGCAATAAACGAAACGAAAGTCGTATTTACATTTTTCTTTCTTATAAATTTATTACTCAAACGTCACTTTTTCCATTAAATAAGTCTAACCTTTACACTTTGTAATCGGTTTATGTAGAATAAATATTTTTACATTATATAGATATAATAAGTGGATTAGGCTCATTCAGTCAGAGCATATCTTATTATTCACAATATGACCTTTCTTTCTTTCCGATTCAATTCATAAGACTATCTACTCATATATAAATATTAGTATTAATATGTATATATATCATTATGACTAACTTAATTTGATAACGAATTATAGGTTCTCGTTGAAAATTGGAAAATGTTTAACATCAAACCTGAATCTATTGAATATAGCTCAAAAGATAATAAAACTTTCTATTTAAAAGCAGAAGAGAATTTAAAATTTCATATTTCTAATAATTCACCAATATCTATGGCTGAAAGTCAACAATTTCTTTTAAAAACTCTATGATGATTACATTGTTTCGCAATGTTATTATTGTCGACTGTTACTAAGGATATACATTACAGAGGGAGAACGGGGAATAAAAAATAAAGATGGCGGGAGGGGAGGGAGTAAGAGAGAAAGAGAGCGAGAGAATAGAAGAGTAATATTTAAAATATACAACAGATGTCGCCTTGATGCAAATGCTAGGATATAAAGTAGCTAAATCGTACCTTTTAAAGCCGATAATAATAAAGAAAAAGAATAAATGAATGAATGAAACAGTTAATTAATTAATTACAGCTAAGTTTCAATATCCATAGAAAATATAAAATTGATTGCAATAGATCAGTGAAGTATAAACTAATATAAATGGATTAACCATTTAGGAACTAATACAGTAGCTTCTTAAACCTAAAATCACATCAAAGAGAGGCGTGTTTAGTAGGAAATTATATAGAAAATGTTCGAATAAAGGAGTGTATATAGAATTAGATCGCCGAATGTTGTGCATCATACCATGAAAGCGTTTAAAATTCAACAAATTATAATTATGCAACACCTAGATAATGGCTGAAGTTTAATCGTTGACATTTAAAATCTACGAGTTGTTTATAATTTCCAACTGTTTATTAGATATTTAAATATAGAGAGAATCTTTTTTCTAGTGAAAAAACACAAATCTCACTATTTGAAATGAAAGAAAAATAGAGCAATAAGATAGAGAGATTGGTATGGGGAATAGATTCTATTTTGAAATGGGCTTTCAAAATCACGAGAAAAACCAAAGTGGAGAAGGGTAAAAGGGCGGTATAAAATGTTAAGAATGTTCTTTCTAACCTATTAATTTCTAAATTGGCAACAACAGGTGATACCATTTACGCAAAAATGTATTGATATGTCTAAAAAAAAATAAAAGGAACCCTAAGCCAGAAAACACACATTAAAGCTTAATGAGCAACAGTTTACAGTGAGATTCATAAAAAACTGCTTTACAAAATACAAGAATAATCTCTTGACGTTTTAATATCATCTGAAAAAGATAGGGAACAATATAAATACTGGTAAACAATATGCTAACTGAGACAATCTCACAAAAAAAAACAAACACATGTGTTGAGCAACAAAAACATGTAAAAAAAAAAAAAAAGAAAAAAAAACTACTTTATACAACTAACAGGTAAATGCGGAATGTTACATTGTGTAATGATCATTAATCAAGGAAGGATAAAAAAAAAACAAAAAAAAACGCATGAGCATAAATGATGGCAAAAAATAAATATATATGTATACATATATACATATATACATACATATATATATATATATATCATAGTCATATGCATACGTATGATTATTAGTTATACATGTAAAGATTTGAAGAGAGAGAGATAAGGATGAAAAAACGAACACAGCAAAAAAAGCTTTTAAAGGAGAATTTGAGCTTTCAAAAAGGATGACAAAAATGTGTTTAGCCAGATTTCAGCATATTGGATGTGAAGTAGGGATTTGGACTTTTTAGGATAATGGCATTATTACGTAATTGGCTTTAAGGATTATAGACGTGTGTCTTCTCCTAGCAAAACTCTTAGGATTTTTTAACAAACTTGAGAAAACAACCTTGTAAAACACATGGTCGATTAATAAGAATATCGGTACATCCAGTGAGTGAATACCAACCACGACAAGCTTTGTCTTTTTTTATAAGTGTTTTACGAGAGTTTGCATTATGTGTACATTATGTATGTATGTGTGTATGTGTGCAGAAAAACAGCTAGAGAGGTAAAAATTGTAGGAATGCAACAACATCGTTAAAGGAAGAATGCGCCCGGAAAAAGTCAAACGCACTCCTGATCCGAATCTTCCTGCGTCGTACTGGGTGCAAGTGTTAGCGGAGATAAGGCCGATCCTTCCATCGGCTGATCGATCGTTTGAGGAGAACCGCCGTCTGTATCTGACTGACGCATAGCCAGTTCTTTGGCCCGTCTTCTACGAGAGTGTATAGTGTCCTTGACCATTGTCAGAGGCCTTTTTACCTGTTTGAATACAAATCAAGAATAAGCGGTGAAAGAGAGAACCATATGAAATAGAAAACAGAGAGAATTCGATTTAACTCTATATAACACGGAATATAAAATAATTAAGAAAAAATAGTAAAGCAATTAAAAGTAAGTATAAGAAAAAAATGCCAACTCTGTGTAGCTTATAGTATAATCCACAAGCATTACAAACGGTTTGTCCATCATCATCTCTTCTCCACAGTGTAGTCTTACTCGTATTACAGTTCGTGCACCTCATTCCAGGCCTTTGCTCCCCCTTCTTACAAATTTGACCTCCTCCTCCGAAATTTGAACTTTTACTAACGGAATTGTAAAGCTTATCCCTAATTGCTGAACTGACTTCTTGGGTATTAGCTTTCGGCATGATCGGCGCCGCCAAAAGATTGGTAATAAATGGGCTTGTTGTCGGTAGAGGAGGTCTTATCTGATTCATCTGATTCATATTCATTGAGAGAACAATATTTTGTATAGCAGATACTGATGGAGGCAAACTAGGTACTGGTTGAGGGAATGTTGAAGAAACCGTATCGGGAACTGCTACTTGTGGTACTTTTAATAATGAAGTATTTTCTTCCTCAATACGTTTTTGCATGACATCTTCGGCAAATTTGTCAATATTTACTTTGTTGTTCCTTCTAGGTTGTTGAGATTTTCTTAGCATACTATGTTTTACTCTTCCAATTTTTGGACTCTTTCTCTCCTCTTCTTCCTGCCTTCTGAGGTCCATCACTAATTTATCCGACTGATCGGAATCAGATGAGAATTCTTGGTCTTCGTCCCAATTCCTTCGACAGTCTTCCTCATTAAGCTCTGGCTGAATGACTATAGTTCCATCAGATCTGCATTGATATTTTTCGACATCGGACGAAGACGTTATTCGTTCGTCTGGAGCAGCCTCTATTACATCTTTTATATCAACTAGTAAAACCTCATTCTTATCTATAGTTATAGCGAGAAGGCCTTGTATGGAGAGTTCACTTGAAAATTCCAAACTGGTTTTACAAAGCAAGTTTATAGCTTCTTTTAAACCGATTACTGTTCTCTCTTGTTCTCCTTTAACTTTCATATTTTGCGGCTGTGATTTAAAAATATAAATCAATTTTTGTTATTCACGAATACAAGAAGAAAAACGCAACTCTTTCATTCAATTATTCATTCGTTCAGACAAGAAACAATATGCTCCTATCAACGTACCAAACAGTAGTAAAACTCTTGTTTAAACCAAGTCGTGAGCCAAAAGCTACTCTCTTTACCTTACGTAATATTATGTAAAAATCCGCCTATCAGAGAGTAACTTACCTATAATCTATCTGATGAGTTCCTTTGAAAAGAAACTCCCTCCTTCTGCGTATTCACGTAAAACAGCGGCTAAACCTATCTATGCTCAGAATGACGACGAGAAAATAGACAGTCTTAGAGTAACAATTGTTAAAAAGTCAATCGGAAACAATCGATAAAAGTGAAGAGCAAAGTCTTCTACCTTGGATATATATATATATGAATATACAAATTGCCGCTACGTCAATTGGAAGATGGAAAACACTTATTAACAGCAACTACACGAATATTTCACTTAAATAGGAATTTGTTATGCACATCTAGCATCTTTGTTAGACACGCCAAAAGTATAATAATGCAGGCACATACCTGTACTGATCTATGTCTACATGCATATCAAGGTAAGCGTATACGTACAGATAGAATATGCAATCCTATCCATCTCTTTATTAATATATATTTATAACTAGAATCTACAATACGCTGGCTATGCAAGAAACAAACATTTAGTAAATGAATTTTGCTGCTATTGAAATTTCTTGATAAAAATAAATAAAAAATGTAAACAATCATTATTAATTGTATATGTATAGCTTAAATATAGATACACATCGCAAGATCTATACATTACATTGTATAAGGCAGTGCAAAGCACATAAAATAGTCTCTTATCTTCTGTCTGCTTTACACTTATTACCCATACACATGGCACCATTACACTACTTGTTAATAAATTTTATATCCTTATATACAGTATATATATATGTTTGATATTTAATAATTGCACATTTATTCAAGTGTTTGAACGTGTTCTTCTTTCTCATAAGTTAAATTGAATATATACAAAATATCCATTTATATATGCATATATATACAAGTTATGGTATACATTTACACCTATATACGTATCATATACGATTAAATAAATTAGTCGTCGTTCTATATAGTGTATATACCGAGTACATATCCTTTATTACAGATACTTATATATTGAGCATGCAAGATATATCCAATATATATCTACACATATTTGTTCACGATATATATCAGTGCATGCGTATCTGCAATATACACAACAGGCAAGATTATAGTTATATAGTCTTATATGCGTACAGATAACGTTTACCTCATCTAGAAAACATTTACATATCTTGTCGCTAAATTAATCAAGACTAGTGCACGAAAAAACAACCAGTTTTCGCGGTGCATATGTATACAGATAAGGTAATATTGAATAGATTAGATAAATTAAAAGGCTCGCTAAAGAGAGTTGGCTATTGTTCTTACTTTAATTAGCTGGATAACCAATGAAGATACTTAACATTTAGACAGAATATTAATAACAATATTTATCTACCATTCGTAACACGGATCACATAAAAATACATTCGAACGCACCTGCTTCGGAACGAAATTTATAAAATCAATATTGTATCGGATGGCACGAAGCCAGTGCCCGGATGGTAAATAACCGGTTTTTCGTTTCTCTTATACGAAAGATTTCTGTATCCGGTAAATGCGAAACAAATATTTCTTTCCTATATATATATATATATATATATAAAGGATATACAAGTATTTATATATATATATGTATAAATATATATATTCTTTTTATTTAAAGAATGTATGTTTATTTATACACAAATTTACAGTTGAAAACTTTTCTCCTTACTTACAAAGAATGAATATCTCAATTATTAACACTTAATATAGTTAATGCATAATCTTAAGGGATTACGTATAAAATTCTATTTAAACAACAATTACTAAACAACTTTAAGAAAATGTAATACACATTTTTACAACATAAACCAAGTTGTAGAAATTAATGACGCGTTTAAAAATGTGTAAAAGTTTATAGTAAATGAGTTGTTTACTAGAATTGGCAGATTTTATTGACTGCTGGTTTATCGTGAGATGACAGGGTTAGGTTTAAAAGGTGTCTACATTTCCATTTACATTTAATAAGGTTATTAGAAAGGATTAGCTTAGGAACAGTAATAAGACGAAAAAATTGGAGAAAAGAAGTTTGTAACAAGGGTAATATCTTTAGGGATTGAAAGGGATTATGTAGATTTTATCTAAGGCTTTTCTGGATGATTCTTGCTGATATTTAATTGACGAACACGAATTTTCTCTCTCTCTCTCTCTCTCTCTCTCTCTTTCTTCCTATCTTTATCATTATCTTTCTAAGTTTAATGCGCTTAACAATTCCTCCTCTTCTAATAAAATTAGCTTGGTTCGTTAGATTATTGTACAAACATCATACTGTCAATTAAGGAGATACTCGACTGAGTCGGCTAATAAACATAATGTGTTAGATAATTGACTACGATTAGTGGCGGTAAAGACCTTTAATTTACGTACCGAAAGGTTAATTTGCTGATAAGATAGAGAAAACAGGGCACAGCAGCAAACTAAGTTTAAAAAAAGAGCAGATGATAAGAAGATCCAGCTCACGTTCCTTATCCGAATCTTGGCAACAGCTGCAAATAACGCAGTGAGAAAAAGTTTGTAGAGTAAAAGAGAGAGTCTATATAAAACAGGGACTCACCTGGATGTTGCACCAAAAGTATGCGCGTGCACCTGCGCCAAACGGTGAAAAAGAGAGAGAAGGATAAGACTTATTGTAGAAAATCAGTCATGCGAATATATCATATCAGTTAACCGAACAATGGCTTCTATCTGTTCGTGCACCGACACCACCACTACCAACCTTATATCTACTTTTTCTAATACCTTCTATTTGCATACAGATCATATTCATCTCTTGCCCATTTTCTTATTTCACTCTTTTTTAATCCTCTAGAATTTCCGTAACCTAATTAACCTCTTTTTAATTATTCCCTCTGACTTCCTGTATTTTTCTCACTCTCCTTTCCCTCCCCCTTTCCCTTTCTCTTTCTTTTTGTCTATTTCGTAACTAAATCAAATATTTCATTGATGTTAAAATGAGAGAAAGAGAGAATAAATAAACCCTTCCCTAACTTTGCCGCCTTTTTTTCCTTTCTAATTTCTCCCTTTTTTTCTAACCAATCCTCAGTTATTGATTCACTTCTTTTCAATAATAGGAACTAAATATTAACCCGGATTAATCTTAATGAAGTAATCCTTTTGTAGACATATATATATACAGTTTGGGAAAAATAATCAGTCTATTGTCGTATCACAACACTTTTAATTCGCTCCTTACTGTTTAATTCTCTAACTGGTAAAGGGAAAGTTTTCTTCACACCTACTCTAACCAAATCATTAACCGTTAAGAATTTGACCCTGTACGAATTTCTTTGATGAAATTCTTAACCCCTTCGATTACGCAATCCTATATCGGTCAACAGGCTGGTGTGTGTTAAATATAAGTAGGACTAAGTTTTCAAAAAATATTCTCTTATAGACGGTAGATGTCGTCCTCGTACAGAAATTATAACCAGTTTATTTTTGTGAAACATTCTCAAATATATTTATCTCAAAAATACAGAGTCTCTACATACCTTATCACTATTATTGAAGCAAATGCGATATTTTTGGTTAATACTTTGTATTGACATATCCTTGAAGGTAACGAAAAAATTTAATAAACCCTACCCGAATACACAATTTTTTAAATTGTACTGTTATATCCTCTTATTATAATATCGCTCTTTATTTAGAAATAAATGTCAAGTTTTTTCGTATTTCTTAACAGCATATAAACACGAATTGCAATTAATGGAACTGGAAGAAATTGTAAAAATTAAACATATTTGGCCACATATTAACGCGGCAACCGAAATTGTTGAAACAACGAAATTTTCAACTACTCAAGCAAAGGTATTCAAGTACCAATGTTTTTTCCATTAATGAAATAAGAATTTTGAACAAAATTGTTCCATTTATTAATTCTCTTAACAATTTATAGTAATTTTTCTATATTTGTACGATTAAAGGAGGAAGATGGTTGTGAATATAAATCAAAAATAATATATCATTGCCCTTTTGAATCTTGTCGATATAATGTGAGAGAAATAGAAAATGGGTTCTTCTACGAAACAGATCTTTTAATGGTTTGTTTGTTTAATTAAAAATTATTGATTGATTGATATCATTAATATTTGATGTATAGCATCTCAGGATGATACATTCTAAAGAGGATAAAAAACCAACAATATCGATTATGCAACAAAAAAGAGCTAGGGATGATACGAAGGAAGATTTACAATCGTGCAAGAAAAATATATCAACTCCGTCGTCTACTTTAACCGTTGGCTGTACAACTGCAATATTAGCGTCTCCTAATAGAAATATTTCAAAGAAAAAGCGTGGAAGGCCTGCAACGAAATCATCGAAAGAATTTAAAAGTTATTCTATTTTGCCTAAACCAGCCATTCAACTAGCACCAACAGCAAAGATCGATATGCCCTTGGGTATGAGGAAAAAGAGTACAAAAAGAAATATTACGATTGAAACAACAACAGCTTGTTCGCCTCTTTCACTTGAGCAGCTATTGGAAGCTTCCACTCAAACAAACGTTCCTTACCAAGCCTCAACGCAAACAAATACAACATTTCAAGATTCAAAGCAAACTAATACTGTTTGTACATCTATTCTCAATACATCTCAAACAACTCAAACACAATTACAAAAAGATTTCAATTCGAATTCCACGCAAACAGCCGATTTATTAAACGATCTGGTTAACGAAGATATATTTATCAATTATCTTGATACAGGCAGACGACAATCAAATTGCTCTGAGAAATACGTTCAAACAAGTACTAATAAAGGAACAATAGTACTAGGAGCACAAGAAACTGACACAAATGATTCGTTTCAATTAGAATTAGAAAGTTTGGTTTTCGAAGGTGGAAAGGAGGACTCTCTGAGGGAAATTGGAAATGCGAATAATGTGCAAGATATTGCGTTATCACCAATACCTCAGCATTTCTTTGATGAATTTTTCACCAACTAAATTTCATTGATATTAAACCAAAAACATTTAAATAAGAGGACAATAAAAGAAAGAGATGAAAGGGAGGGAGAAGATGACGGAGGAAGTTAATTTATATCTTTTTTGCAGTGTCATTTTTTTTTTGCAGTAAAACAGAATTTCTTTTTCTTTAATAATAAAAGAAAGAAGAGAAAAGATTATTTTCTATTTCTCCTTCAATTATTATTTAAATTAAGTAAATTTTGTATCAATAAGTCTCTTATATACATAAAATATTATTAAATATATACATTAAATATTTGTATATTGACATACGAAGAATTATTCCCCTATATATAAAGTTGGTTATCTTACATGTGTATTTAGATTGGAATAACTGCAAATCGTAATTTTTGCTGCCTAATTTATTTTGTCTTTATTTCACTTTTTATTTATTGATAAAATTGGGCAATTGAAAAGAACTTTTGAATTGTTAGGTTATTGATATACTATATAATTTTATTGTATTAATAGTAAAAGTTAAAAAAATTAACTTTATATGTGAATTTAATGGAATTGTCAATTGGTTGTCGAATGAGAAATTTTTTGAATTCTAGAAGCTCGAAAATTAAGTAGCCAGATTACGGAGTCCGTAATATATTGAGGGACAACAAAATTGCAATGGGTCAGAAACCATATATTTGCTTAAACAGATATCCTGCTCCTAAGCAGAATGTCGTACGTGAAACATTAAGAGTGAACTCGGAACTGGAATTGCGGAAGTAACCGGTAAACAACCGGTCGAATTAAAAATGGCGGATTGCGTACAAGATAGAATCGATCACTATCAAAATGTAGAAAACACTATGGATCCGTCTAATTTAGATATAAACGACGATTTCGATCCGTTTCCGGATAAAAATGAAACAACTGAAGATGAAGGTGATGGCTCGATAGCTCCTCCCATGAATTCGTAAGTCTATATTGATTCTTTTGTTTACATTGCGGAGTAATATTCCGAGTTCTAAGGGTTAGGGCTCAGGAAAACACCGGAAGTTCTTGATTACCTAACATTTTAATGTGTCCTAGTTGGTGAATTTGTTGAAAAGAGTAAAAAGTGTAAAGCAAAGATATTCTACTTATTTAAGAGTTTTAAAAATGTTAATTAGTTTCTTTGTTTAAATTAATTTATTAATGAAAAAAATTGAAAATTCTAGAGAACAAAAAACTTAAAAATTTTAATTAAGTTTTCTTGTTAATTCAATCAATTAATAACGAACAGCTGGTACCATGGACGTCTCGAAAGACGATTGGCAGAAGAGAGATTAAGAACTGCCGGATGTTACGGCAGCTATCTAGTAAGAGAAAGCGACAGAAAGCCTGGCTCATACGTCCTCTCTTTCTTAGGCCGGACAGGAATTAATCATTTCAGAGTGACAGCTTTGTGCGGGGATTACTATATCGGTGGCAGGGAGTTTTACAGTTTGGGTGACCTAATCGGTTATTATACTCATAGATCTGATTTATTGAAGCAGGAAAGACTTACAAATCCTGCAGCACCACCAGAGGTAAGTTAAATCTCCATCTATTTTAGACTATAATCAAATATTTGCCAATCCTGTACATACATAAGTAAAGAATTTTTTTTTGCGGGTGAATCATACCCTGAGAAGTCCACGCATAGACAATTTTTAATCAAAGTAAAAAGTAAAGAGTACAAATACATAGGAGCTTTGTATGACTATAGTCGTTATATATAAATATGTATTTGTTTTTATTTCCTATCTACAAACTGCACTGAATGGGAATTAATTAACTCTGTTTTTTTTTTCTCTCTCTCTCTCTCTCCTCTCCTTTCATCGTCGATTTTTAGCCAGTGAACGACCAAGTTAAAGTTGTTGCTATCTTGCCATATAATCAAATACCAGAGACTGATGAATTAAGCTTTGAAAAAGGTGAAGTATTTTTGGTACACAACGATTTGGGAGACGGATGGTTGTGGGTAACATCCCAATCTACGGGCCTTAGCGGTATTGTAAATAAAGGATTAGTTCAGGAGATTGTAAGTGCTTATTTTATTTGTTACAATAGTAAATTGTGTAAATTGTTACAGTTTTTGCTAATTTCTATTCAATATATTATCCATTTAGAAAGGACAATCAGATCCTATTGAATCTTTTGACTGGTTTCATCCCAATATATCTAAATCAAAGGCAGCTGAAAAATTAAAAGAATGTAAGTAATTTTCAATAGAAATCTACTTATTTTATTTAATTAATACCCTAATTAAATAATATATCTTGTATATAAATATATAACCCTATTTACATACTTTTAAAAACAAACATTGATAGATAGTGAGAATAATAAGCTTATATCAGATTCCAGTTGGAAAATTAACCAAACAAAGCAAACTAAGCGTAAAACTTTATCAAATTATATCAGATATTTGTTTTTCTGGTTTGTTTTGCTTGTTATTGACATTTTTAACCTTTCGCCAAACTGGAAATGGATTGTAATCTTATTTATTATGGTCTTATAATTAAATTGTTAAGCTTCTGAGGAACAAAACAATATTAGTTTTCCACCATATTTCGCGCCATTTACAAAGGAATTAAAGGCCTGCATAAATAATGAAAATAAAAAATTTACTATTAAACATAATAATAACTAGGTCAATGAATAGTATAATGGTAGTATACACCAATACTATATAATAGTACACTAAAAACTTATTCAAAGTAGGCTTAAAAATATAAGCTGGTATTAAGCATGTTAACTCTGAGTAAAGTATTGAGTAAAGTGTGTCAGCGATGTAAATTAATAATGACTTTAAATAATTAAAAGGTAATTTTTTTGGTTTCAGCTGGTTCTAATAGTTTTCTAGTCAGACCAAGTGAATCAAAAATTGGCCATTATTCTTTATTTTTCTACTGCAATCATACTGTTCAACGTTTTAGAATTGAAAAAATTAACGGAAAATATTACATGGGTGGACGCTATTTTGAATGGTAAGAGCTCCTTTAACTATTATTCTCTTCCCTTCCTCTCTTTTCTTAGCTTTCTATTCTTCACTCTCTCTCTCTCTCTCTCTCTTTCTTTTTCTCTTATATATATATACATTTACTAACTTTACTTTTTTCTTTTGCTTTATTTTTTGCAAACAGCGTTTCTGATGTTATAGAACGTTATAAAAAAGAACAAATTCTTCTTGGACATTGTCTAGAGCACGCTGTTTTGCGGGTAAGTTGATAGGTCAAGATCTTTATATTTAAAAGCTTCTAATCCTACCTATTTTTCCCCCTCTCTTTCTCTCTCTCTCGACGCCTATGATTCCTTCTCTTCTTGTTCTTGCTCCCCTTATTCTCCTCTTCCCCTCTATCTTCGGCGCGAATAGACAAGAGACGAAGAAAGTGATAATCTATCACGATGTTCTTTTACAAGAAGTTCCGGTTCAAATTTCTTTTTGAATCGAAAGGACCACATTGTCATAAATGGCTACCTGCAGAAGAAGAGCGCTAAAGACTCGAAAAAATGGAAAACTTATTATTTTGTATTAAACGGAACTGAACGCCATTTGTATTTTTTTGAAAACGATAAGAGATCAAAGCCAAAAGGCCTAATAGATGGCAACTACTCTAATTTGTATCCGGTTCACGAGAGCCTGTTTGGTAGACCAAATTGCTTTCAAATTATTCAAAAAAGTTTCAATCATCAGGCTGTTTTTTATTTATGCGCCGAAAGCTCGGATATTTGCCAGCAGTGGATCCTTTCCTTGAAGGCCTATTGCCAGAATACAGTAACAAGAATTTTGAAGAATAGTTCTGTTGTTGTACTTACACAGTTGCGTAGTTTGAATATTTCTATAAAAGACGCAAAGAAACTTGGACCGAAAACGCAGGCTTATTGCGTTCTTAATTTAAACGACGTTAAAGTTGCAAGAACTTCTGTAAAAGGGGGACCAGATGCTGTTTGGGATGAAGACTTCCTTATAGAAGACTTACCGAAAGATATAGAAAGTTTAACAATAAACGTCTATTGTAAGGGTAGAATGAAAGATTCTCTAATGTTTAGCGTTCACGAAAATCTATATAATTTAACATCAGTCGCTAAGCATGATTGGTACGACTCGTGTGATTGCGGTTCCATAAGACTTATTCTCACTTATCTCCAAGAAACTATTATGCCCTCAAAGGAATATAGCGCTATTAAGCAAATTATTTTGGAGTTTGAAAATGTGAAAATTCTCTCCGAACTAATGCAATCCGATACGGAACGAAAATCTTTTGCCAACGCCATTCTACAAGTTTTTAGGCAGGAGAAAAAGGAGGAGAAACTCTTAGAATACTTTACGAGCGATGTCATAAAGGCAGAACAGTACGTCACAACACTGTTCAGGGCCGATTCCATGGCAACGACGCTCATGTGTCAATATATGAAAATGACTGCCATGCAATTTGTAAAATCAGCCTTGACCAATACAATTGAAAAGGCCACTGACGGAAAAACCGACCAAGTCGAACTGTTAAAAGAGACTCTTAACTCTATTTTTCAGACGGTTGAAAAGTGTCCTCCTGTTATCAGGTTTATTTGCTATAAAATGAGGCATAAAGCTGGTCAAAAATGGCCCGAAGACGATCGAGTTCGAACTTGTGTAGTTACAGCTTTTATTTTTTTAAGATTACTATGCCCCGCCCTTCATAATCCGAAGGCGTTCAATCTGGTCACAGAAGCACCTCATGCAGAAGCTAGGAATACTTTACTAGCCGTAACGAAGAGCCTACAAAAGTTATCTAATCTCAGTCAAAATGTTGATTCTCTACCGTTCGGAGCATCGTTCGTAAGAAACAATCAGGAAACTATGAAGCAGTTGGCTGAGGCCATTTGTGTTAAGGAATTAGACAGGGAAAATGACAGAAACGTGTCAATAGACGTCGCCAGAAATCTAGCCAAAATACATCAATGTTGTTCCGCCAGATATGAACAATTAAAGGAGATGTCAAAAAATTCGGACGAGGTGAAAAAAATACTGATTGTAGTCGATATGCTGAATAAGCATAAGGATCATTATATAAATGAATGTAATAATTCTTATGCCCGGTGAATTTTTGTTTGTTTTTGCTATGCAGCCGTGTGCCATTCAAAGAACAAAAAGTATTTTTCTGGATTTTTTATTATTCTTTGTCATTGTGATTCTTTTATTTTCTTTTTTTCATGTTTTTTCCTCTTTATTTGTGAAATTTAATACAGTAAGCATTCTTACTGATGGACTTATTTTCTTTCGTTCATTCCTCTTACCCAGCTCTTTCTGTCTGTCTGTCTGGCGGCTCTCTACCTCTCGCACAGACAGCACTACAGCTCTTTTATCAATTACATACTGGTACTCAACTATTAGTTAGTAAAGGCAGGCAAATACTCATTTCCTTCCCTTTACTCTTGCTAAGGTTGAAATGAGAAAAATTGACATTGAATTAGCCATCATCGTCAGTCTTTCAATGAACTGAATGGCTAAAAGATCTTGTTCGGTCTATATTTTCCCATTCTCAGAACTAAGCAAAGAGTAACTTGATACATGTATGCGTGTATGTACTTATATTACGTGTGTATGTGTGGGTGTGTATTTAGTTGTTTCGATTATTCGGTAGATGGCGCCACAAGTTTTGAAAATAAAAAACCAACTGTATAATGTTATCCGAAAACGTGAGGGAGAAAGGCACTTAACAAGACACCCTATTGGGCTTGTTTTTAGGCTAAAAATGGAAATAAAAAATTTTCATATTGATTTAATCTGCAATTTATTCGTGGCCTTCGAATAAACAATAGTATTGGAGGAAATAGGACGGATAAATTAATCAGCGATCAAATAAAAAGGAAGGCGTTCAATTCTTGTCCGATATTAGAGAATAAAAAGAGATAAAGGGCAGGAAAATGGGTTAAGGGATGTTATGAAAGAGAGAAAAGAATAAAAGAGGATGTCAGGGAAGGAGGGAGAGAGAAAGAGAGACATATAGATATATGGATATATAGAAATGGAAAACGATACAATAAAATGAATAGAATATAAGGAAAAAAAGGAAGCATATATACAGAAGTAATATTTATTACAATGAGATATACATTTGGACGTTGTATTGTCTATAACATGAAAAGTGTTCAACATATTCAAAAACAAAAAAATTCAGATGCATGAACGATCAGCGCTAATGGAGCTTCTCGTATAAATCATTGGAATTTAAGTAAATGGGAAATAGACATAGACAAGCCTAGAGTAAATGTCTTGTTGTACTGTACATAGTATAATAGTATATAACATGTATATATATATATATAAATTTATATATACTGTATATGTATAAATTTTATATATACAGTATATACTGTATAATTATTGCAGTTGGCAGTAAAATATTTCGTCCTATATATGAGCAGCAGCAACATTAGCACCACACTTATTTGATAGTTTTTAGACGAACCATTCTTTAACATCTTTCTTACTTTTTGTGGCTGTTGGTGCGACTACAACTTGAGCATTTGGAGCAGTGCTTAGAACTGCTGTCTCTGTCGGCGGAGGTTTTGTGGCCGCTTGTTGGTAGGCTATATAATTTTTACTTTCATCGACTTTATATGAACCGTCGTCTCTCGCTCGGTACTTGTAAAGTACATAAGTAACGATGAGCAAAAGAACCAAGACACCGCATGCTACTCCTATAATTAGTCCGAGATTTAAAGAAAACTTCCCCGTTGATATCTCATTAGGCGGAGGTTCGGATGCTGGGTTAACAGAAACTGTAGTTTTGCGATTAAAAGGTTCATCATCTGTCGGTTCAACTGATAATATAGATGGTTCGTCTGAAGTGCGTGAATTTGTTGCCAAGTCAATGCCTTCCTTAGTTGTTGTACTCTTCCTGACCGGTGATACAGTCTTTGAGGTTGTTCTTGTTCTCTTTGTCGTCGGCACTGTAGAGTATACTTTTCCTATTGTTGTTCTTTTAGATACCGGCATTGAGGTTGAACTAACGGTTGCTGTCGTTGTGTATTTTGGTCGGTTAGTCGACTTTATAGAGGCGCTGCCCTCGTAATCCTCATCATCCGTTTCAATTGTTTCTGTAAGCGTTTTTGGCGTCGAAACTGGTCTGCTACTTGGCAAATGAGGAATAATAAAGGAAAAATGTAAAATAAATGCAACGTTGCTTTTATCTATAATGCAATCTTCTCTTTTTCATCTTACCTGCTAGGAATGACGACCTTGGTAATCGGTTTAGGGCGGAAGACGGGCGTTATAAGGGCGTCTCTGGGAGTGGGCGTAACATTCGAACAGTCGTCCTCATCATCGCTTTGACAGCCAGAACCAGCGCCAGCCCCGGATGTAATTAGTTCTTCGGAGGGACTAGAGCCGGACTGCAAAATAATTGCTTATATTACGATTGCCATCAGCATTAATATAAACACTGCAATAATATTAACAGCAGCATCAGATATGAATATAATTACACCGAGGACTTATTGCTACGATTATTAGAAATTTTTCTCGTCAATTTACTTCTACAATATGTTGTCGATAGACGGAGCAATAGGCAGAGACAAGCGATTGAGGCCTACTCCTTAAAAATAGAAGGAGGAGCAAAAAGTGAGGCTAACAAATGCGTACAACTGCAAAAATCGATATATTAAGTGCAGGTTATGGAATACGATTGACACTAATTATGTCTTGGAACAAATTCTCCCGCACGTAATTAGCTTTGCACCGTGTCTCCATTCAACTTATTGATCAAAAGTATCGCACAAGGGAGGAGATAGTACATATACCTGATAAATCAGGATAGGTTCCATTAAAGGAAACGCTAGAGGGCACCAAAAAGCAACGGCATGCAATTACTGATTAACATGGAGATGAGAAGATAGAGACGATTTTCTAATTGATAGTAAGCGATTAAAGATTTAACATCCTATATTTCTGTCAACCGTATTGGATTTATGCGGTAGTTCTTTCATTATGCAACTGCAAAATTATATACCCAACCTTAAGCTTATTGGGCCATAACTCTCGCAACAGAACTACAGAGGGCGCACAGTTATTATACTTAATTCCACCCCCTTTCTCCTCTCTTTCTAAGACGTATTAAAGAATGACAGATGAGTTACCACACGAGAACCTATACCTATATCGATTACAAAACTGTAAACTGATAGCACATATACATATTAGTATATAATTCTACATATAAGCATCTATATCGGCTAAGCTAAAATAGGTGGCGCGCAAATAAACTAACATATTCTCTGTTCAATTCATCAATTAAATTAAGAATATAAGCCCGAACTGGCTTTTAATTGATTAAGGGGTCGAAAGAGCAAACGAAAACATTCGCTTTACAAACAAGAATAAACAAGACAACCGACATTTCTCCATACAAAAGCAGGATCGAAGGAGAATGAGAAAACGATAGAGAGAGAAAACAAGGGTGAGAGGAGGATATTCATGACCAATAGGTGGCACTCGTCTTTAAACGATGCTATGTTACTCACGGAAAATAATAAGCAAGGAGATTGTTTCAATAGTAGAATATAGAAAATTATGAGATAGGATGAAAAGATATTCATAATTCGTTCATAATTTTCTCCTTCCGTAAGGCTACGAGTCAATCTTTTTATCCAAGGAGCGTTACTCGAGTGACGGCAGGCAAAGTGACGCTTTTTTTTCTAAATGCAACGCCACCAAGTGGTGAAGATTGGTATTGCTTGGCCTAATGCATATGGCTTTTTCGATTTTAGCATTTAATGTCACGAAAGGGTCGGATTTCCAGTTTTTCTAGATTTGTCCTTGAAAAGCAAAAAAAGGTAGCCAAGGGAAAAAACGTGCATAAAAAAATTGGAGCAACGTTGGCTGACGAAGGAGTAATTCATAGTTCCCAAAAAAAGACGATCTGTACGTGGAGAGGGAGTGAAACAATCCATATTCTCGGCGTGAAACGGATTTTCTATTTCACGCCTGGAAAATTCAGTGGCAAACAAATTTCTTTCTTTGTACTTAAAAAGTGACGCAGCTCTTTTTGGGTCGGGCGTAAAACAAAGTCCAATTATTGAAATCAATAAATAAATAATTGAACATAATTCCATAAGTTCCCAATGTGTCTTCTAGTTTGTCGAAGAACGTGCGTAAGTGTTTGTAGTTGCTATTACCACTTTGCCCTTTTCATTTCATCTCTAATACTGTTTGTAAATAATGAATGAGGATACCTACAACCTATAACATGAAATATTTAAAAAGCCTTCAAGTTTTAAACTCTCAATAGACTGGCTAATAATGCTCGCAATAGTCATTCAACAGCCACCCCTCCCTGAAAAGTGGAAAATATGATGCAAATTTTCCGCCCATTCAACACGACAAACCGCAAACGTGACAAGCACGGATAAATAGTTCGAAAATTGACCGTATCAACGGAATACATACATACGCCTACTGAACTGGGCCAAACTATATTTAAAGTATGAGAAATGAAATAAAGATTTTTTCCAATTCCCTTTACACAAACATGACAAACGCCAAACGGAAATTAGGATATAAAACATGGCAATAGGTGGCCCTAGTAGCATTGCCTACAGTATAATCGATTGACGAGAAAATTTTTTTTTCAAAGTAATCAATAAGGATCTACTCACCTTGACTTTGCCGGTGCTTTATACATAATATATATATGAAAAAGAGAGAAAAAAAAAACAATTAACTAGAATACTTTAATTATCATTAATACAAAAGGTTCAATTCTTCGAAAGTGTACCTTGTTAAAGGAGATTTGTACTCTGTAACATTGCCGTGTATTTTAATTTTGTTGCTCCCATCTTTCGCAAGCGAAAATATATGGACTTTGTTAATAACTAGACCTATTTTGGTGAAAAACAATAACTCGTTAATATTAAAACGTAACGTGGGGTGCATATGACTGCTAACCGGATAAAATCCCCGTAAATAATTGATTTTTGGCCTCCATTGCGCCGGTTCCGATCAGAACTCTTTTGGCCCCTTTGAAGTGCCTACTGCTGGAATCTGTTGCAAAAAAAATGAATATAATTTAATCATATATCCAAATATACTATCATTTCTGTTATTAGAGTATAGATGGCGACAGGTGACAATAACGTTCGAAAAAGGTAAAAATTTTGGTGCTGAACGCCATCTATAGGGTATTTGTATCACAATTCGTTTGTCAAAATTGATTTGTTGATTAGTTAATTATACGGAGTTATTGACAGGAAAAATTGAAAACAAACAAGTTAAACAAAAAAAAATTCGAAAAAATAGAATATTTCTTTTAAAAAGAAAATGAAAGATATGTAAGGAAAAGGTTTTAGTAATTACTTGATTTTGATTGGTTGGCAAACTTTTTGAAATTATTTGGTATGATTTAGTACCAGTGAATTGGTGTGAAAAGTTAGTTTGGGTTATGCAAATCAGCCCCGCTTAAGCAAATATTATGATTTGAAGAGAATCTTAGTTGTTTGTACAACTAGTACTCTTTTACAAACTTTTCTATATGTAATAAATATAGAATACACCGTTAAAATGTTCCAAACAGGTGAGAGTATTTTTTTTGTATCCTTTACCTGAATAATTTTCGATATAATCCTCTCCAAGTAATTCTTTTAATAAAGAGGCTGCGTATTTTACAGAAGCATATAATAGAAAAGAAAAAGAAAGGCAAAAAAAACGGAAGAGAGATAAAATAAAGAAATAACAAAAAAATGAATAAATTAAAAAGAGACAATTAATTCCGAGAAATCCATAAAAACAGGAAGTAGGCCGGTTATTTTGTATGAAAAAAAGAAGAACCAATAGGCTTTATATATATTATCATTCAAAAGAGATGAGATCGGTCAGGAAATGAGATATATAATGAGGCTCGTGGTTATATAAAAGGAAGAAAGGACGTTTGAAGGCTGCCTATTCCTTTTTGCCTTCTATCAGCATTAAAGCCGTATCTCCATAGATATGGACAGTATTATATTTATATATATATACTGTATATATACAGTAAATATATATAAAATACAGTATGTGTATTTATAGTGTATATATAAAATCTATCATCTCTTTTTACGTTGAAAGGGAGGAGAGCAAAAGCATAGGCTTAGGTAAAAAGAGAAGAGAAGAGGGAACGTGTGTGGAAATATACCATTAGGTGATGGAAATGTGGGTGGGAGGATTTGTATCAGATATTATATAATACATTAATGGCTTAATGTCCAATAATATTTGGTCGGCTATATTTTCATGCTACTTTTAGTAGGATAGGAGTTGTTTACCCTCCCTATGTAACCTAAGTGGCACCTCATTAATATTCCCCATTTCCTGAAGATATAAATTTAGACCAAACTTCTTTTTCATATCTTTTTTAATGACTTTACCTCTTTTCTTGGTTATCTCAATATTCTCATTCCTATCTACTTGAAGCCATGCCTTCTGGGCTTCACGCCGAAATCTGACAACATGATATTGACCATCAGAAACGTGCGAAAGAAGATATAAACGAGATGCCGGTTTCTCTCCTCCAAGATTAAAAGATGCCAAAATGTTTCCCTGAGTCTGAAAATGAAAGGATATAATTGATATGCATTGAAATATACAGGGTATAGTATGTGAAATGGGATACAGATGGCGTTTCTCCATTCCGATAGATAAGTATTATAGTTTTAGTAGGTTGAAAACTTACTAGTTCTATTTTTATAAAGAAATTATGATGAGAACTTTGCAATTTTATAATGTCGCCACTTAAATCTGTAGTTTTGATGCCGAACGAAATTGTATCATTTAGGTTTGAGGCTGGATGCTCAAGGTCGATATCGTAAACCATAAAGCTAGATTCAGAATCGGCCTTGGTCTCTTCATTGTGAAAGGCATAGGAAATTGCATCTGGATGAAAAAGAAACGATATCACGTTCACGGTCAAACCCCGTCCGACGGATAGCACTAATTCGGCACTCTCGGGAGGATGGGCAAGTAAGAAACAGAAGACATTATCGATTATTACGATTATTTCTTTCTGTTGTTATTGTAAGGCTTGCACCCACCTCACCTCATTTCAGACTAATGAATAATTAAGAATTTAATCCAACAACTTACGTTGATCGCATTGATTACCAACGAAAGAAGTCATTTCACAATCGCAACTAACTCTCGTAGGATGGAGTATGCATACACCTTGATTTTTGCACGTAGAATCGCCGCATTTATTTTCGGGAGCTGAGAAAAGAGTCAAACTAGTAATAAAAGAATATGAAATTTTTTTTTTACTTTTTTTTTCCATCTATTAATAAAGGAGAGTAAAAGTGAATTGTTAGTGATATTCTATAGGAATTTTCTTCCTTCTACTACTTTGATCCGGCTTAATGATGGAAATTCAAGTCTTACCAGAGCATCCGCTCTCAACGTTGCCATGCACATTAACGTCTTTCAGCGTGAGAATATTTGCGTAAGGCTTCAAATTGAAGATTCCGTTGAGATTCGCCAAACAACCCTGATAGCCCCTTCTCGATTTAACGTTTTTCGATGGTAAATCCCTGAAGACCAAATAACGTCTTGTTCTTTATCAGACAGAATTTAACACCAAGTCTAGAAACTATTCTCTATTGCATTAAGCATACACCGTAAAATATCTATTACGTATAACATTTCAAGAAGTTAACTAGTATTTTGTATACACAATGTTCTCTTCATTAATTGAATTCCTTTAAGAGCAACTGCTCGTTATTTTACTAGAAATCTAATTATGACACTTGTACGACGCCTATCTGTTCTATTTATCAGCTTACCGCAAATCCTCCACTCCGCCGACCCATACTTTACCGCTCGTCTTGAATTTTGTATTCTCGTTCATTCCCTTTATTGCGTACTTTTCGTCCACTCGTAGGATAAGCGATAACTTTACACCTTCGGATTTGTATATAGCTATTTGGACACTGTGCCACTTATTATCATCGACTCTCATCGGATTTCTTAAGCTAGAGTGGTTTCCTTCAAAATTATAGACTAATTCCAGTCTAGAATTATGAATTTCAGCCATTAAATAATTTTTCGAATTGGCTCCGGGCATATACAAAACAACTCCTTCCGATTGAGTTGTTCGAAGTTTTAATGATATACCAAATGGTCCGTCTACCCTACTACCGTCAATGACGAAGTAATCTTCTCTACTTGGAAAATTAAAGGCGTAATCCTGTCAATCAATATCTTAATGTTATCATAGGATTTAATAATTGTCATTATCATCCGTTCAACTGCTTTTACGTACCGTTGAAATTACAGGATCGATATTTGTTCTGTATGACAAACCGCTGGCAGTTAAATCCCTATTATTATAATACAACTGTTGCATGCCGCCCTTGAACTTTCCAGCGCCAAAATTCAACGATCGAACATTTAAGATGTTCGCATTACGTTTAGTTCGACCTGAGAGAATCAAAAAACCATAAATAATGTATAAGAAAAGGGAGAATAAGTAGGAAAAAGTTTAATTAAAACGAGAAAAATAAATAACAGTAAAAAAATTAAAGGGGGGGAGGGGGAGGAGTAGTTGTTGGGTGGAGGGGGTGGTTCAATAAAGTCATTGATTTACGTGTCAGAGTTCACTTAAAATAAATAATAAATTATACATTTTTCTGAACATAGAAAATCATTAATATCTATATTATCAACCTCTTACATCGAAACTACTTGATAATAACAATAATGCTATTAACATTAAAATAAAAAATCATGCTAATTTATCCTATTGTTTCAGCAATCATTTCTTTATTTGCGGATCAATTACCCAGTTCATATAAGAATAAATAAGAATGGATTATCCACTATTTATAAAAAAAACAATGCTGAAAAAAAAGGCCGAAAAGACCCTGGAAAAGCGTGCGCGCAGTTTTAATTAAAAGAGAAGTAACGCAGGCATTTTTTTTTCAACGAAAGCATTGATCTGTAAATTGATGAATCGGTAATTATTGTCTTAGCAACTGGTGTTTAATGAGCTGAAAAAAAATTGCTGTTCAGCGGACCGTCTAATCGGTTTGTCAATTGTTTGGTAAATGGAGGCGTTTGTAGCCAAAATAGGTAAACTTTATAGGTAAGCTGTATGTTACATCGCTTATTAATCAATACTTCTACATTGATTTAAAAATGACAAAACTATTTGCATTATCTCAACTCTGTATCTATCGATGTTCGCCTCTACTGCAACTTTTTTCAGTTCACTTGATAGATTCGAAAAAAAATATTAACTAAATGCTTGTACGAACTAAATAATAATAAAAATAAAAAAGTTCGACAATCGGCTTACTCTTTTTGATATTAATATCTAATAAGCCGATTCTGTGATCTCGCAAGCTTCAACAAATAGACAATAGGGTTTAAGGGTCATATTTTATAATCAACAACATCGAAATCAACAACAGAAAAACCCTACCGGAAGCGGAAGCCAAACCTCCTCCAAAGTCGTGAAAATCATCTGCAAGAGAATTTTTAGGAATTTGAAGCAATGGAAAAGCAAGAAAGAGGAAGGGGAAAGCTTAGTTTTTCTGGTAGTAATGAAATCGATAAAGAGAGGAATTTTCGCAGCTGTAACCGGCTTACCTCTAACTGTGTTCCTTTCGTCAACGCTTAAGGTGAGGCGGCGAGACGCCCTTTGCACTTTGGCCGTATGCCAATCGTCGTCATTCAAATTCGATCCGACGTAGAGTGTCTTAAGTCAAAGAAAAAGGCAAAAAATGAGAAAATTTGTTCTGGAAACTGTATGAGGAGCGTGATCATTAGATTTACGTTGGCGCCTGTTTAATCAATCGAACGTTTTTGAAGGAAGGTCAAAGCCAACCCCTAGACAATGAGCATATATATGTGAATATATATATATATGGTATATATCTAAATATATATTCGCATACTGTCTATTGTAGTCGTGTTAATAAGAGACGCCCCAAAGCGTCGGCGAAACCTTAGAGGGTATAGGCGGTAGTTTATAGACTCTAAGAGTAAGTCGTAATTGGACGAGGTTTGTTGCTGCTGTTTTTCCACCAATATTCCATAGAGCATTGCAATTTTTTTCTTTAATTCTCTATCTTCTACTCATTACTAGCTCCCTTCCCACACCCTCTCTAATCCTTTTTGTCTATGCTGAAAGTTAAGAATGACGGATAGAGCTTGTGTAAGATTTACTTAATCTCGAATAGAATTACACGTAGACGGCTTTTCTTTTCGCGTCCGCCTTTTTCCCTTTGTTGTCCGGAATAGCCGTATACTGGAATGCGGAGATTGCGGTGGATTATAATAGGCAAGCGTCGAGATATATATACTCTTTGATGCCCCTCCTCTACACTTTTTTGCCGCCTTTGATTACATGGATGGCGAAAGACAGCCTCAGTTCTTATCATCCTCCTCGAATACACTTGTGCCTAAAATATTCCGGAAAAAGCGCGTCTCGCTCGTCGATTTCATTGATCTCATTAATATTTATGCTGTCATTACGATCAACAATGACAACATGTGTATATTTTGTATTCGAAATCACGAGTCAATCGTGCAATGTGCACCTGATTGTTCGATATTGGTCTTCGATTGTTGAGAGGAGTTTCTTCAGTCATGTCGCATGATGTACGTTCCCTCCCCCTCATCTCTTTTCTACATCTGCTCTTTCTTAATTACACGGATAAGTGAAACGTCGCTACACTACTTTTAATTAATTGCACTCGAGTTAATCTAGACCTATAGGCCTAAGGTCTAACGTCCTGTCACGAGCTAATCTCGGAAAAAGTATATATGTAAGTGTTTTCAATCAATGACTAGTTTTAAAGCCAATTTAAGTACTTAACAGTGTAAATGTGATACCAGCTATTAATTATTATAATATTTGCATATATAAATAGAGTAATAAAAGGGATTATTAAACCTTAAGATTTCAATACCAATTTTATGATTCTATTGATATATAATAAATTATTTATATCTTCAAGCTCATTCACTAAGGCGCATATAATATTTGAGTTACAAGTTTATTACACACCGAATACACACATCTGTCTACAGACGTATACCTTCTAAATTCTACATTTTTTAATAAGCCTACTTATATCAAACTGGCTTCTCCACCGCCGATTGCTTTTTTTTTCAATTACGAAAATCTAGTTTTTTTAGCGGTTTTTCTCTGGACGAGTGTCACAATCATAAATATTCATAAATCACTTTTCCAAGCCGCGCTCCACCATCGTTTGCGGTTCGCATTGCTTGATTCTTTTATACATATATATGTATATATAGATATATATTTAATATATATCTATATACATATATTTATATCTAGCCTTGATTATATTCCGATTTAATGACAGAATATATCTAAAAAAAAAAGAGAGAGAGAGACTAGGCCTATTGAATGTCAACAATTGCCTTGTATTATTTCATAGTTTGCTACTGTTTTACTGCTAGAGTTACATTTACTCATATTCTATTCAATATTTTTACAACAAACATATTTCTTTTCATACTTGAACACATCAGTCGGGATTTTGAATTACTTCATTTAGCTGGTACCTTATAAGCTTGATGCCTTTCTATTTTACGGTTCTATTTCGTTCTTGGAATATAAATTTTATGGAGAGAAAGGAACGAAGGGAGAATTACGAGTAATTTGTTTAATTAGATTTAAAAGAAAATTAAAGGCAATAATCAATGAAGAACTCTTCTCGTGAATTGAATCTTTTGAGAGGCGGATAAACTATTCAGTTTTTCTTATTTTTTTTTGTTTTTCTCTCCTTCCTCCCTATTTTAGGGGAGAAAAGCAAATATTCTCTTTCTAGACATTCTTCCCACTTGGAACAATTGCCAAGTACACTCACCTAATATTTCGCGCATAACACAGGTATCATTCACTAGACCATACTTGTCTTTCGTAAAATTCAAGTCACGTGACCTCTTGCAGAGAGGTCACGCTCCATACGCAAAACTTATTTGCATAAATAGATCAATCTCGGAACAGATAATCAGTTTATCTTCCGTTAACAGTATGATTAATGGATTTAACCTAAAACACAACGAATAGCAAAGGAAAAATATTAATGTTACTGATATAAAAAGACATCGTTAGAGAGATGAAAAAATTCTGTTTGCACTTATGGAGATTGAACACGAAATTTGAGTAAAAGGTATATCCGTGCTTGAATTATTAGAGAAGTAGAAATATATCACACATATATGTATGACAATATATATATATATATGGAACATGGAAACAAAATGATATCAAAATATAGAAATTGTTTATAAAGCTTGTTCTGTATGCAAACTCTCTTCGGGGAGAGTGAAAAGAGCCTAAGGAAAACTGGGGAAAGAAATATACCTTGGGATCTGTCTACAATTTAAAAAGCGAATATTCCTACTTATTTTCGCATGTTTTTGCCTAAGGTATTCTACTATTCTTCTAGAAAGGTGAACGTGTTCGTTATTCCGTTCCTCTTCTCTTTTCACTCCTTTTTACTTCTCCGGACGTTAATTAGCTTCAATGACCTAGCATTAGCATTCTACTTTGACGTTTAACTGTAGTCAACTCAACTAACGGCTATTGTTCTTTACTAAATATCAATCGACATTTGCGTAACAAACATTTATTCGCCGAATCGCCTGTCCGATCAGGCGTCTGGGGCGTCGGCAGCGAAATTCACGATTAAAAAACCGCAATAACTGTTTGAGTAGTTAATTAAAAAGTTATTAAAATTAACACTCACCTTCTTACCAGCTCCCAAGTTTACGGACAATTTAAGAACTCCTTCTTCAAGTTCTAGCAACATCTTATCGGCGCTAGCCGAATCCGTTCGAAAGATTATAGTGTTGCTCTGTTTTGTCTTGAACCTTAAAGATACTTCATCTATTTCTGAATTTTCTACTCCTTCCACAATCCAAAATTTGGTACTGCCGTCGAATAAAAGAATCGAAACGGCTAAAAGGGAATATATAAACATGGTCATTTGGTAACGCCCATCGCCAATAATATAATGAAAAGTCTGCTAAACTACTGCAAAGGATGGGGAACTCAAACGCCACCTGTCGGATGTTTAAAAAATTCCCCCTATTTTTGAATTGATTCCTAGTTATTTTTCTCGGTCCGCTACTTCTAAAAAGGACTCACCAACTGCAACGTTTGCTATCCAAACGAAAGCGAGTTGTTTGTCACTTTGTCATAATTCTTTTTCAAATCATTTGAAAACAAACGCTTTTTTGGTAGTTTGTCACTGTCAGGTGAAGGCCGGAAGGAGCTTTCTAATGTTTTGATAGTGTAACTAATTGCTTATAGTTTTTAACGGAAATTGTTTCAGTTATTAGCCTATAATTGTAGTCAAAAAGACTGACGGTGAATAGTAGACGAAATAGGAAAACGACAGAAATTTTTTTTTATTCTAAAATTTGCTGATTGCTGCGACAGCCGCGCCTGAAAAGGTCTCGGGGATGAGTTTTGGGAATTAGATGGGCTGTCCCTAGTGCGGGAATTTCCACCTTCCGGTAGACGACACACACAGAACGACCGAGTTAAACAAGTTCTAACTTCCCCCGGAAACGGAGATAAACGTCGTCGACAAGCAAAACTAAAGTCTTCGGGGAGCCCAGGTGCATTCAGTCAGACTAACGTCTTTTCACAATTTCCGCTCTTGTCACCGCCCAAGCAAGAGCGTCGTTCGAACGTTGATAACGTGCTTGGCATGTTTTTTTCTCCTTCTCTTATTCCTCTTTACCAACTATTTCTTGTCGAGAAAAATGCCACTATAGATAACTTTAATTGGATTGGGGGGTCAAAGAAAATCAAAAGAGGAGAAGAGGAATTCAGGCCAGTAAGAACGCCTAGGCTAGACGGTCTTGATTACTAAGGGATTAAACGCAGATCCCTTAGATAATAGAAAAAGTACAGTTTGCGGGACGCCACAAAAAAATTATTCGATATAGAATTCCATACTTCAGGCCATTGTCTGTCAGATAAGACGTTTCAGGCAGCAACCAGTCAAACGCGTTTATCATATTAGTGACGCCCAGCAAACGTTAAATGATTGAACAAAGTTAAGTGGCGGCACACTCGTTTTCGTTTTTCCTACAAACTAGTCAGTTGGTTTGTCAATACTACTTTTATCTTACTTCATTGGCTTACGCTCTAACACCAGATGGCGATTGAGCTGAGAGTACTTACGTTTATCGCAGTTTTTTCCTTTGAATGACGTGGCCCGACAATCACAGGTGTAACTGTCCCAGCTTCTTTTACAAATACCACCATTCCAGCACGGGGAAGAAGCACACGAACTGGCAGTGATACTTTCACAGCCTCTCCTAACATCTATAAAGAGTAAAGTAACGTAATAAGAAGATAAATTTACATAAGAAACTAACCGTAAAGTGTTTGTTTTTTCTGACTGTTCCATAAATCAACAACCCTGTCGTTTAACTCAACTCTTCGAATACAACCCTGAAAGCCGAATCCTAATTTTCCGGACCAGAATTCTTTTGGGTAATCAGAACTCTGATTTAAAGCACCTAAATACAAACTACCGGAAGCTAAATTTAATTCTGCACTCTTTCGATCTGAAGAATATCTAATAAATTCGTCTTGGTCCAAGTAAACTTTACCAGTTTCTCCATTATGCTCCAAACGAACGTCATGCCATAATCCATCATTTACCGGTTTCTCGCTGATCTTTGCCTTTATCAATAATAATACGCAATTAAGATTCTACTAAGAGAAGGTTGTTAAATATTTATTCTCTATTTACTTTCAACGTGCCCCCTCCGTAATTAATAATTAGATATAATTGGCTCTCAAAGACCTCGAGACCAAAAAAATCCTTCCTCCCTCGACCCATCACTAATTGACTGCTGTTTTGTACAGTTCGAAACTCCAAGTGTAATTTACTGCCTGGAATTGCCAGCCAAGGTTCTAGAATAACCGAGCTAGACTGGGAGGCGAAGAAAATGGCTTGTGAACAACCCTTAAAGCTAACTCCTCCTTCAATGTGAAAAAGCTGGTTCTCTTTTTTAGCCCATCGTAAAATATCTATTTTCATCGAATCTGCCTGATAGCCGACCTTTTTCAAGCACCCAGTAAAATTCTTAATACTTTTCCCGCTGCCGTCCCAAATAGCGTCATCTCCAGCGCCTCCTAGATAGAGAAGAGAACTTCGAAGGCTGCTAAAGTTTCCAGTTATTGAGGTAGATGGCGTAGTGTGTTCTTTATCGACAGTCACTTTTACCTAGGGAAGAAGGCTAATTACTTACAATTGAATCTGTAAGTAGAAGATGCTTTTAAAAGGAAGAGTGTTTTTTTTTGTATGAGAAAAAATGGGTAAAAAATAACAAGCAAACAATAAAGGAATGGAGCACATGCAAAAAGATTGCCCTGTACGATAATGATGACTCTTATTCCGCATGCTTAGGAACCTTACCTCACAGATAGCTCGATTTATTAGCTGTAACATAATGGTGGATTTCGTGTTACACAATAAAATTGATATTACGCAAGATGAATTTTTTAATATAATTATAGATATATATTAAAGTACACTTATACGCATTTATTCAAATTTCACCTTCAAATTTCAAATATTTTCTTTCAGTGAGTATCACTCGTATACAAACTAACCTGCCTTGTTTTCCGCGCTACAAACACACGATGCCACTTGTTATCGTGGAAGTGGGCGGAAGGGGATGCGCGAATGGATTTTCTTGGAGAGGCCACCAATTTGACGTCGACGATAATTTTACCTCGTCGCAAATATATCGTCAAGTGTTCGTTTTCAGCTCCTGTAGAAGAGCGTGTAAGAAAAAATATAAGATAATTATGTTAGCTGCTACCAATTAGCGAAAGATTTCGTTTCTCTCGTTTTAATTAGTAATATGCTATACGTGGATATTATTTTATTAATAACTTTTGATTTTCTTCTCTTTTTTCGGAGCTTTAGTACATTACTCGTATCTTACCGGTGTAAAGTAGAAGGCCGTTTCCGTTTAGAGTCCTAAAATAGAACGTCACTTGGTCGTTCCAGGAGGAGATGGAGTGCTTCTTGCGTGCAGACAAATCGTAGCTAATAAACTGTCGACCGTCGAAGGTCGCTTCCAGTTTCTCGTCCAGTTGCTCTACAAAGCCCACAAGTAAGAAAAAGGGTAAAGCTAAATTGGCGAAAGGAAAGTGGATTGGTCAAGATTTTTATCGCCTTGGGAGCAATTCTACGGTCTTTGTTATGTGAAAAGCGCTTTGCATTGATCACGTGGACAATATGTCCTGAAGGTTTCTTTATAAGATTACACAAATTAGAGCACATTTTTTGCTTTTGTGTTACCTGGCAGAATTTCACTTATGTTTAATTGCGTAAGTACTTTGATATCTCCCCTTACAAATGCTTACATATTTAATGTAATTTGAAGAAATTCTAACAAAACAGGTGAAAATTGTCGACTTTATTATATTAGCTACTTAAATTAAGCAATTAAAGACTGATGTGCTTATTATACAAGCTACTTTGAGAATTTTTAATGGAATTGTTTGCTCAAAGGCAAAGTAATTTTAATGATTTGTTTAATTATTGATCTATCTTTTTATGTCTCTTGACCATTTTACAATTTGGTTCCGTGAAATAAAACTCCAAGTGCTTTCAAATCCCGCCTACTACCGACAGCCTTTGTCTTCCCATGCCTCCTTTCTCTTCTGTTTGTTCTATTCTTATTCGGTGTTCATCTCTATAGGCTGCCATTGTTGATGGAGAAAAGACTTTTTAAATGAAGAAAAGGTAGAGCGAGTGAGAAAGAAATTCTATTTAAAAACATACACGGGTGTAGATTGGCTGGTGAAATAATAGAGAAGGAGAAAGAATACAAAAGAAACAAAAACAGCTCTTGGCAGGCATCAATTTTCTACAATTTTTTCTACCAGATTATGAACAATGATGGATTTTCACCAAATGTCTCCTCACCATCCATAAAGAAAGGCGCAAATTAAACGACAAATGGTAGAAATTCGCAAAGAAGCTGACGACAAACGAATAACAAACAACCTCGTGTCAAGAATTTGTGTATTTCCAAACCAATCCGATATATATTGGGGTTAGACTATGAAGGAAACTGTATAGGGCCAATCAATGCCTTTCGGTCGATGTATAGAATCGATTCTGTAATAGTAGGAGCGTTAAAGAGCTCGGGGAAAAGACGGTTTGGTAAAAAAAAAAAGGGGGGCCGTTCGATTTGGACGCCCAGTTGCGTGTTGGGGGTGGCGTTAATTGGTATAGTGGGACAAGGCGATTCGAGTCACGAATTTGACTGAGAAGCACCTGCTGGATGTTAAACTGACACTCTGACACTTTTCATCCGAATTATTCGTCATTTTGTATCGATCTAATGAAGCTAAGTACATTGGAAGGAGGGTGGACTCCCTTTAGATTGTAAATCCTATTATTTATGGTAAGGAAAGATACTTGGGAATATGAAACAGTTGGTTGGACGTACATAAAAATTGATAGATGCCAGAAAGTGTTTTTTGAGTAGAGGAGGTTGCAAATGCTCTTGATAATTCCCCTAATCCCTTTACAAGTTTGCCTATTAATCGCACAACGTTGCTTTGTTGCGAAGAGGCTAATACAGTGTATAAATATATTATGTACGTTTAAATTAGCCCTCTTGACACCTCTCGCTTTCTCGCTTAAATAGACAACTCAATTGGATTATCGCTTCTCACTAAGGCACTTGCAAGACTCTTTCAATTCTGTTTCCTACTCGCGAACCAACGTCTCAATATCACCCTTAGCCCCTCCCCAAAGACGCTTATAAGATTTTGTCGAACGATCGAGCTACCGGCAATTAAAAAGAGAACTCTTTGACGCTTAGCGATTGCCCTATTATGCGACTCTATTGTTTAGTCTCAATTGGAAATTTCGAGGGTTCTTCAACCTCAACTAATTGCAACGACTCCTGGCAGAAGATCGAAATTTTGTTGATTTTCGTCTCTCGAAATACAACAAAACTGTACTAGAATCGTCGTTATCGTCCTTTAGTTTCCTTTTTCAATCGATTCTTCTCTTCGACTTTCCTCACGAGGAGCGGAGAAAGAAAAGCTGGTCGGCGTTATTAAGTTACGATACTTGGCCTCACGACCCGTTTGCTCTACGTTAACGTTAATCTTATCAACAAAAAGAAATACTTGGACATTTTTCTCACCACAAATACAACCACAAAATCTTCTTTTCCCCATTAATCCCCCCGCAATTTTGTAGGCCTACCTATTCCTATTCCTTATACGGAAAGTAATCGTGTTAAGCGTCTAGCGATATTATTGGATTTAATGGAGCAGAAAGGAGAGCTGAGAGTTTATATTATCGCCTACCTATTTCGCAAGATTTTCCTGTATATCGAGTTGATTTGCATTCGCAAAGTGATGAATTATCCATTGAATAGCATCTTCCCCCGTTTTTGCAGGGATTGTGTACAAGACAGAAATCTTTCTCATCTTCTTTCGCTGCGTGTTTTCCAGTTATCTTCGGAGCTCGTTTCAATCTGAGATTTAATAAAATGGAAATCGATTTTTGATTAATTAATTCTCTGTCTTACCTGCCACACTGGGAAAAGAATATATTCTTAATAGTTCCTTTTAACTTGTCCGCAAAGAAGGAGGCAATGTTGGCTAATTTGTACAATTTTAATTCGAAGCTGCTCGGTAAGCCACCAAAGTAGACTCTATTGAATTTGGAAGAAGGATGAACTTCAGATGGCGATTCAACTTTCAGCACCTGAATTGATCTATCATCCACTTTGAAAAGAAGATGATTTCGAGCGAAGAGAATATTGATCTTATGAAATCGGTTATCGGTTATCGTACGATCATCTTTAACAGTATACGGAAAGCTAAAAGGAGGGAAAAGAAGGGAAAAATTATGCTTTTATTTAGGGCAATTGGCCACTGGAGGATAATATTCCAAACCTGGTAAATGATTCTAGAAAAATTTTGAAAACAAGTTTGCCATCTTGTATTGTTAATTCGATAAAATCTCTTCCAGAAGTCTGGGTGTACATAAGCAGACCTATCTTCTCTGTAGTCTTAAATTCGAATTCCAACGATCCATTTGAGCATGGATTCCATGTTTGAAATGCTACATAGGCCCCGGTCACGTCCTCAAGAAACAGTGTTCTGGCCTGTGCGATAGCAATAACAAGCGTGAAATGCAGCAAGGAAAGAAAATTCAAGGCCATAATTTAAATGTTGAGAGAATAATCCCCCTAATCCGTCATATGGAGAGAGAAAATTATAAACGAAAGCGCTTCTTCTTGATTGAATTATCCCAATTCTGGACGGGAATGTTCCAAAGTGACATTTATGATTGAATTAGCATTTGATTGCGGTCCTTATCAACTTCTTATCTCGTTTTTATTTAGTGACCGCTTTGACCTGAAGGAGAAATCAATTGATACAACATTACGTTAATTGTAGATTATAATAATAAACGATATAAAAGTATAGGCTTGTACGTATGTGAAAGATGAGACGGTGGAAGGAGATTGATGCGTTTATCGGGCGCGTAATTGACGCTTGATGGGATAAATATAATCTGCGTTTCTTCATCTAAATTATGAAAAAGCTGTCTAATGCCTAGTTATCAATTTATTGCAATAACACACCTTTTACTTATTATTCACCCACTTTACGTAATGAATAAGTAACAGAGTTATTATAAGTTTATACGTAGATAATTAAGTATTTAATAAATTATTAAGTAATAATTAAATTAACTATAGCGTTCGAACAACGGTAAAGCGTTATTTCCGTTTAAGGTAGTATAGATTATGAATACTTCCGATACAACAAGACAAATGTTCGATTTTTTAATCTTGCAACTGACAATTAGTAATTAGGTCTATACAGGGAACATTCGATTTTCTGCCCTTACCAAAGTTCCCTTTGTAAGAATTGGCGTGTAAAAATTTTATCCGCCTAATAATCTATTGATCCCGACGAAATCCAGTAAATTTCCTTCGAAAGAACGAGAACCATAAAGATTTCGCTGCCGCGTCTTTTTTTTTATCTCTACTGTATACTTTCTCACACCCCTTCTTCGTTCCCCCTTCTCTCTCTCTCTCTCTCTCTCACTCTCTCACTCTCTCACTCTCTCTGTCTGCTCGTCTCTGTCTCTCTTCCATCTCTCATTCCTCTTCCGACTATTGATTGTCTCCATTTATCTTATCGCCTTGACTGCATTTAAAATCTATATCCTCCTACTCGTAGCCGTCTCTCTCGTCAGACTCGAGTATCTATAAATATTGCTAGCCCGAGTGTATCTAAACTAAGAAGCGTCACGTGGCTTTAGTATCACTGAGTAGCCCCCGAATTTTTCGATTATTAAACAGAAAATTGATGTACGACTAATCGATGCAAAATTAAGGTGGATCATTAACATTTGCTTGCTCACGCTCAACGGATGTCTTGTTATTTACCACACATTTCGCTTCATTACCCTCCAATACTTGAACAAATATCCATTACTAATTGCTAACCTTCAATTACCCAGACTTGAATAATTAATATCTCTTTATACTACAACACATCATAAATAACGCTGGAATTCGTATCACAGCAGTGGATTACTCAAATTCACGCCCAGGTCAAAAGGTTCAGTCTATATTCTCAGTTAGACGATCATCATTTCTCAGAGATCGTCTATGACGTGCTCAAATAATCCCTTCCCTATCTAATCAAACATTGAAATCCCGATTTTCTCTCGTCTTCATATCCATAATAGTGTCGAGAGAGGACGGTTGCTTTTTGCAGTCTAAAAAGGATTAACTGTGACTGTTACTGTTTATCCGCTTTTCTCGGGGACCAATAGGCCCATCAGCTAACCTTTAAGTAAAATTCCCCAAGTGCTATTCTTTTTGTTTGTTAACCGAAAACTTCAATTGTTATTTCTTTTCCTTCAGTAATACTAATATTTTATTCATCCATTAATTGGGGCCTTCATTAAAGCGTATATTTTTGTTAGTTAGTTTGCGTTTTTATCTGTTATTTTAACACACCTATTTCGTCTTTTACACGCCTATATTCTATTTTTTAATTCGCACTCGAAAGTTCCTTTATTCTACAGTAATTAAATATTAAAAGATTGTGAAAAGAAAAATACACAAATATATCGCTTTTTTGTATTTTGATACTATTAAATAAATGATAACGAAGAAGATCGACGTCCAATTTATCTTATCGTCGTCTCTTAGTATTTAATCGAGTACGTATAAATATTACTAGTTTAATACAAACACAAGGCACTCGAAAGAATATTATATCTAGAGTGATGATTAGCATACACACAAACTACCCAAGGCGACAATATTTTGTACTCACTACAGCGAAAAAAACCGCTATGACTAAATGGAGAGGCGACAATATGGCCATTGTTATTGAAAAGAGGAAAAAAAATCCAAAATGGACAGATACCAGCTGTCATTCTTGAGCTTTCGATTTTATACATAAAAAAAGAATGTCTCTTTTACTAGGCTTATAAATAAATAATAAATAAAATAAATCAAAAACGTTTTACACACATCTAAATTTAATAAACTTATATATTATGTTTATTTAAATATATCAAATATTAAAGTTAGAGATAATTGTATATTTGCTAACTATAGTATGCGAATATGCCAATGTCTTTAGTTGTATATACTGTATAACTACGAACTTATACATCTTTAAAGATGGCTTAAATACGTACACAAATACATAGAATACAATTATACTTGGATACATACAGTATTTTCTAATAAATATATATTTATGTATATTTAAATGAATGTAATTCACCAACTAACATTGTATGCATTTCCTTTTTGTTCTACGGATAGATCTGTAGACTTAGGGTTATAAAAAGGTTTCTACTAATATCTATTATTTATAGCTGGTAGAGTTACATTTAAATATGCTGAACATTCAATATTAATGTGAATACTATAGCGAACAGATATTTTTAAACATTGACTATGCACACACAGACAGTATAAATTTATATATATATATATAAATTTTTACTTCATATAAAAGAAGATATCACTTATTTATTATATGTATATTACATATTCTTTATTCAACAAATTAGATACAGTGGTAAAAAGAGCCCCTTTGCCAAACTATGCTATTATCATCTTTAGACAACTTGATAAATTCAAGAAAGTATAAGAGTGGTCACGTATAACTGGAATATCATCCTCATATTCAAATAGTCCTATCTATGTATATATGTATATGAACGCATATTAGATATAAATATATATTTATATACAAGCATATTCACTTATATAAACAATATAACATATGCAATTAAAGATATAGAGAATTTTTTCCAGAGGATGAATTAAAAGATTATATATAATGTATATATATATATACTGTATATATATCGTTTCTATTTAATTAAAAATATATTCAAATACTCCAGAAATTACATAAAATTCAATTCATATGAATATAATAATATTTATATATTCTGTATTCCATATATGATATGTATACTATATAGCTATGAAATAACTCTAGGCCTACGTCGCAGAAGCAATTTATTAAGCAACAGACGTTTTATATAAGGTAGAAAGACGAGACTATTATCTTATCAATAATTTATAAGCCTATTACTTTATTTTCAAAAATTTGTTATACATACCTCCACCAGCAGAAATATATTCATAAATATATACAAGACAAATATATAAGTGACAGTATATATTTTGTATAGCCACTTGAAAACCGGAAGTAAGAGTGAGACGTTTCTCCAAGTCTATTAGGCTTGTTTGTCTCCGCTGTTTGTAAGTATTTGTCTGGTGAGAAGGAAAGTAATTTTCTAGGCGTTTGCGTTCTAGATGGAGCATCTCATTTCGACACTGGCGTCATCTATTGAGAAGAATATACTTAATAAGCCTCGTTAATCCATATTACGCGAAATATCTTTTTCAGCTTATTTACATGTGGTCATGACAAACGCCATTTGCAGCGTATCTTTTTTTTTAGAACATAGATATTTTCTGTCAACTTTTCACGCCTACTGACAATGCCGAATCCCCCAAGTACCCTACATATTTTCTATATAATTTCCAATTATACCTTTTCAATCCTTTTTAAACGAAAATATGCTAACACCTCATTCTTAAAATAGTAATATAAAGCTGTAAAATAAGTGGATGAACTTCAAGTACTATTGTTCCTTTCCATTCACTGCACCAAATTAGCTGACGTAAATACTTTTCGTCTTTATTGCCTTGTAATTACGAAGAGGATTCTGTAATCTGGGTTCAACTAGTAAGACTCGCTTAAGGTTTTGGTATTGCCAAATCACCGGATCTTGTAGAATCTGAACTAAAAAAGTAAGTAATGGAGTTTTTCTTTTCAATTATACATGCCGGTATTACATTCCCGGACACTGCAATTCTTTATTAGAAATTCTACCAAATATAGACCAATCACTCAAGGTTACTACGTGACAAAAAAAGCGAATTATACCCTTGTTATATTTTTATTCGCTGGTGTTTCTGTCTATATCTGACAATTATACCTTTTAAGCTTCCTCTACAATACAAAAACCTCTAAATGCGAGTAAAAAGAGAAAGAGGTAAAAAAAGAGCGACTTTTTCATTGGGATATTATGTAATTGCTATCTGCTCTCTTATTACTTTTTTTCTTTTTTGTTAAGTCTTTCAATTTCACTTTTTCCTCTTAGAAGTTTGCTTTTTTATGTTCCATTCATGGAAAAATTAATAATTTTTCTTTTCAACTATTTCATTACTTAAGGACATTTCCTTTGCAATGTTCTTTATATGACAAGAACTTCTTCAAAGAACCGTTCGGCTTTGAACAAAACTATGTCCAAATTTATGGACACCGTATTATACCTTACTGTTTTTTTTTTCGGATTGTCGTTTTCTTATCGTCTATATTTATATAGTTTAAAATTATATTCACAGTTTAATCTATGATTTTATAAATTATTAACAAATGGCCGATTATCAGCTACTTAAACGTGGTAAATTAAATTTGAAAAATGATTCGACTTCCAAGTAATATTGATATTTAAATTGAAAAATTCGGTTACATTAATCCTTTATTACCTATTATCGTTCTAGAAAGAAACATAAGCGTAAAAAGAAGAGAAAGAATGATGATTCTGACAAAGATAATGTATTAACTTCAACCGATACGCTGAGACACGGAGGATGGTGGATTATAGACGAATTCGAACAGATTGTTGGCAACGTTGCTTTAGAATTTCATGTCAAGAGTATGTCGTACGCCGAAGCACAAGATAATGGTTTATTTAAACTGGGATATCAAACTGATTCGGGAGAAGAGCCTAAAGAAGAGGGTATCCTTACAGCAATGAAAATTGGCGAAACGAAAATCGCATTAAAATCTGGATTTGGAAAATATTTAGGTTTAGAAAAGTACGTATACGTAGAATTCTATTTCAAGCAATTAAATTGAATGATAGACTATTTACGAAATGTTTAAAGACTGGAAAACTAAAAAAATATTAACATTGTGTCTTATTTCAGAACTGGTATAGTTTCCGCTAGAGCCGACGCAATCGGAAGAAACGAGCAATGGGAACCTGTATTTCAAGAGGGAAAAACCGCTCTAATTGGACCTAATGGCTGTTTTTTAGGAGTCGATGAAGTAGGTACGCTTCAATGTCTTAGCAGATCGGCTGGTGAAGATGAATATTTGTCAATAAGAACAAATAACACTCGTGTTAAAAAATCGAAAAAGGACTTACCTATCGAGGAAATGTCTGCCTCTCTCAAAGACACAGAAGTGAATTATGTGAAAAAGTTTCAAAGTTTTCAAGATCGTAGGCTAAAGATTAACAAGGAAGATACATCAGCTTTAGATCAAGCTAGCGAAAAAGGAAATCTACACGAAGTCCTATTGGACAGAAGAGAAAAAATGAAATCGGATAAGTTTTGTAAATAACCATAAAAATTTCGTAATATGTCTGTTTTTACTAAAAATAATACAACATATATTAGCTGTATATTTAGGTTTAGTGTAAACTATTATATAACTACTATTTACAATATCGTTAACTAACTTGTCAACATACTACATACTATACATGACATCATTTGGACTTTATCTTCTCTTTAGTAATGGATATCTAATAAAGAGTTATAGAGTAAAAATAATATCAAGAATTCCATTTATAGCAAAACTCTTTTCATATTTTTAATAAGTGGATCAAAATAGAGTATCTAGGCGTTCCTGTTGGACATAATACGTACTTATTAAAGTGCGCGTAACCTTCTTTTCAGCAGAATAAAAAAGAATTGTCTTTTGATGAATCTTCGTTAGTCATTACAAAAAGAATTTTTTGTTATTATAGAGATAATTCAAATTAACTAAATTTGCTATAATCTTAAATAGAGATCAAACAGGAATATGATCGATGAAAATCGACTTTTCTTTTTTTAATAGCGAATTACTTTTTGATACTTTAGGGTTGCAATTATTCGTACAATTTTTAATAAACACTTGAAACAATTTAAAGAATTATTACGTTTCGTTCTAATTTAACTATTGTTCTTTGTCACGTTAAACGTGATAGTCTATTGAGCTGCTAGATGCTTATTTTTAGATTGCTGTTCTATTATAAAATATTGTATACATCCTTTTCTCTTCCCGTTTACTCACAAATCTCTTCCTCCCTTTCTCTTTCGCTCTGGCTCTCTCTTTCTCTCTCTCCCGCTCTCTTTGTATCCGTCAACAAAATTAATAATTTAATATATAATAAAAATTCTCATTTGTTTTCTCTGAAGCCAACGAAAAGTTCAGGTTCCTGAAAGATCCTTCAATTAAGGGATGACACCTATGAGAACCGTTACATTTCAGTATATTAGATGTCAGTTTTACGCCGATTAAGAGTATTTAAAGCAGATGGGACTCCTTCATTGGAAATTAAATTGATATTAGAACAAACCTAAAGAGGCCAATCGTTCTCATCACTTAAGTCACGATTGTATCTATAGAATTTTTACACAAGTAATTACATTTATCTCTTATCTAAGTTTACAATCGAAAAGCTATTGAATAGATTTCAATTAGGTAAAAAGGTATATTTTGAGGGAGAAAAACAGGCCACATATTTATTACCCTTTCCCTCTGAATTTGTGCAAATATTTATAATATACTGCGCCACCTATATTACAATTTGATTGTTAAAGAAATTTGAGAAATTAAGTTAACCGACTACAGATAAGAATAGTTCTTTTGCTTATCTGACTGATAATCGAATAAGGAAATAATGGTACATAAACAATTTCAGTAAAAAATATATAAAACTACATATAAAGAGAGAGCAAACAACTCACAAAAGCTTATATAGTATTAGTTCATTTGTTATGCATAACGAAGTTAGAAGAAAAATGACAGTCTCGATATTCCTTTATACTTCAATTAATTTAACAAGACTACTTACTGTTGTGGAGACTAAGCATCTATTTCTCATATAATCTTTTTCTATAACTATGTAAGATCCTCTCTTCAGTAGATATCTAACAAATAAGAGTCTTTACCTACTCCCCTCCTTCATTTATATACAGTTAATGTAAGACAGCCTTAATTATCATATATGATAATAAAAGTAGACTCCATAGAGAAACAGTAACAAATGATGTAAGAGGAATGTAATATTCCATCGGTTACTTACCAGTGAAGAAAGTAACCTTCTAATCACCATTTCTTAAGTTTTTGTTTAAAAATTTGTATTATACAAAAGAAATTCCATATAAATAGAAGAAAAAGCTACATCTCTTCGTCACTTTTTCAATCAATTTTTTCAGTAATGGAATGAAAGTAGAATAAAAAGTTAGTAAAAAAAAAAAAGAAACAAAACAATAGAAAAAATAAAACAGTTTTGAACAAAAAATTACAAATACGTTATTAACTTTTTGTATAGTTTTTTTACGTTATAATCACAAGATATCCAATTTTTTTCGTTTTTTACAATGTTTATTATAATAAATCAATTTTTCATTATTATTTTAGATTTTCTTTCTCCTCTTTTCTTCTCTCTATCTTTATTTTTTGATTTCTTAATTTTTTTCAATTAGCAAAATAAGGAAATTAATATTTTAGTTGTTTTCCTGCTCTTTTTTTTAATTAGTGTTACTAAAAAGAAATTATAAATTGTGATCATTCATTCAATCATTCCCTCTCTCTCTCTCTCTCCCATTCAGGACACTACCCTATATCCCCCTCCCCTTGCATACCTCTCCCTCTCATTCAAAATTCTTGTCATTATTATGTATCTGTTTTAGCATTCTCCTGTATAAGATTTCTAACGAGTGGTTCCAGTTTGTTCCATGCAGAGGCCAACTGAAAATAAATATATACTTTGCTTAACTATGTATTTGATAATATTCTTTATTTATAATATGAGAATAGTAATTACCTCGCTATATGCTCTTATTTCACATTTAACAAGAGATTTTACAACTGTATAAAGATAACTCAAGAAAACGTGAACCAATTGAGTTTCCCTTTTTATACAATGCAAAGCGAAAAAACTTCGATTTTCCAGGTTTGCGATAGCTTCCTCTTGCTCTAATATACGACTTTCAAAATTACCACTTCTATCCTCTACTATTCGACCATTCGTTGACCCACTATTCTTTCTCTTCTTATACTGACTTAATTTACTCAGAGCCCTCTGGTGGTCCTGAATGACGCCCTTCTCGTGACGATCGCATAGGTCTCTGTACCCATAGAGGACATCAAGAAGTAAGGATATATTTTCGAGCACTTCCTCGTCTTCCTCTTTCGCCTGAAACGAGGGAAATGAAAAACTTTCAGGAAGCTTACAATATAAAGCTTTACTTGACTTCCGGAGACTTGAGCAACCGTACAAAATTCTGCAGCTATTTTTTGAAATCCAGGCTTCAAGAATTTCCAAATTTTTGATTCACCTGTCGACCAGTTACTGACCGGCGTAGTTATCGTACCGATAGCTCTGTGCAATTTTCAACAATATGAATAAATAGATAATGGGAAAGAATATTTACGTTAACTCTTTATTCATTTGAAACATATCTCTTGCGTAGGAGGAAGACCTGTAAACTTGTCTTTCAGCAATTTCTTTAAGTCGACAGCAGGCAATTTCTAACTGACGAGCAAACTCCCTACTAGACATAAATTGAAGATTAGCATCTTCAGTGACTAAATTTCTCACTAAAGTCGCATTTTTATCAGTCATAAATTCGTCAGGTAATCCTTTGAAGTGCTCTTTCATTTTGTGACAAGTATCCTGCGATAAATGTTCAAGTTATATTCATATTTATAGTTTAAATTACATTAATACATCCTGATACAAAATATAAATAATAAATAAGATGGTAAGCAACAATAATCAACTATCACAAGTCAAATCTTCTATACTAACCGTTCCGGTAAATGTAAGAAAATACTTTATGACATCATCTTGCCCCACAACAGGATGTCGAACACAGATAGTTAAAAATCTTGCTAACCATTTACGTCGACATTCAATAAATTCTCTGCTAGCTATTTACAAGAAACAACAATAGTGATTTTAATCAGTTAAATGTTTTTATTGATTTATTTATGACAGTTGTTCTAATATTATAAAATACATCATACTAACCACCTAAAAGTTTTTTAGGAGGCAATCTTGCTATAATTCTATAAGGATATCTCTGCAGTAATAGTTCATGAAGGGCTAGAAAGTCGTTATACCTTCTTTCAACAGCTTTATTATATTTCTGTTTGATATTTTTATTTATTTAACTTTCGTTAAACTGGCAAAAAAAAAGGAAAATAATTAATTAATACTCACATTGCTATAAACTTCGTACTCAACGTGTTTTAATATAATTCCTTTCTTCTCTGGAACTAATTTTACTGTAACCTGATCAATTTGTTCCAACTCTGTTATTGAATAGTTTAAATCACTTGAGAATTTCTCTCGTTTTATTTTGGCTAAGTCTTTTTGCAGTTCTTTCATATCGCCCATAGATGGAATTGGTAGTTCTATAAGACATAAATAGGCTTTAGTATATATGTATCAGCATACTTTGAACAAGTAGCCTAACTCTAAATTAAAGAGAAATAAAAATAGAGAAAAGGATAGGTAAAATTAATTTGGTTTAGTTGATATCATATTGGTTTTAAATGAAATTGATAAAACTCTCTCGCTTTATTTCGCTTATACCTCCCACCATACCGCCCTCTCTCTCTCTTTCATGCTGGCTTCAAAGTGCCATTGTTTATAACTCTGCTTGAACGCAAAAACTTACATACCTTGTCCCTGATAACTCTCAAGAATTTTTTCGTTAAATGATTTACCAGCCTGAGCAAGGGATATATAAGCGAGAGCTTTATATAAACCATTTCTGGATATCTTTTCATGTTTCGTTTCCAAACTCTCCCAAATCTAGGTTTAAAAGTTATACAGTTATCAAATTATTGTTTTTATACTGTAATATTATAATTTTTATCTGACCTGAGTTAAGACCGGTCTAGACAGTCCAGACTTTGCACAAAATTTAACGAATGTCTCATAATCGACGAAATCGTCGTATGTTGACAACAATGAATGTATCTCTCGATAATATGCAGGTATCGACCCTAAATTAAAGTTACATGTTTAAAATAACTTTTATAAATAGTCTTTGCATTTTCGTAACGTGACAATAACATTTAATGATAAAAAAACTAAAACTTACGTACCAAACTTTAAATCGTTTGCCATTTGGGTCAGGGGCGTTTGATCACGTGACACTTGACGACAGAGAACCCTTAGGCTTTTTATCGTAAAGTTAATTATTTATGATTAATGTTTATAATTAATAAAAGCAATAAAAAATTATTTTTAATTAATATTTTTTAACAAATACTTCTTTAATTATTTTTTTCTACGATAATATGCGTTTTATTTGAAATCGCTCAATGGAACATTTAGCAGACGAGAAGTAAATAAAAATAACGGAAGCAACTTTACTTTTAGTTTCTCTACTATCACTTTTACGTCTTGTATTCCTTGGTAAAATATAGATTATACTACATATAAAATATAATCCAAATATTAATATCAGTTATTGTTTTATATAAGTTTAAAACTTTTTAAATATCCCCTTTTCAGTTGTAGACGATCCTGACTTAAGGAATAACTACTGTCATAAATAGATATTGCGCAATATCTGGTAAAAATGTATAATAAAGTCGATTCAGTATTTTTTAGATCTATTTTTTACAAGCTTAATCGTAAAGGAAAACAGCTTTAGCAATATTATCGACTGTAGATGGCCCATAAACAATATGATATAGAAAAGACAACTTTCCATAAGACCTATTTATCGACTTTGTTCTTTTTTAGATAAAGCTGTGAAAGCCTTAAAAGAGTTGTTATATTAAAAAAAAGACTATTGAAATCAATAAATGGAGGGAAGAGAAAAGAGCACACAATAAGCATTAGAGAGGAAAAATATAATTGTCTCCAAAGGTTAAGAGTAATTAAGGAAGGTATTATAAGGATATCTTTAAGAATTTTCACTATTTTTTTGAAAGAGAAATGATGGGATAATATTCCTACTGCGTTATTTTCATTTATTGCAAATTTAAGAAATCTTATAAAATCTTCCCATTAATTTTATTCATATTACCACATACGTCAGTTTGTTAAGAGGTATTGATCGCTCATATTGACCACTTTTTAGGCAGTATTTCATACAAATATATATATATATATATTTATAAATTTATATATATGATATTATTATTTATTAATATATTCAAATATATTAATATAACGCTCTCATTGGCTCATTTTGGAGGTAACAAAGTAGAAATCTATTACCAGTTATCAGCAAAGATAAAGATCTTCATTTCATATCTTTCAATAGAAAAGATCATTTTAAGTAACGTTTATTTACTTTCAAAAGAAAACATATATTTAATATTGTGTTTATATAGATTTAACTTGTTGAAATGAAAATATACAATGAACATTATAGGAAGCCTTTTTCACAAACTATACAAAATATTAATATACGGTTCATAGGAGAAAATAGTCTTCCTAACAAGAACAATTTCATCGACCGTTAATTTTCTTTTAGCTCCGTAGAAACTAGCAATCATTGGGTTCATCGGAGAGGCCTATTTTTATGATATATATATATATATATATATATATATATAAATTTATATATAGATTTATAAATAGTAATATAAGCAAATACATAAATTATTAAGTTAAAGAATGATAAATACTTACAATAAGTTGGTGATATAGTACCATCTTTATAGGGACTACATGGGGGCGTTTTTCGCCGTCTTTTTATTTCTGCTACACTTGGAGATGAAGATACGAAAGGACTTTTACTAGAATTGTGACGAGTCCACTTGTTTTGCTCAGATAAAAAATTTGCCATTGTGTAACCAGGACACTAAAAAGAGCAAAATATTAAATTATTAAATGGCATCCATTATGGAATTTAAGCACTAAACATGTATAATTTCCGGTTCTTCTGTCAATTTAATAGTAATAGCGAACTAACCCTAGTTTGAAACAACCTTTTGCCACACTTAAACTTTCTTCCCTTTCCGATAAGTCTGGCTAAGCAGCTTTTAGCATTTAAAACGTGATCTAAATCCGAATCGGGCGCATTCTGTTCAACGTTTGTTCTTCTGGACGAAGTATTTTCCCACCAAGGAATGACGCCACATGTTGTTCCACCTTCGTGAAAAAAGTCCGAATGTTCATCATCAGCCTCACGACCTTCATCGTTGGAACAACTAAAAGTAGCGTCACTATCGCCTTCACTGTTTGATATTGAGGTTGAACTTTCTCTAGACATTTGATGGAGGAAGCGACTAAGCCTATTCTCTCCCATTTCTTCAACATCTAAAGATTCACTATTATTTTCTCTATAGCCCCTTTTCCTTTTACCCGGTTGAATTGATATATGATTTTCTACGTCCATTTTAGAGTCTTCTTTTTTAGACGATTTTTTGTTTCTTTTCCCTTTAATATGACTTTGAACAGTAGCTTGATCCCGGGACGGTGATGGATCTACAGCCATTCGTTTATGCCTATTATTATACGAAATAAATATTAATTAAAAGTAAAAAATACATAATGACACGTGAAAAATAAAAAACTTGTTTAATTTAGAATTTTAACCTTCTTCTTCGCCTACAGATTCTTATAGGAATGCTTTCTGTTACACTATCACTCTCCACCAAAGATGAAAAAAAGTGTCGACTATGATGCATGCTCTGTTCGGTGTCTGAGTGTGTCATTGCTGATGATTTGGTGACCGCTTCATCTGGACTACTCTCTGAATGAACGTAACTAGTCGAATGTCTGTGCCGCCTTGCTGATCTACGCTTCTTTGAAACCCTCTTCGAAACTACGTTTAACAACCTGTAGTCAATTAAACTCTGATAGTAAAAATACAAACCACACCAATCATAACAAACCTTCCACTTCTCTCCTTTCCTATGCTCTCCTCTAGAGCATTCATTAAAGAATCCATGTTATGAAAGTCTTTGTTTAAAACATGGAGATTCTCAAGCTCACGAATCATATCAGCGTCTTCCATCCTAGATGATTCTAATACCAAGTATAATAAACAAAAGCCCGCCCCCAGCTGATGTAAACAAATCTTTCCAAAGTAATTTTTTCTTTAAATGGTAATCCTGCTTGTTGTTTTGAATAAATATCGTAAAAGATCATTTAAGAAATAGATGCACAAGACAATTACATTCTAATTAAGCAATATCGTTGGGGAAAATGTTGTTGTAATCCCCGTGCAACACGCTTGTATACGCCATTTTGATATGACGCATTGGTACGACTAAATCAAAGTATGAACAATTCACAAGTATGTCATTTAAAAAAAAAACATCTCCAGGTTTTAGCTTTTACAGGTTGTTAAAATGTAATTTTTTTGAAAAGTATGGTTAAGACTGATAAATTATATAATAGATAAGTTTTAAACTTGAACATTAAAATTGTCATGTATTGAGAGACTATTTCCAAAATTTATCATTTTCAGGTACCAGCAGCGCACAGTTTAGCATTATCCAAAATAAGATTCTCTCCGTCAATATCACGTTTTTAAATATAAGAAATGCCTACAATTGCTATTCGTTATGCTTTTGGAAGACCTCAGGTTTTAGAAAAAATATGTTTAGATGAACAGGATATGACCATATCGAGGCTTCTCTCAAAAACGTCTATTTGTTCGGTATGTTTAATCATATTGCCCTATTTTCGTGCAGTTCTCAAATTTCGTTTCTTTCCAGACTTTTTCATCAAACAACTTTTACGTAACTCATAATGGTAAAAGATTGGAATCTAACACTAGATTAGACGAAAATAATATATATACAATTGTTGGAAAGCTAAATGGCGGCAAAGGTGGTTTTGGTTCTTTATTGAGATCCATCGGAGCTCAGATCGAAAAGACGACAAATAAGGAAGCATGTAGAGATCTAAGTGGTAGACGAATGCGAGATTTAAAAAATGAACAGAGGTTTGTTCCTTTTATGTTTAAAACAACTTTAAAATAAATAACAACTACTAGTACTGCTGTAGAATAGTAAATATATATAATTATTTCAGCATTAAAGAATGGATGAGTAAGGCAAAAGAGAGAGATGAGGAAGCCCAACAGAAGAAAGCGGAGAGAAAGGAACGTTTACGACGCGATTTTAAACATAAATTTGAAGATCCAAAATATTTCGAACAAAAGGATTTGGCAGTTGAAAGAATGGATGAAGCATTAAAATCTGGTACGATAATTGAATTGCTAGTTAAAATTAGTAGTTTGAATGTCAATTTCATTTAAAGGATTAGAGAAGGTCTCATCAACAACTGAGCCGGGTACATCAGGTTTAAAGAGAAAATCGACAGATCAGCAAAAATCTTCTAAAAAGCTATGTGCTATGTAAGATATTTTGTAAAATTCATCTAGCAAAGTAAATTGCAGACTAACGTTGTGTTTTCTAAACAAAAAGGTTCGACGATTCTGACTTGAGTGAGAGTAATGATGAAATGGATGATGAAAAACCGGAAGAAATATCTGAAGATTCATCTGGGGCTAGTTCTAGTGATAAACCTCAAGATAATGCAGAAGCCAGTCCTGAGCGTAAAATCGAAGATTGTTCGGATAATTCGAGAGTTAATAATGAATGCAAACCCGATAATAGCTCAGAAGTCAGTTCTCAAGATAAAACCGAGAATAATTTCGAGAAACAAAGTGAGAGCATTCCATCATCCAGCCAAAGTAAATAAGTATAGTTATTTTAAGAAAACGCCATGTAATCATTCAAAATTATCCTTGTAGCGCCTGAAAATGACTGTCATTTGTTGACGAAAGAGGCCATCGTTGAGCCTGATTCTTCTACAGAGGCCCAACAAGTTAGTTCTACTAATACTGATGAAAACAAGATTGATGGACAAAACAAAGTTAAAGATAATGAAGATAAAGCAGTTGAAAAGAAACTTGAAGACAAGGACACAAGACTATCGTCGTCAGTGGAAATCAATAAAAATGAACCTTCGAAGGAAACAGTTAGTTTTTCTAAACACTCTATTTCTTTATTTTTTTAGAGCAACTTTAATGTCGTTTTTATTTGTAGATAAAAGATATAGATTTATTATCGTATTCTAACGTAAAGGAACTTGAAGAACTAGGCTTGGATGTGTTGAAATTTGCTTTACAAAGTAGAGGATTAAAATGCGGTGGAACGCTTCAACAGAGAGCAGAACGACTCTTCTCAGTGAAAAACTTGAAACCTCATCAAATCGATAAATCTCTATTAGCAAAATCGAAGAATGCTAAGAAATAACCCATTTATTTAAAGTTTTTTTTATGTATATATATATATATATATATACTGCATACAGTATATATATATAATTAATTAATCATGTTGAACTATTATATAGATCTTTACTCTATAAACAAATATATTAAAAGATTAATACATAAACCTTTTCTTTTCTTATACCCGCCATTATTGAGAATTATTAGAATGAGTGAAGTAGTTATTGTTCATGTATAAAAGTAAATATACTTATTAACTTAAATACACTGCTATAACCAGATTAATGCTTCTTCGTTCATATTTCATTACACAATTGTGTCACCTTTAATATATTTTCTCTTTTAAACTCGTTTCAAATACTTCACGTGTTCAATACATAAGTACACCACGTGCTTCTCTCTATAGGCCTAATCTCTACATTTGTACGTTTCAGTCCAAAAAGACTATTTCCACATATGTAGGTATCATTAGCGAAATTTTTAAGTGTTACCATTCTTTTTTTGCCTCGTTTCAATTAGATCAAATACTTGAATTACATATAATCTAACTCTATTCAGTTCATTTTCTGCTCGACCTCTAAACAAGGCAAAGAAAAATTCAACCAACTTTCAATGGGTTCTCTCAAGCTCTATTTTGCTGGGAGTATTCGAGGAGGCAGAAATGATGCCGAACTATATGCAAGATTGATTGAAAAATTGCAAAAATACGGAACTGTACTAACTGAACACGTTGGAAGCGACTCAAAAACGGAAGAACTACGAAAAGAATTAGAATACAATGACGAATATATTCATAAAAGAGATATGGAATGGTTAGAAAGTTGCGATGCACTTATTGCCGAAGTTACTCAACCGTCAATTGGTGTTGGTTACGAAGTTGGTAGGGCGTACGCAATGAAAAAGTTGATTTTATGCCTTTATAGGCCTCACGAAGGAGCAAAAAGTACGTACAATTCTCAAATATATCTACTATTATTTGTAAATATTATTAAATGTGTCTATATTCAACTGATTGTTATTCATTTTAAAGGAATAAGTGCAATGATTTCTGGAGCTGTAAACGGTGAGAATTTCTTTGTAAAAAATTATCAAGAATCCGAAATTGACGGTATCTTTGAAGAATTTTTGTCGAAAATCAAGTAGAGAGAGAAACTTCATCAGTTAAGGAATCTTATACTCATCTTTTGTTCAACATCTACCTTTTGCATAACCTATATGTTTTAAACATAGAAAATGATGAATAAGTTGAATAAAATTTGAATAAATTTGATAAAATAGAAATAGAAATATGTAATAACCTTTTCAAAATCATCCCATCCTATTTTATCGTCATGATCAAAGTCCGCTTCAGCTAGTGTTCTATCAACTATACTGGCTAATTGTTCCTCAGATATATTTGTTCCGACCATCATATGGAGAACCGCCAAAAGTTCTTCACGTGTTATTTCGTTATCATTACCGATGTCGTACATGTTAAACGCAAATCTTAATTTTGCCTGTCTATTATTCAGTTCATCAGCAGCGGTTGTCTTTTCTCTAGAGATTGGTCGGAATGTGGCAAGAACTTTCATAAAATTCTTAAAATTAACTCCTTCGGTATTCTCGGCGAAAAATGACTAAAATAAAGGAAAATATTATATATATGACCATATAAATACAATATATAAGGATAGTATATAAAGATGTATACTAACTTGAATTATACGTTCACCCAAGGGATTAATTGCTAATTCTGGAATTCTTAGGAAATCTTCTCTACTTAAATATCCCTTACTTCCTTTGTCCAGACAAGTGAATCTGCTATATAATCTGTTAATTTGATTTCCGCTAAATCCTGTTTTGTTTTCTATGTCAATTAATTCTTCATCTTGAAGAAGAACGGATGCTTTTGAACCCATATGTGGCTATGTTATTTTATGAATACCGTTTTACGTATTTGGTGCAATAGTGTGTGGGTAAGTCTAAATTCCGTGCGGAAGCTACCCTTATTTTTTATTTATTTGTTTTTGACTTTTTCTTATTGCATCATCGTAAACAGAAGAATTAAAACGAATCTATAAGTTTTTTTCAACAAGGAGATTTCTACTTGAAATTTTTTTTATCTATTATCATAAGTCTTAATTTAAGATAGCAATACTCCATTTTTAAGAGCCTTTTGTTACTAATTCACCTTATCAGCCTACCGGTATCGAGATTACTAATGACGTGGTTAGTGAGATTCTATAGGTCTATCCTGTTTTAAACAGTACCGTTCCGTTGTAGGACGTTTATGCCATAACCAACGTCTTATAATGGGTAATTTATTCACTTTTTTCAAAGTAAGCTTTATTGTGATTTTCTTCTACAAAATTTATCTTTTCCTTTACGATATTTCATGAAATAATTCCACTTTACAATGTATTCCTAATTTCGTGTTCTACCTTTCAGCACAAGTATTCTACTTTGGAAAAATTAGAAAGTCTCGAAAAGGTAACAAAATAAAACAACCTTTAAAGAAATATAATAATTGACTTTTTAATATTTTCATAAAATTTACCTTTTAGGAAATTCAATATTTAGAAAAGAACCATGAAAAATATATAAGGAGGGAGAGAGCCATAGTGTTCTACTTAATTGCCTATTCCGTTGTTATATATGTTACAACAGCATCACTATTATGTATTTTCTACTTTCCAAAAGAGTGGAAGAAACGTTTAACATACTTGGCTCCATTCGTAATCTTTCCTGTATTGTATGTAAAACTTTAATAGAGTTTCCTTTAATAATAATAATAATTGTAAATTCGTCTATCTGTAGGATATGGTTTATAAAACGTTTCCTAAACTGGTATTTCATTCGTCGAGTAACGTTTACGGATAGATCCCTTAAAAAGCGAAAAGAAGAGAAGCAGAAAATTGTAAGTATCTATTACGTATCTATCACAGCAAAGAAAGAAGTTCATCGATATATTATTTATGGATTATCTGATAATAAAATAATCAATTTAAAAACAAAATATACCTTTTCTTATATCTCTATTTAGCTAGAAGAAGTTAAAGAAAAGGAAACCTATAAAAGGGCGAAAGAGATTTTGGAAAAATACGATCCAGACTCTGTTCCATCTATTGAATTACCTGCATCAACTCCAGTTAAGAAATTGATAGATTATGACGGTCAAGGTAAAGTTTTTTATATTCTCTAACCAAATATGATGAATACATTTGTTTATATATAGAATTAAGAAAGAGGAGTAAAAGCGTTGATCAATCTACACCTTCAAAACCGTCTCCTAATGAAACACCACAGTTACATTCGAGTGAAGAAAGTGAAGTGGAAAAATCAAATGTCGGCGATGCTCAATCAAAACCTCCTCTGCCTCCAAACTGTACTACGCCAATTAAAGCCAAACCTATACCTGCTGCATTTTGCCCCCCACCACACCAAGTACCACTTCCAAGACCAATACTTCCAAGAGAAAGATCAAGTATAGAAAGAGTTATGGAGTGGATAGTTGGTGACGGCCCTCAAAATCGATATGCTTTAATTTGTAAAAAGTGCATTTCTCATAATGGAATGGCTTTAAAAGAAGAATTTGAATATATATCTTTCAGATGTTGCTACTGTTTTTATATGAATGAAGCAAGAAAAAAGCAAATGCACATTCCTAGGAAACTAGAACCTACCGAAGCCAGCGTTCACGGTAAGTGAAGAATAAAGAATATCTTATTTACATATTAAAATATATCTTAATTCTTTTCAGATAAAAACACTAATATAAAAGAAAAGAAAGAAGATCAAATTGAAAAGAAATCAAGCGCTATAGAAACTTGAAATAATATTTTATAGCACTTTTTACTTTGCTTATTTATTAAGTCAATATTATGTGCTGCATGTTAATAATATAATAATCCGATTCGTCTTTCCGTCAATTATATTTTAAAAATTATAAAAAATGAAACAAATTATGAATATTATTAACGCAATTTGTGTTTTAATATTAAAAAAGAAGAAAAGAGAGAGAATGAAAATCATTTTTTCTTTTTATTATTATTATTATTACGTTTGCAACTTTAAATCAATTAGAATTGTATTCAAGTCTCCACAAATGTTTTTAGATTCTTCATCTTCGCATATTTTCCTTAATCGACATATTTCCATTGTTTTTAGACCAATCGATCTACAACCTTTTAATTCGATCTTTCTAAGGGTTTTGTTATATTGTAGTAGAGTTCTGTGTTGAAAACAATTAATAAGAAGAAGAATTTGGGTTTGTTTTCTATTTTAAAAGAATGAAAATATGACTAATAAACCTTAGAGATTGGTCACTTATCCTAAAACAATTCGTGATATTTAAATACTGTAGATATCTGCATTTTTTACCAATTAATTCCAAGTTTGAATCGCTCAGCCAATAAGAATTTGACAAATTTAAATACTTCATTCTAAGTAATGAATTAGAAATGCTTAAATAGGCAAAACAATTATTATTTAGCCTTTACCTTTGACAGTTGTTCAAGAAGAATGAAAAGGATTTATCATTTAGATTATTGCAATTTGCTATATCTAGATATTCAAATTTCCAAGCAACTTTTTGAATTAATTCCAAACTAGTAGAGGATATCCAATCCGAATTATTTATACTTAGTTTCTAATCATTTGAGAATGTTATGATCTATTTATAACCTTCTTTTCAAATAAATTGTACATTTACCTTTAATTTTTGACAATTCTTTATCAGGTTTTCAATGCAATTATCAGTCAGCTGATTGCACGAGCTAATATCAATACATTGCAATAATTTACATCTTCTTAAAAGGGGTGAAAGTAGATTATCGTTCAACCAACTTGAACAATTCCTCAATATAAGAACAGTCAGAACTGAATTATTACTAGTTATCAGATAAAAACTCGATTCTGTTACTTTATTATAAACAATGCTCAAATCCAAACTTTTACTTCTTCTGAAATACTCATCAATGCAAGCTCTAAAACTTTTGTTCAAACCTCTTAGATGAATATGATCCCTAATATCCAAATGAGGAAAAATGTGTTGAAATATAACGTCGTTCCATGGTAAACGATCAACAAAACTCATAACCCTCGATTTAGCGAACAAAAAGAATTGTTCAAAAATGAGAGAATTCTCCAAATTATGCTTTCTTACTGGATAATAAAAGGCTTTTCACAATTGAAAATAGTAAATTACTATTACAAGAAGTTTATTTCATGTGAAATCTATTAAAATTGTTAAAAATTACCAAAAAGACAAAAGTATATTTAATAAAAAGGTTAATAAAAATTAAGAATAGAAAGATATAAACAATCGATGAAAGAGGATAAGCTTGAATGTTCAAATGCGAAATGCTCGAAAAAAATATTATACCAGAAAGCAATAAATATAGTAATAATCAATTATGAAAAGTGAGATTTTCAATCATCAAGTATTATCAAAATAAAGTTTAATTTCAATACTAAAACAATACAATGTACAATGTATATTTATACAGTGTATACAGTATATATTAGATAAGAGATGTAGGTGTTTTAACGAGTTTTTCCCTTCTTATTTTTAATTAAAAAAAAAGGAGGCGGTAAAGAAGAGAGGATATAGTTTATTTAATAAAGATTTAAGAGACCCCTAGTGTTAAACTATCAAAAATTGAAGTGTATTTTAAATGATGGCTTCCCAACTTGTAGTACCTCCATCAAAGCATACTCTATTCATTCGAGGTTTTGCCTCAAGTGTTGAAGTGGACGATGTTAGGTAATAAACAATATTTTGAAATATATTATAAACTGAAATACTAATAGTTTTGTAAATTTTAGAAAATATTTTGAAAAAGAAACTGGTTTTTTACCAACAGTAGAATTCTTTAGGGAATCAGAAAATAGAGAATACTTATTCTTAGCTTTACGATTTGAAAGTAAAAGTTTGGCTAAAGAAGTTTTAGAAAGGTAAAAAAAAAGAAAAAGGTGTTTTTTCATGAAAAAGGAAAGTGTTTCTTAATGTAAACCTATGTAACAAAGATGCAAATTACGAAGATATATATATATATATATATATATTAATACAGTATATACTAATATATACATATATATATGTGTGTAGATTTCAGACATACATTGAAAAAGAACAATGTAAAGAAAGGAGAAAGATTATCTCATTCACCCGATTTTAATTAATCATGACAAAAGTATCAAATTCTCTAACAAAGAATAATACAAGTCATGAACTGCACGATCTGGAATGAACGTTGATACTTTAGTTGTGACAATTTTTTAATATAAAATCAAATAACAGCTAAAAATTTATGATAAAAAGACTTTTATTGAATGGTTCAACGTCTATTTTTACTTTAAAAAAACAAGTGTAATATGGTTAACAAATACTGAGATATTTCTTATTGCTATTATAGACACGAATGTATGAAGATGCATGATATAAATATTAATATTTTTCTGGTTTAGATATGATCAGGGAGAGATACTCGGCTATAGAGTATCTATCAAGTACTTTCGAGACATGCGAAAAGCCAGACAAAAGGCTAAGGAAATGTTTGAAAAAGGTCTAGGACCAAATCCAAAAGAAATGACCAATTTTGATTTAGCTGGAAATGCTAGAGGTAGAACTTGCGGTGGAATTTTCTATAGAGGAAGAGGACGAAGCAATCAAAATGAAAGTCTGTATATATGTAACTATAACAGTTAATTTATTATGTTATATAGATGCTGGGGAGACAGGTACTTATGGTCGTAATATGGTGACTAATTCGAACTATAGACGAAGTCATTATGACTATTCGTCAAGTAGGTCAAAATCATCATCTTATTCTAGTCCTTCCTCCTCTTCCGATTCAGAAAAGTCTAAATCTACAATGGAGAAAAAGATTAAAAAAAAGTAAATACAGCTTAAACTTAAAAATATAATATAAACAGTATCTAACATAAAAACAATAAACCAAAAGGAAAAGTAAAAGAAAGCATTCAAGATCGAAATTTTCAGATAAATCATCGGATGGATGCGAAACAAGTAAGAGTATTTCAATTATCCCTTATGTTTTATTCTTTTCAATGAAATACATATAATCATTTAACATTGCAGAAAAAGATAAATCCGACTTTTTTAGCATTGAACAAGGACAAGGCGTTAATAAACATTCAACAGAAAATAACTTTTATCGTGGTTACTCTTCAAATGATCATGTAAAACTTTTACATAAAGAAGATAAAGATAAAGTAACATTCTCTAATATTGATCAGTAAGAGATGAATACTATTGTATATACATATGCATATATCTTTCTATATTGATAATTTTAATTGAAAACTTAGACTTAACCTTCAAAAAACCAATACAATTAGAACAAAGCAAGACGTTGCAGCAATGGTAAAACAGATATATAATTTATTCATTTCTATATACATATATACATTTATACATATATATGTATATGTGCCTGGAAATATAATTAGAGATTGATAGGCTTATCAATTTTTATTGAAAAATTACAGGATATTGAACAGACTCTTAATGAAGAAGGTGAAACATTTGGTATGAGTTCGACTAAATTAGCTATGGTTAAACAGAAGAAAGAAGAAATTGAACAGAGTTACAAACAGGATTGTGAAACATTTGCGGCCGTTGTCAAAATGCTTATAAGGTTTGTACATATCTATATATGTATATGTATATAGACATGAGTATACAGATATTTATTGAAATAATAATGCACATATAGTAAAGATCATTCACTAGAAGATAAACTTCAACAATCTTTAAGAGATAATCTTAAGGATATTGGTCAGAGATGTATTCATGAATTGAAGGAGTATATTGAAAATTTAAAACCAGAATGAATTGCATTTCCATACTCAAATAGTAACAATAATAATCACGAAAAAAGAAAAAAGGGATCATGATAAAGATACTGAATTACAAAGATAAATGATCATGTTTTAATTCAAATACCTTCTCTATATATTTGTCTTTTTCTTATTCAAATCACAGTTGTGTGTATGTTCTATATAAATATTAACACTTGGCAATTATAATACTTATTCTCTCTACTAATTATAGCCTTCTAATTACGTAAATTTATTCAAATTAAATATTCAATATTTCAAGATAAAGAAATAATAAAACAAGCAAAAAATACTTTTTTTCTTTATTTCAAAAATTTGGCACAACAAATTATTACAATTGACATCATTTCATCATCATTTTATCCTTGTTTCTTCATTCATTTTCATCCTTCTCTTCCTCTATCTTCTTCTTCTTTTTCTTTTTCTTCTAGAATAGAATGCTTGCTGATGAAAAAACAAAAAACAAATGTGTTTATATGGCTTTTTTTTGTCTCTTTTGTCTTCCTTTATCTACTCGTCCGTCTACTCATCCTCCTTCTCCTCCTCCTCTTCTTCTCCTTGTCTATAAAGCTAAAGGATTCGAACTTCCAACTGAAGACATGCTATCTATTTCATCGGCTGTTATTCGACCCTTTTAATAAACGAATTATTTAAGTTTTTTAAGTAGAAACAAGTATATTTCATTAATTTTACTTGTCGAAGCATGGCAAATACATCTGATTCATTTTTCTTTCTCTGAGCCATAATTTTCTTTGGTTTCTTCCACGAATTCCACAATCTCATTGAACAATCCCATGCTACTGTTATATACTGATCTCTCTCTGGTACATGTATCACATCGCGAATGTTCATAATATGACCATAATTCGTTTGCATTAGACGATATTTTTCAACTTCGTATACTCTATTTAGGGGAAAATTATATTGAAATGTTGGATGTTTTAATATCAATATTAACAATGATATTAATAATAATTTACTTCATAACTTCCTCAACTCCTGCAATAATCGCACCAGTGATTTTATCTATACAGATGGCGTGAACGCTCCCACCTGCGGCCAAAATCACTTCCTGATTCATACCATCATCGGACTAATGGAAAATTTATATCAAATATGTAATTGAAAGTAATAATTTAAAGAGAAATCCTTTACCCATATTCGAATGGTTCCATCTTCCGAAGCCGTAACCCATTTTTCTGTTTGGGGGCTCCATCTAATACATGTTACATCCAATGTATGACCTTGCAGTGTATTTTCTAATTTCATTTTAGAACCATCAAGACTAAATTGCCTTATATAAACTAGTTTATCAGTTGAAGAGTATGCGAATAAATTCCTTTAGAAGAGTATTTCAAAAAATAAAACAAAATTAATGAAGACAAAGCTTAATCGTGGCTAATCCTTCTTACTTACTTGGATGGGCAATAGTCTAGATCTGTAATCTCTCCATCGCTAGCAATTTCTGCCGAGTCACCTTTCTCTGCGGCAGGATCTCTAAATACTGTTTGTAGTCTATGGGGTTGATTTTTGCATTGTGTATGTTTTATTGTGATAAGGGAAAAGTGTTATATGTTGATTGGCACTTACTCTCCTTCGTTCAGATCCCAAACGCAGATTCTCTTATCCCAGCCGGCCGTAATCTAAAAAAAGAAGTAATGAATGAATAAATGAATGAATGAATGGTTAAAAGAATTGGAAAAGATTTCCTATTGTGTGTGTGTGTGTGTGTATTAGTTTGTGTGGGTATTGGTGTTTTCCTTTTCTAATAGAATTCTATCAAATGAGACCTACGGCAAACATATGTTCTACAGTCTTTTCAATTTCCTTATATCCTTCTTCATTCTCCGTTGTTGGTACTGTCTCTTTTATTATTTTGGAATGGAGAAGTATGGACAATGATGTAACAATACTGTAAAGCAAAATAGATGCATACGCACTATACATAGGACGAAATGGTACTCTACTTACCTCTTATGTTCTGATAAGATGTGCTGACAGACAAATCCAGCAACTCTATTAGTTACGGAATCCTCTTCCATTCGATCCTATATATAATACGTATTCGTGGAAATTATGAAGAATATTTATATACCAACTCTCTTCTGCGCTTTAAGAGCTTCCAGATCAACTTCTGTCTCTTCATCCTTAGTTAAGAGAATATGATATTTTTCTCTTGTTTCAGCATCAACACCATCCGATTCACTATCGGATTTCATATTTTTCAAGACGGAAACGGCGTTGAGATCAAATCCCCAAACGTCTTTTTAAACGAATAAAATGAATTTTGAATACAATTATTATATAATTATTGTTTGTACAAACAAATATTTCCATCTTCGCAAGTACCAACAAGAAAATCTAATTCCTCAACAAACTTCATCCTCAAAATGGACGTATGAGGATGAGAAGCATTCTTGTTTTTACCTATTAGAGGTTTATTAAATGAATATTGACTCGATATTTGTCTTCTATTTTTGGTTTTCTCTGGAATTTTATTCTTTTCCCTAAGTTCTCTATCAAACTGTATGATGAGGAAGAGAATCATGGATTCTTTAATATTGTTTAAAACTGAAATATTTACTGTTCTAGCATATTTATCTGCATATTTCTTCTTTGTTTTCATTAATTTATGAGCTTCCAAAATACTCAAGTATTCTTTCCTATTGTTTATTTATTAATAGTGAACTAATTTAATTAACTCATAATGAATATTCATTCTTATACTTACGTATACATAAAATGATTTGATTCTTTTCGTTCCCATTTTGTGACTGTACCAGTTTGATCTGCACTAAATAGAAGCATTGGAACTTTACTAGCTGCAGGGAAAAATCATTTATTAGGTCGAATTAACCAAAGCATAAAGCTATTATATTCTTACTATAAGTTAAACATTCCATTTCGGATGATGTTCGTAATGTGGTTATGCAACCTGACGTATTATACTTCCATACAATTAAACAACGACGACTGGTAGAACCAACAACTATGTTCGGTTCGTTAAACCATTGTATTAATTGTAGAGAATACTTGTTCATGCCCTCTTCAGCATCATTTTCGAAATTACCTAGGAATTCTGTAACATTTTCACCACTTTTTGGATCAAAGATAAGTGGATAAGTTCCACCTGCAACTACCCAAATAGTCCTTGTTCTATTAATATAACATAGACCAGTAACATTTGCGTGAAAAGCGGCATCCTCAACAGTATGTATTCTCTTTCCATCAGCTGTCCATATTTTAACAGTTCTATCGAATGAACCAGTTACGATCCTATTATTTGCAATGATTAAGACGTGAGGAATGAATAAGAGAAAAGAAGAAATTGATACATTTAAATATATACAAGATGTAATAAATCATCATTTACCAAACGTTATTTTCGCTATCTTTAAACAATGATAAACTTGTAATACCAGCAGCGTGGGCTGAAGATTTTCTGTAAGGAAATAGCAAAGTTAAGATAAAGAAGGAAGAGAAAGAAAGATAATAAATAGTAACAAAGTTTAGAAATTTACTAATACTAACACTACTATGGGTTTAAGAAAATTTTCTCTTGTATAGGATGAATCATAAACTACCAATTTACCATCGTAACCCGCCGAATAGACCCTAGATTCCGAGCCAACTACACACTTGACAACATCATTATGTGCGGTAGATTCACTAAATGAGGCAACGTTTATGTAATGGCCGCTTTTCCTTTCTATATTGAAGCATGGGGAAAATCGGAAATAGAGGAGAAAAAAAAACGATGATAAATGATTGTGGTAAAGGAACAAATGATATGTAAATTTTCTCTTTGACCTACCAGGATCTAGATCATAACAATGAATAGCTCCATTCAAACCACATAGTAGTTGTTTTTTACGATTATTAATCAATAAGGATAATTTATAAACAGGGCGTTTAATCTGTTGAATAACGAAACAGGGTGTTTTCAATTCTATACAATTGTTAAGTGTTTAAAAGTTTACATGTATATGATCGACAGCTGTACCACCGGAACCCCAAATAATTAACCAACCATCGTTAGATGCGGAGATGAGCATTTTAACTTCAGGCCAATAGAGAAAGTCGGTAACCCAGCCGTTATGCTCTTGATAAGATACCGTACTCTTTCCCTCGTCAACGTCCCAAACCTTGATGAAGCCATCTTAGATTGAAGGAAAGAATAGATAAGTAGTTGTAGGAAAGATTCTAGTAAATTTCTATTCAGATCGATTAAATATACTTGAAGGAGAAGAAAAACAATACCTTCGCATCCGGCGAGAATTTCCCTCCTTGCTGGATTATATCCTAACGCTGTAATGGCCCGAGTATGTATATGGGCAAAATAAAATTGTTGTTCAATCGACATTCTCCTTATTTGTTTGAAAAAAATTAGTTAAATTTGTTCGCATACAAAGTGGCGACGGCATTCTTGTTTGGACTAGCAACGGCCTTACAAACACAGCATAGCGCAGCCTTCTCTATCAATAAAGACTTATTGAACACTTCAAACAATAAATTATAGGCCTCAAATTTTATCGATACGGTGCCCCTTATCAAACATTGTGCGTGTTTACGATATCATGTCTAATATCATTAATAGACGATTATAATTATTATTTTAAGTAACAAATGACAAGATATCAATTGTCTACACGATATATTCAACCATTTTAAATTAACTATTTAAATGGCACCTGTTTGAGTGTATTAAGATATTTATACCTTCCTTTAAACTTAACCATACAAGCATGAATTTTTTTCCCCCAAAATAGGTTATCAACCCTCTTTTCTAAAAAGGAAAGATAGTCAAACACAAACAGGCATTATTTACAAAGGCCTATATGCTACCTTTTTAGATATATTTATAGAGCTGAAGAAAATGACAACTCGACAGAATTTTTTCAATAAAACGTCATATTCTCACCCTATAGATGGCGTTGACTATATCATAGTAATATTAGCAAGAGAAGTGTTAAAATGTCCCACAATTGAGACTAAGCAATATTAATAAAGAAATAGATAAGGAGAGCGCCAAAACACGTTTACATTCTCAGTCAAAATATGTTCTGTTACACAGCCTTCTATCATACTATACAATTTCGTTTATCAGCGGAAGAAGTTGGTTTGAACGGGGAAACAATTCGAGAGAGTACTTATCAGTAACATTGATATAATACTTGTTATATATACAGTTTATATACTAATATATATATATATATATATATATATATAAGGAAATTTCCATACTGTTTCCCCTTCATAAATGTTTTACGGGGTTTTCCTTACTCTATACCAAGTTCATTTAATCAAATAGGAATTCGCCAAAGACCTTTTTTTCCATATAAAAGATACAAAATTTACCATATCCCCTATGATCTTAACAAAAAATATCAATTATCGTCATACTTTTCCGAGAATTATTTGGGAATAGAATGTGGCGTAATTTTCTATTTATAATTGTGGCGCAATATTTTATTGAGTTATGTAATGAAGCTTTTTCATTACTTAGAGTTTATTTAATTACGTTCTTGTATAATTGGTGTTTTGTTCTTTGATGAATTATTTATTGTTTATTGAAGTACTAGAAACTTAGACACTTTCGAGTGTAGCACAATTCTGTATATCATCTGACCGCTTTTCTGATCACCACATGCATCACGCGGTGGTTGCCGTGGAATCCAAACAGGTGACTGACCGGTAAATAAATTATCGCGAAAAACATTGTAATATATTTTATAAATATTCAAATAATATTCTGGGAAAAATCAGTAAATTAGTAGTAATTTTTTCTAGAAAACCGGTTTCGAACCGGTCAATGATTAAAAATTTCCACGATTCAGCGGGATTGATCGCAAAACCGCTCATTCCGACAGAAGATGCCTGGTAAAAAGAATCAAGACGATAACATATCAACTTCTTCCAGCTCAGGCCCAAATGATATCTACTCTGCAAGAAGGTAAGAAATTATTGTTTATAAAATTGCTTTTTATCAATATCGACCTTGTCCTTTCTCAAACGCGCATTGGAGTATATAAATACAAAATATATATAAATACATCTAGTTGTATATATCCCTATCGCTATCTGACTGATAACAGGCAAAGCCAATGAAATATATTTGTGATAAAAAGGCAAAGCTCTCTAGTCTTCGGTATGACAGCTAAAAAGCAACGTCCTGTGTCTCTGTGTGTGGAGAACCCAAGTTCCCGCGAACTTCGAGAGTAATAATCAGAAATCAGATTAAGTAGCTATCACATACTAATTGAATTCATTTGTAATGATATAGATCGAAGTCTGAATCGCATTTTGAGGGTCTTAAAAGACTGTCGGATTCTTCAAACGGCGATGTTAATTCCGCAATAGTACCTAATACCAATACAAAGACAAAGGGAAAAAGGTAAGATAAATTTATAATATTACGATGAACTCTTCCTTAATCTCTGTCAATTGATATAAACACGATACAATGTGACATTTGTTCAGATGTAGACAGGCATGTAAAAGTATTTGATATATATAAATGTTATCCAAGATTATACAATCATCCTGTAAATCCTGTTTTATATACTGTATTAGGAGGATAATCTAATTAAACGGCTAATAAAAGTATAATTAATTTGCAAAGGTTAAAATAGAATAAATTATTCGATACTTTATAAATTCCGAAAGTAAGAAAAATGAATCATTTACCATAGAAATGATTTTTTTTTACTTGTGTTCGAATTACAAAACTATAATATTTCCTTTCCCTTTAGCTTCTACTACCACTTTTTGCTTCCTTGTCTGCTAAATGTTAGGGCGTTTATCTTATTTCGTATTCAATACGATAATATATTTTATAAAGCGTTTCGCATGTAAGAATAGAGAGCAACCAATGTATAATAACAGATATACAATTCTTAATTTGGGACAATGAGTCAGATTTGATAACAGACACGGTATAGATTAGGGAAAGATAGTTTTATCTCGTATATGGTTTGATATATGTATATATATATATATATCCATTTAATATGAATTCGGTTAGCAGCTATTATTTGTAGTATAGAATAGAATTTCGATTTTCGATCACGTGATTCCCTATATCTAGAACATACAGGGTACGTTTATGGTTAAATCTTTATATAGAGTGGTAAGGTATTCTGAATTAAATTTTAACTTCTAGTGAAGTCACGTGGTACGTTATAACTGGTACATCTAGGGCGATATCGCCTTAACATAAAAACAAGGACAGGTCGGTCACTCGTACGCTTGGGGGCAAAATTCAACTTACATTCATAAAAGTTCAACCCAAGTCACGTGATATTATGTAGAACAAATAGGGTAAAATAGAAAATGCCGCTTTGCCTTAATTTTTATTTGAATTCCAAGAATCATGAAGCTACTTTGTTTCAGCCCCGAGTCATTAATACCAGAAGTGCAATATAGAAAGGTAATATATTGAAAATAATATTTATTTAATATTATATTTATTCTATTGCTTAGATGTAAATATAAACATCAACAAATAATAATAATATTTATAGTTTTCGTTGTTTTGTCCTCGTAGGATTCCAAAGTTCACAGGAGTAAAAATGAAAAATTCCATAAACTCTTTCCCAATGTTCCATCAGACGAATTGGTCATCAATACCTTTTCTTGTGCATATTTCGGAGATATACTTTTCCAGGGATTCCTTTATATATCGTCTTCGTATTTTTGCTTTTATTCTAAAATTTTGGGTCACGAAACAAGATTGGAAATACCATTGGAAAGTGTCATCAATATAACAAGAGAAAGAACTGCTTTTGTTATACCTAATGCTATTGGAATATTATCAACTCAGGACAAGTATGTTTTCGGATCATTAATGGCAAGAGATAAGACTTACAGATTAATGATCAACGTTTGGAAAACATTCTTACCAAATAAGAAAGGATTAGAAGAAATCGAACAGGAAGAATCATCTGTCGGAACGCAATCAGTAAGTCATTTTTTATTCTTAACAAGATTTTATTATTGTTATTATTTCTTATCTTTTTCTTATTAGGATGACGAGAGCAAGCAAAATCTGATCGAATTGAGTGTCGACTCGTCAGACGATTCGTCAAATCAGTGTCCAAATTGTGGTATTTTACAAACTGAGAGTGTATCAAAACTTCAAGTAAAAGAAAAATCAGGTACATATATACATTAAATACATTTTATTAATGATTAATAATGTTAATTAATACAACTTTATTAAATAAATTAGATTGTGAAACCTCCCACAAACCCGGTGCTTTACATAATGAAGAAAAATCAAATAACTTCGTAATAAATAGGACCAATTTAACTTTAATTGTATGTTCACTGTTGGTTGTTATTCTTTCTGTCTCTGCTTTCTTCCTAACCGTGCGACTTTTCAACCTTCAAAACCAAATCGAACACGGATTTGGTGTGGACGAAATAACTGCAGCTCATTCAAGAAACCCTTATATACTTAACTATAATTTGAAACAAATAGAACATTCTGCAAATATTCATCACTTGCATTCCGTCTTAAGGGCAAACATCGATGCTCTAAAAGAAGTTGGAGACTCTCTCAGTCACCTGGCAACGTCTTCTAAACATTCAAAACCGACTGATTAATTGTTTCGGAAAGCCTTTAATTAAGTTTTTACAGCCTGCATTTTTTGTGATTATCTTCTCAACATTTTTATTTATAAAGACAGATTTTTATACTCAATTATTAACATGTTTACGTTAAAAACAGTTGATAGTAATGTTATTAAAGATTGCAGAATGATCTCCAACTATATTATCTGTTTTCTTGTCATCAAAATGAAAGAGAAACGGAAAAGAAGAAACACAAATAAAACACACAAATTCTACAATAAACCATGTGTGATATTGCTATGTATACGCATACAAATATGTTAATGTGAGTGTATATAGCAATATTATTTAGCCAAAGTGTTAACTAAAGTGGAAATGCACTCTTTCAGTGTTTTTATATGTATATTTATCAAAATGAACGAAATGAAATCTTTCTTTCACCATTGTTGATTGGAAATAATAAAATAAGTAATTACAGCGAAAAAAATGCAAAAATCACGAATTTTATCTAATTCATCCCTATTTTTATATAATATCTGTTTAAGAGTTCGGAAGAATTTTCGCTGGAAAATCATAGCCGAATAATTTCTGTCGTTTATAGCTCGCTCTTTCTCACCCCCTTTCTCTATGAGAGAGGATAGTTTTCGTCAGTCTTCACACTTGAATATTCAGAATTGCAGGAACGTTTTCTATGGTAAATAATCACTCCAACGGCAGCAATACACATTAGTGCTCCTATGCAAATAAGAAGAACTAAAAAAGTCTTTAGTTGGAATACTCTTTCGACTTTCAGAACATTAGTCGCTAGAAAATGTGTACTACTAGATTTCACACAGGTTAAACCAGTTAATGAACATAAAAGTTGATAAATTTCAACATTACGAAACGGTTCTAGTTGGATATTTTTTCGTATCGATGGACCAAACGCATAGAATATACCATTCATAGCACGATTTGATGTTACATAAGGATCGAAGCCATGATCTCCTTTATTGTATTTATCCTATGAAATGAATACAAGTAAGTAAAAAGGTGAAATTAAGAAGTTTTAAAAATAAACTCATTTAAAGTGAAACCACACGACAACCTTACTCTTAAAACAGCAACCAAGGTCAATCGTTGCAATGACTGGAGCAATTCGTGAATTTTTTCTATAATGATAGTTATTTTTAGATTCATCCTTTTTCAGCAACACAGTAATATTGTCAACTTTTTCTAATTCTTTCACAATCTTGGGAAAGTAAATGAAAATTTATAGGATTATGAACAAATAGAAATTTTTAAAGTTCCTCTTTACTTACTTCCTCTTTGTAATTCTCCATTGGCCAGATATGATAAAGAGTAGAAGATTTTTGCACGTGACGTACTAAGGTTTGGTTATTAATTATATGCTCCAAATCAACCAAACAATCTTTGTCAAAAGTCGCCATCCCGTGATCTGAGAATATTACAGTATCAACCATATCTTTTAGTTTACAACTGCCATTTTTATAATGAAAATTTTCCAATTGATTAATTAGATGGCCAACAACATCCTTATCTATTTGCTTAACTTTATCGGCCAACTCTTTAGAATTTGGTCCATATTTGTGTCCAAAATCGTCACCATCGGGCAGGTATAACACTACGAGAATAACAGTAACATATTGATTTTAACTGATTAATATATGATGCAATATACTTACAAGCAATATCAAGTTGGTTAAGTGAAAAATTTCCAAGTGCGTAATTAAGATTTAATTGAAAATTTGGTATTCCCGAAGATGAATTATCGTAGATAATATCTTTAAAATCGCTGCAGCATTCTGGCTTTACTCCATTAAAGTTAGTGTAATAACCCAGCCAATCCCACATCTTCACTCTTCGTTTCTAGATATTCATTGTAAAGGGTAAAAATCAATTAAAATAATGTAATTATTAATAGAAAATTATAATTTATTAGAACTTGTCTGATAGCTGATATCCAGAATGGTTCTGTTTCATTCCACCAATAGGTATTATATCTTTCGTTAGACGTTTGTTTAGAAAAGCCTATAAAGGTCCTATTACGTTTCGGATCCCACATATTATTAGAAACCATTCCATTATCCTCTGGATATTTACCTATGACATATGTATGCAAATAAATAAGTTTATAGAAATTCCTTCTTTTATATAATAGTATATATATAGCGTGTAAATTTTCAAATGAAATATTTTTAATCAAAGACTTGAAGGGGAAATATCATCAAGTTATTTTTATCTCAAATACATAAAAAGAGGAGGATGAAAGCTAAAGAAAATCTCAATAAAAGGAGGACAGGTGAGAGAAAGTTACGATTAGGTGACATTGATGAAATATTTCGTTTTGGCATAAAAAATAGCTGATTCATGAAAATTGTCATACTGATTTCACAACTCTCCAAGTGCAACGTAAGTGAATTTTAGTACAAGGAACCATGCAATATTATTTTAATGCATACAATTCACTATTTATGAATTTGCCATAATAATAAACTATATATAAACATTATATTAGTAAACTTATACACACATTTATATGAATGTCAGTGTATAATATATATTTATATATATACCTGTTAATGGACTATAGTAATTGGGTGCCGACATTGATGGAAAAACTGGCTGTAATTCACCAACAGCGCCATTTAAACCCAATTTATTAAAGTTCTCAAGTTTGTGTATTTTGGCATAATCGTGTCTAAAGCCATCAAATAGAAATACTAAGAGTTTCTTCTCTTTAACATCACAAGATAATGTTAATTTAATATTGAATAGCTGTGTGATTCCGTATAAAATCCATAGCCTTTGTATTATATTTAAATAAAGCATTTCTCATGTATAGTTTCTTAGAAATGTATGTACATTATCTGAGCGATATTAGAGAAGAATAAAATTCTATGTGGCGGGTGCAACCATGAATTGAAAAAACTCCAAGATTAGCCATTAATGAATTAAATAATTATTTTTAATTTATCTATTAGGAGTCGAAAAAAAAGTTTTTTATTTAAATTCTCCCCGCTGTTGACAAAACATCTGCCTCAATCGGTTTCTTTCGTAGCCATTTGTTCTATTATTATTCACTAGAAATGAACGTTGAACCATGAAATGTGCTATATTGATATCCATCTGCTTACAGTTATAGCTATATACATATCGATAAACTATTAGAAAAATTTATTAAAATGTTCATTTCGAAATTCCCGCCTTTTTTTCATTTTTTATAAGGATTACGTAGCCAGATTCATACTTGAAGGTAGCAAGAGTAACTATCCAAAAGATCGTCGCTATGTCTCTACTGCAAAATATTAGCCGTTTGTCCTTAAGAACAGTTCACGTTCGACACTTCTCGGGTTTGTATCCATGCTCTAGGAGTCCCTTATGATGAAATTATGCAAAAAATCAACACCAATTTTGTATAAATGCTTAATAGAACCTTCAGGGTCATGCATGACGAGTATAAACATTTCATATAGTATATGCTCAAAGAATGTCTTTTTTCTATCTTTAGTAACAAATGCATCGAAAAGTAACATTGGTTTCATTGGTCTTGGCAATATGGGCAATCATATGGCCAAGAATCTCATGAAAAAGGGCGAATCTATTGTTGTATTTGATATTTCCAAAGAATCTGTCAATTCTCTTACTACTGATGGTGAGAAAATTAATAATTTATTAAGTAATTTAATGGTTTTAGCATTTAAATAATGCATAGCATATATTTATGTATTAACTAGGAGCCCAAGCAGCTTCGTCACCCTCCGAGGTCGCCGCTAATTGCGAGAAAATTATCACCATGTTGCCATCGAATCCTCACGTTAAAGAAGTATACACCGGAAATAACGGAATATTATCTGGTGTAAAGAAGGGGTCACTTTTACTTGACAGTAGCACTATTGACCCTGCCGTTAGTCGTCATGTAGGAGAACAATGTCAAGCAAAGGGTGCATCCTATATGGATTGCCCAGTTTCCGGAGGTCACTATACTTATAGAGAGAATTAAAAGCCTTAAAAGTTTGTTTATTGAATTCTCTTATATTATTAGGAGTTAATGCTGCAAGGGATGGAATTCTTACTTTTATGGTTGGTGGGGATTCTGCGAAATTCGAAGAGGCAAAATCTATTCTAGAGAAGATGGGAAAGAATATTATACAATGCGGTGAACTCGGTACTGGAAATTCTGCAAAAATATGCAACAACATGCTTCTAGCAATCTCAATGATAGGCACTAGCGAAACTATGAATTTGGGAGTAAAGTACGAGGAGAAAATTTGTTTACTATCTGTTTTATTTAATCATTTTTATTTTCCATCCAGACTTGGCTTGAAACCTGAACTATTAGCACAAATCTTGAACATGTCAACTGGAAGATGTTGGAGTAGTGAACTATATAACCCCTATCCCGGCATTTTACCAAACGTTCCGTCATCAAATGATTATCAAGGCGGATTTGGCTCAGCCTTAATGCGAAAAGTATTAGAGATTTTAATCTTCTCTATTGAATCTTTTATTGACAATGTTGTTAATTTTATTAGGATTTAGGCTTATCTCAAGATGCTGCAAGTGCAACAAAATCTGCAACACCCTTGGGTAAAAAAGCCTTTGAAATTTACAGGTGAAACAAGTTTAATTAAATAATTAATAATTTATCAAGAATAACTCTATATCAATTATGATTATAGCGAAATGTCGGACAAAGGATTTGGACAAAAGGATTTCTCATCAGCTCTAAAATTCATTCAAGATGTACTTGAAAAGCAGTGAAAGCGAATAGAACAACATTAGAAATAACAATATATTTGAATAAATGGTAATAGAGATTTGTATTGTTAACTGCGAATAATAAATGGCTTTAAATAATAGAAATTCCTGGTATACTATTGAATCCGTAGGTGTTATAATAGAGATTCATTAAAGGTTATTGAACTTGTAGAGAGAAGTGGGCGATAGTACTAACTTGATCGTAACTATTAGACCATTCAAAAGAGAAATAATATTGTTCAAATAGAACTAGCTAATAACAGGCAATTTAATAAGATATACAGTGTATGTCAGTAAACTGGTACAGATAGAATATTTAGCTATTATTGATGCGGCTTCCTAGAAAGTACGTTGCCGGTGGATATCAATAAATATTACTAATGTGTAAACTATTTGCAAAGTGAAAAACGTTAATCAACGTAAATCATACGCTTAATCGAACTCGATTATTGATTAAAGCTTGAATTGTTTGAAATAGTATATGTAATTTCGTGTGTGAATAGAAAATAAATCCAATTGTTCTATCAATCCCTCATCTCTCCCTCTTATTCTATTTCTGCTTCTTCCTCCTCCTCATCATTTAACGAACATGTCTGAGAGTGATGATTCTGAATCTGAAACTGAGACGACGGTAAGGTTAAGAAGATCGTATGCACTGTATATAAATAGCTATCTATATACAATATATAATGTATACATTCGCAATGTTACTATTTTTAATATCTTTCTATTAGAAATGCGAATTAGTGTTAAAAAAGAAAAAGAGACCTGTAAATACTTCAACTATATCGCCCTATTCGGCGAAGTTGACAAATCCCGTCCGGAAAAGGGATATAAGGAGACGAGAATTTGATAAGGATTTAAATGAGAGTAGTTTGGCGAAAGAGATTAGAAATGTTCCTGGAAGACCCAGCTTTAAATCTCCTGAAGATTATTACGATGATATAATAGCCTTGAAAAAGGTTCTCTATTTAAAATATAGTATAAAATTCTGTCTATGTTATTATTAGTGCTAAAAAAAGGAAAACAATCTCTTTCTTCCATAGAAAATTAAAAATCTAAATGAAGAAAATTCGATTTATAAATTAAAACTAAGGAGATTAGAAGAAGAGAATAATAAGAAAGAAAAGGAAATTGATCAATTACTTAATCCAAATAAAAATCAAAATTTAAGAAGAACGCTTGGAGATAGGAAATCCGAATTGTCTTCCTTAGTTTACAGTCTTAAACAGAAGATATTTAAACTGGAAACGAAATTGAAGGAAAAAGAAACATTGTTAAAGTAAAATTATATACTTTTAATATAATAAAAATTATAGTAATAGGAGAAGATTATTATCACTTTTTTTTAATAAATAAGACAATCTCCATTTTTATATTCTATTTATTGTTCGTTTTTTTATTATATAGCCAATTACACAATCATCTTAAAACAACAACAGTAGAGGAACTACAAATTGAAAGAAAGGTATTTTTAGAAGAAATACAACGTCTAAGAGCCCTCATAGAGTAATTTTTCTTATAAAATTATACTCGTTTCCTTCCTTTTATTTCCTTTTTCCATCAATATTTAGCTTTTCCAACCAAGACAAGAATAACATGAAACAAATCTCGTTAGCAAAAAAGACGGCTAAGCTCACTGTCAATCAAAATTTACGACTAAGGGAAGAGAATCTACATTTAGGAAAAGAAATAGGAAAGCTATTATCTGGGGAGGAGATTGACCAAGAGGAAGATGAGAAAATAATTCATCAAAGAATAACTGATGGCCCCTTCAGATATCATCAAAATGTTATCAAAAGACTCTTCGAAGAAAAGGAGCATTTTAAAAGAAAATATGAACAAAAAAGGTTTTTTGCTTCTCTTCTCTTCCTTCTATATCGTATATATGTCTTATTGTTTATTGTTTTGTAGAAAAGACTACAAACTCCTCAAACGAGAAAATGAATCTCTTATAAAGAAACTTGGCACTTCTGACTCAGCTTTTAACGACAATACGGTCGAACTGTTACAATCAACTATGAGAGGTCACGTGTTCAGAAAGACAGAGATGAGCAGGAAGGATTATGATGACCAGATTGCATGTCTAGATAGAAGTGATAATGACGATATTATGGGAGCAGACAGCGAAAAAGAATCTACTTAAATCTGCTATTCGTTTGTGCTATTGTTCTCCCTTTTATTTTAGAACAATAATAATGGAGAATCTAAGATTTCGTTCTAGAATTTATTCGACCTTGAAATTAGAACAAATCAACTATTGAGCGAATACTCTTTCCCGCGTGCATTACTGCGAAAGATTCATTAATTTCTTTCAAAGGAAAGGTGTGCGTAACGAACTCATCAACCATTAGCTCCTTTTTCAGATATTGTTCAACTAGCTTGGGAACACTATCTCTACTCTTCCAACCTCCGAATGCACTACCTTTCCAAACCCTTCCAGTAACCAATTGAAACGGCCTTGTAGAAATTTCTTTTCCTGCAGGGGCAACTCCAATAATGACGGAAACTCCCCAACCCTTATGACAGGCTTCCAAAGCCGAACGCATTACGTTGACGTTTCCGATGCATTCAAAAGTATAATCACATCCGCCATCAGTTTCGTCAACCAAAACTTGTTGAATAGGCTTGTCGAACTTAGAAGGATTAATGAATTCTGTTGCTCCAAATGCTTTAGCAGTTTCAAATTTGCTTTCATTTAGGTCGATTCCGATTATACGTTTAGCTTTGGCTTGTTTACAACCCATTACAGCAGCCAATCCAACGGCACCTAAGCCAAAGATGGCGCAAGTTGATCCCTCTTCAACCCCTGCAGTATTTAAAGCAGCCCCATAACCAGTAGAAATACCGCAACCTAGAAGGCAAACCCTGTTCAAAGCTGCCTCTGGGTTGACCTTAGCCAAACTAATTTCGGCAACGACAGTATATTGGGCGAATGAACTTACGCCCATAAAATGAAATATAGCCTTTCCATTGCAGGTAAATCTGGATGTACCGTCGGGCATAACACCTTTACCCTGGGTACCCCTTATTTTCGAGCATAGATTGGTTTTGGAACTCTTGCAAAATTTACAATCATAGCATTGAGGAATGTACAGCGGGATAACGTAATCACCAGCTTTGAAAGAAGTTACATTATCACCAACACTTTCCACAATACCGGCCCCTTCGTGGCCAAGAATAACAGGGAAAATCCCTTCGGGATCGTGCCCGTCTAGAGTATAAGCATCTGTATGACAGACTCCAGTATGCAGAATCTTAATACGAACTTCTCCCGCCTTTGGAGGTTGAACTTGAACAGTTTCAATAGTTAATTCTTGTTTAGGACCCCACGCGATTGCTGCTTGGCATTCAATAACCTATTGAAAAGTCAAAATCATATATGGGTGCATTGATCAATAAACCTACTTTTTACAAAATGCTTAGCTATATTTAGAGCCAACTTATTGGCAAAAACACTTAATTAAGTACTACAGAGAAAACTGGGAAAAATCGATGTATAATTTAATTGGGAAAGAACAAAAACGGCTATAAAAGGAAAAATATAAAACAAGGTTCCATATAACCAAAAAGATTTTCCACTGTTCGTATAACAATACAATCCACTTTAAGTTGCCTTCTAAAGTACTTTCCTTTCTCTTCCTTTATAAGAAGACTTGCTACTTTATCATTGTTCAAGTGAAAAACTAGGTCAATTATTCTATGATTTTATTTTTTTTATCGCACAATCTTAATTTTATTTTTTAAGTAACAAAATTGTATCCATTTTCTTCCATTAAAATAACTGTTTATCTAACCTTTCTAACCTTGTGTTTCCTCTTGTTATAAATAATAAGATTTCTATTTTTAAATTGATAATTACTTCCACGAATGTTCTCTGGTTTAACCAAAAGAGAGAAGAAAAAGTATAGAGGATAAAAATAAATTACCATTTAAAGCTTCTTATATTGAAGTTATATCTTTATTATGTAAGAAGCATATTTCCTATAGAATTACTCCTTCTATTACTATCTGTTTTATATAGATAGACAGACAGCTGATATTTTAAAATAATCATTTAAAGCAATTATCACGACCGGCTATATATTTTTTATTCAATTAGAAAGCATTGGGTGTTGAATATTTTTGATAACAAGCGTTATTATGCAATAGCAAGTTGCATTGAATACACTAATTATTGGGTATTTAAATAACCTTTCCAATATGTTCCGACATAATTTCTATTAGTATCAATTAGAGCGATAAATTCTAGTAATAGTATTCGCACAAAACGAAGCCGAATAGTTTCAACCGGAAGCGGAAAGTGAAAAATGGAGGTTGGGACACTGGAGACTTCTTTCACGTTTTCTTTTAATATCCACAAGACGTCGGCTAGTTTGTAATGACAGTAGAGACATCTGTATTTCAGACCTGTCACAAATTCGTCTGTATTATAAGATGGCTACTATGGAGCTAAATGGAAAACTTTGCGAAACCACTGGTTGCGAAAAACCAGCTAGTTTACAATGTCCAACATGTATAAAATTAAAACTAGATTCATCTTTTTTTTGCTCTCAGGTAAGTTAAATATAAAACATTTATTACAAAAATGTATACATTATATAAAAACATGTAGCGATAATACGTTGATTTTGTTTCAGGAATGCTTCAAAGGATGTTGGAACGAACATAAGAAACTTCATAAGAAAGCTAGTGAGTACAAAAGATACATCTTTAGATACCTATGAATATATTCTAGTTCGTTTTGAGTATAATTTATCCATTAAATCTATATTAATATGTTAGATTTTATAATTTAAATAGCATGTACCAAGTTGTTCTGCCCATTAGGCGATGTCATGATTTTCTATTTATTTTCTGTAGGCCTAATCCTTTTTCCATATTTTAGATTATTTGATGATTTAACATTATTAAAAAAATTATGTTTTCTTTCTTTATAAAAGAAGAGATAACCACAACGAATGGTACTTCGGCTTATAATCCTTGGCCTGGATTCAAATTTACCGGCGAACTAAGACCTTACCCTCAAACACCTATAAGAACGGTTCCTAAACATATCAACCGCCCCGATTACGCCGACCATCCAGAAGGTTTCCCAACTAGCGAACGAGCCATTAGGGGATCCACAAACATTGTTCAATTAAACGACGAAGATCAAGAGTCAATGAGAACAGCTTGTAAATTGGCCAGAGAAGTTTTAGATATAGGCTCTCAGGCTGTCGAAGTAGGAGTTACTGCAGACGAAATAGATAGATTGGTTCACGAAGCTTGCATTGAAAGAGATTGTTATCCTTCACCACTGAATTATTATAATTTTCCAAAGTCTTGCTGTACATCAATCAATGAAGTCATTTGCCATGGTATACCAGATACCAGACCCTTAAAAGATGGAGATATTGTAAACAGTATGTTTGCTATATGTATATTTGTTCAAATTGTTCAATTATGTTTTATTCTTCTCCCCCACTTCTCTAGTTGATGTTACTGTGTATTACAATGATTTCCATGGTGATTTAAACGAAACGCTATTCGTTGGGAATGTACCCGAATCGAGCAAAAATTTGGTTAAAGTAACGCACGAATGCCTATCAAAAGCTATAGAAGAAGGTAAGATAATTACTTACAAAGATAGTTTTACTCTTTTAAACCCTGTACTGAAGAAAAAAATCAATTAAAAATCTCTTTAATTAGTTCGACCCGGCGTAAGATATCGTGATATGGGAAATATTATTCAAAAACACGCTCAACAACACGGTTATTCAGTTGTTCGCACTTATTGCGGACACGGAATACATAGACTCTTTCATACCTCTCCTAATGTTCCCCATTATGCTAGTAAGTATTCTTACCATTCTGTTTTTCTATCGTTTTTTCATTTATTCTCTTACTTTTTCTTTTAGAAAATAAAGCTGTTGGTGTAATGAAACCTGGACATGCTTTCACAATAGAGCCAATGATTTCAGAGGGTACTTGGCGTGATGAGACTTGGCCAGATAATTGGACTGCCGTAACACAGGATGGAAAAAGATCGGCTCAGTTTGAACATACCCTATTAGTAACCGACACTGGATGCGATATCTTAACGGAAAGACCAAAAGGTCAACCGTGGTTCATGGACAAACTCTGAAAGGCTCTTCAAGTAGAAATATAAACTAATTCTAGAAAATGTCTTTTTTCTTCTTCTCTTTTTCTCTTTTAAGAATTTTATTAGGAATATAGAGACCAAAAACACAAACAGGAAGAAAGCAGCAACAAATGTAACCTCCTACACGCATTAAGATATCCCAAACTTTTATTAAGAATAGATAAATTTTTAGACTAAAATAAAACCGAAATTAAGTGTTGCTTATTGTTTTTGTACTTGAAAATTATCTACAAGGCAAGCTAATTGATTAAAAATGCCTATAATTAATAATTGATAATCTAAACGGCAGATGACGCTTTACCTACTACATATGGTGTCTAAATTCATTTCGTTGCTGACGTTTCGCTATTCTCAGGGGTAACACATTTTTACTGTACAATTTTTTTTTCTTATAAACTAACATTTCACAAAAAGGAACATTTAATCACTATCCCATAACTCAACAAAATAATTTCCTCGTCAATAGATAGGGCCTGTGGCAAGGTCATCTTTAGGAGTTGGTAGTCATGACTAAAGTATTAAAGAATATTAAATATATATGCAGTGATGATAAAATTGATGAATATTGCAGTCATCTTAATTCGGATAAGACATTTCATGATTTTGGTAACGAACACTTTGAAAAGACAGTTTTTGATTTATATTTACCGAAGGACAAGGGTAAAGATAAGAGAAAACTCATCGTGTTCGTTCATGGAGGAGGTAGGCGTACTCTCTATTATGATTATTTAAATTTATAGCTTATGCTAGTTATCAAGTCATTTATTATCTATATATACTAATATATATATACTGTATATAAATATATATGTATATTTCTCATACAATCCCATAGGATGGAGAGCTGGCCATACCGATCCTTGGAGACATTTCGTCTCCCACTACGACACTAATCTCTTTGCTTTCCTCCTTCTTTATTTGACTAATTACGTTTCCCGAATGGCTCATTGGTTTACTAGTCAAGGCTATGCTCTAGCTGTTGTTACTTATCCATTATCCGCACCAAGTTTTCCCTTCAACTTAGTTGAAATGTTTGTCATCAGGCCTATAGTGTCGAGTTTAGTTGTATTTTTGCCGATTTCAGTTGCCAATTATATTCTCCACTACATAATTGGCTTCGCAATAAACATCCGTTCGCTTTGGTGTCTCTCTCAACTAAGCATTTGGATTGTTATCGGAGTTTTTAAAGCCCAATATAGGATCAATATTCTTCAATACCTTTGTCCTCTGATAATATGGATTTCATTAAATTATTTCCTCTTTTATCCCACTCTATCAAGTAGTTTTCTTCTATGGGGTTTCATAGCTGTTGTTCACTTTTATAGGACGAATAGACTAATCTCGCATCCAGTCCACGTTCAACACATTGTCAAAGCTCTAAGGACGATAGATGAGATTCGAAAAAAATCTAATCTATATGACTCGCTCGTACTGTCTGGACACTCGGCAGGTGGCCATTTATGCTCGTTAATTGCTTTCCAAGAAAATATCCTACCCGATTATCACTTAGATTTAAAGGCTTTAAAAGTTGATGGAATAATCTACATAAGCGGCGTTTACGATCTAATAAAGTTAAGCAAGAGTTTCCTGGCTAATCAAATATATGTAAAGAACCAATTCACTCAAATAGCAACTACCCTTTCAAAGGCTTCTCCTATAAATTATATTAAGGACAAAAAGAATAAACACATACCTATGCTATTTCTAAATGCAAACTATGAAAAGATTCTATTAAATCAAACTGAGGAGATGCTCCAGTTACTCAGGAAAAACAATTATCAAGTAGATTTTCATTTATTTAAAGATTTCAATCATTTCGATATCGTTCAAGGATTTAGCGATAGTCAGACTTTTCAATCGATTGTATTCGATTTTATTTCAATTGGAACATGTCTTCATAACGAACTGGAAAGAGACGAGAAGAGTCAATTGAAAGGAGAGAAAGTATAAAGAGATGAGATTAACCTGTATACTTGATAAGAAATCCTCTCCTCCTTGTTCCTCCTTGATAATCAACTCTTAAATGTTTGAAGATACCGTCGGTTTGCTCATCCGTTCGATTACACGATGGAACGCTTAATCTCCTATCGTTGTTGTCAATATCCTCTATAACAAGAGTGCTGCATTGATTGGCATTCGCCTCATCTGGCATATGTAAAATCTAAAGAAATCATAAAGAAAAGACAAAAAAAATGGACTAGTTCCGGAAAGACAATTTTGTGGAAAAAAAAAAAAAATTGCTATTTATAATTATACTTGAACTTGTAAATGTTGTCCAGGGTTTGTCCTTAAATCTAATTTGCACGAGGATCTAGGGGGCATTCCCTTTGGATAATTAAATGTTGTTATGTAACCAGTTTTGGGTTCATCTATTCGTACGACCTTGTCTTTTCCACTACACATATAGATAAAATCTGAAACTATTTAATAAAATAGAATAAAGACAAAGCATCTAATGGAAAGTGTTTGAAATTTTACCGTCAGCGCATTGATGTTCAGTTTCTAAGTACTTTTCAATGTCCGGTAGGCAGGGATTGGAAAATTCCCTATCGTTTACCGGAACTTCGCAATAGGTTGTTCCAAAGCATAATCTTTGAACAGATGCTATTGCATTAGGATCGTAGCATGTTTGGAATTTTTGAGGATTACATATTTCTTCTTTCCTCCTCCCATAGACGGCGCTTTCAATTACCATAAAATTTCCCTCATCTGGATAACACTTGATTTTGAGAGTAGACTCTTGACAAGTGAAACGATGATAATCATCCAATTGAAGTTTTAAGGGTTCTTCATCAGGAAGGCTCCCATGAGAAGTTGAGCGCTTAACGTAATCACAGATAAGAACTATTTGGACTAGATAGTATAATAAATTAACTAAACGAAGCATTCTCGTTTTCCCCTTGACAAAAGGGTGTAATACAGATCTTAGCCCTATTTTCAATACATATTAATCAAAAGTTGTTGGTTCAAGAATTAATAATACACCGGCAGCCACCCCCATTATCGCCATCTGTCGGAAGGACGACTGGGCAAACAGTTTTGCGTTGTATAGGAAGAGGTTAATTAGAATGAAAGAGTGCTGCAGGCAGTGGAGGAAATGATGAAGAAAAAGATGATTAATGAATAGAGTAATATTATATAAAGTAGAAAGAATTAATAATAGATAATTGGACAGAGTGAAGGCTATTTACGGAAGAGAGGGTTGAGTCTGGGCGGAAAGTAGACTGAAGGGTTGGGTTTTAGATGTTATGACGAGCAAGAATAGGTTAATATTAATTAGCAAACTGTGTATATAATCGAGTGAGAGCCACGCATACATTTTACAGTAATTCTATAACTCGCCCAGTGTAATATTATCATAATATAAAGGATATAATCAAGTGAACGATCTGGCGAGCGACACTTTCTTATTAAGTCAGTTAATGACACGTTTTTTACGCCTACCCGTTGCTATTTTTACACCAAATATTATAATATTACTACTACTTATAGAGGAGAATCACTATTGTCGTCCGTAGTACGGAACGTACAACAAGGATAGTTCTACGGAGGCAAGTAATTCATTAAAAAAAAACCCCCAGATAAACAATAACAATTTTTTTCAACAATTAATGAAACATTTCTTTATTAATAAATTAAATAATTGTAATAATAATAATAATAAATAATAATAATAATAAAGAACGGTATAAAGAATTCGATAGAAGGTTATAAACCTTATAAATTAAGAAGGATAATAGAAGAACATAAATTCAACTGGACGATTTATTTACAGTATATACAATATACTACCTCGGAGCTATTAGAGTCTGTTTCTTTATCAGAGTCTGGCAATTTGAAAACTGTTTCCCCCGATAAAATCGGCGTCAGTTACAGAATTAATTACCGCGGAAGAGACAACGTTGTCTGAAGATATTCTTATAAATTCTACGTCTTTTCCATTATCAATACAGTAGTTGGTCGTACCCTGAGCTCGGCTCATTTGTTCGATATGAAATACAGGTATAAATCAAACTCTATTCTCTATTTATTCTATCTAAATTACTGTTTTATTATTTATTATGTAATTTTAATAATTTATACTTTGTTTTCTTTTTTATACGTAATCATTATCAGGTGGTTCTTTTTCACCTGCCTTATTGTCGTCTTCTTCTCGTCGAGTCTTGAAAAACCGGTCAGAAGCGACAGTTTAATTGCCAGGCTAGACAAATGTGTAGCGTCGATAGTTCTTACTGAGGAGGAGAATGATAATTGGAATGATTTGAAATCTAAACATTTAGCTTCAAGTTTCAACGCATGTGATGATGAAATATGGCGGCAGTTTGGAAAAGGAACGTTTACTTGTAATGAACTTTGGAGCATATTTCAAATAGAGTTTCTTGAATGTTTTATTAGAAAGAATAAGATGGTTATGGAATCAGGATAAGAAAATTTCTCCTTTTCGCAACCTAACTCCATATCTCCAATCCAGTAGTTCTACTAAAACTGCCGCCGCATCTGCTTTCTTCAGAACCTCATCTCCCTGATATTCCCGTTATCTATTTCTCACAGACATTCTCTGTCTCTGGTTCCCTACCTCAACCTTCTCACAAAAAGCAAGCGTCTCTCTCATGGTCTCTCAATCTCACTCAATTCTCCCTTTCTCACCCCCTTTCACACTCTCTCTCTTTTCCATGTAGGCCCACTCAATATCTCTTGCACTTTCTAGCTCAACCTGTTCCTGCTCCTCCTGCTCCTCTTGCTCCTGCTCCTCCTCCTCACAAAATATTTAACAGCCGCCTACTTTACTCCTCTCCGCCCATCTCAATCCTCATACATTAAAAAAAAAAAGAAATAAAAGAAAGAAAATGGAAGTATACAAGTGATTTATCCATTAATCCCATAATGGATAAGCTTATGTAATCGATCTATTTTTTTGATGTGTTGAACAAAATCAAAAAAAAAATAACTAAAAAAAAATTCCTGTGCAGTAAAAATTTACTGTATTAATAAAAAAAAGTAGAGAGCACAATATGGAAAAAATGTACATTTTTAAAGACTTTTTTGACTTTAAACTTGTTTTTTCTCTTATTATTTTATTCCTCTTTTTTGCTATTCTTTATTTTTATCTATCTATCTATAAATGTTTAACCAATTGATATAAGTAACAAAAACTTTGTAAGGCTGTAATATACGAAGATAAAACTTTTCTAAGATGATATTTTCTTAAATTGGTACTTTCCTTAAATCATATCCCTTCTTCAGACACTACAATGCCACCTATAGGCGATCGGTGTAAGCTTATATGTGCGTGTGCATGTGTGTGCGTGTGTTTAAAAGCATAAAAGTATGTATGTAACTAGATGTACAGTGTATATTCTTACAATTATAAAAGCGTAAATCGGTATATTAGATTTTTACTACTACAGTATTGCATTGTTCTTTGAGAGGGAGAGAGAGAAAGGGAAAAGAGAAAGAGTGAATGAAAGGGTTAAAGAGGACTTTTCGAAAAAAATATAGATTTTGAAATAAATTATATGTCACTAACAACGGTCGGATAGATAAAGATAAATTTGGATGAATAGCTAGACGGAACACACGAAGAAAGTAGAAAAAGAGACAGGCATACTGAGTGCGTAGTATAACAGTATATAAAATGATGTATGAATGCCTTAAGTGTAATCAGTGTTTATGATCGTGTAACTAGATACTTGCGCAGATTGAAAATTAGTAAACAATTACAGAAAATGGCGACAAAGACGAGACCTTACTATCTATAATCTGTTAATACGTTATTCGCCCCCCTTTCGCTCACTCTCTCTCTCTCTCTCGCTTCTCTCTCTTCGCTCTCAAACTAGCTTGCTCTTTTTCTTCTCGACACCCCTTCACCCCACCGCCTTCCCTCGTCGGTTTACAAACTGCGGATCTATCCGAATAGACCTATAGAGTATAGGTTAAGAAAAGATCTAGGGTGAAGGTCATTTATAATAGATTCGACTAGTTAGCTTCTGATGTTTATCGGGCTTGTGCAGGTTTTTTTGGCACAGTTACTACAATCGCGATAATGACTCTGATAGAAAACATGCTGTTGGGAAAAAAATCCGATTAAAACACAACTCTAGCTCGGCAAGTAAACGAGGCAGAAAATGGATAACAAAGCTACCAGTTTGAACAGCACCCAATACAAAATCCAGGAGAGCTTTTACCGCAATTTTACTGATATGGGCAACTTTTACGACAATAGAACAAGTGGTGCAAACCTTGGTGACATCTTTAAACAACTCTTAAAGACTGTTACTTTTCGCAGATCCTTAACAACTTGGTAATAATTTTTCTTAAAACTTCATCCATTCATTCTTCTCTTTCTCTTTCTCTCTCTCTCTCTTTCACACACACACACACATACACACACACACACACACAAACAAACACACACACAAACACACATGTATATACACCTATGCACACATATACACACATATATATATATCTATACTGTATATATATATATATATACAACACTATATACATGTCTCATCCATTTCTATTTTATATGTATTTCTTAATTTAATAGGGAAGAGATTATTATAATCGTCTTTTATGTTATCGTCGCCGCTGTAGCGGCAATTGGCAATGTTCTAATAATGATCGCTTTCAAGAGGAACACAAGATTACGGAACGTAACCAATTCCTTCCTGCTATCTTTAGCGACGAGTGATCTTTTCATAGCCATATTTACGATGCCCTTTCAGGTAAGTTTAACATTGGCCTGTATATTAACTATACAAACAATTTGAAATCATTCTAGTTGTGCCAGAATTTATACATTGGATGGAGTTTGGGGAAAGCTAGTTGCCAGTTTGCCAAATATTCGCACGCTGTCTTTATGCTGGTTAGCTCCTTAACTCTAACAGCTATAGCCTTGGATAGATGTCTCCTCTTTCACAATCCGTGGAGGACCAGAAGTCTTCTTACAATGAGGAGGGCATACGTCGTTATTAGTTTACTCTGGCTAAGCGCCGGAGTGATGATGATTCCTCGCATAATATTTTCCGGACTGCAGCCGAAGTATATTAATGGAGAAACTAAGCATATTTGTGTCTTTTTCGTTCCGCAACACATACCGAATTTTGCTGAAATTTGGATTACAGTAGAGACGTCTAGTTTCTTTATAATTCCTTTCGTAATCATATGCGTGAGTTATACCCTTATCGGTATCAGATTAAGCAGGAGAGAAATTACCGGAGGTGACGAAACTACACACAGAATTATCAAGCAGAACAAGAGGATAAACATTATGATTATTTGCGTTATGTTAGCATTTGGTCTTACTTGGACGCCGTATTATATGTTCAAACTTTATCTTAATTGGACAGGCCACCATCTGGGAGATATGAATAAGACAAGAATGATTCTATCTCACTCCTTTGAGCTTCTCGGCTATAGTAACGCTGCAATGAATCCGTTCATCTATTGTTTATTGAATCAAGTTTATCGGTCGGAAATGAAGAGTATCTTTTCATCTTGCCCTTTGAAAAAGTATTGGATGACAGTCATTTCCTATTCCTCTCAAACCGAATCGAGGAGTGAACCGTCAACTAGAAACGTGAATAGCATGTCGTGCCTTCAAACGACAGCAGTCACGGAGGCTGACGAAACGAAAGTGTAAAGGGGAGGAAGAGATGGATGAGGAAACAAAACAACAAAGAGTAAACAAACAAATAAAAATATGAACATTTTTTTCCTTCTTTTTATTTTTAATTTCTTTTATCACTTTTTAAATTATTTTGTTTAATTTTTAATTTTGCGGTGATTTATCTGTTTTTATTTCAATGTGCATAATAAGAATTACTCGATTATAACGTATATTTAGACATATCTCTGATGAATCTCTCTCTCTCTCCTTGAGAAGATAAAAAGTTAGGATTAAGTGATTACAAAAATATTTCTTTTTTACATATTAGATATACGATAAAAACTGTTTTTATCAATTGATCAAACTCTCTATTCGTTTAAATTTCTTATCTTACTCTCTCCCACTCTCTCTCTCTCTCTCTCTCTCGTACGTGCGCACACGCGCTGTCCTACTATCTAAAAAATACACTTCTCAATGATCATAAAAACTACTCTTCTTCTACTTAAAGAGTCGATTGTTATCATCTTTTCTGTTCGACTTCTTTTCCAATTGTACTGACAAATATCGAGCAAAAAAAAGATTTAAAGTGTTATTGTCACGTTTTTTGTTTAGAAGATTTATCTAATTTCTTAACTATATACCATTCATTTCCTTCTCTCTTCGGACTTTTAAACTCTGACCAATTTGAGTTCAAACAGACTCAAGATATATGTATACATTTACTCTAACAAAGTTAAATTGCACTCCAACCAATTCCCATTAATATTTGTTACCAAGATATGAAAGTACTTTAGTATCGTATCTCTTGGCTCGTGGCGCCAAACGTTTTCCAAACTTAATTCGATCTGTTTGTCAATTAATTACTTACTAAAAGGCCTATAATTATGGAAAAAACATACAAAATTCAGGCTTTTTCCAACCTTGAAAAAACAAAAAAGGCTCCCGCTAAAAAAACAATTCATACTAGACATTTTGTTATTCTTTTACTTGTTTATAAACATTATTTTTACTATTTAATTAATCAGCTTTTTACCTATAAGTACGTGTTTTTTCCTAATTCGACACACCCCTTCATAAACTACGAAAAATCTGCCATTATGTTACACTTGTAGACAAATACAATAATTAGGTTTGTTTACGCATCGTTTCCAAAGATCTACGCACTATAAATATATTCAAACGAAATTAATGCTTATTACGTTATTTAGAGGTGCATATCGCTATAAAACATTTAGAAATGTTTCTAAAGATCGCTAGCTCCATCTACGTTAATTTAAAATAGGTGTATAAATAGCTACAACCTTAATTGAAGATAGCGATTTGCCCATTAATATATATTAATTAACAAAGTAATTTTATTATTTTTCGTTTTTCGCTACATATCAACTTCTTAAGAGTTTAATAGTTTATCGACATATTCTTGAACGAATCTCTTCCTATCATTGTCATCTTTGAACTTGAATAGGCAACAGTTTTGATTAAAATTAACCATATTCTCTTCTGTCATATTTTCATCATCTTTTTCATGCTCTTCCTCTATTATCTTATCATCATCCGTCTCATCATCGTCATCTTCTTCCTCCTCGCCACCTCCTTCACACTTCTCATCAGCATTTTCGTCCTCATTCTCCTCTTCTTCCACCCCCTTGTCTGTCTCCATAATATTTCTCTTATTATAATTACATTTTTCCTTCTCGACATAGTCATTATCTTCGTCATTATTGTCATTGTCACCAATGTCGTGAAAATCATAGACTATTTTTTGCTTACTTCGCATATATTTCTTAAATATAGAGAAATCGGTATTATCAAGTTTAACTATAGGTTTAATTATTGTAGGTTTCACTAGTTTCACAAATGCTTCTAGTTCTTCCAGAGAACTATGGTCAGAATAGGGAATGATAGCACAATGCTCACGCACTTTGGGCTCGGCTTGACCGGAAGGTAATAGAGTAAAATGCTCAGTCTCATCACAGGCTTTATTCTAAATAGACGAGAGGGAAAGAAAATAGAAATTATAGGAACGCTTTCTTTTATATTATAGTTGGTTATTTATATATATAAAAGATAAAATTTCGTTCGTTATTACTTTAAGTTTGTAAGGTAAAGCTATTATTTTACCACCATCTCTATCTGTTGTAAACATGGAAATATCAACATCCTCCAGCTGCTGTATAATATTCATATGAGAATGATCAACAACAACTTTAGTATTATTTGCAGCAGCAACAGTTATTAGAATGTTTTCTTTTCCTATTTTAGGTGTGATTATTCTAATTTTATTCTTTACTAGGCAAAGTTCAATAATCTTCTCTAAAGCATCGATTCTGGACGGAAATGTTCGATATTTTTCTGAACAATAAGTATTATCTAGGTATAACACATCAACTTCTTTCGGCAAGCACGAAATACTTTTAAAACACCTCTCAAAACGAAAGTCTCCGGTATAAAGAATAGAACCAAAGTCACCTTGAAAAAAAAAAAGAATAAAGCGTATTAAAAAAATGTTCTTTTTTTTGTTCTTTATAGAATTTATACATTTCTATAAATAAAAAATAACTTTACCTAAACTTTTATTTTCTATTTAACACTAAAAATTAATTAAATCAATTATGTTTTTTGTTACTCTTTCCATTTTTTAATATAATAAAAATAGAATATAATCCACGCTTAATTGACGCTAAAATGAATGTAATAAAAAAACAGCTCTTTATTAAAAATAATAAATAAGAGGACGATGGTAAGATGGACAGGAAGTAATTTAATTTCGATTATTTAATGAAAAGTTCTTGTTTCACAGCAGTAATTACTCATTAAATTTCATTTAAATATAAATATACATTATATATATATATGTATATACGTGTTGTTTTTTTTGATTCTTTATATAAATAGAATATTAAAATCTACTAAATAGTGTTTCTATATATGTACTGTATATGTACTGTACGCACATATCTGCTTTCTTACTTTTGTCACTTAAGCTATTGATTATTTATGAAACCATTATCTTATTTTCTATATTACGAGTATTCTGAAAGGGAATAATTATGAATACCTTCAAAAAGAAACATTACAGCTCCTGGGCAATGTTCGGCATCAATTAGTCTAACGTTTACAACCTTTCCTGTAGATGTCTCTAGCTTATGTTTTACGTTGACACTTAATATTCTTATATATTTTTCATTCACCCCCAAAACGTTTTTTGCAATTGCTGCGCTGATTTCTGATGCATAGAAAACTTGATTCCACTTTTTATTGAGGCCTTTTGTATGATCTGAGTGACAATGGCTTAAAAATAATAATCGACCTTGTAAGCAGTTATTTTTATTCGTCCAAAAATCAACCGCTACAGGAGCTTCTGTTAAGAGATGACCATTCGACATCGTAGATTTTATTCCAAACAAGTTTTTACTGCATTCAAATATGAAAAACTTATACCCGTTTATGTAAAGACGGGTTAGTCATCGAATCTATTAAAGCTTCGCACTAAATACCCCATTTGGCGCGTTTAAATGAAACAAAAAAAGCCAAAAACTCCTTTAAAAGTAACAAAACTCGGCTAAAAACAAAAGATTTACGGTCATAATTTTTAAGTTTTTATTCGTTTCTAAAAAAGAAAAAACAACAGCTAGTCTTCAATGCTCGGCTAATACTTAATCTTTTTATCTTTAGTTAGAAAGTAAGGGAATATGGAAAGGGAAGCGTTGAAAGGTAAAAGGAGTGAAGGAGAGTGTGAAAGAAAATCCAATATTCGTGAAATTTTCAATAAGTCCATTCTCTCAATTTTAATAATAGACTTAACTTAGTCAAATGGCCTTAGGAATACATTATACTTTTCAACAGAATGCTCAGTTTGCTCAACAGCAGTGGCAAAATGACTTTCATTAATTCCCTCAATTAACTGATCTGTTAAAAGAACACAATAATCCTCTTTCGTAACCAAGAAAGCGTCACTCATTTTATCACAATCTAACCCGTAGAGGGGACTTATATTCTTCATGAGAGAAGATAATGAAAAATCATAGAGCAATATTCCATGAAAGACTTTTTTTTCAAGCATTTCTATCCATTTTTTCTTGTGCTTATCATAATAGCTTTCGTCCTCGTCGCTGGAGACTTCCTTCATTGTTCTTTTGCAGTGTGTAGGTTTAGGTGAACTTGATAGAATTTCTTCCCTACTCCTAAGATAATAGAAAATAATAGAGGGAAATTTTACAAAACATTTAAAATAGTAGTTCTTGATTTTTTTGAATGTTTCTTGATTTTTTTAATATATACAAAGATGGCGTAAAAAAAAGAACCTATTTAAATTAGAGAATAGATATCAATTATAATTTATAAAGCTTTGTAAAACAACCCTCTAGTTGCGATTTCGAAAAAATTAAACTTTTTCCTTCTTCTAGATGCCATTGAAGGTGATTCTTGGCAGAGATATAGGCTTAATTTAGCTTTAACTTTCTTGGAATGAAGAGCATTTTCAAGTCGAATTCCATCAATTAAACCGCATATTTGAATAAAATCCTCTCTGCTTAGACGCAGAATATCGATACCAGAAAAGTCACGAAATGTGTTGATGAATTGTTCAAACCGATTTTCTTTTAGCCATTGACAAACTTGGTTTGTTGTTGACGACTCATGCAATTTCGTCAGTTGATTAATTTTACGATTTTGTTTAATTAACCTATATTCCTAACAAAATTGTTGAATGGGTATATTAATTATTGTTTGTTTTGAATACTATAAATAAAAAAATTAATTAAAAAAGGGGGAGAAAATAGGGTTAGGAGAGAAAAGAAAATAGATGGAGGAGAGGAGGCGGAGGAGGAAGAGCAGGAAGAGGAGAAAATTTACTCTATTTCGTTTCCCTTTTAATTAAATCTTAATTTCGAATAAATTAAATTAATGTAAATTAAAGATAGATAAATTTTTATACCATATCGTTTGAATAATTAAGCTCTTTTGTCGATTTTAATTCCAAATCCATAAGGATTGTTGTAGACGTTTCAGGTCTAAAAGCAATTCTTTCATTTCTGAACTTTTTCTCTATCTTTTCTCTATCTGTTCTTTGTTTTCGATCAGCTCCCTTTGACTTGAACGTCTTTACTTGACAACAAGCTGCGTGTATGATTCGACCATCTTGATAAGTTTCCACTTGAATTCGAAATGGTACTCCTAAAATATTAAACAAAAATGCTAATCGTTTAATAGAGCATTATTCATTCTTAACCTTTTTCTCCACCCTGCTTTCTCGGACTAAACTCCGAACTGGTACACTGGATAATAAAGAAGATAGATGCTTCGACATCTTTCCATAAGAATTTTATTGAATTGACGCTTGGAAACGTAACATCAAAGAAACCAAATGAAAGAGATGTCTCCAGATCCAATAGTCTTTCACCGGGATGATGATTTTGCCACGATTCTATTAATTCCTTTTCGTGATGCTGAAATCTCTTATCATGAAAAGTTAAAATGATTTGACTTTCTAAAATCTTCAAGTCTTCTCCGCTTCTTTGTAATCTTAATTCGTAGGGTTGCGATTGGTTAAGATACGTCAATGTCTCATCTTCCAATTTCGTAGCCGCCGAAATGGGAGCGCACAGCTCATAAGTAAACAAACTATTACCGTTTGGAAGAGTCAAAAGGGCTTGGCTGAACAATGGCGAAAGAAAGGCTTTAGATAAATATAGTATGTATGATACATGTAACAAGTTGCAACTGAATCTAAATCAATTAAAGCAACAAAATTGTCCTAATTTCCGAGATGTTTTAGGTCGAACCTCATATCGAATATTGTCGAATTGACGTCCAATCCAAGGCCCGACAATGAATCATCAAAATCATCGATCAAAATCTCATTTATCTCCTGATTTTTAGGTTCTGCCATTTTCTCAAGAGAAAGTTTAAATATGGTTCGTGTTGATTTCGAATTGTTATCTTCGCTTATCTTATAAACTGATGCAATAGGGGGCGCTTTACTAGCTTGTCAAAAATATAAACATTACGATACTGAGAAAAAGGTCAAAATTAAGCCTATCGATCCAACGAATTAATTAGTATAATTTTTTTTGTAGAAGTCTTTATTATAAAAGGTTTTACGTTTAATAACTTGCTTTCAATATCTTTTTCTCCTTAAACTTTAATCCTCCTTCAAGATAGGCCTATAGGAGAAAGAGTAAGTAATTATTGATAAATTTTTTCGTCTAGCTAAGCTAACTATGCAGGTAGTTAGTCAGGTAAGGAGAGGATTTTGGTAGAAATGAAAAGAAGGGTATAAAAGATATACGAATGTAAATAAATAAGGTAAAATGAGTAGCGGATCTAGTTTGGGTTTTAACAAGCGCAATTTTTTTGTATACAAGTATTTTTCTCAATTGTCATAATTTCTAATTTATTATATTCAAATTAAAAAAATTAGGTCAAAAAATAAATAAAAACAATCAATAAAGTACAATTTTTTGTTTGGTCAGTTGCAAGTCTGATCACATTTAAATATATTTTTAAAGTTATATCAATTCATGATTAGTTTCGTATTAAAGCAGTTAAAAACGAAAGAGGATCTTTTGTAAGACTTAAAATATGACTATCTAAAACATGTAAATAACAAGATAAACCAAGTACACCGACACTTGATAAAAATTAGGGAGAAGATAATAGTTGGAGTAGTAGGCGAGGGAACGGACTTATCAGGAAAGAGTAATCAAATGTAGAATTCCATTCACACCTCTCTTAGTAAAAAGAAACGGCTTAAAAATAACTAAAAAGACAGAAAGACAAAGAAATAAGCAAATTGACAAAATAGAAATAGCATAAGTTCCTAAAATTATATATATATATATATATAACTGTAATGAATTAAATAGAGAGATCATCATTATAATGGTTTTATCAATAATAAAAGTCTTATATAAGCAATAATTCTTCAAAATGAATTGAGAACAATAAAGGTGAAACAAGAATAAAATCAAACAATATGGCAAAATCAATCAGTTTTAAATGGAATATGCTTTTAAAAGAAAGCCTCATAAGATTTATCCCTTCTTTTCACAAAAGGGAAGATTTTCTTATAGATAACGAATGAATGAGAGAGAGAGAGAGAGAGAGAGACAGAGAGAGAGAGAGAGAGATAATGAATACAATAAACATAATTTCAAGCATTTGTTTTTTTTTGGAATCTAATTTGCCTTGTTTTTTACTTTTCTTTTAAATGAAAATAATTTGAGCAGCTAATTTTTTGAGATACAATAATGCTTTTTTTCTCCTTCTTCTTCTTTTTGTTAAATGAATTGATTTAACTAACTTAAAAGGTTAATATTTAGGATTTTTTAATGTTTTCTCTGTTTTTTTTTCTTTTTTTTTTAGGCACTTGTATCGTAACACAGTAAGAGTTTGACTTCTCTCCTTCTCTATTTGAGATAGATGTCATCATCGTTGTCGTTGTCATCGTCGTCTTCTACCTCGAGTAGAAAATCATCGTCGTAATCTTCTTCGGATATCAGGTCGCTGTCCTCCCTGTCATCTAGGTCACCGAGACTATAAAGTTGGTAAAAGAGAATTATATTACGTAGAGGTGTTAAACTAATATTGATTATGAATATAGGCACAAACCCATTAGGAGGAGCGTTGTTCTCTTCTTCCGGATCCAGTGGAGAGCTAGCAAATTTCTCTTTGTCTTGTAACTTCAACAGACATTCAGCAAATATCCTTCCCATAAAGGCCAAATGACTGGTATTAACTTGTTTATTCTTCATCGAACCTATATTTAAGGATCTATATTTATATACTGGTAGACTTACAGTAGATTTAGTAATCTATTATTAATAATAATCTTTCACCTTGATCAAATCCACAATAAGTCGATTCCATTGTATATGATCTAACAATGCCAAACTGTCTCCACACGGCTACTCTTGCGCTTCCTTCCTTTGGTCTTTCAACGGTAAAAGCGCAATTTGATAATGAAAATGCAGGGGAATAATAGTCTAATAGATTAGGCAAGGTTTTCCAGCCTTGATCTTTTAAAGCTGGATTAAATACGTCTGGGCTAATCCAGCTTTCTTTCGGATTGCAACCGAATAGGAAGACATTTTTCCTTCTAGAATGGCCGTGAAGATCGCAAAAGACAAGAGGTTTCTTATTTACAGCTACCAGATAATGTATTAGGGATTTTGTCGCTTTAATTGTTGGTTGAAGATTTGTAGGATTAATCCAATGTCTATTTAGGTCTTCACCTCCTAAACCACATCTATAGTTACCGTTTATAACACCATCCGGATTCAGCATCGGAACAATCTTAAAAATGAAGCTCTCACGTACAAGTTGAGCTACATCGGATAGCAAATAATCTATTAGGCCATGCATGACCCAACTAGCGTTACTCTCTCCAGGATGTACTCTACCCGATAGAAATATGTATGGACGGGAAAGAAATTCTTCAAGACCAAGGCTATCTTTTGTTCTAGGCGGGGCAGTTATGGTAACAACTGGGCAGTCATTTCCACCAAGAGTTTCGCAAAGTTTATTAATTCTAAAGTAAATATTATCATTCTTGCAAGATCTCTCTCTCCAATACTCTAAATTAGTGCGAAGGTAGGTATAAGTGTAAGGGTAGTGGTAAGCTAAATAGCAGACATCGTTCTCGAATGGAAATTCTATTTGAAAAGATGCCGTAAAATAGTTTCTCGAATCCGAACCAACTTGATATTCGTAATGATTCTGGAAGAAAATGAATACAAACCGTGAAAAAGACTAATCTAAAAGCTGAAATTACTATATATTTACCTTATAATAGAAAATATTTGTACCGCATCTCTTCCACATAGGTTTCCCATCCTTTAAACTCTCCTTTACGGAGAAAAGAACTGGTTGCATACCAAAGTTAAATTGACTATTTAACTTTTCGAAATTAACTAAATTAAATGTATAAGTTGTTTTAGCTGACATGTTTCTAACTTCAAAATAGAACCATTGATGATGAGAATTGGTATTTACATCAGAATTTAGGAACAAATCATATTCATAGTCTCTAATTTTAATAACTTTCTTTAAATTACCACTTTCGAATCTTGAATTAAATTCTAATTCGTTTGAACCAAAACCATGATTACGTTCGGATAGAATTCGTTGAATATCATTATTACCCAATTCACTAGCAGAAGATGAAGACAGTGTTGTTGTTGTCTATTTAGAAAAGAGAAAAAGTTGAGTACTATATTGTTAATCTTTATTTTAATTTGATAATTTCTTTTTAATTAAATAAGGATATAAATATAAAATAATTTGGTTTTTAATTAATTCATTTCCCTCGTTAAACTTATTTAAAATTACTTACTAATTCTTCTACATTATAAATCAATTTATTCATCAATTCTTCGTCAAAAACCCTTTTAACATCCGATAAAATACGTCGTTTAAAGGCACTTTCTTTTCTATTTAATAGATTTTCATCGTTTGAACGTAAATGACCATACATATCGGGATAAGCCAGTTTATTAAATTCGTCAACTGATTTTGCATATTTAGATATTCTAGAGTAATCTTCAGGATCAACGCGAAAATCATATTTGGCTGTTGAAAATGCGGATGTAGATACTTCGAAATCATCATCCGATGTACTAGTATTTGGACCAGGACTGAAATTAAAACGTAAACTTTAGTTCTTTCTTACTCCTAATACTTGACAATATTTATATATATAGTATATATAAATATAAGTTAATATACGGATACATATACATATATAGACATGTGTATATATATGTATTTCTGACTAATTTTTCTCTCTCAATCTTTCGCCCTTCATCAGCTTCTTTCCCCCACCCCAACCCCCCTTCCTTCCTCTCTCTCTCTCTCTCTCTTTGTCTGTTTTAAATATTTACTCTAATATTTCATTCAGTGAGTAATAAAGAATGGTATCTACGCTATGTTATATATTAGTTATGAAATGCATTCTCATGTCTATTTCATTCAATGCTAATATTCAATATCTAAATAACTGATTTAATCTGATATAAATAAAGAAAATATTGGAAAAAATAATGCAAAATAATTATTATGTCACTATCCCACATCAAAATACTGGAATATCCTTTACCATTCTCTTTAAATACGTTGGTAATTGAACATTATTTATATATAAATATGTTCTCAAAAATCATCATAGGGCATCGTCTCATTCTTAGTATAGTGAGTTTGGTTTTTTTTATTGTTTGTTTTTGTTTGTTTGATTTTTTTAGAGGTAGAAAATTCATTCGAACTCTGAAAAGAACATTAGAAAATCGAAGAAAAAAACAAAAATATGAGATAAGATGAACAGGTTGGTTGGTTGTTTGATAGTTTTTTATTTTTGACCTACATCTAATCTTTAAGATATAAGGAACCCCAAAAAAAAAAACAAAACTGTGTTAACTATTGTTGACACAATTGACAAAAAAAGAAACTTAATTAATTCATAAAACTGTTACTATTTCGATACTCTTTTCAATTAAAAAAATGAAGTAATATGTAAATGTATAGTATCTAGGTTAAATAATACGAGAAATTCGAATAAGTTCAATACTACGATAAAATATAAAAAAAAGAATAATAGTATAGATTAAAGAGTTTTAGATAGATATAGTTGTCCTTGTTGTTTAAATTATTATACAGTATATATATATATATATATATATTAATATTAATGTGTACTAACCCAGATATATCGGCAAAACATTCAAAATCAGTAAGTTCAGGGAAGAATACACTATAATTTTTAACATCATTCCAATTAAGAGATATATTATATAAAGGTGTTTCGACTTCAGGATCATCTTCGTCATTATTCTCGGGAAGGTTATAACGTTGTACCGGATAAGAGCAAACTTTAATTCTAGGTATTAATCGGCGAAGAATTAAAGATAAAAGCATCCCGTTTGAATCGGAAGTTTCGTAAATGTCCGAGAGGATTTCTAATGGGAGGGGGTTATATACGTTATATAATTTTGTGTTAATAATAATTTATGTATGTTTTTATATAGATTAATAAATAAATAAAGTTTTAAATATTAAAATATTTCTAACCCAAAGCTCCACAACTATTTAAAATACATCGGGCTTGTTTTAGCATAGCAACACGTTTAAATATTCTCAATAGACCTTTTCGAATAGCATTAAATCTTGGTTTAGTATTTTCGTACTTTTGCCAAAAAACAAACAAGTTTAACAGAGTGGGTAGGGCGTCACCGCCAACTAATCTAGCAGCATTATTCTTATTCTTAACCAAGACTGATATAGTTTCTAAAGTGAACTTGAGAAGCATAGTATACTTTTGTCCGCAGCCATTTACAATTTTCATTAACGTAACTAGGATATTCTCTTTTCCCATATAAGACGAATTTAGTGCGCTGGCCGAACAAAGTTTTAGAACATGAACAATTGGTATAATACTTCTATAGTACGTTGAACGTTCCCGTACCAAATTAATTAAAACCTGTAGAATAGATAATTAAATACTCAACAATACTCGTAAACTTTTTATTCTGTTGTTTAACGTGTAACAACACGAAAAACGAAGCGGAAAAAGTCAATAGATCCTTCAATATATAGTATAATTAATTGACTATTGTAAACTTTTAAAACAAAAAAACCACTCTAAAGGGTTTTTTATATATGTCTGTATGTTTATAAATACCCATAAATAAAAAATAGAGTTTTTTTAGTCAATAAATTAATTAACTAAGTGAAGAAAATAAATTGTTTGTAATTTAGAGAAAATTGAAATTTTACCTGTAAAGCGCCAGTTAATCGTGCCTTAGTGGCAACTTTCTTATCTCTCACTGCTAGCTTTGTTATTATTGTAAAACAATTTAAAAGTATTTCTAAGAATCCGCTACGGTTTTCAAATCTCACAACATATGTAAAAACTGTTTGGGTAACTCCTTGTTGAACTAAGGCAACTAGCCTTGAAGAGCCGGATGATGAAATTAAATCTCCTAAAATGTCCACAGTTAACTTTGTTATTTTTTCATCCTCGCTCAACTTTGGTGTTCTCAGTAGAATGTTTAACGAGTTATTACAATTTTTTGCCAGAAAATCCCTATTAGCCTTATCTTGCGATCGAATATATTGAAGAGTTTTCGTTAAACAGTTTCTAACTTGAATAGTTTCATCTTCGTTCCATTGATCATTGGAATTTTGTAACTTGTCAAGATTTTGAATAACGGCGGCCAATCTCATATTTACTTCGAGCCGTTCTGCTGTATTATAGCTTCTGCATGATGCTTAACAGTGAAAAGAATTTATAAATAGAGATGACCTTGACCTCTATCTTGAAATAACCAGTTTATTTTGAGAACCAAAATAGACTGGTCATGAATTTTTGGATTCCAATGCCAACGAAAAATTACCAGTATTTAGTGCACGCGCATTTGGCATACTAAAGTTTATGATTTTTACGGTTGTTTTGCTGCCTGCAGTTATTTATACAGTCAATAATGCAGTGTGCATCACCTACCAGATATCTAGACGATGACCCAGATCTTTGTGTGACACCTTTACGTGAATTGAAGAATTTGGACGAGAGGAAACCTGTCAGAGTTCGATTCGATAAAACGGTTAAAATACAAGAAGTGTCCCCAAATCAATCATCTTCTCTAGATCTTTCTATGTCAGACAACGAGAATAATAGTTTAGAAATTATAGACATTCAACCGAAAACATTAGTTTCTCATGATTTTACATTATCGTCGAAAATCGATTTATCCGAACCAGTAGAAAATGTTCTTTTCCGTCCAGAACTCAATTCCACGCTCAGAACTAAACAAAAAATGAAATTGATCGAGCAAGAGGAAGTTGACCTATGTTCAGCTGTTGAAAAGAAGCTCAAAACCCCGTCCGTAAGGGAGTTTGTTAAGGGAAAGGTTTGTATTTTTTTATTTTGATGAAATCCTAAGTCAAATAAAATAAACTTTTTTTAGATAACATCCAAAGTAAACGCAAATGAAGATTTTTACAGGAATTTGCAAAGTGTAGATACGATGGAAAATGAATCTCTCTTTATTAAACCTGTAAAAACAACCAAGCAGAGAGAAGTAAGTAAAGTAAGCATTTATTCTAAATACTCCTTAATAAATTTTCGAAATGATGCTAATAGGCCAAAGAAGCCCTTGTTGATTCACCGATGTTAGACGAATTCGATAGGGGAAATATTCAAAAGGAATCTTTGTCTTTAACTTTACATAGTCAACCTCGTTTCGAAGTTGGTTTAGTAAGAGTTCCACCTTCAGCTGGATTTATTGTTTACGAACATTCAAGAACATACGACGGTTTAGCTTAGCATATCAAACTAAAGAGATTCTGCTATTGAGTTTTTTTATTTTTAAATTCTTTTATAATTCTCTTCTTAAAATAAATTCTTGTTAGGATCAAATTCCTTTTCAATTTGCATCCAACTTTCGCCCGCTGATAATAAGAAATCATTCTAATACTATCCTATAACGTAAAATACTAGGTCTAATGGATACATCTTCCAAGAAAATAGGATTTATTTGATTTAGAAAAATTGTTGAGCTAACTAAAATTAGATGTAGAGAAATAAACGTAGGAATTTTCCATTTTTTTTCTTATTTTCTTCGTTTTCTTTATTATTCTTAATAAAGGAAGGAAAGGAAGAATGCATTTTGGCAATATGTTAAAAAAATTGATAGATATTTAAACTTTATCACCATCATATTTACAGATCATTATAAAAATATTTGTATCCTAATTAAACATTATATTATATTATACTATGTATTTATATACATATATAAATATATATTTTACCTGAATAAAACAAATTAGTGACGTTAAAATTCAAACATACACTTATATAACCTTTGTCCTAACTTAACATATTCGTCTCTTTCTCTATCGGTCATTGTTTCAACAAGTTGCTCGTCTATTGAACTATAAAGTACAGGTTTACCACCGACGTATATAACTGGATCTTCTTCTGGCCGACCTATATCCATTTTATCTTCATTATCAATTTGAACTGTAGAAACTATTTGAACTTTGGGTTTGGATTTTCTTTCGGCTTGTTTTGCAGCTTGTTTTAAGGAATTTTTCTCGTTAGCTTCATCTTCTGAACTTGTACTGTCGTCTGAATCACTACTTTCGCTTGTCTTTTTAACAACTGATGACACAAGATTATTCTGTTTGCCTTTCCTCTCATAGATTAGTAAAGTGTTAATAATTTCATCATTTTCACTTTTAGCTTTTGAAACGTTTGTCACACTTGAAGGTGGCGCCATAATGGTGGTTTCGTCGTGCTAAATAATAAATGATAAATAGTAAAAGAAAGAAATCAGTAGAATATACTTTGGCAGGGAATTAAATTAAAATATATATCTATATTTATTACATAAGCTTCTGCTCCATCGATTGTTGATTCCTGCATCCATATTGGCTGCTCTTTCTTTTCTGCTTTTTCGTCATTATCATCCATATTAATAATAATTTGTGGATCAGCAGGATCGTATATTGAATGATTTTTCTCTTTCCACCTTTCTTCTTTTGGAGATTTGGCTGAGTTTCTTGCCTTACCAATGCTATATTCGTGGGGAGCTGGTTCGTTCAGCTCTCTACTTAATTTCATATCTTCTACTTGTTTCAAAAGTTGATATATAGGCTCTATTTGTTCATTAAATTTAACCATTAACGCTCGAGCATCTTCAGCAGGAGTTGTTGTTTCTTCTTCTTCCAACTCGGTTTGACAGTATGTGCACCTAAATAAATTTTCAAAATACTTAGCAAGGATTCATTTTTAACCGAAAATTCGCAACAAACCTAAATTGTTTAGCTATGGGATCAAACAATTGATCCGCTTCTAAATCAGTGAATTGTTTCTGACAGCATGGACATTTGAATGAAGCCCTATTTGTCGAATCTCTTTCTTCAGTTTCGATTTTCCTTCTCATGTGTTCCAATTTATATTTAACAACGTTCACAAACGTTGTATAATGAATAGAATAATAATTATGCCTAGTTGCTTTTCCCTCACTATCAGTCTCAACCTTCATTTGTACTCTGACGAACTTGTCCAATTTCAAACTGCTAAGATAAGACCGCAATTGTTTTCTAGATGAGGAAAGGAAAAAGCCAATCACTTTTAATCGTTTTTCATTAAGTAAAACATTTATTAATTCTAAATATATTCTACCATTGGTAATGCTAGAAGTTTTGAAAAACATTTTCTAATTGAATGATAATCAATATAGTTCTAATAGATAATAAAACTATATTAGTTTTATTGCAATAAAAAACAATTAACAAAGTTTTCTGAAGTTTAGTTTACTGCATTTATTTTACCAATATTCTAATTCAAAAAACAAGATTTTACAAATAGTATTAAACCGGCGTAACATTTGAAATAATTTAGTACCTTTCAAACTGCAAAAGTAAAGCAATATCATCCTCCTTGATCCCTGGTTTTCTAATAAGCACATCCACCACTAAGGAATATTCTATTCCGTAGAAAGCTCTTATAATATAACGGACTAGCCTCGTTAGGATTTGGGGAACTTCGGTTAAAACACCCGGATCATGAGGATCAGCCATTATCGCTCAGAGATCTGAGTGTTGTTCGTAAACATTCGATGAACATTTAAATTGAATAGGTGGTTCTCTACTTCGTAATTCGCTTCTATTATTGATCCCAAATATTTCATCATAAAATTATACAAAAAAGCTTTTCCGAAAATTTTTGACTGGAATACGAAGACAACCTTCATGACGTCATAAACAAAAAAAATGAAGGAAGAACGGTCGCAAGTTGAAAATAAAGCATAGTTATTCATTCAATGTGATTCACAACCGCTATAAGACGATAAAGACATGAACGGATTATCTTTTAGCGAACTATGCTGTTTATTCTGCTGCCCGCCCTGCCCATCGAGGATTGCAGCTAAATTGGCATTTCTTCCCCCAGATCCTACTTATTCTATCATATCGGACGAATCTGGCTCCAGATTTAGCTTACACCTGACAGAAAGAGCTGAATGGCAATACGGGCAGAGAGAATTAGATTGGATTGAGGTTAGTGCTTTTGACTCATCGTTATGACACAAAAATTGATGGAGTGGTATAAAAGCCTACGCTTCACGCCTTAAGCTTTCATATGTACTTCTTTATAGAAGGATGTCTTTATAACTTATTTTAATATTACTAGAAAATCAAAGAATGTCTTTGTACAAGATGTATATTGGCATATATATACATATAGGAGAGGTATGTCACATCGGTATTATATACCTATCTAAATGGTAGATGGTCTACTAAAATACCACTAAACCTGCCCACTGTGATTCTATACAATTAAACTTGATACTTGTTGATTAGTTACTTCATTACGCTTTTTTTTTAAACATTAGTTTTATAATGACAAAAATAGTAATAAATATAATAAGGAATATTTGCACTAAAACTAATCAATTTGCTAAAATCAATTACAAGAACTAAAATTATGTTTGATATATAAATAAACGCTCTTTTTCTTGGAGCGTATCAGAAAGATGATCAACTTAATTTATGTTGGAGAAGAGAATATTGATATTTTACTTATACATAATATATTTTTTATTACTTTTTAATTTAAAAAAAAGCAAAGTGTTATAGGCGTTTAAAAATGATTAACAATTAATAGGCGTTATTATAATTTGATTCTCTCTAGTCAGAAGAATAGAAAAACTTGACTTATTTTTTCTTCTCTTTTCTATCGGCTTTATATTTAGTTTAATAAATAAATATACTGTATATCAATAAGTTTTTTTTCCAATTTATAGATCCTTGCTCCTCCTTTTATTATTATATCTTAATGATTTGGTGCGTTTCCGTAAATATAGTTTGTCCTAGATGTTTGACGCTTGAAATATTAAGTACAATATAATCGATAAGAAAGATTGTTAATTATTATCATTTTTTTAGGTAAATTAGTAGTTTCTATATAAACATATATATGTATATTTAAATATACAGTGTATAATATATAGATGAACTAGTTCGTATTTAAGAATATATTAAATTATTGCAAGGTACACTCTCCACTGTTGTTTTACAAGGTATATAATCAATTACTTTCTATGATTCTCTCTAAGTGTTAACAGTACTTGTTCCGCATGCATAAAGGGCAGAGAGATATTATGAGCTTAATTCAGTACATTTTTTTCCCATTAAATAACGCTTTTATTTTTTTCGCCCCTTGTTATTTTATACAAAAGATTGTGTTTTTTTTTACAGGTTTTTAAAATTAGAACGTCGAGGAATAACCGGATAGCATGCGCCTATATTCGATGTTGTCCAAAAGCAAAATATACTGTTCTCTTTAGCCATGGAAATGCCGTAGATTTGGGCCAAATGACCAGCTTTTATATAGGATTAGGAACGAGAATCAACTGTAATATACTGTCCTATGACTACAGTGGTTATGGAGTAAGCACAGGAAGACCGTCTGAGAAGAATTTGTATGCTGATATAGACGCTGCCTGGGCTGCATTAAGAAACAGATATGGTATTAGTCCTCAAAATGTGATATTGTATGGTCAAAGTATAGGAACGGTTCCTACAATTGATCTGGCTTCCAGATATGAGGTTGGAGCTGTTGTACTTCACTCACCATTAACGTCGGGAATGAGAGTTGCATTCCCAGAAACAAGGAGATCCTGGTTTTTTGACGCTTTTCCAAGGTTAAATTATATAGAGATTAATTAAAGTTGATTCAATTGTCATTAACGTAAATCGTGTTCTATTTAAATTTACAGTATTGATAAAGTGCCGAAAATTACTGCCCCCGTCCTAGTCATTCACGGAATGGAAGACGAAGTAATTGACTTTTCGCATGGAATGGCAATACATGAGAGATGTCCTCGAGCAGTTGAACCACTTTGGGTCGAAGGAGCCGGTCATAACGACATCGAAATTTTCCCCCAGTATCTGGAAAGGTTAAAAGCTTTCTTGAACAATGACCTTCTGCACGATTGACAATTAGCGGCGGCGACGACAACGATGGTGACGGCGACGACGACTAATCTTACACCTATGCTTACCGACGATGACAGACCAACAACTGAAGACCGTCTCGAAGTTATCAGCAATCCTGTAGCAGTTGATGGTGATCAAGCTTCTAGAAATACGTCATCTCCTATTTTTACAGACGGTGGGGTAGGGGCTATGTTCAAATATGAGCAACCGAAAAGTCTCAACTTTCGGGTTATTGAAGGCGCCGAGGGACACACCGTCACCTCAACTTATTATACAACAATACCGCCATCGTCACCATCACAGGTTCAAAGATTAGCGAATGGAAAGTCTAATTCGAAAGGTTTATATGTTCATAATCCAGGGAATGGTCGATCGTCGCCGCCGCATTCGGATCCGGGCAGCTCACCGCGTTTTCTTGGTGGGCGAAAAAGTCCGGCGCCTAGTTCGCATTCGAACTAGATATTTTTATGAGAATTATTTCGTTTCATTTTTTTTCTTTTTTTTTTAAACAATCATTTATTAAATTGATTCTGTTAAAATACAAATTATAGCCGGTGTATCAACAAAAGCATAGCGGTATCAACAATAAAATCTACAGAACTGCAAGGATCCTAAACAATAGTCATGCCTACCAACCCAGTTGCTTATTTTGCATTTTTGTGCATGACTAGCATAATTTTGTGTCTTATGAATATGTATTGGAGAGTAAAAGTTGAAATGAAACATTATAATCTAAAACACGTTCCAAATAGCTCAGTTAAAAGAGAAAAAAGCAGGCATCTCTTAATCAAAGCTTTTACCTCACCCAAATAAATATTTTTTTATTTAATAAGAAGAATCGGTTTACGTCATATAAGAATCCTTTTAATACTTGTTTATTTCACTACTAATGATATTTCTAGATGTAAGGCTTTTGACGCTCCTTTAATTTCTTTCATTTGCCTATTCACGAAAGAGTCCATTAAGAAATCACATTTTTCATTTTGTATATATATTAATATAAATATATATATAGACAAGTACACATATTTCATAGGAAAATTTCATAAGTCTTCTATTACATAAGTAGCTGATTGAGTTGATAAATGATAGACACACAACCTAATAAATAATGATCAACTTCCTTTAAAGCAAGGTCCTAAAACCCTAAATTGGAATCTAAATAATGCGTTGACTAAATTACCTTAAAAAATGAGCAACCAACAGAAAAAAAAATATTTTAGAAGCAAGTCAACCGATGAGAACTCCATCTTCCATAATAAGCTTAGTTCTTTCCGGTAAAGAAAAACTAATTTCAGAAAAAAAAATACCTTTGACCTTTTAAACGGGTCGATCATTTCCTTTGACCAATCAGCCTGTTTGACCTATTCGAAAGGGCCACAAATATAAAAACTAGATAACATACAGTGTCTATTGAGAAAGAGAATAAGTAAAACGGTCAAAGTTGAGGTAAGGGCAAAAAAAAAAAGAGTAAATAGAATTAGTGAGGAAACTAGTTTATACAAGACACAATTAGAGAAAATAATGTTTGGGATTTTCGTAAGTTATCTTTACGCAGCAATGAACTAAACTAATATGAGTAAGTTATAAATTGACTAAAATAACTAAAATAGATTGTAGAGAGAATTTCATTTGTCCTAAAAACACTTTATAATTATAACCAGGGGAAAACCACTAGTCACTACATGTAAAGACTTTATTCTGTCCTTTTACTCTCTATATCTTTCTATCTCTTTCGTTTCAAGTATTTTATGCTTAAAATTCCATGTGGAGAGACAAACCGCATAAGTAGAGGCTTACAACTATTAAGCTACTACTAAAATAGCTACTTAATAAGTTGTCACTTTTCCATCTATATTCGACATCGTACAATATTGAAAGATTATTTAGACATTTTTAATATATTTAAAGAATTATAGTAACAATTAGAATTAATACATTGCGTCTATGAATAATAACTTGAAGTTTTTCAATCCCTCATGCCATCTCATATTTTCCTCATTCTTCTCCTTTTCCCACTCTCCCTCGCTCTCTCTCACGCACAACTTCTTAGGAGGTGACTATCTTTTGTAATGGTTCTTCCAAATATTCGGCTAAAGCTTTTGCTTTTGCTTTGAGCATTCCAAATCCAACCTCTCTATCAGAGTATATGCATAAAAGAAGATTGGCAACCCTCTTAATGGCAACATTTCCATCCTGTAAAGTAACACATGATTAATGCTCTTTCGCCTCTAGCTTTATTACTAGTATTTGTGTTAAGTGCTATATATTATTCTTTCATAATTTAGCCTTTATTAGAGGTTTTTTCCCTCTTTATTTAAAAGTATTGTGTGTTGATTTTTTCTTTCACAATGGATTTATTTAAGAATTCTTCACTGTTCGAAACTTACCTCGCATTCAATAAGAATAACATTCAAGTTGTCTGACTGTGTAGCTTGTCTTCCACTCTTTTCGAAGCACGACCATATACTGCTAGCTAATGCTGCTGTTGTCCTCCCATCATTCTTTCTATCTTCAAAGCCAGCATATGCCAATAATGCTCCCTCAGAATTTATTAATCTAATAGTGTATTTTAATAACTTGTTAAGATGATAATGTAAAATTTAAATATAATCTTTATCGGTAAGTTGAAACTTACAAAGTGCATCTAACCCCTCCGCTATTTGCCTGATTCAAGACTTGAGTTAAAACCTTAGGTTTTAACATATTTGAACATAAATATTACCAAAAGGAAAAATGGGCAGTGATGATTAAAAGTCCGCAGAAACGAAATGGGGTATTACTAAAATACGTAACAAAAGGTATATAAGACACTACAAATTGAAAACTATAGACTGGGTGAACCTAAACTATGCGTGCTATTTGAATCATTCCATATTATTCTAATCTGTATTGTTATCTATGAGCTTAAAAGCAATCTAAAAGTTTCTTTGAAAACCAATGCAATGTTATCGATTAACAATCTGTAAGTACAGAATGATTTGAAAAAAAAAAACAAAACTATAAACAAAAGTTTCATTTGAAATTGATAAAAATTTTAAGTAAACAAGTTTTTTGCCTATTAAATAGTTTATAGTTTATATTTTATATACTGTATTGTATATTTAAATTCCTTCAACGAGTATAAACAAAAAATAAACAAAATCAAGTATATATATACTAATATATCTAGAAAAACTCCCATCCTTTCATTGATTCTCTATCATTTCTTCTAGCTTTCGTTTGCAAGGATGCTTCACCACTCTTTCTCAATCGTCTAGCTTGCAATTTCTTTCTCTCTTTATTCAATTGACGTTTTACTCTAGTTTTTACAAATTCACGTTTTCTTTCTTCTGTGCCCTCTTCACCTTCGCTTTCTTCTTTTGCTTCCTCGTCTACTTCCTCTTCATCTGATTTATTAACATTTTCATTGTCTTCCTTAACAGCTTTATTCAATATTTCAACAGTTTCAGATAAATTTTTCTCCTTGTTAAATGACACTTTAGATTCTTCAGTTTCGCTATGTGCCGTTACATTTTCATGTTCATTTAACTCTTCAGAGTCTTCTTCGCTACCTGAATCTTCCTGATTTTCTTTATTGAATACCTATAAGATATGGTTTGAGAAGAAGCAAAAAAAAAACCCGAATGAATGTAACTAAAAACAATAGCTAATAGATTACAAAACCACTAACGCCTTGTAAGGATTCATCCATTTCTTTTGTAAAACCGCTTACGCTTATCTCAACGTCAAGACTTGTGAGCTTACTATAGAGATTATTTAAAGATGAGACGAAAAATGTATAATATATTTAACTTTACCTTATGTCATCGAAATTTGGATATAATTCACTTTCAAAATGGAACCTTTTAGCAAAAAATGATCGGATACATTCTACATCTCTATCAAAGTAAAACTTAGCATTTTCGTGTGATGTAGAAACCATTTGCGGAAAATCTATCATGATCACTTTTAAACTATCTTCTTCAAGTAGTAAGTTGAATTCGTTAAAATCACCATGAATGAGACCGTGCTCCGCCAAACTAACAATGAGACGCATACATTCATCGTAAACAGTACCTGGATCTTCCAAATTTCGAACTTGTATAAGGGGACAACAGTTACTTAATAATTCCATAACTACTGCGTGTCTATTAAAATCGATTGGACGAGGAACAGATAATCCTCTATCATGCAAGGCTTTCATGTAGGCATACTCTTTCATTGCAGCAATTCGAGATAGATATAGCCAAGATGCTAAAATGAAATATACAATATAGTAAAAATTTGCCGATTATCTTGCTATCTATTAATTATTTTACCAGATTGTCTGTGCTTATGATAATCTCGTTTATTCTTCAATTGTCTGAATGACGTTCTACCAAGTCGGTGGAGTTTAAGAGCATACTCTTTTTCTTCATCACCACCAGCAACGTATACATCTGACTCTTTTCCAACACCAATTTGATTTCCTACCGAATTTAATACATCTCTAGTGGCTAATGCCTTTAAGGCAAGATAATCATAGCCTGAATAAGTTAACCGGTATCCCTCACCTAGAAATGGGATAATATAATTAAAGCTAAGTGGACTACTGAAAAACAGACTAGTAATTTAAACATGTAGGTACCTTTTTTATGATTATGAACGTAAGCTAACAATTTATGCTTGATCAGATCCTTAATTATCTTGTGAGCTCCTCCATGCTTAAGAGCAGCTATAGATGCGATCAGAGGACCTGGTACAACTTCGTGATTCTTCATGCCCATCTCAACCTACGAGCGATAATGTAGTTATTTTATAAAAAATCGTGATATTTTTTAGAATTAAGTAAGTATAGTATTTTATTTTAAAATATACCGCAGTTAAAACTCTGAAATGTTCTCTCGTCAAATATCTAAGCATGGTAACATCTAATTTAACCATTTTGATGGATTTCGTCGTTCACAGAATCACGTTTTAAAATAAGTCCTATAGTTTATCTCGTGGTAGTTTTGCAATATGAAAAATATGTGTGGGATTACTAACCATATAAATTTAAATTATATTGAATAATATAATAAATAAAAAATAAACATCTTTTAAAGAATAAAAAAATATAAAACTTAATAAAATTGTTTATTTTTCGCACACACTTCCGGTCAACCATTTTCAAAATGGCGTCGATTTTCATCTTTCAAATTTCTGGATAAAGAATCAGTTCTTCTTTCGATCATCGAACTAGTTTGGAGAAATCGAATATTGAACAATTTAAAATTGATATTGAATCTTCTATTTTCTGCTGTTTTATTTGGATAATTCACGAGATTTCTCTTCTTGATAACATCGCTAGTTAACCAAACTTGAACGGACACGCCTCGCCGAAAAATCGGCGAATTTTATAACGTTACACGATTGGAATATTTTACTGGAATTTATTTCATAGTCTAGTGTTTAATTTTGAATTTGCTTGTCAAAATTAGAAGAGGTCTGAGCAATATCAACTTTAGCAAATTCCCTCTTTTTGATTTCCTCCAAGATATGTAGGAGAACATTTTTACATAAAAATCAGATATAGAGATTAGGAAACTTTTTTTTTTAAAAAATGTCATCAGCAAGTGGAGGAGAAGGATCAGAGTCTTCCCATAGTTGGAACGAATGGCAGGTAAGAAAATCAATCGCAATCAAGAAAGTAGTAATTACTTTTGGTAATTATCTACAATTTCCCTGTCAAAGGGAACACTTGTGTGAATATTCCAGCTTTGTTCTTTGATTTGTTAGGGGATTTGACATTTGCGTTGGAAGAAATCTTGAGTTTTTATCGGTTTTCTTTTGTTAGAGAAGTGATTAATCTCTTTTAAGCGAAGGGAATGCATCTGTTTTTGGTAACAATAGGAAAAAAATGAGCATGTATCTGTAGATGTAGATATATGTTCGTTTTTTATATAAATATACATATATATATATATATATGACAATTTTAAGGGAATAGAATAAAGAATAATCACTTAAAAATTAATAATTTCTTTTTTTCTTTGTCCTTTGAGAAGTAAAAAAATAATGACAAGAGGTTTCTCTATATTTTATATTTAAAAATACTTATTTTGTACTATATAACACAGAAACTCAAAAGTGTTATTTATCCAATAAACAACAAGACTTTGTCATAACTTTAAAAAGGCGTAAAAGTAAATTGATTATAGGATTTATACTTTATAAATCGAATTCGCTTAATCCATTATTGATTATCCTAATCAATAAGTTAAAATGAGATGATATACTCTTAAAGATTGACAATGATCGTATATGTGTAAAAAATAGAATATTTTATATTATTTATGTATTTATATAGGTTCTTTTTTTATAAAACAGCAACAATTACAAGCTTATGTGGCCTGGGTTAATTCTCAATTAAAAAAAAGAGCTGGCACAAAACTTGTTAAAGATCTCAGCTTGGATATGATTGACGGAACTGCTTTTGCTCATTTAATCAGTATAGTTGGTTAGTTTTGTAGTTTCATTAATTTTATTTATTAACCTTATTCAATTTATTTTAATATTTTCAGGAGGAGAGGAAGTTGCCGGTATACATTCATATCCAACAACTATTATTGAAATGAAGGAGAATAACGATCGTATTATACATTTTATGCGTTCGAAAAGAATTCGAATGCATCAAACAACTTCTAAAGGTGATTTATATTTAATAAATAATAAATACAAATTTTACGTATATATATAGTATAGAGTATATTTGCATAAATGATTATTTTCTCATCTTTATCACAATTTCTAAAACAATGAAACCATTTTCTCTTATAGATATTGTTGAAGGTAATTTTAAAGTCATTATGAGGCTTATTTTGGCTTTGGCAGCTCATTATAAACCTACAAGTGTCAAGCATACGCCAACAAAACGACGAAATATGGTTGAAATGGCACAGGTAAAAGAATCGAGGTAAAACGAGACGAAATATTTTAATTATAGGTTTTTAACAAAGGGAGCGGTTACGGCGTTGGCTCACGCCAAACAGAGAGCGTCATTTACCAGCGTGAAACCTTGTAAACCCCGATTACCTGAAGGAAAATTTTCTGGTGCTAGGTATTCAATTTATTCATTTTATTCACTTTATCCGCCACTTCAAACCTATTTAACATTGTTACGCGATAACAGATTATTGGGCAGTGGCAGTGACCTTTCTGATCAGGCGAAAAGGTCAGATCGAGAGGACGATAGGGCAAGTTCCGAGGATAGTCATTATGCCAGTACTTTTGCGAGGTATGTACAAATTAGCATATTAGGAATGTATGCGATATCAAAAATTCACACTAACAGTCCACTTTCTAGTTCGACGGGATCTCCGCTAGGATATCGAAGAGGAAGTTTCCCGAAGAGCAAAAGCGAACAAGTACTATCAGGTATGTATTTAGTTATCCTTATCTCTGCAAAACATTTATTTTCTCAATACAACTCGCATTAGGCGGTGGAACTGAAAGCGCTATCGTTGCCGATGCTCCAACATCTAGCGGAAGTGTTATATCATTAGAACCAGCCTGGCAGTCCCTTTTAGAAGATCATGAACATATTGGAGAAGATTTAGCCTCTACTCGACAAGTTTTATTATCTCTTCAAAACCTAGTCAGTTTAGATAACTTGGTATTTTTTTAGAGTTAATTTTTTTTATATTTTATTTTTTTCTTTTAGTTATTAACCGGCCATTACGAAAAACTCCACAAGTCCGATCCAGATGGTCTATCGAGCGGTGACGAAAGTGACAATTGCCTACCAGCCGAAGGTTCGAATGCGGAGGAGCGTTTAGATGTGATGAAAAGTCGATTGCAATTATCGGAAGAGAATAGTAGAGATCTAAGAGCTGAAGTTTTAAAAATGAGAGCAGAGATATTCGAGTTACAAGGTCAGAAGAGAGGTTTACAAGCAAGATTAGAGCATCATGAAGATGCAATGTTAAAAATGAAAGCTGAATTATTAAGAGTAGGATTCGCATCTCAAGGTTTACAGAATGAAAAGGTAAAATAATAATTCTATCTTTTATTAATAAATGAAATCAATTGAACGCTATTTTATTATATTTTATAGCAAGAGTTGGAAGATAAAGTAACTGATAAACAAAGGGAAATCGATGATCTAAGGGTAAATATTTTTCTATTTTTATAATATTCTTCCTATATTCATCATTAATCTATTTGCAGAAAGAGTTAATTAACAGAGATAGAAATTTGGATGAACTCTTAGCTAGCGTACAGGTTTGTACTTCTGCTTTTTGTTTAATGTCTTTGTATTTTCTCTGTTCATAAATATTTAATCATCTATTGCTATTTATAGCTGGAACAACACGAGAAAGCCGCTACAACACGAAGCTTACGTAGTCAAATACAAGAGTTGCACGAACGTTTGAGGAGAGTGTCTGAAAAAGAAGCTTCTTTAACAAATCACGTTGGCCAACAAGATAAACAAATGACAAAGTTAGAGGCAAGAATACTGCAATCTGTAGGCCATCAGCGTTCTGGTCCCTCATCCATTCTCTCTAATCATGTATGTTCACAATTAATTGAAAGAGATATGTTGTCTTATTTTTTATTAAATTTATCTATTTAGAGTGCTGAATCCGATGAATTACAATTAGTACGAAAGTCATTGCAATCTCTTAAAACGTCCTTTGCCGGTGACGACCCTTCGCATAGGACTATTGATACACTGGAACAAAGTATTACATCTCTAATGGAACGACTTGATTTAAATAATGAAAGATTTAGAAATTCCCACAGTTTAAGAATTGAGGTTTGTTTTCACAACAAAATTCGTAGTTTATGATAAAAACAATCAATGTATTTTATACAGGATCAACCTCCTCTTAGACGAAATTATACTTCATCACCAAGCTCTTCTTATCCATCTGTAGACGATGAAATGCCATGTACAAAAGTCTTATATTTTACCGATCGAACTGTAACTCCATATATGTGCACCATTCCAAAACGGTGAGCGCTTTTCGTCTTATAGATGAAATCGTATTTATTTTATAAACATGCACATTGTTTTTACAAATTATAGCTTAGGAGACATCACCTTGGGCGATTTAAGACAAGCTTTGGATAAGCATGGCCGTTGTAGATTTCATTTTAAAGCCTTAGACCCTGAATTTGGTACTGTTAAAGAGGAACTATGCAACGACGAAGATATTGTACCCGGTTGGGAGGGAAGAATTGTCGCTTGGCTCGAGGAAGACGGCCTATAACAATTCAAATTGATGAGAAAGAAAATATTCATATTTTTTTTTGTGCTTAAAAAGAAAAATTATCAACGACTAAAGGAAGAAAATGAGACGGCGAAGAGAGGAAGAAAATGAAAAAGAAAAGAAAAAAACAACCGATTTAAAATACTTGAATCAGAAAGAAAACATAAAGAAATCTGACGGGGAGATAAAAGAAGGAAAAAAGTCTCTGTTTTGATAATCTTATCTGAATCTGTTCAGTATTGAATTCTTTGAGTTTTATAGATGTCTTCTTCCTCTTTGCTTTTTTTTTTCTTAATTTTTCTACTAATTTTTTCTCTTTAAAATAATTCGACTCCATCCCTCCTCTCCCCTTTCGAACTATGTTTAACAACGTTTGAATGTGGTTAAGAATGTACTAGTCAGTTGGATTATTAACTCAGTGTATTTTTTTGTCTCAATATATTGCATGTAATACATTTAGAGTTAAACATTTTCTTTATTTCAAAAGAAATATATCTCCTGTTTATACAAGTCATTTCCTTTTATATCCTTTGTACTATTAACAAATTCTTACTATCTTTTCACTCTCACTCATTCACTCACTCATACATACTTTCTCTCTGTCTCCCCCCTGCTCTCGCCTTCTCTTTCTCTCTCGTTGTAGCCCTTTGTAAATAATTAGTTGAAAATTTGAATAAAATTTCAGTTATAAATTTAATCATTTCTCTTCCTATCGCCAATACTCTATCTAGTCTATGCTCATTAAGATAAGACCGAACATTTGTCAATTTGATCCTGAGGCGAGATAAATTTATTAACTACTTTTAAAGGGAAATAATATGTATTTTGGCATCAATAATTGCTTTAATTAGGCCTTAGAAATTGGCAGTTTGTTAGTACTCAGTATTTTCGGCCATTTTCAGATACAAAACAGAGCCTTCTTACTCATTGAAAAATAACCTCCACCCCTCTCCTTAAAAAAACAAAAAAAAGCATAAAAAACGAGAAATTATGGAGACGTTAAGTAGGATTATTAGACCATATAGAAGAAGACCAAGTGTTAGTAAATGCTTAAAATATTTTCTATTTTCGGTAAACTTAATTATTTGGTTTATATCTTGTTTTGTTATGGCTGTTGGAGTTTGGGCTTATTCGGAAAAATTACGGAACCATCCAAAAAATGCTAATCTTATCAATCCTCTGTTTGATGCTGCCATAATATTAGTAATTGTTGGAGCTTTTGCTTTAATAATATCTTCGGCTGGGTGTTTAGGAGCTTTAAGGGAGAATTGTTGTCTATTAAAATTTTTTGCGGTAGCTGTTTCGATTCTAATAATATTGCAGATCACTGCAGCATTGTTAGTCATGATTCTTTCAAATAAAATTAAAAAATTTTCGGAAGAGAAGATTGGTATGGAAGCTATAAAACGTTATAGGGCCGATTCCGATCTGAAGAATATGATTGATTGGATTCAAGTAATTATTTGAAACAGAGTGCTTTAATATAAATATTATGTATAATTTAAAACAAAATCATCCCTCTTATTTCATTATCAGGAAGAATTCTACTGTTGTGGAACATACGTTCATACGGATTGGTCAAAGAATATGTATTACAATTGTACGGAAAATCCAATAACCATCGAAGCCTGTTCCGTTCCCTCTTCTTGCTGTCGGGAGGAATTCCGAAATAATATATTCTGCGGTCATGATATGCAAAGGAGAACAATGGTAGAAGCCAGTAAAGAAATATACACTAACGGTTGTGTTAATAGCGTTTATAATAAAATCAAAAAGAACGCTATTATTATCGCAATATCGGCATTAAGCTTATTACTATTTCAAATATTTGCGGCATTTGCGGCACTGTACTTAAACCTTCAAGTAAAAGCTGTAATAAGATTCTGTAGTCATTAAATGATGATATAAAAACAAAGAATTAAGTTTTCATCTTGTAAATGTAGTATAATAGGCAAACATAACATATTAGTGCATGTATAAATACTTGAAGTATTTTACTTCGTTCGCTAACCCATTAAAGTGCTCATGTTACTATCCTAAAATAGGTAAAGAAAAGAGAAAGATGTTATCTAATTTCAGACCCAAATTAGTTTCTATTGTAAAGTGAATTCGCCTGATTAACCATGAAAAAAAACGAGATTAGATAGTTTGGTTCCTATTTGTAAAATTGAATGATGTCAACTTTAAAAAGAAAATGGAGAAGAAAACTTTAATTATACCGTGTCGCTTTTGTGTGAATTGCGTGGATAATGTATTGTTAAAATTAGTCGTATGGTGTTAATACGTAATACTATAATTAAATGTTAACATTTCCTTTATTCATCTGTTTTAAAAGTACCATCGACACCGAAATATAGCGAGAATATATTCTCTAAACCTTTGCTTTTTAATAAAGGTAATAAATGACTTCGTCCCATTTCTTGAAAATCGCCAAACTTTCTCATTTTATTCATTTCTTCATATGATGAACATTTAACATCAGTTCTCTCCTTTTGCATTAATCTTTGCCATTGCATTCTTCTTAATCTTTTCCAAAACTCGTCTACTGAATCCCGTGAGCCTTCTATACAAATTATACCTGGCTTACCTGGCATAGAGAAGCCTTTTGAATAAGAAAATAGAATTACATAATTTAAATTCTCTGCTAAATTAATGAAATAGAGTTTTACCTGTCAAGTTCAATTCATCGGAAAAAGCAAGAATGTCACGACGCTTGAATTTGCTATAAATATGATGACTGTACATCCATAGTGTTGAAAATTCACATTCGGTAACTTTACTTTTAGGAGATTGCGGGGTCGGATTTTCTTCCTCAATTGATGAACATTTTTGCCGACACCAGTCTATGATATCCATTAACTTTAGTTCCCCCTCTTCTAATTGATTTATATATGACTGTAAATTCTTATTGAATTTCTCATGTATAGATCTACTGATATTCGGAAGTCTAACAGAACAACTCGGACAAGTCTTCGGATAGTGATGTGGCAAATTTATAGATAATTCGACACGTTTATCAGCTGAATCTTCCGAGGACAGTTTAAGTGTAAAGCCTAATCTTTCTCTAAGTATATCGTAGTCTATGTGATTTTTCAGGAATAGTTCAATATTTTGTTTGCAGCTTGGATTATCCCACTAAATAGAAAACTCGATAATAGCTTATTCTTTTTTACACACTAATCAATAATTAGAAACCTCGAATTCTTCATCCAGAAACATGGAACTTACAGCTTCTACCTCCTCTAACTGCAACTTTAAATTCTTCTTTATTTCGTCTAAATCTTCCATATTAATTATAAAAGTATTCAGAAGATATAATTTAACAAATATTCGAATAAAGCTTGATTAATTGTGAATTTTAACTAGTTTTTACATGAAAAACTCGTTTTAAAGAAATTATATTAATAGCAGACGATATAAGTATTTTTTTTTAATACATAGTAGCGACACCTTGCGTTCGTGACTTTTAGTAAAATAGAACATTATGTATCCCATAAATAATTGACAAATACTATAAATAGACATTTGTTTGATGTAAATCGTTTTCTTTATTTAAAAGTAAGAAATCAGTCTAAAAAGTAAAAATAAAGTCTTAAAAATTTAGCTTACAAGCATTGTAAGTAAAGAAGAGACGTTCTAAAAATAATGCAGATATTTCCTCTTTCCAATAGGGAAAATATAAAAGAAAACAAAAATCAGTCTATAAAACTGAATGTTGACTTGGAAAGATATTTGGTGCACAATAATTAGTAACGCGGTCGTCTATGACGTCCTTTAGAGATTCCCGAATTTTGATGAATTGCCTCTTAAAATGTATTCCGTCACCCTAAAAAGAAAAGAATAAAAGGAGAAAGCTTTTAGAATTTTAATAAAAGGATAGAAATTATACAACGAACTTGTGATAAGCGAAAATCAACTAGCAAGTGATCTCCAGCCGTAATAAGGAAAGCTTTGAAGGTAGTATGAATTCCTCTTCGACTTGTCGTTTCAAAAGTAACTTGATCGTTCTGCTGATTCTTAATGGAATAGCCAAATCTTACTAATAGCAACAGATTGTGGGCCATGGCTTGTTTAGAAATTTTTACAAAGAATCTTGTCATTCTTTTCACTAAACTCTGGAATAGTCCCTAAAGGAAAGAAGCAAGTAGTAATAAGACTAAACCGCCAAGGACAATTCAAATAGATTACTTGAGACGCTCCTGAACCAGTCGGTTGGCTTTCTACAAACATATCTTTACTCTTTGTCGGTTGAGAAAAGCACGTAACTTTTGCAGAGCCATCCTCTTCCATATCGTTAGAGTAACGGTTTGGATCCGGTTGAGAGACGCTCATTAGACTTCTGAAAAAGTTATTATTAAAAGCTATCGTAATCCTTATGAAAAGTGAAAAACATACTCTACATCATTTGAGGATCCTTCCCCCTCAGCGCAAACTCTCTTCAAAGGATGTTTGGCAGACTTAATAATGGGTGGGCTAGTTGTTGGATCTATTTTAGATTATAACAAAGTCAGCAGCTATCACTCGATGAGAGCAATACTCACTTGCCGATATAACTTCAACACTTGAATTATACCATGCGTGTCTTTTAATAAAGTCGATAGTGGCTCTTTGTTGAACGTTCTCTTGGAGCATATTCTTTAAAAGAGCTATTAAAGTCTATAATCAGATCATATTTAATCGAAATTAGAATTTTTCTAATTACACAAAGCTAAATTATTTATTTTACTCCACGGCGTAATTGTAAATTCGAACGCTTTCCATTGGACATAATCTCTACACTTGTCTGTTGGTTCGTCCCAAGGAAGTTCACCCGCCAACAACGTCACCAAAACAACACCACAAGAGAATATATCAACAGGAGTTGCATGATATGGCTTGCTCTTTTTTTTGGAAAAGAAAGGAAAATTTTATTGGAGGATAGACAACTTGTTTACTTCTAACGAAACCTGTAAAATTTCTGGTGCTACATAGGGTCGAGTTCCACAACAGGTGTCTAACATTCTCTCTTTACCTTGGTATCTAAACACTGTTGCCATTCCAAAATCAGATATCTTTACTTCGTCTAAATTAAAAGAAAATAAAGACTAAGAATAAATGTAAAAAATAAATTAGAGTATTTCGAAGAATAACACAAAAAACGCACTTTGGTCAGTCAATAAGATATTTTCTGGCTTCAGATCCCTATGAACTATTCCTTTTGAATGTAAATACTCCTACAATATCGATACTTATATTATAAACGATTATTAGTCTTTTATCAGTGACTTACAACGCCATTAATTACTTGCTTAAAGTAACGCTGGCCTTCTAGGGCGGAAGTGCCGACATCCGGCTCGATACGATCGAATAATTCGCCTCCCCCAGCGTATTCTAAGAAAATATAATGTATACCTCCATCTAAACGCTGTCCGTATAGTTTTATGATGTTGTCATGCTTCAGCATTCGGTGAATAATAAACTAGCAAAAGAAATTTAGACGAACAAAATAACTATTTAGACCTTAAATAATATTTAATTACACCTCTTTTCGAGTATTTTTCTCGGCATTCTCATGAGAGGCCAAATTAATTATCTTAACGGCAATAGATTCATTTGTCTTTTTGTTTAAGGCAAGTTTCACTCTGTCGTGAGAAATGAACTACTAATAAGAAAAGCTCGACTCAATAAACGTTAACTTACTCTCCATATGCACCTTCACCCAAAACTCCAACAAACACCCAATCGTTTATAGAATCGCAATCCATTAAGCAACGATTTTAAAGAACTGTCAAAATGAGATATAAACTTATATTTTTTATGGTTTCAAGATAATATTAATGATATAAAAATTTACAATAATTTTTTAAATAATGTAATCAGCATTTTTGAAATATTTCAGTAAATATTTACTTTCTTTGTCTTGCAAGGAAAAAGTTTTATTATTGAATTCTAAGTTCACATGCGCGCCTTTTTCCAAAATTTAAGGTCAGCTATAAGGAAATCTTATGTAAAGTCTTTTACGATTTAGCTTTTTCGCAACTTCCGTTTCTACGGGTAGCGGAACCGGAAATACGTCACAGGTCTAAAAGATTGAAGATATTCAGACAAAATTGGTAAAGCACGGATTTGTCCTTATTCTTTGAAATTGGTTAGTTATTAAGCATTCTATTTATTAATGGATAGACAATAAAGCCTCTGTTGTAAAACCAAGTATAAAAATTGGTTGTAAACCTTCTCGATTTCGAGCTTTAAACACGCTTGGTATACAGGCGTCTGCACGATTTTTGCGCGGTTCTTAGTCATTCGTCGATCTACCTTCCCTCTTAACTTAAATGTGATCGGCAAGTTTTTGAAGTTCATGGTAATATTCAAAGTGATCAGTTGTAGATAATTATTCTCTGAATAACTCGATTTTGTGTGTTGAACTAACATTAAAGGTGAAATTTTCACGAAATTCAAGAGATAAAGTCGCAGCATGATTAATTAGCTTTCCTAGTTTGTGTTCCTAATAGTTAAGAAATTGAAGTTTGATTTGGAAAAAGTGTAAAGTTGATGGCGTTTATCACGAAAACGGGGATTTTATGATTAAGAATAAATTTTTAATATTTAATACTCAGTTTTTTTAATTCCCTCTTAAAAAAAACCAACCGTTATAAATATTTTATACAAGAATTTTCTATTATCACAGCGTTTAGTAAAGAATGAGCAAAGAAAACTTTTCGTCTGTTACAAGAGATGAACAACAATAGACCGCGAACGGTATCAATGGTCGACGCGGGAAACAAGCAGTCCTCTTCGACTAACATGATAACCGGAAGTATGAGAACAGTTCAACGAGATGGAAGCCGGGTGACAACTGTCGTAGCTACACCCGGTTTAGGAAGCGATAGAGCTTCAGAAATTTCATACACGGACACTAAAGTTATTGGAAATGGTTCATTTGGTGTTGTATATCAAGCGAGGTTGGCAGAGACCAACGAATTAATCGCTATAAAGAAAGTTCTGCAGGATAAAAGGTTTAAGAACAGGGAACTGCAGATTATGAGAAAGCTGGAACATCAGAATATAGTACAATTAAAGTACTTTTTTTATTCTAGTGGCGACAAAAAAGACGAGGTAAGTGTTCTCTGAGCTTAAAGTTATTTTCTCATATGGGAGTCGTACCTAGTCGAAAATTTTTTCCCTGAGCCCGATACTAATCGTCATATTTCGTGAGTTGATAAACTCTTTTAGTATGAACAGTATAACACTCTGCATATAAATTTGTCAATAATTTATCTATAAAACTACATATATTGTCTAAATTACCTGGAGATGGAGAACGCAACTATCCCAAAAAAAGTATTTTGTTAACGACTATCAAAGCTTTTCAGGAAAAAGTTCATTGTCCGTAAAGTCACGTTCGCTTTATCATACACAAAATGTTACTACAATTCCCTTAGATAAAAAAAGTATTGTTCCATCCAGGGAATTATTTATTATGAAAGTTAGTTATACCCAATTTATATGCCTGTGATATACTCTTATTATTATTTAAGAATTCATCAAATTATTTTGACTGTAAGAAGTAGACAACCCTCTTAAAATGCTTTAAGTCAATAATACTTAAACTTCAATATTCAATATTTAAATTTTAAAAATGGCAATAGTTCCATAATTAACGGTTTAATAATAACAGTATTAATGATAGCTTAGGAGATATGAATATAGGATTTAAAGAGGTGGATTAGACGGTACAGATAATATAAAAGTAGGGAGCAGGGAGGGAGTTAAAGAGGGAGGTGGAAAGGGAAAGAAGCTATACTAAAATTAAATTATATTTGTATAATTTGATAGAATTATCTTATTAATGTACATTTATTCTCTTTATATTCGTTATTTTTTTTTATTGTGATAAGAAAAGATGAGACGTGTTGGAGAAAAGACTTAAAAAATTTTTTTACTACATTTAAACGGCGTAGATATAATTTGATTTTATCTTATCTATAAGTATCTTATATATTTTTATTAGTCTCTCTAACATTTACTAGCAATCGTAGTCAAAATTTCTACTTTTATTTATTTAAAATTCCTATGGGTATTCTAGAAAACCGGAGGAATAATCAATAGTTGTAATTTAAGTGTCTTGTACGAAGTTGAGAAAGGGAGGGGAGGGAGGAGGGTGAGTGCTGGGCGTGATAAGGAAAAAGTTGAATTGAAAGAGAATGTAGAATAGGAAATATTGATAATAATTAGAAGAATACTTACTGTCATATACATACATATATATGTATCATTTTTGCTGGAAAACTTTTAAACTGACGTTTAGTACCACAGCAAGACCGATAGTTAACTAAATATTAATACAAGCATTACTATTCTAGATTCATTCTCCAGGTAAAGCGACTCATGTTGCGTCGAAGTGTCACAAGCTTTACATCAAAGATTGTTATTGATGAATTTTCCACAGTTTTCTCTTATATATTTTTGTAGGACTTGGTTTGTTATTTAAAAGAATTTATGTAAAATTTATTTATTTATTTATATTTTATTAAATAAGTAGATGAATACGTCTTTTAGCTATTTTGCATACATGGTCATTTTTTGAATAATTTACACGTATTAAGCATATATTTATATACATACTGTATTCATACATATTTATCATAAATTGTGTTCTTATTCTATCTGTCTCTCGATACAGGTGTACCTAAATCTAGTTCTGGAATATGTACCCGAAACCGTTTACCGTATAACGCGACATTATTCAAAGATGAAGCAAACAATCCCAATGTTGTACATAAAAGTATATATGTACCAATTATTCAGGGGCTTAGCGTATATTCACCAGGAGGACGTATGTCACCGCGATATAAAGCCCCAAAACCTTTTATTAGATCCTGAATCGGGTGTTTTAAAACTGTGCGATTTCGGTTCAGCCAAACAACTAGTACGCGGTGAACCTAACGTTTCCTACATTTGTTCGAGATATTATCGTGCACCTGAATTAATCTTTGGCGCTACTGATTATACGCCTCAAATTGATGTCTGGTCTGCCGGCTGCGTCGTTGCCGAGTTATTATTGGGACAACCGATTTTCCCAGGAGATAGTGGCGTTGATCAGTTGGTTGAAATTATCAAAGTTCTTGGTACTCCTACTAGAGAGCAAATTAGGGAAATGAATCCGAATTATACCGAATTTAAATTTCCTCAAATAAAAGCGCATCCTTGGGGTAAAGTGTTCAGACCCCGAACCCCGTCAGAGGCATTGGACCTAGTATCGAAGCTGTTGGAATATACGCCAACGAAGAGGATCATACCATTGGAGGCCTGCGCCCATTCGTTCTTCGATGAACTACGTGGGCAAAATACTAGATTGCCTAATGGACGACCACTTCCACCCTTGTTCAATTTTACGGAGAAAGGTGAACAAAACAAAAAATACTTTTGAATATATTTATATAAAAGTTGAATATTTTCTTTATGTAAATATATTGATATATATATATATATAAATATATATATGTGTGTATATGTTCTAACACTATAGAACTCGCCGTTAGACCTGCTCTACAGGGACGACTCATTCCCTCGACGTCCGAAAATCAGGAACAGCAAGCTTCCGGTGGAGACATGTAAAATAAAAACAAAACAGAAACTAAACTTTAAATCATTAAAAAACAAAAAAAAAACAAAACAAAAAAAATTTATTGAAAGAAAACAAAAGATAATTTAAAAACAAGTGCGTTTTTAACCGACTATTTCATTTCTTTTCTCTTTTTTGTTGTGCGTACGACGTTTACTTTTTGTTCGTTTAGGTAAGACGAGTGTAATATTCGTTGTGTAAAAAAGAAAAAAAAGGAAGAAAAAAAGAAGAAGGAGAAGAAGAAGAAATGGAAAGAATCGTAAAAAAACTGCATTAAAAAAAATTTTAATATGTTTTTTTTTTTTTTTTGCAGTTTTTTTTCTTTTTTTTTTCCTTTTTTATATTTATCTTCACGATACTTATTCAAAATCGGAAAATATATACATTTCATATATATGTATATACATATACATGTTACATACATACTTTTATAAAAAACAAGAAACATTTTATAGATTCGTCGCTCTTCCTTTTCCATTCTTATTTATTCTATACATTTTTTTGTAATGTATAAATGTATGAATGTGTGTAATGCACCGTAGTTATGAATAAACAAAAAATTACTTGTGTTTAAGTGAATATTTAAGACTATAATCATATCCGAGAAAAAACGATTAAATAAATACAATAGAGTTTGTTTTATGACTATTTCTCTTTTATTATTATATATTGTACATACAGCATATATATATATATATATATATATATATATATATATAGTTTGTCCTCCTTTGTACTGAAATGCTGATGTCAGCTGACGATAGTGATTTTTTTTTCTCTTTATATTTGTTGAAAATCTATATTTTTTTAATTATTTAGACCCTTTGCACCTGTAGATAAAAAAAATAGTGAAATTGATGATTATATTACACTCAGTAATTTATAGAGATAAATGTTTAGTGGGTAAATTCAAAAGAAAAGTACTTGAAAATTGGCGCCTTGTTTCAAAACCGGAATCGGAAAATATCTGCTGAACAGGCCACCAGACTATTTTCGTTTCCAAGGACAACTTTGAATAGATTGATTTGCCAAAATAGTATTAAATTGTTCAATTAGTTGATTATAAATGGTAAAACATCATTTAAAGTTATGTCTCAGAATCGATATGCCTTATTGTTAAGGCCCGATGCCTATGTAGATGAGCTAGGAGAAGGATCACAAGAATATGCTGCCTTTCTCAGGTATTCATTCACTTTTTCTCATAATTATTTAGAGATAGTCCTCGGGATAACTCTTAATCAAAATAACGTTGTAATAAACATAGGGACAAAGAAAGAAAATGCGGAGCATCTGGTTTCGTTGATTCGAAAAGTGCTCAGCAGAGTTACCAACTAAGAAAGAAAAGTAAAACAGCTGAACCTGCAAAGAGCAAAACTAGAGAGAAAGAGCCGAAAGAGCCGAGATCTGCATCTGTTATCGATGTTAGAAATCAATTCCTAAAGGACCAAAAGCAATTCGATAAACAAATAAAAGTGATCGAGGTAAGTAATTAAACTATTACAACTTGCTTTAGATAGTAAAGATAAAGATATACTGTATACAGTATATACTTGTTGTATATTGCATCTTTCTCCACCTTGTAATACTGCAATAAAACTATGCAGAGGAAACTGACAAAACAGATACAACCAGGGAGAGATAGTATTCGCTATCTGTCTTCCTTAATTGAATATAAAAATATAAGAAATAGTTGACAGGCTACTCTTTACCAACAAAGAACTAATTGATTTAACAACCTCTTCTCTTCACTTTATTATTAATAACATGTTTGCTTGTTTGTTTGTTCTATAGGATCATATGTGGCAGCATAAGCAAGAAGAAAGAGAATTAAAGAGATCGGAAGGAGATATAATAAAAAACCAGAGACAAGTTCGCAAAAGTTTAAGGGATTTTGAAATGGGTTTGTATTAAAAGCTCTAAATGAATATCGTATTTCTTTAATCCTTGTTAATTGGAGCAATTTAATCCTTCTCTCTTATGAAGTAGCGACATCTGTAAGACTTTCAGTAGCACTAATTCCTTTCGATTGATTTGATCGATTGATCAAAAGAAAGCCTACGCAAAGTATATTAAGTTAAAAAGGGTTTGGCGACACAACCTTTTTGTCCAATCAAATCAATATAGCTTCTTCCTTACAATCATTTTTCATTTTGCAACCAGTTTTATCTCTCCCGCTCATTCCCAAATCCACAATTCCCTTCTGTTTCGTTCGCTAACCCTTGGCGCGTTTGCGTTTCTCTCTCCTGTTCAAGAGTTTGTTCAATAAAAAGAAGGTTTAAATATATTGAATTTTCTTTACTCTAAATAGATCACATATCCGTCTGTCTCTCTCTCTCTCTCTCTCTCTCTCTTTCTCTCTCTTTCTGTCTTTTTCTATATCTTTGTATCTATTCTGTTAATCTCCTAACGACTTCTGTTGGGAAAGCTGTATACTTTATTAATTGATATATGTCTTTAAAATGACACTTTAATTTATCATTAGTTTTCGTATTTTAAACATAACATTGTCAATATTGACAAGATGACAAATAAGTTGTTTAAATATGTAATTAGAGAAAGAAGAATAAGGTTTTAAAAAAGGGCAAGTAGTTGTTGGGTGTTGGCTCTCTGTGGAAAAGAAAGAGTTGATAGGGAAAGAGAAAGAGAAAGAACGAGAAGAAAATCAATTTAAGCATGATTTCTTAAAGAGGTGATAAGAAGTTATTAGAAAGAGAGAGAATAAAGTCACTTTGAGCCTATAGCACAGACGATTTTGATTTTTTTATATTGATCGATTTGTATAAATTAAATTTTCTACCAATCGAAAAAAATTCCATTAGACCTATTCATTACGAAATTCGCACTCCTTTTCTTTATTCATATGGTATTCTGTGTTTATATTTGAAAGACTATTTACCTTGAATAAAATCGAATAACCGATCAGTCAACGTTGGAGCTTTTTAACGTGAACTTGAAAACGATATATTGAAGAGTAATTAAATAGTTTTGATCGGAATGTATAAAGAATAGAAAATATTAAGTGATAGATAGATTGAAAGATAGGCTAGATAGATAGATAGATAAATAGATACATAGATAGACTATGGCAGAGAAACGTCGCGTAACATTCTCAATACCATCAAAGACTGTTCAGAAAGAGACTACTGAGAACAACCAAAACCTTTTTCTTCGTAGATTACGATTAACTTTGAAAAGTGCTAATCGTAAAACTGTATCCAGGTTTGTATATGCAGCAAATATGTCAATGGATTGTTATATATAAAGTTTATATATAGAGCATATTAATAAGATTTAAAAGTGTTTGTATTACCCTTTAAAACGTTTTTTCCCTTTCGTTTAACTGTTATTATTTATTGTTATTTGTATAACAAATATTGAAGATTTTTTCAAGAGAAAAGCTATTTCCTTTCCTTTGACTATTTAAAGATTAAATATACATCTATATATATATATATATATATTTTACATACAGCAATCAATCGAAAGAAGCTTTCAGAGGAGAAGAAACTCAATCAAGGGCTGGAAAAGTACACAAAATTTCAGAGAGAATACGTACATCAAAAGGAGAATGTAAGCTATTTTAAAACCTATTAATATACTTCTAAAAAAAAGAAATACAGCGTATTGTACTTGATCAACCATCTAATTAAGTTGACGCTTTCGCAATGTATATTGTATTTATACTGCTTTATATATTCAATAATATTAACGATACTATGAAATTTAACAATAGACAAATCGTCAGAGAATTCAACAAACAATCAATATGGACCAGCAAAAGAACGCTTGTCAGAGGAAAATGCTAAACACTTCGTAAGTTAAATATTCTGAAATATTTACAGGGAAAAGATAAGAGATATCTACTTATAGATACAGTATATATTTATATTAATATTCATATATATGTATATATTTACTTTCAGAACTAATTTGGCTAGACAATATAGAACAAAACTAGAGGAATTAGAGGCTAAAAGGATGCAAATTGAACATATCAATGAACAATATACAGACAAATTAAGGCAATCGGAGGAAGAGCAGAATAGATTAAAAAGAGAATTGGGTGAATTGGCAATTTCTCTAAATATGGAAGCTCAGAAAGGGAAAACTAAAGTCCTTGAATACAAATAGTGAGTTCCCAAAAGGTTTAACTAGGAAAAAGAGAGAAATTGTTCTTTTAAATCGATTTTTTCTTTCCCCATCTTAATTCCTTAGTGAGACCGTTAAAGAGAAAACGAAACGTCTAAATGACGACAAAGTTCGTAATGAAGAAATTGAGAACAAATTAGGGTTAATCTAATAAATCTATTAATAACATGTGAACGATAATTAATGTTTTCCATTATTAATTATTAGCAAAAGCGATGTCGACAGTAAAGCAGCCGAACGTAGTAAGAGAAAACTCAGTGCTGAACTTAGCCTGACAAGAGCACATTTGCAATTGAAACAACGCGAGGGTTAGCATGGATAGAGTAGAATTTCATTAATATTTACTAATAGATTTATATGTAATCAATTAGAGGGACGCCATAAGCAAGACACTGAAACGCGTTTAAAGAATAACGCTACTGAGCAAAAACAACTTAGTGAAATGGCTGCTAACGTTGAACTTGAAATGAAATCTAGGCAAATTGATAAGAAAATCATTGACATAAATAATAGAAAAAAGGAAAAATTGGAAAAGGATCTGACGGAGAAAAAGGAAAAATCTCAGAATCACGAAGAAATTTTCAATAGCAAGTTTCAAAAAAGAAACGCCGATCATCGTGTTAAAATTCACGAGGATCATCTTAAGCATTTTCAGGTATGTATCTTAATAGAGTTTCTCCTAGTTTCTTGCAATTTTAATTAATTTCTTACTGTTCCATTTGTATTTACTAGAAATCTGTGAATAAGGGAGAGGAAATTGAGCAGGAACTTTATCAAAGGGTCAGAGACGCTGAATACAAGAGACAAAAGCAAGATCAAGAAGTGAAGAAACTTCAAACGACAATGGCCGATATCAAGAAAAAGAATGCTTTGCGTCTGCAAAGAGCAATGGCGGAAAATGAAAGGGAAGAGAGGGAACTGGAACAAAAATTAATAAGAGAGCAAGCCTTGTTGAATAAACTGCACACTGATAGGGAAGCTAATTACGGTATCTTGATAAGCCATAGAGACAGGCTTAGAGAAGAAAAGTACCTGCTAGAAGAACACGACAGAGAGCATAATAGACTGCTTCGGATTTCTTTGAGAACCGACGCTCTGCAGACGGAATAGCTAAATTTATATATATATATATATATATATAATTATCTCATTCTAACTATTTTGATTATCGCAAATAATGGGGAGAGGGTGGGAGGGGTGGGAAGAATTTTAAAGGGTTATTTGGAAGGGGAAAGGGAGGAGATTTGAAGAATGATAAAAGAGTTAAAGAGAAAGATGAGTAGAGAAGTATGGAGAACGATAAAGAACTCAAATCAATGATATTATTATTTATTAAAAGAAAGAAAAACCGTACACTTTATTTTCTTTGTTTTTTCTCCGATTTTTTTCACTTTTAAAGGAATAAAAAGATAATAAAAAAAAAGAAAACAGAAGTTGAATTTGATGTTTTATTTTTGAATATCTAAGTTTTTCGTCTAGTTGTATGATCGTAAACAACCACTTGCTGATATTTAGGTGTCTCTATTACCGTCCTTGTAGAGTTATCTCCTGGAGACGAGGCTTTAGGATCTACGTTTAGGGTCTTTCTATCCCTTTTATTTTTAAAGAGGAGACCAGAAGCATTTTCGGCCATTACTTGATAATTTGGTGTAGGATTTGAGGTTGAAGTTTGCGTTTCCCAATTGTAAAAGCTAAAGAAGATATTCCCTTAGATAGGGCTTACATGTGAATATATTAGATTATTGATTACCTTAAATCCGATGGGCGGGGTAGTAGCTTCTTCTTGCAGGAGAAATATGGTTCAAAGTCCTCGCTCTTCAGTCGATGAGCATAATCGATATATCCAGATATTTCTTGGCCACGAGAATTTTTATCCCTTATAAAAATGATAGATGTCATTTTTCCACTTCTGTTCTTTTCTTCCCTTTCAGCAAGAGATCTTAGAAAAGGATCTTTAATTTCTTTTCCAGAGCTCGCTAATGTTTTTTGTTGACTTCTCTTAGAAACTCTACTAGCTTCGGCAGCTGCTTTTCTAGCTTCGAATTCTTCTCTTTTTAATACTTCACCACTTCCTCTATAGCCAAGTTCAACTAATTGTCGAGCGAGTTCTTCATCCTTAACAAGAGAGGAGAAAGAGAGAGGGAGAGAAAGATAATTTATTGAATTGTAATTGATAAAAATATATTATTTACCTCCAAGTAATAAAGATCTAAGGAAGTTATTTGAGAATCAAGAAACTCTTCGTATGTTCCATATTCTGTAGCAATATTATCGCTACCTCCCTGAACCTCTTCTTCCATAACGGATGTCTGTGTAAACAACAATAACATATATATATACTGTATATACATATATTTATATATAATAACAGAAACTAATAGATTAGATTATAAAATTAAAGCAAGTTGAAATCTTACATTTTTTTATTCGGTTAAATAAATCAACTTTATAACCAGATTTACTGTTATATGAAAAAAAAAGTGTTATTTTTTTTAAATTAACGTCCTACTTTCTGGTTGCTAAGTGATGACTAACAATTGTATGTTTTTAGTCATAAAAAACATTTTGCACAGAATGCAGAAAGCCGCCAAATAGGAGTGAGATTTAAAAATATGGCATTGGCATCGTATAATAAACATAAAGGTATAACTGGCCTTAAAACAAACGTAAAAAGTAAAAAGAATATAAAATTCGACGATGGAGCAATAAAACGAAATGGAAAATCCTCGGATTCTCTGTTAGTACCGCAAACTGAAGTTAGTTGCGTCATTAAATATTTTGTTTTTGGCTTTAATGTTCTTTTTTGGGTAAGTTTTACTTGTTATTTCTACCATTTTAATTTATGCAGAATTAATATTCATTAGTTTATTATGATTAATATATAATTATAAACTACTTTTACTTTTAAATTACTTTGTTAATAAATTTTTTAAATTTATAAAAACAAAGAAAAGCCAATTGTTCTTTTGTTCTTTGTTCCTTTTGTTTTATATAAAATCAATTAAAATTAAAAGTTTCATAGGCTTCTTGTTTCATTATTAATCTATGTTATTCATCATTTAGCTGTTGGGTGGCATAATTGCTGGTATTGGAATATGGGCGTGGTCAGAGAAGGAGATGTTTCGTAAAATGACTAAAATTACGTCTATTCAGATTGATCCAGCAATAGTGTTTATTGTTGGAGGGTCGGTTATATTTATAATTGGTTTTACAGGTTGTGTTGGAGCTCTGAGGGAGAATAGTTGCCTATTACTTACAGTAAGATAGATAATATCCTTTAAGAGATAGGTTAAATGCTACAGAATTATAATTTCCTATAATTTCCCTTTTAATTATTTATACATATAGTACTGTGTGTTAATTGGTGTAATATTTTGTATCGAATTGACTCTTGCTGCCCTCGGTTTCAGTTTCAAGGACAAAGTATGCCTTTTGAGGACCATCTCATCCAATTAATTGTTTATTCTTTACATATTGAGCTAGATTCAAGACGAAATTCAAAAGAGTCTATTGATTTTTATTAAGAAATACAGAGATGATCCAGATTTGCAAAATTTAATAGATTGGGTACAAAAAGATTGGCTACATTGTTGCGGAGTCTACGATTACAACGACTGGGAAAGAAATGAATACTTTAATTGTTCTTCTCCTTCTCGAGAGGCTTGCGGAGTTCCTTTCTCATGTTGCAAAGTGGATAAGTTGTCTAAATACTTAATATATAATAGACAGTGCGGATACGATCTCAGAAAGGTTTTTAGTGCCATTTTCTCAATAATAACTCATTTATATTAGAACCTTGTAAGAGAGCCTAAAATATTCATAGAGATAACTTTTAATTAAGCAAAATAAGGTGAATAATGCAGTTGAGATCCTTAATCTAGACGGCTGCTTTTCAAGCGGAATGATCTGGTTTAAAGAGCATTTACAAACGATTCTAGTTATTTTTGTAACTATAATGGCCGTACAGGTCTAACTAGAAAATAAGTAATTTTATAGGTTAAGCAAGTCTAGACGATAATCTAAATTCCGAGAATTCTATAACAGCTTCTTCAAGTAAATTCATCTTTAATCTACGGTGGATGTTACGAAAAGGGTGAAGAATTGCTTGCGAAATACTTTATACCCATGCTTGGAACTTGTATTTCCGTAGCTGTAATGCAGGTGACAAAGCTGAGGTTTTCCGAAAAAAAAACCTATCTCTATCTCTTATTTACTTTTAACCTACTTCTTTTTTCTACACCATTTCAAATAAATCCTGGAAACTATTTGTTTTGATGAGCTATTTTTTCACCCTACAGATTCTAGGCGTATGTTTCGCTTATAATCTAAGAAGTGATATATCCCTACAAAGGAAAAGAATAGAAAAATGCAACTCAGTATAAAAAATTTAAATGATTTTATTTCGCTTTCAAAATTTTTACCATCCCTCCCACCCCTCTCCCTCAACCTACGAAAAACCCCATGATCATAAATTTGCTGCTTGAAACAAAACACAGACATAAACATAAAAAAATATCGCACTCCTTCCGCATGTTATTCAATAATACTTAACTTATGCGAAAAATGGAACAAATATGTACATGAAAGTGAATAAAAATCGTCATACATGAATTTTGGTACAAAATTTCCTATTCTGTATACTTTTTCGATCGTAAATCAAACCACGTATCTATTTTTAGCTGTCGATCCCGTTTTTGACATAGTATCAGCGTGAGCTTGGTATCCCATCGTGCTTCGATTCATGTTTAAGCGTTCCTTCAAGGTTTTCCTGTGTAAATCACTCAATATTAATCATTTTCTCTATCGAATCTTTAATAATAATTCTAGATGTGTTAATGTATGAACAAGTTTCTACTCACCCTATGGACACGATTCCCAATTCGTCAGTGCTGTTTTGCGTCCAAAGACCTAATTTATCTCCTAATGACAAATATCTGACTTAAATTAAGTTCATTAAATCTATTCTAAACACCTTTCGTTCTAATGTTGATGGTAGCACCGCAAATTTGATGTCCGTATTCACCAAAGGCTTCACCTATCATACATAAGAGTGTTTCTAACCAAAACTTATCCAACTCCGTACTTCTTTGATTCTTAACCAAATTTATCAGCCATCGGCCTCCATTTTTATTTTTTTCATCTTCCCACATCGGTTGAACTCCGTCCTAATATGAAAAACCCATTGTATCAAGCTCAAATAATAGAAATTGTTCACAATTTTAAAATTAGCTTACAATATTGATCTACTAAAAAATATTAGTACTTATTCTATACCGTTTTATACATACTCTATCGAACGTATTATTAATTATCAACTGATTCGAATACGAAACTAAGAATTCCTTTTATCAGTTTTGGCCGTTATTTTTTTTTTTAGCTATTTTAGAGAGTGTTATTGAAATAACCTAATTTTAACTTTAATTAACTATATATAAACCATATTGGATATATTACTCTGAAAAAAAATAGACGAAATAAGTTCTTATTTCTGAAATACTCAGCTATATATGACATTCGTACATGTACACATTTCCATATCTACCAATAGTCACGTTCTCACCTTAAACAACGAATAATCACATCCCGGCGCAAGTTTACTGGCTGGCATAATATGGTTAAACAATCTGAAAGACAAACAAACCTTTTGTTAGTTAGGACTACAAAAAGTTTATCCTTGGATAAAAAAAAAACAATTGCAACGTTATTGAAAAATTCTTCATGAAATATTTTCAACAATTCAAATGAATTCATTCTTCAAATTTGAAAAAAACCCTATTTATTTCCCCCGAAAAGATAGCAATAGAAACTTACGCCCAAAAATCTTCAACCGTATCGAAAGCAGCAATCCTCTTTAGATTAGAAGCCCAGTCTTTAGCCTTGTCATTCTTGAAAAACCAAATGGCCCAGCAATTTTCAAGTGGATGTTTAATAACAGGGTCCATGGCTAATTCTTCTTCAGGTTGCTCATTCTGAAAAAACGTTACTATTTTAGTAATGTCACACATGCATACGTTGCAAAACACATGCCGGCATTTCATTACACGTTTATGATCAGTTTCCTTCAATTATTAGCGAATAAAAACTCAGGAAAATCATTTGACTGTGTTTTAAATTCATTTTGACTACTAACATACAACCTAAATTGTTGAATTTGGGTATAAATTAAATAAACTTACATTGCGGTCTTCTCCTTCCGCCATCTTGTTTAAATGAAACCGGAACTGAAAAAAGTGCGCTAAATATATGCGTGTTAGCAGTTATAAAAAGGCGCCAATTTTTGAATATAACGTTAATGTCGAATGATTTTATATAATTTCCGCTTATACTTTTCATAGAATTAATAAATAAAATAAACTATTCAGGATAAAAAAATCTATTTTTATCTTTGATATCTTTTTAAAGCTTCGACGTGTAGGTACTTATTAATTAATTCAAATATAAATCGACGAAAGAAAAAACGGATCAAATAGCCGGAAGGTTAATATGCATATAATAAGAGGATAATCGCTGAAATATTAGGGTCATTTTCTCGTATAGATTACTAAGAACATCAAGGTTAAATCGTTGAAGACTGTTTACTAATTTATGGTAATTAGAATGAATACGCTGATAAAATGCTCAGTAAACTATTGTGACACGTTTTTAATATTTTGACCTTATTTTCAGATAGACAAACAAAAAACTTCTTATATAATATAGATTGTCAAATATTTAGTCACAAAATATATTTGTTTGATATTTGAAACATCTGGAAATTTCCAAGAATAAATCAATAATTTACACCATTCATTTATACTGTCGCCACCTATCGTTGTGTTGTGCCACGTGAGGCTTTTTATCCAACCACTGCCCATGACCGTCGCACATGCGCATTAAACAAAATAATAACAAGATGAAGCCAGAGAACGTAGTCAGTCAAAATACTAACGAAAAACCTCAACATTTTCAGTAAATATTGGCTTTTATTGATTAAATGTAGCAAAACATAGTAGTTAATATATTATAGATTGTGTTCGTCTAATAATTTTTTTCTAAAACCTTCAGCTATTTAAACGATTTTCGGACGCACCAGTGCTCGCTCTTCCTTCAGCATAAATGCACTCAACATCGCCCGTATACGTGTTTTAACTGGCATTTTATGAATCAGAGAAGAAGAAAACCATTACTTAGAAATGATGGAGATTTTAACTATAGTCCTGACATCTATTGCACCAAGTACGATGAAACATCGGGAATTTGTGCCGATGGAGATAAGTAAGTTGATTGTACCTTATTTCGTAGACAATCGTTCAAACACCGAAAACAAGCTTATGTTAGACAGAAGCAGGATTACTAGAGCTTTGCCTTCTGTCGCAGAGTAATCGTTCTTGTAGAGCTTAAGATAATTTTAAAACAATGTCCGTGTTCCGGGAAAGTAGGTCACGTTGCAGAATGTAAACAAATATGGCGTTTTGGCGCGCTCGCGCTTTTTCTGTATCAGCTGATTTTGTTTGCGCTTATTCCAGCTATTTTAAAATAGATTACATAATATCTTATTGTTAAATTATTGTACTTATTACAACCCCATCACCATAATGAAAAGATTTAAATAGATTTTTCTTATTTTATTACGCAGCGTATTTGTTAACGAATTGTAGAATCTAGGGTTTTTTTTTTCAGAATGATATAAAAACTGCTCTATGAATGTTAGTTAATAACTGACGTAATCATCTGTAGAAGTATTAAAAAAATTTATATTAAGAATTAGCCAACATATGATAGTTATTTTGTAGATTTAAATTATCCGATAAGACTGGTTCGTTAATTTTAAAGATAGCTTGAAAATACCAATTGAAATTGCGAAATAATAGATTAATACTATATATTTATTACATATAGAATATGAATAGAGGCATTAATAGTTTTTATTTTGGGCAGGTGCCGCTAAATATATAATATCGTAACGTTGTTTTCAATACGATGTTATTCTAATAAATTGTGTTGTTTTACGTGATCTGAAGGTCATTTAATGCGATAAGAAAGTAGATAAATATTTTATCGATTTTTACATAATACTTTTATAATATTCAAGAAAACCTTGAATTAGTTAATGTAACACCAATAAATTTTTTGGGCTAAAAAACAGCAGTTGGCTATTTAATAGCGAATTTTATGGTGAAGGACTCTGTAGAGGTGCTTTTCTATAGGTCGACAAGAGTTTTTCTTTTGTATTCTCATATTTATAATAAAATTCCTTGGAAAGTCATTCAAAAGCAGCAAATTCAGAACAGGCCAATAAACATATTTTTCAGGGTAAGATCTGTTAACAGTCACGTCATACAGATTAAGGGCTATTATAATAACTATTTTTTAACGTAACTCTGTCGTGTAACATACATTTATGGAATCGTGTGAACTCTAATTAAGATATTCTTTTACCTTTCAGCTGCGCCTTTCTTCATCGAACCGCCGGAGATACTGAAAGAAGATATCATCTCCGATATTACAAGACGAATACGTGTGTCCATCAAACAGATAATAAAGGACATTGCGTAAAGAATGGACAGCATTGCGCGTTTGCCCACGGAGCAACTGATATGCGATCTCCCGTTCATGATAAACGCGAACGAATGTTGGCTTGTGGTCTTGCTGCACAGGGTTTGGGAAAGGATGAAAATGGCATATCCAGAGGTGGTCTCACATCGCTTGAAAGAGATAAGGTATTGAATGAAGATCCCAAATGGAATGAAACGGAATACGTGTTAGCGAATTATAAAACAGAGCTCTGTAAGAGGCCTCCTAGATTATGTAGACAGGGATTTGCCTGTCCTAGTTATCATAATGCTAGAGATAAGAGGCGTTGTCCTCATACACACAAATACAGATCAACCCCTTGTCCTAATGTTAAGCACGGTGACGATTGGGGAGATCCTGCTCAATGTGAAAATGGAGAGCAGTGTCAGTATTGCCATACCAGAACAGAACAGCAATTTCACCCAGAAATTTACAAATCGACCAAATGCAATGATATGCTCCAAACTGGTTACTGTCCAAGAGGACCGTTTTGCGCTTTTGCACACGTCGAACAGGAAATGACCATACAGCGAGAAATAGCTGCAGCATCCGAAAATTCTCTTGCTGCTTACGTTACGAGTGCATTTCCGGAAAAGGCGAATAGTATTGAGGAGAAAGTTAACGATTTAGGTTTATGTAACAGTAACAAAAGCCTTCCTCAACCAATCGGGAAAGAGAGAAGTAGAAGTTTCAGCAATGGTAGTACTACCGGAGGAGCTAATATGAGAAGTCCATTTCCGGTTGGCTCGGCGCCAGCAATGACCTTTGCTGACGTAAGTTGAAGTTTAGATTATTTTTTCGAGGTTATTAAAAAAAAAACTTTAAATGATGAACTGGTAAAAGGGTTGACGCAACGCCGCCTATAATAACAGATTGACTTTTTATAGAGATTGAAAAGTCAACTACTTAAAGGTGGATATTAAAAAACAAAATTAGGATTTATTTCTATTGCGAAATAACTAGAAATGTTACAGTTTTATACATTTTTAGTTGTTACATTAAATCCAACAAACATAATTTCATAAATGTTGCGCTGATAATACTCGCAAACTGATAAAAGAAATATTATATAATTGTATAGGACTAGTATTCCATTTTTATATATTCAATATATTTAAAGGAAAATTATAAAAAATTCAATAGGCGGCGAGGAACAGGAAAACCTATGAAGAGAAACAATCGAATAAGGGGACAACAAGGTCAAATCTTTTTGGAGGCGATACTTTGCAATCTATAATAGGTAGGAGCTTTTAATACATAGTATGTATATATATCTACGGAAAAGATTTAATAATAGGTAATGCATTGGATGAGGACGTCGACGTTGATGATCTCAGTTTATCAACTGCATTTGAAACATCAAACGATCGCGATCAGGACATTGAATCTTTGTCTTCTTCTTTCGGTAATAACTTACAACCTGCTTTTAATAGTCGCTCCGAACCTGTTAGTATTCCTGGAGCTAATCAGCCCCAGAGTCCGTTTAGTCCACTCGTCTCACCTTTGTTGAACGGTAATGGCTTCGGTAGTTATTTTAGCACTTCAGGAAATAGCGAGGTATTTCAGAATCTATCCAAAATTGAAATAATACTAATATTAATTTACCATCTTGACATTCTCAGGTAAATAAATTGAAGGAAGAAGTGGGTAGTTATAAAACTAAATTGAAGCATTGGGAAGAGGGTTATGCCCAAGCTAGAGCAGCTTGCGAAGCGTGGAAAAAGGAAGTAGAAGATTTATCAAGAAAGAAACGCGAATTAGAAGATGAATTAACAACAAGTAAAAAGGAAAAGGAAGAACTAAGAGCACAGTTGAAAGCGGTAAAGACGAATATTATTATTCCATTATGTCAAAGGGAAGAAGTCCCATCAGACATACGCGACCTAATCCAAGCATTCATAGTAGATCAAGTAAGTATATAGAGAGAGAGCGAGCGAAAGTATTTATATACAGTTAATATACCTTTGAGATAATGTATATTGTATATATGCTGTATATATACTAATATATATATAATGTATATATATAAAAAGAAAAAAAAAACAATCGTTTCTTTTCATTTTCAGTCTTTTCAACAAAGTTTCTACAGCAGTCCAACGTAAGATATAAAATTGAGAATTAGTCGCACATATCGGAAGTTTTGGAAAATATAACTTATGAAAACTAGTTGTTGCCTACTTACAAAAATTTTTTTCCAATTTTTTTATTGCTTTATGCTTGTTTAATTTTCAGATTAACGTTTGACGTACATAGTGTTAGCTATAAAGCACAAAGAGGCGGTATACTTGTGAATTACTGCTAGTTTTTTTAGTGTATGTATATGTATGTATATATATATATATACATATATAAAATTATATACATAATATATATATATACATATAAATATATATATATTTATATGTATACAGGATTATATATATATAATATATATATATATATATTTATATATATTTATATCTATATACTCTTTCAGGTATAGGTTATACTTCGTATTTTACATTTACACTTGAAAGAATTTGAATATGGAAATAATTATATACATAAATATTGTACTAACCAATTTTTTGTCAATACTGATTTTCCGTGAATTTATCAAACGTTTTATATACAATACGTTAAAAAATTTCTTTGATATTTTTAAAGAAAACAAATTCTATCCTGCATTTTTCCAGTTTATATTTATTAGTGGCGTTTTTTTTTTAGGATTAATTAAATTGAATTGAAAATGTTTTAAGGGATTGACGTTGTTTTGATTAGAAGTAGAATCTATAGTTGATTTGTTATATCAAAAGTAAGAAAGGCTATGTTTCATATATTTGTGTATATATATATATATATATATACATAATTATGTCTTTAAAATGTACGTATTAAAAATATACATATAATTATATGTATATATAGTTATATGTATAGATGTCTCTTTGAAACTATTAAGAATATGTATATGTAAAAATTCATTGTACTTGCATATACATATAATCATTTTAAATTCTACAATAATATCTATGTCGATATATATTAATATATATATATATATATATATATGTATATATATTCAGAAGCCAAACTGCTGAATTTTTTTCTCTCTGCTTACTTAATAAAATTTTCGAATTTTAAGCAAAAACTTTGAAAATCTTTATTAATGAAAAACAAAAACTGAACAAGACTTTAAACAAATTTTTTTATATCAGCTTTTTTCTTGTGATAGACGAAAACTTTAAAAGAAAAAAAAACAAAATGATTTTATAACAAGAATCTTTCTTCTCTTTGTTCTTTTTTTTCATATTATTCAATAATCTTTTATATATATATATATATATATATATTTAATGCTTTTTTTTTGTTTCTTTATAAGAAGGAATGAAGCTACTTTTTAAAAAAATATATATATGTATTTAATAAGTTAATATTAGAATATATTGAATTATTAATGAAATTTTAACATTATATTAAAATGGATATGTTATAAGAAAAAAAAAGCATTAAGACTTGAAAGCAGAGGAGGAAAATCCCTAAGTTTTATTACTGTTATTTTAATACTTAAAAAAAGAGAGGCTTTTTTTTGTGTTTTTAGACAAAAAGAAGGAAAAGAAATGTTTTTAAAATTTATAGAAAAAAATGAATGAAAATTCGTTTTTTTCACTTTTTTGGTGTCTGTATCTTATGAAAGAAGGATAAAAAATAACAAAAAAAGGCATTTTTTATCTTGATCACTTTCCTCTCTTTTCAATATAGTAAACATCATTCTGGCCATATATATATACATGTATATATAAATATATATGTACATATAAATAGCTCGTGCTTACGAAAACAAAACATAAAAAGAGACTTCTCTATAGAATAAAAAATTTTTAACGGGTTTAGGATATAGAATTATTTAGGTTTTAAGAAAATTTACATTGAATTATGTGGTGTTATATTTGTCAACTTAAAAAGAAATTATTTTTTGTCTCAGTTAGTATATTTACACTTTAAAAAAGTTTAATAAATAATTATATTTAGTCTATTGCTATTACTATTTAAAAAACAATTTCTCTCTCTCATTTTTATTTTTTGCATGTCTGCGTTTACTAAACAAATGTATTCTTATGTTTTAGTTTTTACATCTTTTTTTGTTCTCATCCTTTTCAAATGCGTAAAACTTTTTTTTTATTGACACTATATTTTTGCTTCTGTTTCTCTTCAACACTAAGAATTAATAACATTTAGGTAAAAAATGTCATTTATATATTTAAATTATTATCTATATATAGTTTAAATGATTGAAATTTTTCTTTGTTTGTTTGTTTGTTGTTTATTTTTTTCTTTATTTTTTCGTTACTGATTTCTCGGGTGACTGTTTCGCCAATGCTGCATATATGACGAAAAAAAACAAATGTTTCCAAACATGTTTTAAAAGAGATAAATGAAATTGAAAATAGATAATAACAATATTATTATTATTACTATTATTATTATGATATTTTTTGTTTCTACTTCATCTTCTTCTATTTTGATTGCAGTATTGGTATTTTTTTATTATATTTTTACTATTATTTATAGTTTTGATTGAGTAAAATATAAAAAAAACATTAACAAACAAGCGAAAAGACAATAAATACTTAGTATTTTCTTTCTAACAATATAATTTATCTCTTTTCATTCCCTTCTATTTTGTGAATAGAAAAAGAAATCTTGTTCTCGTATCGTCAATATTTGGTAAAAAGAAAAAGAAAGCACAATATATATATCATTATTTCGTCTGTTTATTTATTCATTTTTATTCATTTTATTAGTATTAAGAAAAAAGAAATACTTATATACTTATATACAGTATATACGTATATATCACTTTTTATTCCATTCACTGTAGGCGAATAAGATCTCTCTTTACGATAGTACAATTCTCTATCATTGCTTTATAATAATTCATTCAACATAAAGAGTCACATGTTTATTTTATTTGAGACAAACGCATTAAATTAGCAATAGTTGCTTGTGGAATATTTAAAGAAAAAATTGGGCTTCAATATAGATAGCAATGTTGAATTTAAAACACTCATATATTGTATTTATACAGTATATTAATTTCTATTACCTTCTTCGTAAGGTGGTGGTGGATCGAAATCAGGGTTAAAAAGTATGTAATCTTCAAAATTTGGAGAAAGTAATGCTGACTCATAGGAAGGCAGTCCAGATAGCGTTCCCACCACTTCTCTACTATCATGTTTAGTTCTATGTATAATCTCCATACAACAATTCACAAATACACCAATGAAAAATAGAGCTAATACAAAAAATACTACCAATAATATAATATATCTGTGATCCTCCAGCAATATCTCCAACGAATTCTTTGTCATTGATGACCTATTTAGATTTAAAATTTATTTTCTGATCAATTCATTTGAAACGTTTAACTATTGAAGAAGAACTATTGTATATTAATTTAAGAGTAAAGTATTATGTGTACTCTTTACTGTTTCATTATAATTTGAACGAAACATCGGACAGTATAAACTGACTACTCCATTCATTCCATGTTAGAAAGAGAGGTGCATATGAGACCTATTCTCTATTCATATTCAAATTATTAGAATGTGATGTTTTCCTCTTTCTAATACTTTAGTATAAAACACATTGATATATCTGTCTAATCTTAGCAATTCTTTTATCCCAGATTCTGCGTATATCTCTCTACTCTGAATTGAAAAAACTTATGAATAGACTCCATAGACTGTCAGACATGAAAAACAGATATATATATATATATACATATATAGTTATATAGTGAATATTTTCCAAACTTCTTTCACAACTACTTCATATTCATGAGAAGCAGCGAAGAAAAACTGGAAAGACTAGTCAACATTATTCAATCATACTACTGTTGTTATTTTTAGCTTTCTTTAGTGGGGAGACAAATCACAGTAGCTCTCTTATTGTAATTAATTGAAGCAAAAGGTAAATACAGTGGTAAAATATGAATAATAGCTAATTTAATTTTCTAATTGAGAAAGATACCATTTCCTATCTCTCTTCTTCGTCTTTTAGAAGAGATTTTCAAAGACAAGATCCATCAGGTAAATATCTTTCGTATTTTATTAATTAATAATATTCCAAGTAAAAGGATAGCCAATTTCTTATTAAATAAATATGAATGTACAGTATATTCAATACTGTTGTTTTTTGCACTTTTACAAATAGATAAACAATGTAATAAAATCATCTAATTAGTATTATCAAAATTCTCATCAAGTTAAAAGTTGAAGGAATATAAACCACTCTATATACATAACAATATACTGTATAGTGCAAGAAATGCAAAAGAAAATTACTAGATATATTGGATTTCAACTTAAAAGTATCCATCTTGTGTGGAATGAGGACCACTAAACAATTATTCTTTTTCTATTCTAAAGTATTTTTGGCCTACAATCACCTTTTATATATTTCTTCCTTGCTCCGTATGCTATTTATGAAACCTGCAACTTATTTCTCCTTCACTTTCTTCTTCCTTATTGTGATCCTATATAAAATAAGCAATAGCGTTTATTGTCCTTCCGTAAAAAGGGTTACGTTCTTTCACCAAATTTCCTCAATGTAAATATAATCAATATAAGTAGAAGAGCTATATATTATATATTATAATAACCTCTTTAAATGTCATAATAAAAAAGGGTATTTAGGTTAATCTGTGCGAATAGCGTATATTCAGTTTATTCTAGTAGCCAACCATTTTTAGTGTAATTTAAAAAGCCAAAGGAAGGAGAAGAAAGAGATTAGTTAATATATGAATAAAACATATTAAACTATCTTTCTAAGGAATACTTAAGCCCTTCCTTTAAAATGTATATATTATTGATTATTCCTATTATTATTAAATTATGCAACGGAAAATAGAATAAAATTGTGTTAATATATTAAATGTTGATTAGCTTGATTTTCCTACGTAGTTTGTTATTTTCTCACGTTCCCATTTTTTCCTTATCATCTACAATTTTTCCAAATTTCGTTGGGATCCACTAATTCGAATAGTAACAAACTGTTGAATTTTCAATTATCTTTTGAGAGGCTGTCACAAGGAATATTTTTTATGTTTATAAAGATATATAAATAAATCTTATTTTATAAAAACTAATCTATTTTCTTATCAATTTAAGTATATTCTAGAACAACGAACAATGTCAACATTTCCTGGAAATTGTTCGGCTATTCAACATATTTATATATATTCATAAAAGATCATCATATATTGCATATGAATTTCGTAATTTTGTGGATTTGTTTAATAAGAATACGTAATCGAGTTGTAAATAGATCGAAATAACCAGAATTCACTACTTAAAATCCATTATCAAAGCTTACACGTCTATAGTAAACACTTTCAATAGAAGAGTGTCACGTGATCAAACGAACGTAAAACAAAAAGATTAACTAGTAAATGTCAGCCTATGTTTGATTCTCAGTGATTTTCTTCGTCTAGTAGTTTAAAATCGCTTTAATTCACATTCAAAATAAGGATTTATTATAAATTATTAAGGGTATATTATGTTGATAATTACTCATATGAATTTTTTTTATCAAATTCCGTTTTTATTTGAGAAATACTATAGAATTTTCTAAAATCTCTCGCGAATAACCAATCAGCAATCGAATGCGGAATATTCTCAACAATTTTAGCGAATGAACGACCGAGAAGTTTAACCAATCGCAATCCAACGCTATGAATAATTAGGGTCATTTTGCATAATGAGGTCAAATTCACATTGCTTACGGCATTCGCAGAGAAAGGAATACGTAAAGCATTTAAACAGGTAAATTTACGAGTATTTCGTCTTATCCGTGGCAAAATTTTATTTTACTTTTTTTTTAAATAAGTGTAGAATGCAGAGAATCATAATTTTATAAGTAAAAACGATTTTTAGTGTGGATTTAAGCGTTTCAAAAATATCTTCTCGAGACAGACGTCGTCCGCCATTTTGAATTTGAAGCGGCGACGTTTTTACACAATACGTAGGCCTAGTAGTGTTTGTTTTCAAGAATTATAACATAAACATTTAAAAATTATTATTATTTAGATGGAATATGTTCACTTGATTTCTAATTCAATTTCATATTCAAGAAAATTCACTTGATTTTTTGTTGCGTAATTGCGAATGTTTCATAATGTTATGAATTACTCAATGCTATTTTTTTTTTACTCAACTTTAAATAGCTTTCACCTGTTAAATATATTGAATTTTATTTCAGTAATGGCTCGTACCAAGCAAACTGCTCGAAAATCCACTGGAGGTAAAGCTCCACGTAAACAGCTGGCTACAAAAGCAGCCCGTAAATCGGCTCCATCAACTGGAGGAGTTAAGAAACCCCATCGTTACCGACCGGGAACAGTAGCTTTGAGAGAAATCCGTCGTTATCAAAAGTCGACTGAATTGCTCATCCGTAAACTTCCGTTCCAGCGTCTCGTAAGAGAAATCGCCCAGGATTTCAAAACGGATTTGAGATTTCAGAGCGCAGCTATAGGCGCCTTACAGGTTAGTTTATTTTTCACGTACATATCAGTTATCATATCTTGAATCCATTGTGCTCAGTAATAGATAACAGATTGAATTAAAAACTTAACCTTTGCAATTAAAATTAGTCATCGATCGATCTGTTACTTGTGAGATAATTGCTACAACTGAAAATCAATGGAAGATAACAAAAGTTCTTTATCTATATTAATATTTCTTTTATTGTTGCTAAACAGGAAGCTTCTGAGGCATATTTGGTCGGTTTATTCGAAGACACCAACTTGTGCGCCATTCACGCCAAGAGAGTAACGATCATGCCGAAAGACATTCAATTGGCGCGAAGAATCCGTGGAGAACGCGCTTAAGTAATAAGCATCAGGGAAACGTCTACACAAAACGCGTTTTTAATGTTGATGAAAAATGTATAGTGAACCATATCTCTTAAATATTTTGTATACGTTGGTAGTCGTATATATTTTACAGAGAAATTGTTTAGGATGCCGTGTTGTGTCGTTTCTCTTGTCAGGTGTATTCTCTGTGTGTGTACGCTCATTTAATCGGTGATTATTTTTTTTTAAGTTAACTTATAAACACGTAGAATAGATGTTATCATTTTTCCATTTTAAGTAAAAAAGAAACGTCGGACAGCATGTTTAAAGCTTTTTCTTGTGTCACGGTGTTTTTTCCATAATAAACATAATAAAAGTGTGCTGCTATTTTCTGCACAAATAAATTTCACAATTATTCACAAATGAAAAATTTAAGAGGCTTTATTTTTTATTTTTAAATTCTGATAATCGTTTCTCGTGCATATCAACGTTCCCACCTTTCTCCTTTTCATAATCTATATAAGTTTTCAACTGACTTTCTTCCATAGAAGGAAAATGTTCGTACAATGATCTTTGAACACGATCGTCGAGGTCGTTCTCTTCTCTCAAAACGAGAAAGTATATTAGGAAGGCGGCAGTTGAAACTAATACGCTGATTGGTTGATACCATGGTCTGTCGTATTTTTGTTGAGGGAAGAAAGTGTCGTAACTCTTATGGCTATGTGCAGGACTCGACGTGTAATTTACTGGATTGTCATTCTCAGCTCCGGCATGCTTTGCTCTCTGCTCTGTCCTATTTAGTCGACACGTGATAATTGGTTAAATCAGATAATTAAAAGATCAATCAATTACCATTATTACCTTCGTATATTAATCGCTTGAGAAAATCTTAAGAGTGGTAAACGTAAATTAACGAGACGGTTAGGCAGCATTTTCGTCTTTTTGCCGAAAATGCTCAAACCAATAGCCTTGAACTTGAGAATTTTTTTAATCATATGTTCGAATTTCATTTTTATTAAAAGAATATTTTATTATCAATTTATTTAATAAATAAAAAATCTATAAGAATGAATGATCGAGAAGATTTCCGTTGTAAACTTCCACTATTTTCCAGATGGCGTTAGTGGTACTAGGTTTTCCTTATTTATTTTGTAATAGTTCTTCTGCTAGATAAAAAATTTGGGTAATCAATTATAAGGCCGGTGGCCCAAAATGAATAGTCAATTGGATGTAGAGGATCTAATTAAGAATTGTGTTAAACATGGATATAATCTACTTAATCTATCGTTTCGCTCGATATTTGTTTTGAATCCAAGCATCATTCAAGCTCAACATATAAATGAATTGTATTTAAACGATAACAAATTAGCAATGCCTCCTGTTGAATTATGTGCATTAACAAATTTGACTGTATTATCTTTAGAAAATAACGGGTTAACTATGCTACCTGGTGAAATTTGTAAACTTCAAAAGTTGAATACTCTAATTCTAAATGGAAATCCCTTAACAATTTTGCCAGAACAAATTGCTTCTTTACTTAATTTATCCGAATTATTTATATCAGAAGTTCAGTTAACCTATTTACCGGACGGAATTTGCGAGTTAGTTAATTTGAAAATTCTATCCGCAAAGAGTAATAACATTAACAGATTTCCTGAAAATTTCATCAAACTGAAATCACTGAGTTGGTTGAACATGTGCGATAATGAATTGTTATATTTACCTACAGATTTTTACAACCTTCAGAATCTATTCTATTTGAATTTGGATAGAAATAAATTAACAAACATTCCAGAATGTTTAACTAAAATGAAGCAATTAAGCAGCATTAGTCTTCAATTCAATGAGATTAGTGAATTGACGGATGATACTTTACTCGGTCTCAGTCATGTTTCTAAATTAGATCTTCGCAATACATCGGTTATTGACGGAGATAATCGTTGGAAGAGTATGGATCATATTTATATTGGAAAATTAGGATTAGATAACGAAGATATTAAAATAATTAATGAAGCCAACGATGGCCTGGTACTGAAAGAAATGTAAACAAACTCTTTGGAGAGTATATCATTGTGTATAGTTTGTTTTTGTTTGGTGCAATAAAAAAAAATGATAAAGACAAACTGATAATTTTTTTATGGACGGAAATTGTCCATTTATTTCAAAATTTCATACTTAGAACAATAATATCATTTAGAATTTTTTGGCAGATAGTGTAAACGCTTTTTATATACGTTGTACGATGTTTCTATCATTAAAAAAATGACAGAGAAAGAGAGATAACAGTTTTGAAAATGTTTCTGGAATGATGCAGAATGTGAGAAAATTTTAAATATATAGGAATACGTTAATTTATAGTCTTTGAATGTAAAATGCTCTATCGGCCTTCTCTAATTCTTGCTCATACATTTTCCATTCGGCGGAAAGTAGTTCTCTAAGGGCTGCTTGCCTTACCTAGAACATATGTGGAAATAATATTATCGTATATATTTAAAGAGGTATAAAAATATCTTAAATTTATACCGCAATATTAGTTTTTGCTGTTAGTAGAATCTCGTTCTGAAGATTTCTCTGCTTGTTGCGGTTTCTTTTGAAATTTACTGTTCCTTCGGATGCTTCCACCCACTGAGATTTTCTTTCTAACAATTCTTGTCTGTTGTTTTTTTTTGTTATAAATGAATCACTCAAATTCACAAGAAAGTAAAGGATAGTATGAATAAAATTTACCTTTTACGCTCACTTTCCTCTTTTGCCAGAGTATCCTCATACTTTTAATATAAGATGAAAAGAAACATTTTTAAACTACAATCATTAAGATAATCATAAATCGTAAATCAAGGTTTTAATATAAATCATTTAAAATCTTTTGGGTTGGGGAAAATAATTGTTTCGTTAGAATTTAAATTCTTGGAATAGCTTTACTATTTGAAAAAATAAATATATTTCATACCAGGACTTTTTCTTGTTGTCTTCTCAAAGCATCTTTTAAACTTTTGTTCTCCTTCATTGTTTCATAGCGATAGCTAGTTGCCGCCAACATTTTGTTAGCTTGGAAAAACAGTAGCGAATAAATATAGAAAGGTGGTTATTGGGTAGTTACCGAGGTAACTAGTATTACTTTCGTATTTTCCCCAGCGATAAAAAATCGCATTTTTGTGCTTTAGAAAAAGAAATTTAATAAAGTATATTTTTTTGTAATTTATTCTCGTATTTACGAAAACAAAGTCAACGGAAGTGCAGAACTGACGGCCATAACGATCGCGTTTTTTCGCCTTCGATATTCTAATAGTTATTAGTTGTTTTCTTTCGTATTGAAAGTAACATTTTCAGAAAGAAAAAATATGGCCGGAACATCATCTACAAATCCGGCCATAAGGGCTCTTCAGTTAGAACTGAAAAAAATACATGAGGAGCCTGTTGAAGGGTTCCGTGTCAGTCTCCCAAATGAGGATAACCTTTTCGAGTGGCAAGTGGCGATATTCGGTCCTCCTGGCACATTGTATGAAGGAGGATATTTTAAGGTTGTAAAATATGTTCTTTCTGTAGTTTATTTATAACGAGTGGATTTTGAAATGTAATAGAGAACTGTTAAGTTGGTCTTTGTTCTCATGAAACTCCATAATGATTTGCAATTTTATTTCGTCAGACACTGTTCCACTTTTGATTTCGAATTTTTTATTGTAAGAATAATTTTTAAAGGTTTAAAGCGCTCTAACTTGGAAAAAAATTAATTGATGTGTTATGGTGACCTGACCGCTCCGGAAAATAGGGCAAAACTCATTAGAAATTCAAAACAGCTTAAAATCTTTTTTTTTTCAGGCCATAATGACTTTTCCCCAAGACTACCCATATAATCCGCCAAAAGTTAAATTCTTGACAAAAATGTGGCATCCTAACGTTTATGAAAATGGCGATGTTTGTATATCTATTTTACATCCTCCCGTTGATGATCCACAATCTGGAGAGTTGCCATCTGAACGTTGGAATCCAACTCAAAATGTTCGAACTATTCTGTTAAGTATAATTTCTCTATTAAACGAACCAAATACGTATTCGCCTGCAAATGTGGATGCGTCAGTAATGTTTCGTAAATGGAGAGATTCGGTGAATGGGGATAAGGACAAGGACTATGAACGAATTATAAAGTAAAGCGATATGAATAGAATCTATGTTTTATCGATATATAAAAATAATTTATTTTGAATATAGGAAGCAAGTTAATCAGACAAAAGAAGAGGCGAAAAAGGACGGGGTTATCGTTCCGACCACACTGGAAGACTACTGCATTTCGGCAGCTCACTTACGAAGACCGAGTGATGATGTACAATTTGATTTGGATGAAGATTTTATTGATGACGTTGGAGACGAAGAGGATGCGATCGAAACGATCGATAGTAACGATGACTCTGGACAAGCGGAATCGTGACGGCGTATTCAGTGTGTGTGTTACGGAACTGATCTCTGCTCAAAAATATTCATGCGCTTTTTAGTCGTTACACACACGAAAAGCATTTTTCGTCATCATATAAATGATTTCGTTTATTGTTCATTCGCCTATGTTGGTAGTAACGCGAAGTTTCATTTCACATGATGAAAAATATTGAACGCATTTAGAGCAAAAATCACTTTTTTCTCTTAAAATAGCAGATTAAAGAGATTTAAAAAAATAATTAGTGGAAATATGATTTAGAAAAGTGAAAACATCCACAAAGGCATTTAATCTAAATATGCAAGCATTTGTGCAAAGAAATTAACCAGTCTAATAAGTGTGGATAATTTTTACTAGGTGCCTGGTACTTGCTTTCCCATACAAAATTCTTGTAATTGAATATCACATGTAGTTACTCTTGTAGGTACATATATTATATTCAATTATAATAATTAAATTGTAAACACATTGTACAGTATATATCGAGTTTCCACTGATTTCAAAACAAAATATATTTACATAATGTATTTGTGATATTTCGTAACAATATAGCGCGATAAAAACAATAAAAATATTTGAAAACAGACGCATCACAGTATTTCAAGTTGCACTAAACAGTCGTCAACTGTTGTGCCAAGATGTAGGTGTTCGTCTCGCCTCTTTTTGGCGGTGATAGCCGGAATTGTTTTGTAGGTGGCGTTTTCTTTCCTTATAATTTGATGAGTGACTGGATCTATGCCATCGTTCTTGAGACGACTTTCCGGACCAGCCTGATGGTTTATGTTTGAATTCAGGAGGTCGCGAGTATGCCGATTTTTGTTGATTATAACTTGGACTCGAAATAGGATTTTCCGCCATCCGACTTTTCTCTGACTTTCCATTGTGTTGCTCTCTCTCTCGCCTCCTTTTAATTGAGTGTTTGTACATTTTATATAACTTCGTTGGATGTTTATCGGTAAATTTTGAAACAAACTTCCACAAGTTGGCTCGTAATCGCTTTATCCTATCGGGATCTGATCTCTTCTTAAGAACTTCATTGATATGATCTCCTATTTCGAGTAATAACTGTTGCGCTCGATAAACTTTCTCTGCAGTTGACAAATCCGATTGATCTTCGCTATTATCTAACCTTTTCAAAGCTTTCTTAACAGGCCTCATCTTCTCTTTACATTCTTTAAATTCCTCCTCAGTTAGTTCGTTAATGCCATCATCTTGACTTTCCTCGGCCTCCTTTATTTTTTCTTTGTTAGTTTCCGGAACAGATTCGTGGGTCTCAACAGGAATAACTTTTTCTTCTTCCTTCTTGACTATTATTTTTAAAGGTTTGTTAATTTTATTAATTTTCTTCTTCTTTTTCGCCTTAGGCTCTGGTTGTCCATGAGCAGCATTTTCCAACATTTTTGTTAAAATTTTACTGAGGTATTCGAATCTAGCCTGAAGATGCTTAGCTTGAGGTTTTTTATCGCCTTCCGGCAATATTTTATTACCTAAACCCAATTCGCTATCATGTTTTATAGCTTCCCAATTTCCTAAACCTTTCTTATAGATTCCTAGCAGTAGTGTAGAATCGTCAGTGACATCCCAATCACATTCCCAATGTGCCGCCTTTGTTTTGGTTTCTAGTTTGAATTTTTTGTGTTCGAGTGGATTGGTAGGTATTACTTTGGCTAAAGGCTCTAATTCATTGATTGCTGTCAATATTTGTTTTGCTTTGACAGATATTGAGCCTAGTGTAATCGTTGGTCCTTTATGAGTTTTTTTATTTTCTGTAGTAGGATCATATTTTATACGTTCGTCATACTGTGTCATGGCATCTCTACATTCTTCTAGAAGACGTTCACCTAACTTCCTCAAATCTCCTATATTTTTTTGTTTTAGATCACCATCAGCTGCAATATCTTCTAATCTCTCCAGCGGTCGAGGAAATTTCTTAAAACTTTTTATGAACTGGCGTACCTCAGACATGGTCATATTTTTGAAATATCCTACCCGACCACGTTTCTTTTTCGGCGTTATGTCATCATCACTGGCTGCGGAAGCGCTATCATCGCGCTTTTTTCCTTCTTTATAACTTATGTTCTTTCTGCTCCTAATAAGAAAAATATGTTTTAATTTTTGACAAATAACTTGTGATTATAATCAGGTACCTTGGTCCTAAATTTAATTTCCTAATCTCTTTCTCTCGTTCTTCTTCATTATATTTCTTTCTTTCTGATTCTGGTATTATTGAATCCCAATGGCGTTGTTCAATTTCTTCGTGTTCCAAATTATCAAAATTAACAACTTTAAATTGAGATAATAAACCGTCCGCATTTGACGAATGATCTTCAGTTGTATGGGTTTCGGCCCTCCGCAAAATATCATCTAATTCTACATCATCTTCATCTTCGTCTTCTTTAAATAGATCCTCAGCTCCAAATTTCAAAATGGCCGATAATTCATCTTTGTTAAACGGATTATTTTCTCTTCTCTGCTTATTATTTAACACAGCCCGACCAGTTGTATCCATACTTTGAATGACTAGATGATCAAGTACCATTTTCTTTTTTGCTCTTTCAAGGATATCTTCCTCAACAGATCCTTTGGTTACCAATCGATAGACGCTAACTTGTTTCTTCTGACCAATACGGTGAGCTCTAGCTTGGGCCTGAAGGTCGTTTTGAGGGTTCCAGTCAGAATCAAAAATTATAACGGTATCAGCAGTAGCAAGGTTAACACCTAGACCACCAGCCCTTGTGGATAACAGAAAGCAGAAATCTGGTGAACCTTCAGCATTGAAATGATCCATCGATTGACGTCTCTGTTCTGATTTAATTGACCCATCTAGCCTTTGAAAAGCAAAACGTCTTCTTTGTAGGTATTCAGCCAAAATATCCAACATCATAACCATTTGCGAAAAAATTAATACCCTATGTCCACCTTCTTTAAGCCGCAATAACAATTTATCAAGAAGAATTAATTTACCAGAACTTTTTATAAACGCTTCTAAACTTTCCCTACTCATGCCCTCATCCGGCTGGCGGACAAGATAAGGATGATTGCAACATTTTTTTAATTCCATAACAATATTAATAAACCCTGTAATTGAACCTTTAACGCCTTTGCTAAGTGCTTCGTAATTTTTTGTTAGAATCCATTTATAGTATTGCTTTTGCTTGCTTGTCATTGCGACACGAAGAATTTGTTCAGTTTTTGAAGGTAAAGATTTTTCAACGTCTTTTTTGACCCTTCTAAGTAGGAAAGGTTCGAGACGGCGATGTAGTGCAAAAAAGTTACTATCATCAGAATATTTTTCTTCAAATTCTCCCCAATCATCAAATTTAACAGGCATAATGAAATGTAATAAAGACCACAATTCGCGAAGAGAGTTTTGTAATGGCGTTCCAGTTATCAAAAGTCTGTGGTCTGTTGAAAAGCTTGAAAGAATTTTATATAACTGACAATCATCATTTTTTAAACGATGAGCTTCATCAACTGCAAGGACCGCCCATTGAACAACTCCAAGTTCTTGTTTATCTTTAGATAAGAGTTCATACGTTGTTATAAGAGCATTAAATTTCCATTTTCGAGTACTGGCGTGTTGCCATTCATAATTTCTAACCGTTTCACGGCTTTTTTGATCGCCAAGGTAAACTAAGACATTCATATCGGGTGCCCAAGTGGCAAACTCTTTTTGCCAGGTCATAATTGTTGACAGAGGTACGACTAGTAAATATGGTCCAGCAACGTTGTATATTTTAAGCAGTACATTGAGGAGGGATATAGTTTGAATGGTTTTACCTAAGCCCATTTCATCAGCAAGAATACAGCCATGTCTTTTGACCCAAGCGTGAATTAACCAATTTAAGCCATCTAATTGGTAATCTCTTAACTTCAAAGAGCTATCTCCACTGGCGATAAAACTTGGTTGTTCTGTGATTCGACGAAACTGCGCTCTAGCATGCCACGTTCTAATTTCTTTAAAGCTAGGAAGAGCAAGATGCTTGCGACTTTCAAATTGAATCACAGCAAGTGGAAACATACGTTTTATTAAATTTGCATCTTCCCAACTACATTCTGAATAGGGTAGATTACACCATTTGACAAAGTATTCGTACTTGCTGGTGTAAGGCTGATCATAATCGTCAGATTTATCTCGAAATCTATCTCCAGTTATAGCTCTCTCGCAAACTATCCGTTCAACCTGAGTGTACTGATCCTGCAGTTCCATCATCATTTCTAGTTGACATTCAAAGTATTCAGCATCTTCTATGCTAGCAATATCTTTCCAAAGTCGGATTTCTTCCTCTTTTTTCTCATATAGCTCCAATCGTTTTAAGTTATTTGCTTTCTGTTCAATTAGGGATTGGCGACTTTCCCAAGTATTATGGATATGGGACCAATTTTTCCATTTTATTAAATACTGTTTTTCTCTTTCTTTATCACTTCCTATCGGATTAAGATCTCTTTCTTCGGAATAAATGACAGTTTTAACGCCTGTAGCACCAAGTTTTCCAAACCGATGGGTCATAACTTTTTCAATTGTGTCATAGCCATTATCAGTTTCTACTTCGTATTGGCATTCAATTAAGTCATCCGATCCAGTTTGGTCATCATCAGATGCTTCCCGATAACTAACAACTTTTCCACCTTTTCTGGCAGGTTTTCTTTTCGCGTCAGAATATCTGAAGTATAATTCTTCAATAGTAACGGAGCTTTTGAATATGCCTTTATAATACAAATAATTACCGGCCTTTCCTGAATGAATTCTGATCGTCACTACCCGAATAATCCGAATCATCTGAACTGGAATAGCGTCGTTTTCTTCTCTGAGGTTGTTGAACAAGTTCATGAGGTTCGCTGTCTCTTTTGGTTCTTGTTGAGCGTCTGATGCCATAAAGATCAGGTTGCTCTAATGCGTACTTGTATACATCTGAACGACTTGGACGATTATTGTTCGCAGGAGTCGGCGAAGGAGAAGGACTACTCTCAGAATCTGATGATGATGAAGAGGAATTTGAAGACGATGCTGAAGAGGAATTTTCACTATTGCTGCTGGAGTCTGATGAATCTGAATCACTATCTGGAAACATGGCTGCTTAATTTACCTGTAGGAATTAATGAAACATACAGAATAGAAAATATGTAATTTCTGAAAACCACATTATCTATTGACAAAGAAAACACGAAGCTATTTGAACTTCCAAAATATGTGATATAATAAATATGACATGCTTATACTATTTCTGTGAAGCTGGTATAAATTCGTTCTAAGCAAAAAAATTTAGTTAAAATAAAAGGTATAAGGCTACTTTTAGTTTAAGGATGCAGCTATGTTATAACTAATTTTTAATTATAAAAAATTACATAAATATGTAAGAGCATTGAAAAATAGCCAAATTATAGCTTTTAATATTCTCGAAAATCGGAATATAAACTATTAACTAAAAATACTCTTAAAAACTTAATTTTACCTATTCAAAATTGATGTCTCAGATTATCTTAAAGATCTTCAAATCTTAAATCAGAACAATTCTGAAGAAATTATAAAATATTTTGTTCAATTAAAGGGTAAATTTCATTATAAATGGGTTCAAAATTAAAATAATGTTGAAGATTACCATTAATATAGAGAATATAGAAGACTTATCCAAGACTTTGTGTATTATTAACTTCCGGTACAGCATCAAATATTTGATTTTTGAGCCCTAAATTGATAAATACTCCTCAAATTTATTGCAATACAAATTGAGGGGATAATTTTTTAAAATATGGATGCACAAAAAGATTTCTTTTCAATTTCTTCAAATGTTTAACATTCTCAATTTTATAAACAGTTGCAAATGAGGTTCAACTTTTACAAACTCCACTGGAAATTTTTTAGGCCTATATGTAAACAAAAGCACGTGGAAAACCGAAAGAACGCTTAAAATTGTTCATAGAAAGCGAAAAGAACTCATAAAACATTTGCATATGTCACGGAATTCAAAAATCTTTATAAAATGAGTTCAAATTCGTAGATTTTAAGGCTGTAAGAACTATTATTTCCTAAGAACTCACTTATTTTCACGAAATGTGTTGATTAAGTCGGCATAAAGGAGCGACGAATTTTCAAGATCAGTAGCAGATTTATAGAATTAACTTCATATTTTCTACATCTACAGTATCCAAGGTTCTGTAAAATATGTAAATGTTTCAGAATCAATGAGAATGTCATAAAAAAGAAGCCAAATATTCTAAAATAGTGAATACACTTCAATCCAAAATGGCGTATTTTTGAGGGCAAAACGACATTTAGAGCATAAGAAGAGGTGATTGCTTACCTTTATAGGTTTAAATATATATATTATATTAACTTTTCATTGGAGGATGCACTTAAGGTTCTATTAACCGGTTGCAATTGGTCAAATAAGTAGAACGTGGTGTATATAAACGCTTATCATTAGAATTCAATATGGCGTCTGTAGAGAATGGGTTCAGAGCTACATTTGACATTGATAGAGGGCGCCTTTATTTACTCAGTGAAAATTTTGTTGAGAAAAATCTAACGATTTTTACAAAATAAATATTAATTTCGCTCATAGTAATAATTTAGAATTTTTTAATTTGATAGTAAGGTTGACTGGTATCAAATACATATATTTATATATATATAATACATATACACATGCATATATATAGAATTTTCAGTATATTATGAATGACTGTCGTCAATTTTCAGTTACTAGGAATATCAGTTGCTGTCTACTGTTTTAGACATTTTTCTACATTTTTATACAGATAAATAGTATATCCATATTATGATTAACGAACAGATTAATCTTATCTTTATCATTTTAAAATAAAAGCTATTTGAATTTCAACCACATTTTTAAAAATTAAACTGGTTCCTTGCATTTATACTATTCAAGGAAATAGATTAATCTTTAAATATAAATTACTTTATTACTTTTATAAAACGGTTTATTTACCACTAACGATTATTCTTTTAGTTTTTAAATATCGAATAACAAAAACTTTCATTTTTGTTATTGCTATATTATTTCGATAGAATATCGAATAAAAAGAATGTTTGCGTTTGTATTTAAAACAGTAGTGCTGGTAAGTAATTAATATTTTTACAGGAGGGAAGGGGAAATGCTTCAAAGATCCTTTCTATTTGACTATTGGCAACTGATAAGTTAATGTTTTTTTTATGACCCCTTTAGCTTTACGCTATTTTTTTTATTGCATCTACATGTGACCTTTTCACTCTGATAGCAGATACTATGTATATATACATATTTAATATTATTTTCATAAGAAATGTACTTATACATGTCTTTTTTATATTCAAAACAAAATTATTAGTACTATATAGTAGTAGTGTTATTATTAGAATTGTAGAATAATCTTATCAACAAGGATAAGAACTACTTTCTTTAAAGTAAGATCGAAAAAATGTAATAAAACACTTAACGTTTAAAAATGACCTCATCCGATGCTCAATTTCCTATTATTCATTTTTAGTGTTACTTTTCTAGAAACTCTCCCCTTTCATTACATACAGCGTGGGCTCTGGAATATCGCTCATTAGGAACTTTTACGTGGATTCCTTAACTATCGATCCCTTAATGCACCTTAATTCTAAACTAATAGCATTTTTTAAATAATAATATAGCTTATTTGTTTGTCTAATATTTTATTGAACAGTGTTTAGTATTTGATAAGAAAACTTTATATATTTTCAATGTTATATTCTAGGATTAGCAATCTACTTGTAAGTTAAGTTTTATCGCATTAGACTTTTCATTAATACGCATAGATCATAAATTGTAAAGGAAACAAATTTATGCTACGCTGTATTAGCAATACAATGATAAAGCTGAAGATTAAAGATAAGCGTAAACTTACGTTATAGCGAAATGATTCCAACTGACCCTGGATGCAGAAATATCCCGCCAATATGCATCAACCTGTCTAAAAGTATCTCTAACAGATGGCGCTAGATATAGTTAAATGGAGAACAATATTTGCGTGCTCTCAGAAATTACTGACAATTTTCTAGATATTGATTGATTGCCTAATTGCAAAACGACTATGATAAATTTTTTTGAGCGATTTGACGTTTTCGTGTGTTTATGATGGTTTTTTATTTAAATATATATTTTATTTAGAACAGAAATAGGCAATCGACTGGCATAAATGATGAAAAAATGGAAGGTAAAGGGAGATGAGGGCAAAAAAAAAGAAGAAAAGAGAATCGGAGAGCTAGAGAAAGATAGATAGAGATAGATAGATAGATAGAGAGAGAGAGAGAGAGAGAGAGAGAGAGGAGAAAGGGTTTAAGTAAGAAAGGCAGGAAGGAAAAAAATTAGATTTTTTTTATAAAATACAATCATTTTATTAAAGAAAGTGTAAATTTACTTTATTACTAGGCACCATTTTTCTATTTTATTCTATCTTATTTATTTATTTTCTCCTTAGGAAAAAAAACCCCTCCCCGCCTTCCCCGTCGTCTCTTAATGACACAATAGAAGGAATAAACCTTTTCTCCTTCAAGATCTAGATTTCAGCCCAATTTTTCGTATTCTGTACGGAAAGGAGAAGGGAAATAAAACACTATTTTGCTTGGTAAAAGCTTGTTAACAAAGCATTTGGTAGAGTATGTATTGAACTAAGATATAAAATAACTTCTGATTGGGTTTCGATAAATAGTTGGACAGCTAGCTTTCCTGGCAATTAAAGTAGTAGTAAGTCTTTTCAAAAGGGCTTTTACGGTTGTAAAATTTTGGGTTTATTGGATTCCCACTAGTCTTTAGAGGACTGAAGAAAGTATGTTCAAAAAGAAAAGGGGCGAGTAAAGCTGTTTGAATAGAAGTTAATAGGATAACAAATATTGGAAAATGCTATAATGATAGAGAGACAAGTAGAGAAAGAGAGAGAGATGGATGGAAAGAGAAAGAGAACGGGAGAATAAAGGAGAGATAATAAAATAAACAGAGATGGACTATTGAGATTTAGCGCTAGTAAGTGAAACTGATATAGTTTACTCATTATCCTTGTTATATAAGAAAACAGAGCCATCTAGGGACCAGTACCTCATACGTCATTATCTCTTGAGCATTGGAGAAAATCCTTATTTCGTTCCTTTTTCTTCAAACATTGAATTTGAGTAAAGACTTTCCGCCAGATCGACAGAAGTTTATAGATAAAACAAAAGAGAAAATTACAAAAAAGAACCAAAATAATAAAAGAAAGAGCAAAAAGGGAATTTAAAGATATAGGAATTTTAGGTGCGGATTAGTTATAATATGTATCTATATAAATAAGTCAAAGTATAATTCCGACGGTGCGCACGACGCGTGAAATGTTAGCATAATGAAAGTCGAACGATAATTATCATCAAGCGTATAACGTCCATAATTGTGTATGCATGTGAAAGTCTGGCAATTTCTCAAGGGCGCCTTAAGCACGAGCATTCAACCGTCTTGGGACGAATTCGTCTATCCACAACTCAAAAAATACGCTTTTTCCCTTCATCTCTCCTACCGCCCGCTTCCTTTTGAAGGCCAACTGAAAAGATGACAAACAAGTCGAATTTTTTCTTAATCTACAGTGTAATACGATAGAACTTATTCAATTAGTGGCTGGTAGAGGAAATAAATGCCTATATAAAGGCTTTTTTCTTTAAAAAATAAAAGGCAATCAACCACTCCATAAAGCACCAGTCAAAAATCGGTAAAAAAATTGCTGAAACCCTCTCCTTTAATGTTCTCGTAAATTTTAACAAGAAAGAGAGCTTGATCATTAATTTTATGCTAGTTTTTAAGTGTAGTTTAGATGGGTCACATGACCACTAGGTAGAAACATTTTAGTTTAAACTAAAGGGCAAACATCTTATCGCCATGGATAGTTCCCTTGAGATTGTTGATAATTACTTATTTTCGCTCTCCTAATTGGCTACTGTTTGGGATATGTACTATCTATAAAATAAAGTAGTAAAGGATGGGGGACATAGATTCTCCTCTCTTTCTCTGCACGCTTTATCCTTCAATGTTACTTTTCCTTCTTCTCTACAGCCTATGAATTTGTTTTCAAATATAACAAGGCGTTTTTTCTCTCTATAGTTAGATAAAAAAAATCTACATCTGACAGGAAACGTTGCCTCGCTCAATTTATAATACTCGTGCGTCTGATTTTTTAGTCGACTTGTTTGTCGGACTTGCGGGACAAGCTATTCTAATGATTCGTGTTTTTTTTTTTTGATGGATACCACATACTTTTCATAAAAATCCCTTTGCCAAGTCGAAATAGGCTTTTTTCCCTGCTCATATCGTGAATC